GGGGGGGGGGGGGGGGTGTTCGCGGTTTAGTCCTGCACAGGGAAAAATGGGCGAAGAGGGGGGAATCACAGTGGTCAGTGCAGAGGGAAAGTCCAGGGAATGCTTCGGCTTCGGAGCGGGTAGCGGCTGGCGGGTACCGCGCGGCCCATTAGCTGGCTAGGGGGATCATTTTTTTATTCGCACGCCATCACACTCTCCACGTTGACCACTTTTTATACACTGCACACAGTCAAATTGATGGTCAGACAATACTAATTCGGGCCGATCCCAACGTGTAGAGTCCGACAAGGTGGTAGTCGTAGGCTCACAGCAAAGAGAACTTAGTGATACGTACCCCATGGTGTCGGCTGCCACATCTGGCCTTCTGACCACTGGCCAGAGGGCCACCGACTACTAGTTCAAGGCTAAGGGCCTTTTTAGGCAGCCCAAGACATGATTTTCTTTTCTTCTCACTGCTCGCTTTTGCACGTCTTTCCCCCGTCCTGAAATTTTAGGCTTGTTCCAGTAAGCGGGGATTTGCTGCTCTAAAGAGCCTCTAAGGCCACAAACAGCTAAGCAAGTTTTGTAGCATGGCGGGGCAGCGACTTGCTGAGCTGAAGATGAGTATCAACCTTCACGTTCATCACATTGCTAGCTTAATTAATTGTCATCGCATCAGCTAGACCACCCGGCCCTTTGCGGAGGCTTATTCTATATTAGCTGGCCGGAGTTTGCGTGGATACATGGTTCGCCACGGTGAAGGGGGGACTTTGAGTTCAGGCAAGTAAATGGAGAACAAACAGGATCGAACCACTTTCCCATCACAACATACTTCTTGCTATACATAAGGATACTAGCCCGAGTAGGTACCTGCTGCCAGCCTGCACGTACTACAGTCGCGCGGAGGCTATGAACCGAGTATGCAGTACATGTCGTCTCGAATTACTACCTAGCATTCGCTACCACTGACCAGCTGACATTGTGAAACAGGTCGTGGTCCATCCCGTTTATCCCCCTCGTCCCGAACGGCACGCTCTTAGTTAACCCGACTCACCGAAAAGCTAGGCTCGCAGGCCTAGAGATAGTAGCCATTATATCACGATATTACTCCTGATGCTCTCAGCCGGTCCACCCAAGATCACGATGGTGACGATTCCGAGGGCTTGCTGACAACTGCATGAAGGCCTTGTCTTCCCCACGCTTCGCACCTCCCTCGACCCCCGGCTTCGATCAAGGCTGCATGCACACGAACCAATCACCTGGTGCTCTTGACACATCCCCCATCCTTCGACACATATAAACTTGCCCTCGTCACAAACCTATAAAACCGGGTTGAATCACATCATTGCGCATTTCTGAACCACACCCTATCTTGTGCAACCCACGTCGGTTGGATCCGACCAACATCGAAGACGAAGAATGAGTGCGGAAACAGCCAACCGAGCAAGGCTCGCTTAGCTTCGGCAAAGTTTAAAAAAAAAAAAAAAAAAAAAATTCAAACTGTCTACCCAATTCAATTGCATCGACTGATTTTCTTCCCAATCAATCAGTCGGAGGTACCAAAGATACAAAAAGATAGCGAAAAGTTCGCCCTTACTAATCGATATTGCATCTGGATCTCTGGTCTGCAGCGGTCCTGATTAATTGACCTTTTCCTCCTTTCCTTGCCTAGCCTGACCAGGTCGGATGTTCTATCCTATTCCATGCTCCGTAGACGCATGCCCGACGTCCGAAGATTCAGATTCAGAGCGATGATTTCAGGACGGTCTACCCCTGCTCAAGACCCAAGACCTTACCCCGTGTTGGCAGCCCACCTTGTCCGTCCCATTTGCTGCTGAACAAGCCTTGATCTGCAATATGACGGATCCTAGAGAAAGAGACAGGGCGGACAACGTGGATCAGACGAAAGGACCAGACAGCCAAACAGGGCTACGCATAAATGGACAGATCCAGTCGCCGAGGAATATTGTTTTGTTGGAGATTCCTCGTCTTGCTCCCCTCTTTCTCCACGCCTTAATACCCAATCATGGTTGTTGGGAAAAGGTGAGGCTAATGCATCGCCCGACAGAGGCAGATGCCCACTTAGAGCTCGAGCCGTCTCCCTTCTCCGAGCAGGAAATGGCTGCCTGGTGCCCATTGAGATCACACAAACCAGGAAATCCATTCTCACTCACCACTGCCTGGTGCAAGCGTTTATCCAAGAAACACAAACCCCCTCTCTCACGTGACAATCCCGGAATGGATGAAATTTGGTCCGCTACTTGGCCCCCGTCTTTGTCGTATCTGCTGATTGGGAATACGCCGACGACTTTATTGAAGAGGACACAATTCGATATCTTCTCCTGACTGCAGCCTAGAGCATATCGAGGTGAGTCTGCATTAGGATTGAACATAAAGGTGGGCCTTCGAAGCAGTTTCCTACGCCATTCCTCGCTACACCTCATCATTCGTACTCCAATACTCAACCCCAACAAAGAAAGAAAAAAGGGGAAAAAAAAAAAAAAAAACCAGATCGGTCTGAAAGAAGGCAAGATGTCCGACGTTTCCAGCCCTATCAGTCCTACCAAGCCGAAGTCACAGACCTATGAAGGGGGATGTCATTGTGGAAAAGTCAAGTAAGGAGCATCGATTCAAGCAGTCACGGGCGAGCCATCATACTAATATCAATTAGATTCACCGTGAAGCTGTCTCCTCCCGTCGAAGATGGACCAGTGACTAGCTGCAATTGTATGTCGAACCAGATTGATCCTTTCCAACAACTGTAGCCCTCCTTCATGCTGACTCTTTGCTGCACAGGCTCGATTTGCCACATCAATGGATACTTGATGGTCTACCCTCTTGAATCTAACATCACCTGGATCAGCGGCTTCAACGACCTAACTACATATACGTTTGGCAAGGAAAGAATTGCCCACTCCTTCTGCTCAATTTGTGGAACTAGCATTGGCGGGAAGAGCACAGATCCCAACTTTTTTGCGGATAATCGGGCTGTGAATGTAAGTGTTCAACCGTATTTCCATTTATTCTCAAGTCAATTAGCACAAGCCAATTTTCCAGCCAATATCCTGCGACTTTTTCAATCTTCGGCGTTTTCACTGAACACCCGAATCTCATCATGAGATTCCGGAAAGTGTAGTGGCATGATATTTATTCCGAGTTCAGCCAAATTCTCCGTTCCTTTCGTTCTTGTGCCTCCCTACCATGTACAGAATCATGAGACACCTTTCCCATTGATATGATATTCAAAACCGTCTCTGAAAGGGAAAGGTTGATCAGAACTGGCAGACTAACAACCCAACCTAGGTGCGCACGCTCAAAGGGATCGATATCGACGACTTGAAATTGAGGAAAGTAAACGGTCGTTCTGGATAGAACAATTTCTCATCCAAACCTCTCTCTACTCCCTTGTACTCTTATGCAGTGTCCCCGAAACTGGAACAAGATAATTTCGTGTCTTTTGAAGAACTCACCTGAGGAGAACGCGCTCGGTCGAAGGCTGCTTATGCTAGAGACACACAAGTTACCAAACTAGCCAAAGATTGAAAAGGAAGAAAGGGAGGGAAGAAAAGCAAAGCACGAAAACAGCTGTCCTTCTCATTCCGTTCCATTTTAGCTCGCTTTCTTCAGGTCGTGGATCCATACTGACACCCTCTCGCCGCCGTATAGAAAAGTCAATGGCCGCATCATTGGCACACCTTCGCGTGAGGAACTGTCCAAGCCCGGCGTTTACCTGAACCACCTTTGAGATACAGGGTTGTCTCCTGGGACGGTTGAGTGGGTGAGAAGTCGGCAAGACAAACAAGTGCAACAAAACAGAAAATGGAAAGAAACAAAATAGCTGTGAGGCTGAAATTCAGTTTTCCAATGGGCAAATTGTATTATCATACTTTGCACTGGACCGCAACACCTAACATACATCACACCTGTCTCCTCCCACGACGAAACTATGCCGTGCATTCTGAACACACGCTATATTTCCTAACGACATTTGAATTTTGTCTATTTCTAAGCAGGTTCCTCTTTCCACTAGCAATAAAATCAATCGTTCCGTCGCCAAAACCTAGCGTCCGCACGAATATAACGCCTCGAGCGCCGCTTGGAAATGCGAAATGTGCGGCTTCCTGCGCAATGGAACATGTCAATGAGAGCGATAAAACTGTACGGCTTGCATATGTCGAGAAATGAGAAGAGCGAGTCGAAGGTATAAACTGGCGTGGAAGTTCTGCATTTCTCCCGTTCCCAAAATACACCGCTTACAACGACGTGGGCATCATATACATGACAGTCCCAATCGCGGTGAATCCAACACCAATCCACCACCAACGATCGGCATTATAAGGTTCTTTAGGTGTGATGATAGCGTTCTTGTTCGTGGGTTCCAGCCTTTCCTGGGCCTCATCACCGTCTCCTCCATCCATTCTCTTTACGCGACTCTTACCAGTGGCGCTGGGTGCGCTCGTCGGATTCAACGTCTGTGTGGGCAGCATCTGCGGCGGTGAGGCAGCCAGGTACATGGGCTGTATGGGGGAGCCGTCGAATTTGAACAGATTGAGACGAGGTACGTTGTGGAAAGGGTCCGTGTACACCGAGTACGATTTCATCAGCTCTGGTTGTTCGTAGCGGATATACACTGATTCGTCGTAGGAGCAGGGCGCAGAAGTCAATTGGCGGCCGTCCACGCCGAAGGGTTGTAGGACTAGACTGCCATTTCCTGGTAGGGAGTAGGTGCCGTGCTGCCACTGCATGATAGAGGAGGGGCAGTGTGGTGTTGTTGCTGCGAGGGAGCGTCAGAGATGATATTTATCGAAACGTCAGTGGTCCATCGTGTTTGGATCCAGTAGATGAAGGATGTGAGAAGAGTAACGTACGATTTGGAATGGCTCGATAGTAAGCCTCTTCATAGTAGCCGTCGCTGGTGAAGGAGTAGGAAATCCCAGCAAGTTCGGGCTCGATTAGTCTATCGGCGACAGGGTCGTAGAAGCCCTGATACACGCATCCATCAATTAACAAAGTGGCCTTTTTTTTAAAAAAAAAAAAAAAAAAAAATAGGGTAGAGAAATTGGCGGTCTGCAACTCACTGGGCCTGTCAGGACTTTCTTCGACTTGGTTGTCCATGTTCCTACGAGCGCAGGATCGTACTGCGCTCTTACGAGGGCGGCCAGGCCGAGAGAAACGGTCAAAAAGTTGTGTATCGAGGTGACCATTGTTGCATGACTATGTTGCAAGGTGTGAGAGATGACAAGAGGGAAGGGGAAAGAAAAGAATCAGTTGGGTAAGTTGGTGGTTGTGTGAATCCGGCTGATGCGCTGGGTGTTTCTCACCCTGAGCCTTGCTTGGGGTTGACGCGCGGAGGCTGTGAGGCTCATTGTCATTGACAGGAACTTGACTGGGGGCTCAGGCTCACCAAGAAATTCTCGACTCCGCCACTGAGATCACGATTCTCTTTCATTCGTCCCTGAAGATCCCACCTCTCACCTCACCCGTTGCAAAAATAGTTGCTGAACACCCTTGTCCCGGTGAGATCGTCTTTCATCTACACGAGGTCCCAAGACCCCGTATATCAGCATATTCGGCCTCCATTTCGCTCTATTCAAGTATGTCATAAGCCTACGAACAGTCTGCAAGTTCACAGTGTGACGATGCAACGAATCTGGGGACGGTACTCCATGAAGGCGAGGTCCATCACAAATCCTTTACGAGCACCGTCCACGATGGCTCTCGGCGAACGAAAAGCGTCAGTCCGAAGGAAAGTTCGAGAGGAGCTTCAGAAAATCGACTCACAGGAGATTGAAAGACAATGTAGGAAATCCCCGCAAGCAAGCATTGTAACAAGCTGATGGTGAAAGCGGCCATCATCACAAAGCACGTGCTACAATTGCCCTCGTATCAGAATGCAAAATCTATTGCCATATTCTTATCCATGCCAGGAAGGGAAGTCTCCACTCGTGATATTGTTTTGCAAGCTTTCGATGATGGCAAATCTGTTTTCGTTCCATACCTCCATCCAGGAGAAGCCCCCGAGTCCACGGTCATGGATATGTTGCAACTGCGAGACATGGAAGATTTTCACTCGCTAAGGCCTGATTCCTGGGGTATTCCTTCGCTTTCAAAGACTTCTGTGAACAAAAGAAGAAATGCGCTTGGTGGAATTGGTGTTTCGAATGAACCGCTGGACGGCCATCAGTGCTTTCCAATTCTTGACCTCATATTCATGCCAGCAGTAGCTTTTGACCAATCTCTTGGGCGACTCGGGCACGGCAAGGGATTCTATGACCGCTATCTCAAGACATATAAGGATGCTCTTGAGTCCAGCAAACCTGGACAAAAAATGCCACACCTGAGTAAGCGTCTCGATCTTCTCCTCCCCCACCCCCAAAAACCCTCCTGCCAACTGATCATTCTTTCATAGTTGGAATTGCCCTCCAGCAGCAGATGCTCCCACCAGGAGAGAATATTCCTGTAAATGAGGACGACTGGAAAGTGGATCAGGTAGTGGTAGCCGGGGTTTGAATGTGGCTCTACCAGGCCATTTTTCTGTTTACGAATGGCAATTGATGCATCGAAGGCATTTTCTGTTCAATCAACGATGGAAACGGTTCTGCTAGAGATCGTGGGGGCATATGCGTTTCTCGGTTTCGTCAATCCAGAGACTGTATTAATGACACATTGTCTCCCTTCAGTAGAATTTGTCCTGAGCGACATCAGTAAGAGTGTCGCCCTTCACAGTGGATCTTGACTCTTACCAAGCTGCCTTCTCTTGCCTGGAGCATCTCGTGTGGCCATTTGTACCTCAACCGCATCGTCAATAACAAGATTCATGAATTCGTCGAAACCCTGTTTCAACGATTAGCAGATATTCTCGAGAACTGAAGAGAGCTGCGGACCCGGATTCTGCCCTCGATGCGCGTGCGCAGGTTCTCATAGAGCCATATTGACACCGTCGAACGCTTCTGCAGCAGGCTGAATATGAAATGGATTGGTGCAAGAAGAGTTTTGCGTCCAGCACCACCACCTCGACCAGTCATGGTGGGCGTGATTTGAATCTCGACTCCTGTGCGATATGTTTCCTTGAAGACGGGGAAAGGACCAAAAGAAGCAGGGTGTCGTGATCCCCTGAAGCAAGCAATTATCTCCTCTCAAACCCGAATAATTGCGGTGTGCAATGGAGAAAAGAATGTTAAACTAGGGAATATCGATTCGCAAAAGCCCGAAATGCGGAGGGAAGTCTAGTGGGCCGCTGCCGAACAGGCAGAGTACTTAGCAAACTAGGGATCTTTCCTCCGGCGGTCATTCACAAACTACTTCATACCCACAAACACCCACTTTTCATCGTCTACAACCTCAATAACAATCGCTCTCTACCGTTTATCACAACCCTCGAATGACCACAACCACGGCGCTATCCTGATCATCAGGCGGGAAAGCCGATCATTTGCCCCGCGTCTCGTACCACTTTCTTCACCATGGCCGATAAAGCAGACACCACGACTGGTTTCACGCCGGTTCTTGCGGCGTTGGCGACTATGCAGAGCAATGTTGCTGGGAAAGAAAAGTCAGATGCACATGAATTCCTGGAGAAATTTCAGAAATCGGTTCGTTCAAACCCGAGAATGCTCAGTCACCAACACTCAGTCGCTCATTTGGCAATAGTCTGAGGCTTGGAATACCACGCATGAGATGTTACGGGACTCTTCAGCTCCGGTCGAGGCAAAATTATTCGCAGCGACTACACTGAAGGGAAAGGTTCGCCACCAACGCCATGGCGGAAAAACAGCAGATATTAATCTTCGCAGATTACCTATGATCTCCACCAACTCCCTCCCAGTGCCCTCACGCCCCTTCGAGATTCACTTCTATCTCTGCTTCAACTCTATATATCCGGCCCGCGACCAATCCGAACACAATTATGTGTATGCCTTGCGAGTTTGGCAATTCAGTTGACATCATGGAAAGACGTCTTGAGCACAGTGGGATCGGCAGTGGGTACCAGTCAGGATGGCGGAGATGGTCTACTCGACTTCCTGCGAATCCTACCGGAAGAGGTCACAGAAGGCCGCAAGATCAACCTTTCAGTATGTTCGACCGCGCAGCATTTGATGTTCGGCTTTTCAGCAACACCAACTTGGCCACCGATCACAATCTAATACAGCATTTTCAATCTAGGAAGAGGAACTTGCCGACAGGACCAAGGAACTCCTTGAGGATAACTCCACTCAGGTTTTAAATCTTTTGGTCTCGTACGCGAGGTCGTCATGTGAGCAAACGTCTTCATATTGTTGTTGCCCCAGGACTAACCCTGATTATTTAGCTCAAGCGGCCCACAACCCTCGGTTATATTCATGCATAGCATCATGGCTTCGAGAAATCCCAACCCTCGACGTTGTGAACTCGCCATTGCTCGACGACATCATTGAAGCTCTTGACGACAATGATTCTTTTGAATCTGCAGTGGATTGCCTTTGCACCATGTTTAGAGACACTCGAGATGTCGATGAATCGCTCAGCGTGATTCGGATCCTCTACCCCAGAATTGTCAATCTGAGGCCCATGATTCAACAGGGAGCTGATATGGAAGATCCAGATCTCATGAAAGGCATCACCAGACTCTTTTCAGAAGCTGGAGAGGCTTGGGTGGTTCTGATTGCGCGTATGCCCGCGGAATTTCGAGAGCTTGTTGAATGCGTCCTGGAATGTTGTGTGCGCGATCGAGACCGAGAAGCGATTTCGGTCACCTTTGTCTTCTGGTACGAACTCAAGCAGTCTCTGACCCTTGAGAAATACATGCCTGCTCGAGCCGCTCTTGCGGACTTGTATTCGAAACTGGTCGATGTCATGATCAAACACCTTGAGTTTCCCACTCCGGAAGATGGCAATGAAAAAGATCTGTTCGATGGCGACCGAGAACAAGAGGACAAATTCCGCAGCTTCCGACACAACATGGGCGACGTTTTGAAGGACTGCTGTGATGTTATTGGTGTCACTCCATGCCTCAGCAAAGCTTTTGCTCTGATACAAAGCTGGGGCCAGAAATATGCTTCCCAAGTATCAGGCACCAGCGTGCCTCATTGGCAAGAACTGGAAGCACCTCTTTTTAGCTTGAGGGCGATGGGACGCATGGTTAGCCCGGAAGAAACCTCGGTCCTTCCCCAAGTTATCCCACTCCTTACCACTGTTCCCGACCATGAAAAGTTGAAGTTTCAGGCCATTATGGCACTGGCCCGTTACACGGAATGGACGGCCCAGCACCCTGAAACGCTTGAAGCACAGCTCAACTACGTCATATCCGGATTCAGCCATAGCTCTCAAGAAGTCGTGCAAGCAGCAGCTTTAGCTTTCAGATTTTTGGGCACGGATTGCCAGAAGCTGCTTGGTGACCATATTCCACAGCTTCATCAGTTCTACGAAAGTGTCATTGACAAGCTTAAACCTTCCAGTCAAGAAGAGGTCACTGAAGGAGTTGCGGCAGTTGTGGCTGTTCAACCTGTCCCACAGACGTATGAAACCTTGAAAATGTTCTGTGACCCTGTCATGAACAGAGTGGTTTCATTTGCCTCGCATGCAAAGGATGAGAATGCTGAAAAGACCGTTGCTGATTATCTCGGACTGGTAACGATCTTTTTTGACTGGGTGCAACCTTACGTCTCTCCCTCCGAAGAAAATCCCGCTGTCAAATATTGTCAAGAAATACTGCCCGCCCTCTCTGGGATTGCCAAACACTTTACTCGATCGATACCGATATTAGAGAGAGTTTGCAAGTGCTGGCGCGTCATGGTTATTTCTTACCGGACTGCCATTGCTCCTCTTCTGGGAACTCTCGCGACGAGCATTGCCGAGGGGTTCGAGGCGTCACGACAGGGATGTTTTCTGTGGGCCACCGATGCAGTGATTCGAGAATTCTCATACGGTGCGGAATTCGTCGATGTAACGACCAGCGACAATGTTTTCCGATTCTTTGCTCAACAGGCCACTGTGTTCTTCAAAATTTTGACGGAAATACAACCGGTCGAGCTTCCTGACGTGATTGAGGATTTTTTCCGCCTCGCGTCAGATGCTGTCCGATTCTATCCCAACAAAACCATCACTTCGAATCTCGCCCTCCCCATGGTTCAAGCGTCCTTGACGGCTCTTACATTACAATCATTAGACCCAATTCAAGCAGCGTTGCACTTCCTGAGAGATTTTCTCGATTTTGGCTTTGAAAAGCCACCGATCTCGAATTTCAACGGGCCAAATGGTGAACCTGCTTCTGGAAGTCCGCCAGAAGTTCAAGCCGCCGTCAAGCAAGTCCTGACATCCACGGGGCAACAGCTGGTACATCGGGTTTTGACAGGAATGATGTTCAGCTTCCCCGAGGATTGTTTCCCAGATGCCTCGGGTGTTTTACTTTCTTTGTTCAATTTGGTACCCCAGGCCGCAGCTGAATGGGTTCAAGGAACGCTTCAGCTTCTCCCGGCCGGCACCATGAAACCAGCCGAGGCCAATAAGTTGATGAAAAATATCAGTGACAAATTACAACAAAATGAGCCACGTAAGGTGCGTGTCTTGCTCCAAGACTTCACCAATTCGTATCGAAGGAGAAACGTCGCCCCGCGCGAAGGATTAGGAAGACTGGAGGCGACCAGATTTAGATTCAGCGGCTGAAAATTGGCGGACTGACCCGCTCTTCTCTGCAAATTGGGACGTCTGTACATCATCGTATCGCTGTTTTCCTCACCGGAAATTCCTATTTCTGCACGTGCGAATATCGTCGCACCAGCAATCACCAAGCATCATCTCTGACATCCCTCCTTTTCTAGACGACTTCATTGAAATGGGATGCTGTGTTACGTTGCCGCGATTTGATGGATACCCAGATATTTTTGCTTTTGCTGCCTTCCAGGCCTCATCGATACAGTGCCAATAGAAACCACCAATGCAACAAATCCAGAATCGATCAATACATTTTGGACACCTTCCAGACTTGGAAAGCTTGAGATCGAGCTATTCACTGGTGAGAAGGCAGGGAGATTCCCCTGCTGGAGCAAGGCTGTGCAGAAAGGGGCAGTGTGTGGAATACTGTATCATCAGAAAGATGCCAGCTTGAATTTGCTTTCATCAGGTGCCATTAGGTTGCTTAGGGCCATGTGAAGCCGGGATCATGTCTTAAACGTGGAATGGCAAATCAGTGCCGGAATATCACTCTCTAGCCAGTAGCCCTGTGGCTGTGGTTAGGTAGAACACTTAGTATGAAGGAGGAGATCCCCACAATCTGATCCGTTTCTATCACATCTTTTGATTCGTACATGAACACACTCGTTGTTAACTTATGTTATCTCACAAATTGCAGTTCGATCGCAATGTCGGGTGGAATTTGATTTATTAACTTGTCTTTTAGGGGTAGTGAGGATATGCAGATAAAAAATGGATGCTGGCAGGTCGATGGCCCTTTTCGGGGCTTTGTATCTTTGTTTTGTGATTGTGTGCGCGCATGTACATTTGATCGTAACGATATCGGACAATCCAATCCTACCCCACCAATTCCCGGAGATCCTATCCAATCCAACAGAAGAAATCAACTCGACCCATTCAACCAGAATCAAATCGAACGTGGTAACGTCCAACGTGGCTGATTTCGAATTGCCATGCTGTTCAATGGATGGGCCGACATTCAAATCGGCATCTTTCAGTCCAGCCGGGCACAAAATGTAGAGGAGTCGCCCACTTTGACGTCGGTCTCGCTATGACTCGCGCTTCCGACATATCCCAATGACGACCGAGATATCATCGAGCTTTCCACCTTCTGCGGCAATACCTTCGTCGAACGCGCGCTCCATGTACGGAGACTCGGCGTTGGGGTCTTGAGCGATCTCTCGCGCGGCATTCATGAGTGTGCGGGCAACATAGACGACGCCGTCACGAGCTTCCTCTTCGCCCTGCAGCCACTTGTCGACGCTATGGCTGATGTTCTCGCAGATCTCGTGCTCCCACAAGTTATCTGTCACGCCGTCGCTGAGCACGGCAACCACGTCGCCGACTTCGATCTCCACGATATCCGTGACGGCGTTGGACACGGGGGTATCTGGAGAGTTGGTCCCGAGTTGACGTGGGCAGTCGAACCAGTGCCATTGTTCTTTCGAGCGGTAGAGGACTTCGTTTGACAATGGTCGCACTAAAAGAACTTTGCAGTCACCGAGCGTCGTGGCCAGGACTACGGGCGTTGGAGAGGAAGAGGGGGTCCGTTTGTAATGCAGCAAGGCGGAAGAAGCGGTTGTCGTTCCTAGGATATCATTCGCATCTGGTTTCTTGTCATCTGCGTCCGACGATGAGCAGTCCTGGGCAGTGGGCTCTGCGTTCTCTTGAGCCTCGGAATCGGATTTGAAACTCCCCTTCGTAGCGGCCTTCGTCTGGTCATAGGCGTCCTGTAGATTCCGAATCGGGTTCAAATCTGCCAGTTCCACCTCTTTGCCGCCCCGGAACGACTTTTCCACTTCAAGGGCCCAAAAGTGTGCGATCAGTCTAGACCACAGTGCAGCGTGTCCGCGTTCTTTCTGCGCCCACGCTCCAACTCCGTCGTTTACCGCGACGAAGTTTTGATCTCCGATGATGATGGCATCGTCGCCGTTCGTGATACCGAGAATGGGCTGGCCGTTGATAGATGGTCGACGGCCGCGGACGGGGTTGTGTGTCGTTAGTGGGTCGGAAAAGGAGCCTGAAGGTAAGGAGACAAAAGGTGGTGGGAAGGGTCGAGACGGTCGTTTGGCAAATATGGAGTAGCCGGTTTCAAGGTAGAATGGCGAGGATGGACTCGGCGAAAGGTATTCGGAGGACTCGTCGTCCGAGGGAGCAGTGGTGCGACCTTCTGAGATGAGGTATCGACGATGATGGAGGGTGGAAGTAGTGAATGTGCCGAAGGGGAAATGTCGACGTTGAGGTGGAGGAGATCGTTGTGTGAGAGGTACTGATACACATAAAGGTGGTGGTCGACAGAAACAGACCCCAGAGGCACGGATGATGCGGTGGTCAAGGTCCTTGTGTGCTACAGCATACCGGGAGCATCGGGCCACTTGAGCGAGCATGGAAAGGACCAGAGCGCTCTCATAATGAGATGCGCCTTGCCTGGTGGAATGTGTAGGGAAATGATGCTAGGAAAAGTGCGAAATGTTGAGGAGACATACGTCTTGCCGACCTGATAGTGCGATGGTCTTATCTCCGCGTTTCTCCACCATTCGTTTAGGCTTTGGGGCGTCGAACAAAAACGCCCGTTGTACACAGAATATCTACCTCAGTTATTCTTCCTCCGCCGCCAACTCGAATGACCTCGGGGATTCCGAATCAACTCATTCCAAATCTCCAGATCGGGGGCCGACGGGCCATATTTGAGCAGGGCAGCCTCCACCGACAGTTTCGCATACTTCATCGCTCCCCGGGCACTTCCCACTGCATTGTACGTCAAAGCCGCATGTCCATAGGCGACGTCGAGAAAAGCGTCCAAGCCTTCTTCTTTGTATAGCCGGACCAGCATCTCCGCTTTCTTAACACTAGCTGTGGAATTAGACTCCCAGTTCCCCAGGCTCCATTGAAGCGCGTGGATATCGTTGACCGCCCGATCCGACAGTTCGCCATTCTGACATCGTGGGCAGGTGCAAGTGAAATGGAATGAGTCTTTGAGATATTGCCGGCGAGCGGCATGAAATTGAAGCGGTGGCGAGTAAGAAATGGTAATCTCCTCGTCCTCGAAAATATCCCTCGCCGCATGAACATAATGAGTCAAAAGGCTAGGCTCGAGATAATACTGTGCACTAACAGGGGGGTCAGTCACGATCATGGTTAACCGGTCAAAAGCACATACTTTGGTCCACAGGCATGATTCATTCGTGATGTCTCAGGAAAGACTGCCAGATGCATTTGACCGCCAACCTGCATTTCAAAGGCATTCGCTTTCACCACGTCCTGCACGATCACACTCGGCTCGCCATAAATCGTTGCAAGGCTGAAATATTGCTCTCGGCTTGTGGCTGGGAGTTGGTCGACGGCCAGCCGCAGATATTTTTCTCGCTCTGGTGTTGAAAGGACATTTTCCATATGCGCAAGTAGATAAGGTGTGTATGCTGCGATGAGATCTCCACGCTTCATCTGGTGCTTTGCGAGGACACCGAGACCTTTCCCTGGAAGCTCCCTTGTGTACCACGGGCGATCGGGAGAATTTATTCCATGATCCGAGAGGACTGATGGGTCTTGGAATGGAAGAAGTGCCGCAAACTCCTCTGCTATTTGGGGCGTGGTGAAAATAGAGACTCCTCTTCCGTTGCTGAACGTTGCGTTCGTATATACACATAATTGGTTGTCGAGACCTTCTAAGAACTCCGTGCACACCGGTTCATATGACCATGGGTGGAACTCCGTCGTGACGCTTCCATCTGCACTGGAAGAATTGCTCTGAATTTCAGATAGAAGTCGTCCTTGTTCGCTCTCATAGATAAAAGCCCCGTCGGTGGTATTTTCCGGGGCATTGACCCGAGTTTCATCCTGATGCGTTTGAGACGTGGCGCTCGTAGGTGCCGAATTCGAGCACGACGCAGCGCAAAAGAAGATAAAGGAAAGGATAATTATCGAGAGCTGCTCATTCCTCATCTTGTCACCTGCTCCCAACGCATAAACCAGGGACAAAGAACAAATAAAAAGGGGGGAGACGGAAGGAAATTGAGATGGTTACTGGTACAATACTTTGCCAAAAGCACATCTTGAAACACCTTGTGGTGATGCGTTGTTTCAGATTCCTCCTTCTCCCTGACTGAGTTTCAATGATCAAAATAGGCGTGTGGGATTCACATGACGCCAGGAAATAAGATGTGACTTTCATCTGGACCTGTGGACTTTGATTTCGGGAGACGAACATGCACGAACGAGCAGGCCTAAAATGAGAGTTATCGTCTGGCAGCAACTGGCGCCGCAAAATTTAAAATGTGATCTTCGTCAGATAGGGCTGTGTTAAGTCCGATTTGGACCATCACCTGGGTACGTTTTTCTGCTATCTATGTTGTACAGGGGAATGGTTATGGCACAGAGGCTCGTGGTCCATATCCTAGCACACAATGCAACTCTACGAGAGATTATTTCAGCCGGACTCGAGGCGCGGGCACATCTGTTGTCGAAAGATGCCTCGGGCTGTCAAGACGCTATGATTCTCTCTCCAACGATAGAGACGTTCCTCGCGCGAAACTGTACCGCCGCTCACCCGGGTTGTGTACGGAGTCCCGAGAAGAGGTCTCGTTGCTGATTAGGGCCCATTATCCCATGGGTGTGAGTCAAGCCGCAGGCTTTCCAGGTCGGATCCGTCGAGAGAGTGACCGCCGCAACCAACTTTTCGTCCATTCAATTGTCGACAAGACCCTAAGTCCCTCTCTAGTTGATGAAATTGACACAAAACCCGTGCAGGATCAGACTCCCAAAGATAAAATCCGCAAACGCTCTCTCCGTACTGATCTTTCCATCTTCGACCAGCTCTTCACTGACACCATCGATCGGTTTGCCAGTGGGTTTCTTCGCAGCTGAGGATGCACCCAGGGGTGGTCGTTCCGAGGTCTGCATGCGTAGTGAGGCTGTGAGAACGAATTGGCCGACTGCGGCGCAGAAGCCAGACAAGAAGGCATTGAACGGCTGTCATTCATGTTAGAAGATTCATCATTCGTTGATGTCGTTGACAGAAAGAGGAAAACGTACATAGGTTCCTGCCAATACGCAATAGAGAAATTGTATCACACCAATGACCACAAGGAAGGCCATGAAGACGTCCAGCAGCATTGTCCGCGATGGAGTATCCTGAAGGTATTTATTCCATACATGGACGATGATTTCTTGCGGCGAGGAGCGAGGTGATAATGAACTCTGCGTTTGAGGTTTTCCGGCAGTGGCGGGAGGAGAGGAGACGGGGCCCGCGGGAGTTCGTCCTGCTGGTGATGGTTTGGCTCCTGAAGTCTTTGTGGCGGCCGAGTGAGACGCGGGTTTTTTGGCCATGGCGGAGGGAAGACTGCAAGATGGAGTGGTCAAGAAGGATCTGTATGGGAGGAGCCTTTTTGCTGGTTTGACTCAATGCATTGGAATCTCACAAATTCAACGGATGAAGCGACGTTGTTGTCAACTTAGCGTCAACGAGAGAAATGCCCCCCCGTTGCCTCACCTTAGTCAGACCAGAAGGGTCTGAGATGCTGAGTCTGGCACGGTTCGGACTCAATGTCAACCACAGATAGCTACTCCTGTACTTGAGTTCATATCCTTTGTCATCCTACGTTTTACTCACATATAGCTGTGTGCTCCGTAGTAGATAGAACTAATTTCGACGATGACTAACTCAGGGGAAAGTAATTTTGGGCGAAGGAAGGAGAGAACGAGAGTATAGCAAGTTCAGGGAACACAAAAAGGCACCGGGATGTTGCCATCTAGGTATTTATATATTCAAGCGCCCGAACCTTCATCTGATTCCGTCTCTTTACAATGTCTAATTTGCTCTTCGCAGCATCTTCACGTGCTTCAATCTCTTACAAAGCTTGAGGCAAACACAATGTATTGACTATCAGGGGTTTTAATTAGCATTTCAATCTTGACCACAATCTCCTTTGCTCAGGTCGGTGCGCATTTGCAAGTTGCTGGGGCCACGGGCGTTCCAAAAGGGGAAGCTGATGGCTTCCAAATGATGCCAAAGGTGGGAAGATGTTTCAACCACAGTCCATACCGACGATCTGTGGGGGGTTCGAAGACTCCTTAGAGCTATCTGTTCCGTGGACTCTCCCATCAACTGCAACAGCGATTCATACGTGGACAGCCTTGGTAGCAGAATCATCACTAGTGCGTTTGTCCCCCACAAAAAACTGGCATTGACTTTCTCATTGGCACCTGTGAGGATGCCTCGAGATGTGTGCAGATCGCCTTTGAGGTGGGCCTTCAAGCTCAGATCAGTGATGGCGGTGGTGACGACACTGCTCCCTCAGGGATTGTTGATAGTGACCCTTTAACGAAGCGAGCAGCTTCGGGGCTGAATGAAGAAGGGAACATGGGAAAGAACAATGACCAGAGCCTATTGCTGTTGTCTCGACTTGTTGAGGCACGTTGTTGGTAATAGCAGGGTCTAGCTCTGCAGCAATCTTATGACCACGGTAGTAGTCCTGAACGACCTCCTTGGTCTCGCCTTTGGTGGCTGTGGAACCTCGCTGCGGGCCTACGGAGCGGTCCTTTGATGACTTCCCGGCCTTGAGGATTCAGTCGTGCCTGACGTGGCGGCAATAGAGGAAGGGTAGCAGGGAGACAGCGTAGAGAGGGACAACACCTCCAGCAACACCGAAGATTGTACCAACAATAGGAGCGGTACCCCAATCATCAAGGCTGAGAGGCGGCTGAAATAAAAAAGTTAGTAAAGTGAGGATCAATTCTGTTTGATGGTGGTACACAGACACCTCTTTTCCAGACGATAATCGAGAGCGCTTGAGGATACTATATTTGGTGATCGTGAAAATGATGACGGCAAATCCACCCGCAATACCAGGAGTGTTGAGCCATGCGGCAAAGACCTGACTCACATCCTCCCAGGACTAGTCAACACCATTTCCACCAATGGCAGCAATGCTAACCCTAATAATACCTCCAACGATGGAGTGGATTGTAGAGACAAGAAGACCAATGTATGATGGAACGAGTAAGAGATATCCACCATGGCTTCAGGCAGCGATTGAGCAGCACATAAATTTGTGGAAATAGTCAACCAGATCGAGCTGCCCACCAAAAGTACAAGCCATTCCCTCGAAGTCATCAACCGAAACGATACCGTTCTTGATGGTGTTAGAGACATGGGCATCAATGAACACAGCACCACCAATTTCATAGACCATGACCCTTGCCATGGCCCGCCTTATGGTCAAGGAACGGGAAAACATCAAAGTAACGAAAGAGTTGGCAACATCGTTGGCACCAATGTTCCAAGCATTGAGAGCGCAAAGATCGTGCCAAAGGCAAAGATGCAGTCAAACGGTGGAAAGACGGCCACAGTGAGCGGCTGAGGATCAAATCAGGCTGGACCCTAATAAAAGGCTGTTTCTTGGAAAAGAATGTCTCGGCAGACAGATGTATTGAGGGAAGAGACCTTTGGACATCCAACCATGGATGAGGATCTATTTGTGGTCGTCATCCCGATCAGTTTTTTTTTTTTTTTTTTAATTCATCTTTCTATGACAAGCGCGATGGGTAGATCGATAATTCTAGGCTTGGTCAAGACAAATTGAGCGAGTATAGAATCAATGTGGCCAAGATATCATGATATGGGCGCTTTGAGAGTGTACATAGTGGAAAGCGGAGCCGTACAAGAATGACAAGGCTGAGCATACCCCTTAGCAGGAAGCGAGTAGCAGAGGGAGTTCCTAGGCCAGATGGGGAACCAAGACCCTTCGGTGCTCATATCTGATTCGCACATAGTCAATCTTGTGGTTGTCGTTTGTTCTTAAAAAGCTTGCGGGCGAGATCCGCCTAGAGAAATTCATTTGCGATCTTTGGCACGGCGGTACTGAAGGGCTCGAACAGTGTTGTATTCCGCTGCCAAGGGATCCTCGAACACCTGATGTCTCATATCTGATGGCTTTGCAAACTATCGTAAAGGAAGATGTCAGGAGCTGGCACGGCGAGCCCCGTCTCGTCGAAAGCTCGGGTTCGTGGAAGCGCAAAAGAAAAAGGTCGATGGTGCAACCGTCGAAGAAAAAAAGGAAAAAACACAACGATGGATGTGCCTAGGGAGTTTGTTGTGGACTGACTTGAACAAGAATTCTAAATGAAAGAGTGAGCAGAGAATACATTGACAGCATTCCCTTAGTCGACTGCGTTTAAATTGCCTACCTGATCAATCTCAGTCTCTGAGGCAAATTGAAAATTCCATATGACTGAGAGGTCCGAAGAGAAAAATGATGAATAGAGAGATTTCGAAGAGTAGGACTCGTTTAAAAGCGGCATGATCTACTGTATTTGCAGTTTTACTCTGACGGGGCTCGGTTGCAGCCTCGCATATTAAATGACGGCGGCGGGCATCGAAGTGGTTTGATAATATCCGACCCCAATCAAGACAAGTAGCTACACTCTTTCAATCTTCTCTTTCCTTCAATTATTCTGAGCCTCGACCTTTGAGCACACGTGCTCAAAAACCAATCTGTAGCAATGGTCAGAAGAATCCCTCACCTTGCACTCCAACCCGCAATCATACCATTTCACTAAGCATCTCTTGTTTGCTGTTTAGGCCGACCCTACACCCGCCTACATCCTCTGTACCCTGACTTCCGTCGGCGGCGTAACAGGCTACGTGCGCACGGGATCCATCCCCAGTATTGTTGCTGGTTTAACCGTTGGATTACTTGTACGTCCTATCCCAGCATGCCACCTCCTCTCACATCCCCTCTCGTCTCATGCCGGGTTTTAGTATGGGTTGGGAGGTTACCGCATCTCGAAACGCCAACCTTACGGCGTCGAACTCGCACTGCTCGCTTCGGTGGTACTTGCCGGAAGTTCTCTGCCGCGCGCCATTAAGACGGGGAAACCGCTGCCTGCGGGGTTGAGTGTGCTGGCGGCAACGGGGCTGTTTGTTTATGGACGGGCATACTTGGCGAAATAAAAAGTTACACATAAAGCCACTTGAATTGGGAGGTGGGGAATGGGGTGCAAGAAGAAGGAAATGAGAGACGAGGAACAAGACAATGTAAAAAAAATTAAAGGAGATATGGTAGTGTCAGGAAGACAATTGAATCCCAATTCCGCGCTTGTAACTGGATTGCTTTGCTGGGATTCGGGACTAGTGATATGATGCGCTGCGTTGCTTTGGAGAATCACATTCCCAACGTTGGATGGAAATGTAAGACTGCTAATCTGTCACAAGCTTCTCTATGCTTCAGAGGCTCCAGCTGGCGCTCCAGCTTCGGACTTCTGTTCACCACCAGGTCCTCCTCCATCATCGTCTCCTGCAGACTTCTTTACCCCTCGTTTCCTCCTCGTCTTCTTTCGCCGTGACTCTTGATCTTGCTCTTGCCCTGATCCCCTGCTATCACCATTCCGTTGTTGACCCCGACCTTGAGCCTTGACCCTTTTCTTCAACACGCTCAACGGATTGGGTCCTTTCGCTTTCTTCAGCCCTCTTATCTTCGGCTGTGCGGATTTATTTTCCACCAGATCGAACAGCCCTTTTTCGTCTTCATCACTTTCGTCGTCGTTGTCGTCTCTCTTTCTCTTAACCCCTAATCCCACCCCTCGGAGTCCTTCGCCGAATTTCTCCTTCTCCTTCTTTCGTCTGACTGCCTCAGTAACACCGCTCATTTCCTCCAGTATCATCACACTCCTCTTGACGTACACAATTGGCACGCCTGGGATAATTCGCGCGCGCTCCCTCACATCGATGAATCCTTTCCCTTTGCGCTCACGCTCATCCGCTTCCGCTGTCGCGAGAATATAGTGCTGTTTATTTTTCGCCTGTTCGTTTCCATGCGGTTGGCCCGCAAGCAGGTCGAGAAGACACCGTGCTTCAGAGATCACACCAATATCCTCGCCCGCGTCGTTCTTGTGCTTGCAATGCCGCAATGGCAATTCGGTCGGCGGAGGGAGGAACTCCGGCCGGCCTGGGCCTTTACTAGCTCTCTTCTGTGTATCGCCACCGTCCTGCTTTTCCTTTTCCTTCTCCCATTCCCGCATGATCTTGCCCAATGTACATCGCGTCACAAATATTCGACATTGCCCGTGCAGTGTGTTTTCCAGGTACTTTTGTAATGGCATGTGAAAGGTATGGCAGGCCTTGAGGAAGTTTCCGTCCACAAGGACCTGGTAGGGTTCTCGGAAGGAGAAGCTCATTTGGTATGTGGACATGATTTTGCGGTATTTCTTACTGCGTCGGGCACGCATCCTGCCAGTGTCCGGGGGTTAAATGGTAAGGTCAAGGCGGGGAGGAAGATGGGGAGGGTAGTCAGATCTGCGACGGAAAATAAGAGCAAAGCGGGTGCTGTGTCCTCAGTGTTTCATCCTCGTGTATTGAACGACATTTTTGAGTTTCATTTTTTGGGAGTCGCATGATTCTTGCGGAGTATTCAAGCTCCGATGTGCAAAAGCCAGAGTGGATAGCAATATTAAGTTCAAGTCCGTAAATTTTGCCTCGAGAAGTGTCGATTCTAGAATAGTTTCTTTCCTTCCCATCGAGAACCTTTGTTCATACACTCATCCCTCATGATTCCTGTTGTGGGACATCCTCCGCCCTTTATTTTGTATGCAAACTTTTGTAACTCTCGCTTGAACGCAATAAGGAGACGATCGAACCCGGTTTCGCCTTTCTACTAAGCTCGAAGACGCGAGAAAATGAGGTCCAGCTCAGGGCGCCTTCTCTGTTTATGACATGTTGCGCCGTGTGGAGTGATGCCGAAAACCACGGAATAGAGCTCATTCATCATCAGATTCGTGGTGAACGACTTCTCGCTCTTCTTCTACATCATCTCCTACATCCATACCTGCATCATCTTCCGAGTCCGTGCCTTCTGCCTCTTCTCCAGGAATGCCTTTCCATTCAACATAATCACCTTCGATCCAATGCTTGCTGATCGGGAGGTGGTAAGGATCATAAGGAAAATAGCCCTCGAGCATTCCATTGTCGCCGACCCAGCTCAAATCTCGGTCGGGGTTGCTAATGTTAAGATCCGATACGCTGCGCCAATGACTCGTGACTCGTACGTGTCTGTTCTCTTCCAGTTTTGGATACACGTAGAAGAGTTGCAAAGCGTGAGTGAGCTTGGCAAACTGTTCCACGATAACAGGTGTGCAAACCCGTAGTGGATTGAGTGGGGAGTAGATGGCCGCTCGTAGGGCATCCCGCAATGACTCGGGGAAGTGATAAGTTTCGACTTCTTCGTCGATATCGAAATCCGAATCGTCGTCAGAATCTGCAGATGCAATGTCTCTCCAGCGGAAACAGAAAATATATAGAATCGCTTGAAAGGCGGCATAGAAGTCGCCATAACGCTTCAAGTCCGGACCGCGACATGATGGTTCGTAAGACTTGCGGAGGACCGTTAGGTGGTGGCAAAGGAGTTCCAGGCAATCTTGAACAACTTGTGGAGAGACATGAGCGCCACGGCCGACAAACCCAGAGAAATAGGCAGCAGCACTATGTCGGAGAAGGTGGGGTTGCCTTTTGTCGACCAGGACAGCAACACAGGATGTGACAAATCGATCAACGATGATGGGGTCAGCTTGGGCAAAGTGAAAGACCAGGAATTGAGGATGTCGTGCACGATATGTTGGAAGGATATGAGTATGGAATTGAGAGATGAGTTGTTCGATGGCGGTGTCACGAGCTGGAAGGGCTGTGGAGGTGGTGAGTTGGGCGTAGTATTGGAACAAGATGTCCATAATCAAATCGACTTGCTTGATGTCCTCCTTCAACTTCCGTCGGCGGGCTGTGGCCGGATCCACGTCTTCATCTTCTTCCATATCAGACTCTTCCGTGGTGCTCATATCATCATCGTCATCGAGGCTGTTCTTGAGCATGCCCTGAGATGAACCAGCGACAAGCGTTTGTGAGGAAGACATGTGGTTGAGGATCTCATCTTCAGCGTCATCCTCCTCTTCATCCAGATCAACCTGAACAGACACATCAAGCTTGATGAGTTCTCGGAGCACACTAGCCAGAATTTCGGAGGTCAGCTCCGGCACATATTTGATCATTTCCATGAAATTTCGAATGTAGGTCATTCGCTCGTCGGACTTTTGAAAATCAAATTCCAACCGTGAGGAAACCCGATCGGCAAGAGCAGCCGGCGAGGAAGGCACATTGACAGTAATATGCTGGATGGCTTGTAGAGCCCTTCGATGAATGGTGGGCTGTCTGACTGGTTTGGATCCTGCCATCCGTCTTGTCTTCTGGGGACCCAGCAAATCAACCAGGACCGACATCATCTTGTGTTGATAACCCTGCTGCGCCGCCGCCAAGTTGTTCAGAAATCTCACAAAAAGCGCACAATATGTCTCATCCCTTCCAATCCATTCACTGTATAGGACCGCATTTACCAGGCCATTGCAATCTTTGTTCAGCGCCGTGACATGGGCGAGTATGGCTTGAAGATGTATCTTCAGGGCTTTCGTGGAGGGTGCATTTGGTTTTTCAGGTGATGTACTGAAAAGGCTCTTGATTCGTTCGTATGCTTCATCCTCTCTAAACCGGTGTCTTTCAATGGCTCTTCGCACCTGTTCCCTGACAACAAGAGGATCCAGGTCTTCGTCATCATCGGCAGAAACAATTTCAACGTCGGAGTCAAAAGTCACCCGGGAGCGTTTGGAGGGACTTGAGGGTGGATCCATGAAGTTAGTCTCATCGATGGAACGTTTGAGTGTTGATCGCCGTTTTGTGGGCTGAGGTCTGATTGATTTTGAAGGAAGAGTAGGCGTCGAGATGCTGGTCGGCAGAGCAGGCCGACGTGGCGGGGCTAACATGGCCGCAAAGGGTAGATGGATGGAGAGATCATCAAATAAGAGGTTGAATCAGATTTCGTACCGATAAATGGCAAAATTGTCCGAATAGGAGATAGACAATGGAGATCGAGGGCATCAAGCCAGTACACGAAGTTGTTGGGCTCTTCGCCCAAAAAAAAAAAAAAAAAATATTAATAAAATTGTCCATTGTGGGCGAAAAAGCTAAACCCAATTGAGCGCCAGATCAGGAGACGGGTGACCGCCTCTTCTACAAACTTGGCCATGCCTCGAGTCAGGAGTGCGTCAAGAAGGGGCCCCGCCCGTTCGAAATTAATCGTGAAAACCTTTTTTGTCTGTGTAAATGGAGTCAAAATCACTCATTCTACGTTCGAGAGACCCCATTAGGACTCAATCATTCTCAAAGGTAAGCCCTCTGGCTCTTTTCCTCAGTGCCCCTGATGCGATCATAATCAAACGCCTCTTTGCCGTACAACGCGTGCCGATGACCCAAAGCCCGTCTGATGATCCAGTCTTTGCTATTAATTTCCTCCTCTACTTCATCCTTCTCCAAGGGCGGGATCTTCTCGCTTGTGTTCAGTCTCTTGAGCATAACGTCGTCCTCCGGTCGATTGAAGTAGACAAGCGAGAACCGCGTATGATCGGCTTGTTCTCCCGGTGGGGAAACAACACGGTGGATGTTGGATCTCAATAGTCCATTAGTGAACTTGACCATCGCATCGCCGAGGTTGATGATGGCATGGTTGGGAAGTGGTTTCACATAGCACCATTGCGCATCACGACCCGGTGGAAGAACCTGCAAGCCACCCAGCTTATTAAAGAGAACCGTGACGCTTCCAAAGTCGGTGTGCTCGCCTAGAGCTGTTCTTCGATCATCAACGGGCTGTGGTGGTGCTTTGATAAAGCGAATCTGGTCACCCGAATGACCGTCGAGGCGGTGCATGTCTTGGAGGGTGTTGGGCGGTAGGTCCAAGTGGTCATTCAATAATTCCAGAACCAGCGTCACAATGCCATGGGCTGATCCGCAGAATGATTTCAGCAGCGGCCGTCTCGAACTGAGCACTTCAGGAGCGGGGAGGGGGTCAGATATTCCAAACATGTCGTCTTTCGATACCTGCAAATTGTCGGTTCTTGAATGACAAGATTCCATCAAGGGACTTACATTATAAAACTCATTCCGATCTAAATTGCCATATCTATCGACGACATTTGCGCCAAATCCCTTGTAGCCAAAATAGGACTTTTGGTGGGCGAAGTCGTATTTCTTCTTTTCCTCCAGGGGTAAATCGAACAACTCGACGCCCACTTTGAACAATCGATCTGCATCAGCAAGCAAAGAGTCTCCTGGCCCCGTCAAATCAAGATAAAAGAAACCGAGATCTTCACAGGCCCGGATAAAGCGATGCACTTCTTGCTCATCACGCTCAATCAATTTGGCCAGGGAGAGACGAAGAAGAGGAGCTGTAGGTACGTCTGAAGGGAAAGGTGGAGCATTGTCGAATTCTTGCGCTGGAGCCATCAAGGCTTCGGGAATCACTTGAGTCGCCATGTCGTCGTTGAACGTTGTATCAATAGAGTGGGTGAAGTACGTAATGGCAATGAGTTCAGTTTATCTCCAGACAAAAATAATTCTTGGACCGAGGCGCATATTGTCCATCTCCACCCACATGCGGTGCATCAGAATGAGATTCGGACAATACTCGGATACATCACTCCCCCTCCAAATAAGATTCCAACGACGGTCAGTCTCCTCATCGTTGATCAAAGCCATCATAAGCGGGGGCCCCGCGCCCTCGTTACCCGGCTAAAATCCGAGCGGTTCCCCAGTTCTTGTCCTGCCGTCTTTTGAAAGATGACGCACCACGAGCGGGCATCCGAAACTGAGTCATTCTGATTTATTGTGATGGTTAGAACCGGGGCGTTCGTATCTGGGAATCTCCACAGGTCGTTCAGTGCCGCTGTACTTGGACATTCCTCCATACAATAGTCTTCACTTGGTGGTCGACAATCGTTTGATCTATAGCTTTGTAGCAAACCTCCCACTCGAGGATCGGATGGTGAGTAAGACGTGATTTCCGAATTTTGGACGCCGATTTCGGTCCCATGACGTTTAATGTCGGAAATATTGAAAGTTTGTCCTGGTAAGTTAGTACTGGTAGAGTATACCTTGAGCTTCCTGGAGCCGCTTGTGCCAAAATTTGGTGAAAATTGGACTTTTCTTCCTTCTCGAGTGCACGAGTAAACTTTTCTAGATCGCTTTCATGATAAGGGCGAATGTGGATCTGACTGAGGGTTGCGGAATTTCTTGTCCTCACTCGTACCCAGTATCGATGATCCCAGAGAATCCATTTCGACCAGAGGCCCTTTTCCTTATCGACGGCCACTGTCCAGATCCCGGGTGATTCCTCGCCGACCGTGACAGGTTTCATCTCTGGTGGGAAGTTTTGTTTCGCAAGCATCACTTCAGCGGAGCGCATGGGCTGTCTGGAGAGCCTCCACAAAGATTCTCGTTCCGGCATGTCTGAAATGCTGCATATTTTCTCAAGTAAAACTCGCTGGACATTCAGTACTTCTGGCTCTGAAGATTGCATTTTCTCCAGAAACTCTTCCAAACGACTCCTAGGGACGAGTGTAGGAATATCTTCCCTGGACCGAGGAGTGATAACGCCCGTCAGTCTTGCAAGTGCATTTGCGCCGGCTGCGGGATCGTTCTTACAGGCTGCCACAACTTCTTGGGGAACACCGATCATCAGCATGCCGGATCGTAGATCAAAAATCCGGATCTTGATCATACGCAAGAGTTCGGTGCCACGCCGTACAGTCGCCACTGCAGATTGATGTGCCCAATCACGTAGCTGGAGAACGGACGTTTCTTGTAATGCTCGAGGGAGGTTATAATTGTTCCGCAAGTGTCGGATAGCATTCCGTAGTGTTAGCGTTGGGTCGTGGTTTGTCTTGTCATTGACATAGGCAATGTCGTTCGTTTTACAAGTGTCGATGAGTTGCTTTTTGGAGAACGGTAATAAAGGCCGATGAAGGCGGAGGCCCGATGGGTACGCCATCGTCACTCCTTTTCCAAGATTGGTGTCCAAAGGCCGCACTATTGCCCTTGGTACATGATCTTTGTATCGGCGAAGCCAGTCGGGGAACCTTTCGTAGCTCTGCATCTCATGAGCGCCACGAATGTTTTCGCAACACGGAATGCCACTCTCCTCGGGCATGCCTTGCAATCCGAGAGAGCTGCCGGTCGAATTTCGCAATAATCGCATTAAGATTGTTTCGATTTGGTCATCTTTATGGTGTCCCAGAAAAAGGTGACGGATGTGCCTTCGGATAGCTGCCTCTGCGATCAATTGATACCGGGATTCCCGAGCGTGTGATTCAAAGTCTGGCAAACGTGCCGGGTCGTCGGTCTCAGGCCATTCCATATTAAGAATGATGCTTTTGATATCTAAAGGGCGTGAGAACCGGGGGCGCTTGATGACGCAGAATACGTACCGATCTTTTCCAAAAGGTGTTGTACCCATTTGGCCTCCTTATGACTGCCCGGGCGAGCATTATGATTCACAATGAAAGCGAAGGGTTCGATGCGGAGCTTGCTTTCTATGTTGGGAACTTGCTTTAGGAGATATGCCAATGCCATAGAATCAGGGCCACCACTGACACATACACCTGTTGAAGCGTTAGATACTGTTGTCACAGGAGGAGATGAGCCTACCAATTTTGGCCGGGCCCTTCGTGGCGCTCCGAGATAGTCCATTGTCCCATAACTGGAACAGTCTGGGAAGGATATCTCTAGCTTGCACGGGATTGGGAACGGGAGACCGGGTCCGTGGAAACATCACGGCAGAGTGTCCGACCGTGATGATCAAGCCAGAACAATTTTGCCTGATCAAGTTTTATCCCGTATCTCATGGTCAAAGCTTGAGGCTGCCACACCAAGTGGCCCTTTCCAAGCCACATCGAATTGTTCCCTGGCCCGACTTAACATCTCCTCCACACTTCCAATGAAACGCAGGACAAGGAATTTTGAGCGGTCGACGCCGCTCGTAGCTATTGGCTCGTGACCAGAGTGACGGATTAATGGTTGAATAAAGCTTCAACATAAGTTACGGCCATGGAGGAAATGCGAGCGCCTGATGATATATCCTGGGATGGTTGTCTTCCAGCCTGCACCCTAAGAGGTCGAAGAATGAAGCTTACAGTCGGATGAAAACCTTCTGGATCTCTGCGCTTAGTCATCCAAAGAAAACTGGGTGCAGCACGTGATTAAAATGTTCCTCGAGAACCTACAACATCGACGCCATACCAGAAGCAATTTGAATTGTGCTATGGGATCCAAGTGGTGATGTTTCATCCCCATCGCTCTGTGCTGGTGGCTTTATGCAAGTGGCATGGTCAGGATCCTCTCATACTCTCGGTCGCGCGATCAAATTCATGTTTGACTAAATGTGAACTCCATGAGCATAAGTATCAATGCCCCCCATCGGATCAGTCATGGCCCAATCAAAGTTCCTCATGAGCTAGGCATATCAGCGGGGGTCTCTTACAGTTGTGGATATGGTCACTTACTTCGGCCAGAGCCTTATGAAGCTCCATCATGGCAATACGTCTCCCTAAACAGAGAAATCTCCCAGAACCAAATATCGTGTCGACCGTCCGCTGATACTTCATCCTCGTTTCAGCACTAACCTCAAGCCATCTGTCGGGGTGGAAAATGTGGGAGTCATCGCCAAAAATGTCCTTTCATCGACACATGGCCGCGTCGCAGCTTCCAACTTCGGTCCCTTCGGGAAAGAAAATGCCCTTCATAGTCTCTCCGCCAGGCGGTGCAAGTTTGCTCTTCAATCCAAATAGAGGTGGGTACACCCTTAGAGATTCCCAAATGCAAGCATGAAGATAAGGGAGCTTCTGTGCTTCGGAATATTTAATCACCGGGAAAGACATCTTGCCGGCCCCAATCGCACCATCAATCTCCGCTCTCAGTTTGCCGTACGCGCTGGGACTACCGGTCAGCAAAAACATTGCGGACCTTGGCACGGTCGTTGTGGAATCAGAACCGGCTACGATCTGTAGATTGGCTTCCACCTCGCATTGTAACTGGTTGAGGCCTTTGTCCACAAAGTACCCCAGCATATCCTTTTTCGCTTTCGGGTCGGGATCATATCTCTCTGCCACAGCCTTCCTGGCGATTGCAAGTACTGGACCCATGCCTACCTTATCCGTCTCCTTGGGACCCGCTGCCGCCAGAATTCCAAAAGGGGCGCCGAATGCCACGGTGCTGAGCACGTCAAGGGTGAAGAAGCGAGCGACATCAGAGAAATCCATCGTTATACCATCGTAGGTGGTCTTGATCAGGTTGACCAGGTCCACAACTCGAGCATCAATATCAGGTTCCAGGGTGTCAATGTCTCGGCCATTGTACGGTAACGGTCAGCCATGATTCGCCCCACGCACGCATCCAGACTGACTCCGCCAGCCTCCTTCGCTCTCAAATCTGCGTGTACCTTTTCATCTCTGGTTGAGAAGACAGAGTCAAGTCTCGGATCCAGCCTCATGGCATCATACCACTCCGACCGGATCCATCTTGATCCGGGTGCATTCATGTGCCGGACAATATCCGGGTCATCTGTGAGAAGTAGATCAGGTCCGATGCGACACACAGATCCTTCCAAGGCCCGTTAGTATGGTACTATCACGCTTCTCATAGACTTAATGGCTACCATATTTTCGGAGAGCTTCGAATTCAGCCGTGTTGACACGAGCGTTGACCGCTTGCCAAAAGAGCCAGAAGCGAGAGTAGCCGGCCAAGGGTGGACCGTTGAACTGGCTGAGCTTGCGATAATTCACCACCGCACCGATGAATATGTACGAGCAGAACAACGTGAGCAGTGAAATGGCCCCGATGGATGGGCTGAGCAGGTTCTGTAGAGATGCCATGGCAGGCAGGTGCTCAGGCACAGCTACTGAGGAGCACAACCTTGACAAGTCAATAGCTTGATTCCCTGGTCTGGCCACTGCAGAATAAGCCTTCGCGGATCTGTTTCAGCATCAGAGGGAAAATCGCTCTCTTGACGGCATTAAGAACGAGAGAAAGTGTAAAGAGTTTTCGACCATGAGGGGAGTTCGATGGCAGAAGAGCTACCAATCATTTGGGCTGATATCGGCCGCGAATAGTGCATTTCATGACGGTGAATTCTGCGAGGGAATTATGTGATACTGAGATCAGCTGTTTGAAGGAGTTGCATCTGCAAGACACCCACTCCAGCAAAGAGTCGCGCGCAGACTTTTGTACTGTGGTATAGTGTGTGCATGGTTGGATAAATTTTGGTGCTATTCAATGCTCCAACCAATAAAATACGAGGGAATCCATCCGAACGTGGGCTCACTGTGAAGAATTGATCTTGATCGCTTGCCACGCCATTGGCAGAACACGAGCGGCGATGCGGCCAAGTTCTCCGCCTAAGCTTCTTGTCCTGGCTAGTTCGCGATGGTAAGCGACTCCCTCTCGGGGGCATCGTTTAGGCTGCATTTAGGCATGTTTTATGCTTTCCATTGTCCTCTAGCCCTTCTTCCGCCCGTTTCCCGCAAAACATACGAGGCACTCATGCGACAAAAGCCATGGACTTAAAGGCTCTGGCAGTTTTGTCTCTTCCTCTGCGATACGTGTGTGGCTGTTTCAATGGCATATTTGCGGAGGAAGTCACACAGTTCACTGGTCTCTGAAATTTCGACGTCATCCTTCGAATATAACCTTTTGCAGCTGGAATTGATATTGGTTCTGCTCGACAGCGTGTTGGTGTTTTCTGGCATTGACACGCCATCGAGGCCTTGGATTCCTGGTCCGCCATCGACGATAACGATTCTGGGTACGACGAACCGACGCTATCCACCACTTCTGTCCAGTCCAGTATTTTCGACTATGAGCAAGAAAATGGTCGCTCATATCACGCGTTTCGACGTGGGAAATATGTCATGCCCAATGATGAGCGCGAACAAGAACGAATGGATATTCACTATCACAGTCTTCGCCTCACTCTGGAGAACAAGCACTTTATTGCGCCCATCGCGAATCCTCCCTCGGTGCTCGACGTCGGTACCGGTACAGCTGTATGGGCCATGGATGTGGCGGACGACTACCCCGGCGCCAGGGTCATTGGATGTGGCCGGTCGCCGACCCAGCCGACATCCGTGCCGCCGAATCTGGAGTTTCAAATTTTTGACGCCGACGAGCCTTGGGATTTTCATAATACATTCGATCTGATTCATACCCGGATGATGAACGGTTTCTCCATCAAGTCGTGGCCGTTCTTCTATGAGTAAGCCTTTAAATGTATGCAGCCGGGCGGGTGGGTCGAAAACCAAGAGTTCGATCTTGACTTTGCGGCAGACGACGGGACGATGCCGGAAAATGGCAGCTATGTCGTGAATGGACAGAAGCCACCGGAGACCAGCTCGAGCACATGATATCCACCCTCGGCATGATTAGGTCTTGAATCAGGTTGAAGCAAGGGCGGAATCAAGTTGCTATTGTTCTGTATTCCTCTGTGTGCTGTGGGTTGGGGGGGGGGAGTCGTATGGGGTGGAGGAGTTAAATATGGTGAGCTGAAGGATGCTGATCCTTTCTCTGGGCAGGTGTAACAATGTGTCGTTCGATGAAGACATAGCGCCTCGGCATGGATTTCGAAGATTCAAGTTTAAGGAGCCAGCAAGTACGCTACCAGCTCCAGCCCACGTGCTAGGATGTGACATGATTCAATCAAGATGTGGTCCTCTCTCTTCTTCCGCGCTGAATTGCGAGCCAGTTATGTCGAGTTGAAGTTGGGGGCACCTTGGTAGCCTGAGATGGGGCATTTTGCGACAGCACACTTTTGTATGTGCCAGTAGATTCGGCCGATCAATTACACACGTCAAGGCGAGCAGCTTCAACGAACTTCTGAGTTGCCTTGGATGAGTTGGGGAGAATGATGCCTGTTGGTTTCAGCGCTTCAGGGATTGTAGAAAAGTTGGTCAAGCCAATGAGTCAATTCAAGCTTAACCCAAGATTTGGGTTGCTCTAGCTTGGAAGACAAGTAACCTTGTCATCCGGGCGTTAAGCTTGTCCAAGAAGGGCTTGAGAGTCGTCAAGCAATCAAGCTGAGCCTGCGCCCAGACTGCGCCCCCCTCCCCACCCCACTGAAGATAAATTCCGAACCCCAATGCTGGAAGAGGGAATCAATGCGAAATGACCTGGTATACAGCCAGGACCACGTGTAGCGTAGCACTGGACGATGCATAGTGATCCCCATATCCCTCAAGTTGGGATCTCCTCGTATTTTGGGCCTACCCGAAACCGAGTGATGCGCTGTTCCTCCTGATGTGGCTGACGTGCGGCGTTGGGTGTTGATCCACCTACATACCGTCATCTCGCATATTTGAAAACGACGTCTACCGCGTCAATCAGACCTTCAAGCTAGCTCCTTAGCAAAAGCCATCATTCCACGGCCCAATGACATCCAACTCCAAATCCTGAAACCTCAACGTGTTTACCCCTGTCCCAAAATCTGGTTCTCTGCTGTTTCCATCACGGAACTCATGCTGAAAATGCCCCATTCCCCCCTTCCTCTCCTGGACCCGCTAAACAAATCCCTCTCATCATCATCTCTGCCAATCTTCTCGATGTTCCTTATCCTTTTCCATCGGGTCACCGCCACTGTCTTCCCATCCACTTTCCAAACCATCTTGCGACCGCTCCACCCGACCGTGTGGATGATATTTCTTCCTCAGTCTTTCTTGCCATTTCCATTCTTCCTCAATTCGACACCACTTGGGAGCCTGCTATTTTCAGCTCCGACAGAAGGGATCGACTAAAAATGCGTATGTACTACCGCAGCTGCATGGCGGCGCCAACCTGACCTATACACAGACAAATACCGCCGCCAGGCAAAATACGTCGCCTGGTACGACGACCCCAACGACAACTCGACTTTCCCCATCAGAAATCCGTTTGCCAAATGGCGACCTCACTCGAGAGTAAACTCGATGCAGACATTGGAAAATGGCGAAGGCCGTGATTCTCCGTTGAGACTCACCAGAACAGACGACCCCGAAGACTATAGAACTTCAACTCCAACCGGAAGAAGAGAGGAGTTTGGTGTACATTCTTCTGGGCGACACGCTGCCACGGCACCCAATGCGAAGCCTTCAACCAATCCATATGGGCCAGGTGACGAGATCAACATTCCTCGAGCCGCTAGTCCTGACCACTCAATCAAAGGCATCAAGGAGGAGGAACCCGACCGTGAGAGACCTGACGATGGAACGAGCGCCGACACGTACGCGAATGGGAAGCTAAGCAAAGGAACCGATGGATTGAATTCGGTTCGTAGCCGAACCACTAGCGACAAAAACTCATCGCATGGACTCAAGAAATTCTTCAGCAAGAATACTGACGAAGCCGACGACAACAACGGCAAGGATAAGAGACAATATACCGCGTGGGGCCAGATTCGTGCCACCCTGTTCAACTCTTGGATCAACATCCTTCTGATCGCTTCTCCAGCCGGGATTGCAGTCTACTACGCTCACGTGGATCCCGTTGCGGTGTTTGTCATCAATTTCATTGCCATTGTCCCGCTGGCAGCCATGCTCAGCTACGCCACGGAAGAAATCGCCTTACGAACTGGTGAAGTCATGGGAGGTTTGCTCAATGCATCGTTCGGAAACGCCGTCGAATTGATCGTGTCTATCATTGCTCTGGCCAAGGATCAGGTTCTGATCGTCCAGACTTCCCTCATTGGCAGTATGCTGTCTAATCTCTTGCTTGTCATGGGAATGTGTTTCTTCTTTGGTGGGATCAATCGCATTGAACAAGCTTTCAATATCACCGTCGCTCAAACCGCTGCTAGTCTGCTCTTCTTGGCTGTCAGCAGCTTGATCATTCCCACTGCTTTTGAACTATGGGCGAAGACCGAAGACGGCGAAACCAACAACACCAATACGGAAAATACGACAACGGAGAACGCAGAGCCCGGCGTAGTGAAGACAAGCAGGGGAACCGCCATCCTCCTGTTGATCGTTTATGCCTGCTATCTCTTCTTCCAGCTCAAGAGTCATGCGAAGATGTACAACGCCCCGAGTGCCAAGAATGAAACGCGAGATGTCGGTTCGAGATTCAAGAATGCCGTTATTCCTGAGAAACTGCGACGAAGAACACCTTCGGAAAGAGAGGCGGTCCCATCGGGACCAATTGAAGATGAACCCGAGGAGCCCCAGCTGTCGATCTGGGTTGCAATTCTCACTCTGACAATCTCAACGGCCCTGGTAGCTCTAAACGCCGAATACTTGGTCGATTCCATCAACTCCATCACTTGTGATGGTAGTATCTCCAAGAACTTCGTTGGTCTCATCCTGCTACCCATCGTGGGCAATGCCGCCGAACATGCTACCGCCGTTACCGTGGCGGTCAAAGACAAGATGGACTTGGCCATCGGCGTTGCTGTCGGCTCGAGTATGCAAATTGCCTTGTTGGTCTTGCCTCTTGTCGTGGTCCTAGGTTGGATTATAGGCAAAGATGACATGACTCTCTTCTTCGACGGATTTCAGATTGCTGTCTTGTTCGTGGCAGTCTTGTTGGTTAACTATTTAATTGCCGACGGTCGCTCCCATTGGCTGGAAGGGGTCTTGTTGATCATCCTTTACATCATTATCGCAGTTGCTGCCTGGTTTTACCCTGCTGCTCGTGGTCTTAGTGACTGCAAGAATGAATGAGGTCTCTGAAAGACGGGGATTACTAGATATATCCACGAAAATTCGTCACGGCGCTTCAGGTAGGTCAAGAGACTGGATCGATCCACTGTTCATTTGCCTGATGGGAACAGGTCCACCAAGTCCAACCCGACCTGAGGAGCCGAGTGTGCATGTGCTCGTGCTATATAACACCCCATTATCACTGGCAGACGCCAGGACGGAGCCCTACGATTCACGATGACCGATATAACCCATTTGACTCAGCACTCGTCCAAAATAAATAAGATCGCCGAAAGTGTCCAAAATCATCCTCCAATGGGAGTGGAGCGAATCTTTATGGCCTGCGAACCTCGTCTTCGGATCTGCAATTCGCCGGACTGGAGACAATTCCATGAACCGTCTAGGCGAGGCATGGTACGTTAAAATCGTCATAGCTATCTCCATAATGCGGATCACATTTCAAAAATGGACTCAGGTTTACCTGATGGGGAGCTTCCAGTCCACTTTTCACGACTGCGTTCTGAGGTCACGACTTTCTTTTGTACGGTATCCACATCGACTTTTTACGAGCCGCGGCCGGGAGGGCGGCGGTGAGGGCGGCTTATAGAAATTGTTTGGCGGCGCGAGCTTCTTATAACACGTCAATCGGTAGCCGTGAATGGACTTGAGGGTTCACTGTGGCAGGAGTTTGCTCTTTTAGGAATCATTTTTTGTTGAAGAAAAAGCTGATCATTTTGCTGAGATGATTGATGGACAATTCTGATTCAAGTTGACCTTTCCGGATTGATGTTATGACCTCTCAGATCAAATTTCTTCTAACATGTCTGATCCCAGCGGTGGATCGTAAGTGATGAGGGCGACAGGAGAGGTTTCAGCCTACGAAGAAACTGTCTCTTAATCAACGGCTTTTTGGGGTCGACATTCGCATTGGCTCCTGGCCGGTGCTGTTTGGGCCATGATCGAGTTCTCAACCCTTATGGATGCCTGAAGACGCGTCCGGACGATTACTATATGACCAGAGGTGGCCTGGGGAGACGTCAATTCATCCTTGGTGATCACCATAGTAGCCTCATGGGTGCCCACGTAAGCCGAGTTGCTTGCATCTCGACAGCCTCATAAGCCTTCAGCTTCACTTCGGCTCAATCCTTATTTCCTCCCCATTCGCCATTCCATCTCCATGACATGGCCCGAATCCCTCTGGCCAACTACCTCTTCACTCGTCTGCGTCAACAAGGCGTGCACGCTGTCACTGGCGTGCCCGGCGACTTCACTCTCAAAGCCCTTGACCATTTGTCAGCCGCTGGGGTGCGATGGATCGGCTCCTGCCACGAGTTAAATGCTGGATACGCCGCGGACGGCTACGCTCGCGTGCGTGGACTTGCGGCGTTTTGCACCACCTATGGCGTTGGCGAGCTTTCTGCTATCAACGCCGTGGCCGGGTCGTTCGCGGAATCCGTCTCTTTGGTGCACATCGTCGGTACCCCCCGGCGAAATTTACAGCGTGCCTGCGCCAATGTGCATCATACCCTCGGGGACGGTCGACCTAGGGTATTTGCTGAGATGCACGAGAAAGTCACCGTCGCCCAGGCGAATCTCGTCGATGACACCACGGCGCCGGAGATGATCGACGACACACTCGAGACTTGTCTTCGACGCAGCAAGCCCGTCTATATCGAGTTGCCATGCGACATGGTCTCCAAGGAAGTGTCGAGTGCGCGACTGAGCGAACCTCTGAGACCGGAGACTACAATCGAAGAAGCGCAGGAAGAGAAGCACGCCGACGCTATCCTGACGAAACTCTACGCCGCGAAACAACCTCTCCTCCTGGTTGACAGCGGTGACGGCGTTCGCCAGCTCCAGACCGAGATCCACGCGTTTGTTGAAAAGTCTGGGATCCCTACGCTCTCTATGCCCTCCGGCAACGGCATGATCAGCCATGGTCTGAGAAACTACTACGGCGTCCATTCCGGTCCGGTGGGCCAGATTGATACCATGCCTTTCGTACAGGCAGCCGATCTGGTCCTGGCATTCGGGCCCATGTTCTCCGACACACAGACTCTGGGGTGGAAAGTCGTCCCGGACACAAACAAGACCATCATACTGGGAAAGGAGTTCATGCGTGACCCGTCACATGGTGGAAAACGAGACCCGATCAATCTGAATAGTCTATTGGGAAAACTCACGCGGAAACTCGACCGGTCCAAAATCCAGCTCTCTGACGTATCGTCGTTGGGTGATTTCCGCACCGTCCAACCCCCTGCTTTTACCGGTCCGAACATCAATCTCGACGCTCCCATCGACCAGACGTCATTCTACCTCCGACTCAGCGCATATTTGGAGCCCAACGACATGGTACTCCTAGGCAACGCCACACCCATCCTCGGGGGCCGTGACCTCGTCCTTCCCCATGACGCCCAAATCATCGCGTCCGGCCAATGGTTCTCAATCGGCCACATGCTCCCTGCCGCCCTGGGCGTGAGTCTCGCGCAACAAACGACCACAAGGAAAGGGAGGGGGAGGACGATCCTTCTCGATGGCGACGGCAGTTTCCAAGTGACCGCGCAGGAACTCGGAACGGCGATCCGATACCGCCTCCCTCTGACGGTGTTCGTGATAAATAACCAGGGATACGCGTACGAGCGACAAATACACGGCATGCACGCAGATTACAATGACCTGGCGCCCTGGCGGTACGGGGAGGTGGCCAGGGCGTTTGGTGCGCCGGAGTCGAAGCCCAACGAAGACTCTGACCCGTATCCTGTGCAGACCTATGCGGTATCTACATGGAGAGATCTCGACAAGGTGCTGGCGGACGCGAATTTCGGTGACGGGAGAGGATTGAAGCTCGTTGATGTACGGATGGGCATCCACGATGTGCCGGAGAAGTTTAGGGTGGTATTCCAGAGGGCTGGTGACCAGTTGGGGTGAGCCCAAGGAAGGGAGGGTGACGAGCGCTCACGTATATGGGCAGGGAGGAGAATTATCATTGTAGACCGCTGCTGAAAATATACCTGGTAAGCCTAGATGTCTCTAGCTGAGGAGTGGGTTGGGGGTTGCCAGAGGAATTGGTATCGGCATTGGCATCGACATAGGACATAGAATTCTTCGTGGTTTGAATTGTGAGGCTGAGAATGCAGATCGAACCCCTTTATTTCCTACCCTATCAGTTCGATCAAGGAACTCGCTGCACGTACGAACATGAAAAGCCTTTGAAATCCGTTGCTCGTCAAGAGCCATATGAAATACTAGAGAGTAAATTGTAATGGCTAGGAATGAGAAAACAAACAAAACCATGGGTCGGTTTAATATGTCTGGCCTAGCCGGCAGAGGCACAGTCCTAGTCCCACCTAATCTGACCAATCTCAAGATTTTTGAAGTGTTAGGAGCCATACAAGTAGAGGAGTATGAAGCCCCTTGCTCTCCAGAGTCCGTCTAGGAGGCTTTCACATAGGATTGGGACGGCTCCGATTCCTCTTCTTCCTCTTCCAATTCCTGCAGCTTGTCCAATTTCTTCTCGACTCTGCCCTTGGCTTTCTCCGTCAGGGTGTACACTGGCAAGCGACGATATTGGTCGTATGGAGAGTAAGAAATTCGTTCGAACCATTCGTTCTGGAAGGCCTCGATGGCCACTCTCAGGCGGCGGCGATTTTCAGCGGAGATGAACTCGTAGGAAATGACTTTGTGACGTAGAGCGGCGAGAATTTTAGCGGCTAGGTCAAATTCTCCACTTTCGGCATAGTCATGGATTCCCAGATCTCGAAAATGACGGCGAGCTGCGTAGGTATGGACTTCGAACTCGAGGTCGCGGTGATTGATCTTTAGTATGCGGGCGGCCTCTCGAAGCTCATATTTAGTACCATATACATGGCAACCTGTCGGGTGAACGATCGAACGATATTCGTCGATGGCAGCATCCTCAGAATTCAGCAACACCGAAATCCAATCCCAGTCGTGTTTGGTCCATGTAGCCATTGCCCAAAAACGGTTCGATTTTGGGACCAGTCCACCTTCTACAGCTTCTATGGCTTCATCGGACGTTTGCTTTACCCAGGCGAGGTTGTAAGCAAACAAGTCCGTCAGACTCAGCGAGGAGTCTCGCCGGCTGTGGTACCGGTTGAAATCGACTTGATCCTGGGATGACGTATTTGGTTCTTTGGAATCCATGGTGCGAGAATGTCTTCAAGGTGTTGGTTTGATGTCGACCCCTGCTGGTGAACGAGTACTGGTCCAGGTCAGATCACGTTGCAGTATGAAATGAACTGGACCAGAGGGGAATGTTCGAGGGGTTTATATACCCGCTTGTGTGTGACTCTAGGTCCTCAGTGTCTCACTTCATCGTTCACAGGATAGATGGTTGAGACGTTGATTGGTCCAATCAAAGAATTGTTGAGGGAAATTGTTATTGCGTACCTAATTCAAGCATTGTGCTGCCTAGGTACCGATATCTTTTCGAAGTCAAATGCACTGCTGCCTAGGCCCCGTGTTGCCACCTTGAAGCACGCCTTCAGATATTCAGTCCACATCTGCTTCTGCGCCTGCTTGCCCTCTTCACTCAGGACCAACTTTGACTCTCTACGTATATATTAGCCGAAGAGCACTTTATCTTGCTCGAGTGGATGGAAAGGCTAGGCGAGAACTTACATTCCCACTCGGCAGTCATCCAGGTATTGCCCATGTGTCTCATCGGCCCCTTCTGCGGCGTGCACGAGTGTTCGACTTTCTTCTTCCGCTGACCGGCAAACCAACTTCTGTGATATGGCGGTGAATATTCTCATTTCCGGACCGGGATCTCGACTGACATCTGTCGATACGGCGCCAGGGTTGACAATAGACACGATGATATTGTTCCCTTTGTCTGACTTCGAGATGCGATCCGCTAGTTCGCGGACCAAAAAAAAGTTCGAGGAGTTTGGAGACGGAGTATCTAGATATCAAATGTTGCCAATCAGGTTCTCATTGACTCAGACAGACTGGCGTTCCCCCTAGCACTGACCGGTCATTCATCCGAGCACCTTCTTTCTTGGCCAAGTCCTGGAACACCGTGTCTGACTGACGCTCAGGGAACCTTGTGATCAAATGCATCCACGACCCAGCGAAGGTCAAAACTGTTTTCTGCTAGGGTGGCAGGAAAAAAAATAAAAAAAGAATTGTCGAAGAGGTCAGCGGCCAGTACAGTCTTACTTTAATATGATATCGTGCATCTCCCCCTGGATTCTAGCTTTTGGTATCCTCAACGACTAAAAGCGCCACGGTATGTCCGTCGTATCTTCTACACCTCCTTTCCAAGAACATAGTCATGCTCTGGCATGGAGTATAATTCCACAGATGTGGGCAGCCTTTGCCTTTCTCCAAACCTGCGTCGTCCAAGAGGAGGTCCGTAAATGTCTCAGTTCCTTTAACTATTCCGAAAAAGGTATAAACCCGGATCTATTTGGGTCTTAGCGCTGTAAGCCCATTGCATACTAGTGTAAATCTCTCCTATAGTTTTCTACAGCCTTGCTTGGTCGCTTTGTAATGTAAGCCACCGGCATGAGTCTTCCCCCCCCCTCCCTCCTCCATTCTATCCCATTCCTTCCTTCAATTCACTTTACTTCATCTTCTCGACGGCTAGCGACTACGTACAAATAGGGGCGATACAACAATGGTGGAAGTCCCGCCCCGTGCCACCTAGTCCGAAGTCCTCGTGCAGTTCTCATAGATGCACCAGCTCGCTGAGGTATAGTCCGTCAAGCGTGCCTGTTCCCATGCCCCACTTTCTTTCGTGGCCCTCCCGGATCTTCCCAATCACGACGCTCTGCCTGAATGAATGAATGTAATAGCCTCGTCCTGACAAAGTTACTAGGCGCGATGTCCAGACGACGATTGGACGGGCTTAAAAAACAGAGCAGAGCGGCGCAAAAGGCAGAATCGCTTGAATGTTAGAGCACATAGTCAGTGCCACTCTTCTCAGATTTCCATGTGGGTTATATTCATATGCGTAACGCGTGACAGGAAGAAGGAAAGAACTCGAGGCTTCGGCGGCAGCAGCATCCGCGTCTCGGTCTCAGTCTGAGATTCAATCCCCGTCTTCCAGATTCCCCGGCCATCAAGCAATCCATTTCCACAGCCACGCCAGAACGACAGTGACCGTGCCCCGCAACTTTCAAGAAATCCTGCATATCCATCAAGCGCAAGCGCGCTCCCGCCACAGCCGTTGGTATTCTTCTCTCAAACCACAATACCATCCACCTCCAGCCTTGCAAATCCCCTCCAAGTCCTCCTCCCGCCTCGACCTCGGCCTCTCCATCGCATATCCAACCCTCTCTCAACAAAGGCGCACAACTCCGCCGCCAGCACTGCCTTTCCACTCTCCCCGACCATCTCATCCCCCTAGTCCAATACAACGTCTTCCGCGCCACCGCGACCAACATGGCCATCTTATCTATAACTCTTCCATCTCCTACCCTGCAGATACCGTCGAAATGCGACCCCTCCTCCTTCGACAACATCCAAAATGCCCTCTTCCCATATCCATCATCACCCTCGTCCTCTTCTCCCCCGGCATCCCTCACCCCCACACCCCTCCAGCTCTCTATTCCACACGACCTCTGGATTGACCTGCTGCCATCCCCCAAAATGCGCGACAACGCCCTGCGCCACATGCAGACGGGAAACTTCGACCCCGAAGACCTCTGCCGCGACCTGGTCGGCGGACACTATCAGGGGGGGCAACGACGTGGATTTGACGGGCGTCTTGGTGTGGACTGATCCGTGGTGCGCCGAGGGGTGGGAAGTCACAGAGGGGTTTTTGGCGAAATGGGGGTTTCTTGTCCGAGGGTGTTGGGAGGTGATGAGCGCGACCAATCGGTGGAGAGAGCGGCGGGGGGAGGAGCCACTTGTTTGGGAGGGGAGATGAAGATACGTACAAGACGTCGTGGGGCATGCAGACCGTATTTGTGGCTCAAGAGGGCATACGCCTATGTGTCCGACACATCACATGGCGAGATCATTTCCGACGTATGTATTCAGCATCATCTGCATCAAATGATAGAAATGGATGTGGATCTCCATTTGTCGACCTTTTGAGTAATAGAGATGAGGATTCCCGATATGTATGTTGATATTGATATCCTAGCACCTCGTGAAGTCGTCATGACGGGCCTGAACTCAGATGATCATCTGAGGTGCTCGAATAGAAATCGACAGCACCCAGCGGGAATACAATATGGATACTATCCCTGAGATCCATCATGTTCCCCTATCCTCGTAACACCGTGCCATTTCTCTTCAATGTAACTCACTCTTGCTTCGCTATTCACATGATAAGACTTTCCAGTACCACCCCACTCCTCGTCCTACTCTTACTCTGAGTATGCACGCCTCGTAGGATCGTACACGGATGCTCCATTTGGGAATGTATCGGGGCAGAGTCTCTTGGCAGAGGCTTATCTAGTTGGGTGAGCATTGTTCGACCGATGGCGAGGTACCTCCAATCCCTAGTAAAATGTGGGGGTTTTCAGGTACCTTTCCATCCACTTTGTCCCCCCTGCAAACTTGGCCCTTTCGTGCCCTTCTACCAGCATCGTTGGGGCCTTTCGACAGAGACTTTTGCACTCGCCTTCAGAAACTCTTTTGCACTCGATTGGTGTCGTTACGTGTCAGGCCCCCCCCCCCCCCTGTCGTCGGTGTAGCCTGTCTGCAGCCCCTCCTCTTGCCTCCTGACCTCGCTGTTGACCACCTTCAGAACCTTACTGATGCTCTGCGAGCCTCTTGTGAGTCTATACAAAGTACGAATCGAGCGGAGACGAGAGAAAGAGCTTGACAATGACCCAGGTATGTGGATGCCACAATTTTGATGTTTCGGTAGCTAGGGGATTTGATGTTGCTCGCCATCTTGCGGACAACTAGGCTCAATTAGTGTTTAGGAAAGTCTTACGTTCCCCTACATTTCAAGCGTCATAATATCATCCTCGTCTAGTGCTCGAGGTTTTCATTATTGTTCTGCCCTGTTTTCGTGGGGTGATTAGAATCTTGTATCGAAGCTCGCACGCCTCCCGCGACCGTGTATCGAGACTCTTCCCTCGAACCCTACCATAGAATTCGATGTCCGACTGTGTACCGTATTCTCCGTCAATGTGCGATGGATGGACTGTGGCGGGGTGTCGAGGAGCGCTTGATCGTCGTCATCGTCATCGTCTTCGTCAGCATCAGTCTCATATTCGTATTCCGCTACCTCTTCGTTCGGCACAAAGACGCCGGCGTCCCGGTTATCCATGTCTGCCTGCCTTGGCAATCGAGGCAGGTGTACAGGCCAAATCAGGCCGATAGACAACAACCCGCCGACGATGCCGGTGGTGAAAGTGACGCGCAGACTCAGCGCGTAGGCTTCAATGACTTGCCGTTTATGCACAGGGTCCAAGGTCGCGATGGCCGAGATCGACTCTCGGACCGTGCGGATGATGTGGTTCTTCGTCGCTTGGTCGGGGTCCGTAATGCATTTGGCGAGGTAGATGAGTAGTGCGTTCTGGAGGATCCAGCTGCTGATGGCGACGCCGAGGATGGAGCCGAGATTGCGCAGGAGCCCCAGCGTTGTGGTGGTCACGGCTTGTTCGTCCTGCGAGTTCAGAGCGAGCACGGCAATGGTGGTGGCGGGGAAGTAGAAACCTTGTCCGATGGAGCATATGGGGATGAGGACGGGGACGAGCGAGATGGGCGTAGAAGATGACAGGCAGGTTACGGAGACGGCGCCGCAGAACATGGAGAATGTGCCGGCGGCCACGGGCGGTTTCATTCGGCGCGTGATGGTGATGTAGGCGCCAGCAATGAGCGAGGTGATGCTGACGCCTACGAGGGGCGAGACGAGGTAGAGGCCTGAAACGGTAGGTGTGGTTTGTCGAACGGCTTGGAGGTACAGGGGCACATTAAAGAGGACCGTGTTGGTGACGATGGCCCCGAAGAAGTTCCCCCACATGAGATTGCCGTTCGGAATCGTTGAGAGGAATTTGAGGGGAAGAATAGGCAATTGGGCCTCTCGCTCGATGAAGAATAGCGATGTGGCGGCGACCACGAAGAGGACGAGGCTGGTGATCACGAGTGGATGTGTCCAGGTGAAGACGTTGCCACCCAGATTGACGCCGAGGATGAGACAAGTGACTGTTGCCGTGAGGCCGATGGCGCCGAACGTGTCGAATGTTTTGAAAGCTTCTCGGAGTGTTTTGCCGTGGGTTTGGGCCAGGTTGGGTCCGAGGTCGGGGGGACAGGAGAAGAAACCCAAGAGGCCGTATACCAATATGAAAGGGAGTTGGAGGTAGAATGCGGCGCGCCAGCCGAAATGGTCACACAGGAATCCACCCAAGGCGGCCCCAAGGCCATTTCCGAGCCCAAAAGACTGGGAAAGTTAACTATGGGCAGGAAATGATGAGGGTAGAGATAGATGGAGAGCGGCTGGAAATGGATGGAAGAGGAACGACAAGGAGGAACAGGATAGCGCACCATGTTGAAATAACTCTGGTAAATCCCCCGATACTCGATCTTGACAACATCACTGGTCAAAATTCCAGCCATGGCAGTCACACCACCCGCACCCAAACCGCACGCGGCCCTGGCGGCAATGAAACTCCCCATGGTCCTTGCAGCGCCACACCATGCCGTACTGGCGAAGAACATGAAGATGGCAAACAGGAACACCGGTCGTCGACCAATGGTATCGGACACGCGGCCGTACAGGGGTTGAAAGACGGTGGATGTTAAGTAAAAGACGGTACTCAGCCAAGACGCGGCGTTGGAGGCGTGGAAGTAGGATGTGATGACTGGGTGAGAAGATGCCATGAGCGTGGAGTCGAAGAAGGCAATTGTCGAACCAAACATGATGCTGGTGAACAGGAAAACAAAGCGTGGGCCAGAGATGTTTCGATAGTGGACATTGGACGGTTTCTCGCCGTTGGATCGGGGGAGAAGCACGGTCGTTTCAGTTGGCTGAGGACCAGAGCGCTCTTCCATGCCCGATTCCATGAGTGGACCAGGAGTTGCAACCGGGTCAATCAGCGGTCTTTCGTCATGACTGGGTTGTGCCATCTTGTCCAATATTGGGACCGTTGGGGTTTTTGAAATGGCGAACGCGGAGAGCCTGGTTTCTGGAGTTGTGCCATCTATCGCTGCTGCAAGGTCAAGACTGACATGAGCAAGAATATATATATTGAATTCGAACAGAAGGGGCCAGAAGCCCTATGCTATTGAAGCGGGTTTGGGGGGGGGGGGAGGAAATTCGGTGGCACAACAGACTCTTGGTGACTCAAACGAAAACTAAGGATGAGGCTCGAAAATTGGAAATTTGTGATGTCCCGCCTCGCCCGGATTACTATGAAAATGGCTCAATCCTCTGGCGGAAGGCTTAGAGTCTTATATCAGGTTGCAGTCGTCTGGGTGTGTTGATGTAAATCCGAATTCTGGCCACTGAGAATGGTTGGTAATGCAGATATCCACAGTGAATAGACGGCCAATGGGAGATTGATGGGGATTCTTTTGGCGAAGAGGGAAAAATGCAGAGGAAAAGGGCCACAGGGCGTGAGCTTATAAGGTTGAAATGACAGCGCTTATATCCTCAAATAGGTGAGATGCTGCTCAAATGACTTGAATGACCCACTGAGGAGCTGATCACTTCCCTTGATGATAAAGGGCCCAAATACCATGTCAACATCTTCCGAAACTCGGTGCAAATCCGATATCCTGTCCATCACAGACCGCATACTTCAAAACATCTCATTTAAATATGCAGCATCCCATCGATTGATCTAATTGAGAACAGCAAAGCAAAAAAATGAACCTCAAACTCCCGCAAACCCTTCGCATTGCCATATTGGAATGCGATACGCCGCTGCCCCATACCCGGAAGAAATTCAAAGGCTACGGCAACGTCTTCGAATTTCTGTTGCGCAATGGCGCAAAGACGATGGGCCGACCGGATTTGGATCCCACCACTGGCCTTGAATTTACCATGTACCAAGTTGAATTGGAGCCGGACAAGTACCCAGATCCAAAGGATATTGATGCGATCTTGATAACGGGGTCAAGTGAGTACCTACTTTCTGTCTCCTTTGTAGAGGAACGATCGAAGACGTAGAAGAAGCAAGGAGCAGAAAAGATTAGGGGGGTTGTATCACCAAGACTGGACCTGTATGAACTGACCGTCTCTCTTCCTCGCGCAAATCAGAACACGACTCATACGCCGACACACCCTGGATCAACAAACTCGTCGACTTCACAGCCAAAATACTATCCGAAACCACCGTACGCGTTATCGGCGTGTGTTTCGGCCATCAAATCGTCGGCCGCGCCTTGAAGGCAGAAGTCGGTCGTAATCCCCTCGGCTGGGAGGCAGCGGTCAACGATGTCGAGTTGTCTGAGAAGGGAAAGGAAATCTTTGGGGTAGATAAAATTGTACGTTTTTATGGTGTCCCGCGCAGTCTGGTCGTGAGAAGTCATGCCTGCTCCCCCTTTTCTTCTCCCTCCCCCATTTTCTCTACTGACCAAATCTTGGGTGAATTTATAGCGACTCCATCAAATGCATCGCGATATTGTCTTCTACTACCCCGAAGGTGTCGAGGCCTTAGGATTTTCACCTGTCTGCAAAGTCCAGGCCATGTATTCACCGAAACGATTGATCACCGTCCAGGGCCATCCCGAGTTCAACAGTGAAATCGTAACCGAGATTCTGGCAACTAGACATTCTACGGGCGTCTTCAACGACGAAGCTTATGCCGAACATATGGGAAAGGTGAATTTGCCCCATGACGGCGTGATTGTGAGCCAGGCTTTTTTGAGGTTCTTGTTGGAAAAATAGATCTTGTTTTCCAGATCCCTGGCAGTTTGAAGACGCTCGAGTTGATAGACATAGATCTTTTGAGATTGTGCGTGTTGTTCATCGCTCAATCTCGGCTCCGTCGAATAACGCTAATCCGGACGCGTCCCAATATGACGGCTTTCCCTAGACGGCTTCTGGGTGCCGTTCCTCCTGCAATCACTCCATTCTCAGGATACCATCCTGTCGGCGTCCGCGGCACCAGCAGGAATTCTTCCTTCAGCGAGATCCTTCTCAATTCGGGTGATTTCAACCAAACTTTTGGCATTTTTGATCATCTCTTGCACCCTTTTCTTTTCCGTCTCCGTCAATTGCGTCCGAACGCCCTTTCGTGCGCTTTCCACCTTGCCATTGCTCACCGTTCCGGGTTCAAAGGATCGGGTCTTGATTCCTTTGATCTTGGCGGCCAATTCGGAGGGCGCTTCGGCGGTACCGAACAATTCTTTGGCTTTCTCTCGTTCTGCCTCCCGCACTCTCTGAAAATCCAAGAATCGCAACGACGGGATTGACCAAATGAGATAAAGTCGGTAGTGCTGCCATAGAAAGTCAGCATTTTCATCTCCACTTCAAATGTGTCCGAATCTCACCTCTTTCCTTGTGACAGGATTGTCTAGTAAACTCAAGTGTGTCAACGCCACACAGCCACTTAATCCTTCAAGATCACCTGGCTCTTTGACATGATTTGACGTTAATACCAGAGTCGTCAGGTTCGGTATCTGTTCCGCAATTCTCTTGTCCACGCCTTGTATCCGATTTCGCGCACACAGCAGCGTGTTTAATCTGGGTAATAGGGGGAAATTCGAGAGCGTGGTGAGGTCGTTGTCGGTAAAGTCAATGGCATCTTGAGGGCCTGCGACGCCTAGGTTCTCGATGGTGGGGATTTTGTGGCCTGTAGAATTGCAAATGTAGAAGAGTGTGGTCAATTATGCTCTGGCACCCCCCATGATTCAAGTGTAGCATCTGCTCTTTTCAGACATACCTCGGAGATCAAGCTCGCGCTCTTTGAGAGGGTTCAAGTAGGATAGGGAATTGTGTATGAGGTCGGCAGTAAGTCTCATGATTGTGATTGAATTGTGGATTGTTTTGGTCGCTGGAGACCTTTGACGCAAGAGATGTGATTGGTCGTGGATGATCAAGTGCCTTGTGTGCGCTGTGATTTTTTCCTTTGTCGAAAGCAGCGTATTCGTAAGGAACGCCTAACACAAGAATCCAACTCCAGCCCGTGTGCCCGGTGGATTTTGTTGCAATCTGCAATCCGCAGTCTGCAGTCCGCGAATCAGAGGCTTCATGCACGTTTGTTGCCAGAAGAGGAAGGCGCCACGTGGTTACGACGTGCGTTCGTCTGTGAGATTTCGCTTAATACAGTGCGGTTGACAAAAATTGCAGTTTGACTCGTGGTGGCCTACCACAACAAACAGGCGAAGGGGATGCTCTACAGTACAATGATACAAATTTACACACAGCAAAACCGGGTGGGAGGAATGTTTCTGCCAAGGCCGATAACCCCCCGATGTCTTGGCGTCGCAGGCGGACCGCTTTGGTAAGCACTGGCAAAGGAAAAAAAATTTCAAACGCCTCCTTCTACATTTCCCCTATCACTTGGCTTCAGCAATCCCAAAGACTAACACCCCGATCTAGTTATTCCCCTTCCACGATGCGATACTGCACTCCGCCAAATCCTCAGCAGCCCAGAAATTCCAAGAGCGGGTTGATTGATGCTTTCATCTCAAGCCGCCCGAGGGGTCATCTGTGTTGTCTCATCTATGGAGGGTAGAAAGTGTACTGTATTCTCATTGGCCGGGATGCTCTTATCTATCCAGAGGTGCTTCTTTACATTATTCAAACGCCTAACTCCCGTCGGCGGATCTAGTCTCAGCCATGTTATAGGCCATTACCTATCCCATCAGACCCTTGGCGGGGGCGGTAGCCGGTGACAGCTCAGTCACGGACTCCGCTGCCAAGAACGATCAAGCGACGCGGCGGGAGCCTGCCTGAGAGCTATTTCCAACTGGTACCCACCGCAACTGATAACAGCCTTGGCCCAGTTTGAGTATAGAGGATTGGTCCTCATTTTCACCCCCTTCTGCAGCCTTGGAACTTGCTTCAGAAATCAGAAATGTCAAAACACATCTGAACCTGTCCTCCCCCCGGTGGGTCATCCCCAAGCGAAAGAAGCAAATCCAGTGTCATTTCCGTGGTGCTGCAATCCGCGTTTTAGTCTCGTGGCGTTGTACCACCGTAATCCCCCAATGTTTAGACGGGTGGTGGGCGGGCGGTTTGCGACTGTAGATAATATATCATCCCGACCGTGATCCCGTCTGTCGCGCCTCTATTTCGCGTCTCCTTGTGAATATTTGCTCTGGTCTTTGACTAAATCTTTGCTCGCTGAACCGAACAAAATGTCGGCGGTGAGTTCCTCCAGAATCTGGTGTTCTCATCATGATCTTTCCTCTCCTCATGGACTCCCGCTGACTCATTTACTCCTTAGCCCGAATACGATCCCTCTGAGCCATATGGCGGCAATCCACTAGAAGTCGACGTCAATGCGCAATTCGCTGGTTTCGAATTCCATGCGGTCTACCTGGCCGCTTGTGCGTATCTGGTTTGGATGATTATCCCGGGTCTCGGTCTGTTGTATGGAGGACTTGCCCGCCGAAAGTCGGCTCTGGCCATGCTTTACCAGGCTTTCGCAGTGGTAAGTTGAACCACCCTGATTATAGGAGCAGCAAAGGAGTACCTGAACAAAATGCTGAGCATCACGGTTTTGGACAGATCGGAGTAATTACTTTCCAATGGATGTTCTGGGGTTACACCCTAGCCTATTCTCGAAATGCTGGATCCTTCATTGGCGATATGACCAACTTCGGTCTTCAAGATGTTACTGCAGCTCCATCTCCTGGCAGTTCATATCAGCCCGAGATCATCTTCTGCCTCTACCAGTTGCTTTTCTGCATTTGCACCGTCATGATCGTGGTTGGCGGTGCTTTCGAGCGTGGCCGTGTCATTCCATCTCTTTTCTTCGGCTTCTGGTGGGCGACCATTGTGTAAGTCTGAAACGGACCTTCGTGACCTGGCTTTCTTGATTGACAGAGTTTGATTTAGATATTGCCCCATCGCATGCTGGACATGGAACGCGAATGGATGGTTGTTCAACCTTCCCTCTCTCGATTACGCGGGCGGCGGCCCGGTCCACGTCGCCAGTGGTTGCTCTGCTCTGGCGTATGCCTTGGTGCTTGGCAAGCGAAAGCTTCACGGCCAGAGATCTATGATGAAGCCACACAATGTCTCCATGGTTTTCATTGGTACACTTTTGATCTGGTTTGGCTGGTTTGGGTTCAACGTAAGCGGGAATCAATAATTTTCGTTCTGAAGCCAGGGGCGACTGACGACAAATCAGGGTGGTTCCACTCTCAATGGGACCATTCGTTCCTACATGGCCGCGTGGAATACAAATGTCTCGGCCGGTATGGGCGTGATCGGTTGGTCCATCGTTGATATGATTCGTAACAAAGGCAAGTTGTCCGTCGTGGGCGCCTGTGAGGGTGCCATTGCAGGTCTTGTTGGTAAGTGTGAAATCGAAAACCATTCACCGAACATCGGTATACTGACTCGGGTCAGGTATCACTCCAGCCGCCGGTTATGTCTCGGTCTGGTTCGCCGCCGCCATTGGCATCATTACCTCCATGGTCTGTGCCTCTCTTCAAAATATCAATGACTGGCTCCACATTGACGAGGGTATGGATGTATTCAAACTTCACGGAATTGGTGGTATGGTTGGATCCTTCCTCACTGGAATTTTCGCCTCATCGTCAGTCTCTGCTCTCGACGGTGGCACACTCGCTCCCGGTGGTGTCGACGGTGAAGGCTCCCAGATTGCCAGACAGCTGGCCGACATAGCTTCCATCTCCAGCTACTCCTTCACCGTCTCGTTCTGCCTCCTGATCATTATGAAGTATCTCGGCAAATTTGTCCCCTTCATGGCTCTTCGTGTCAGTGAAGAAGCAGAAGTCCGTGGTATTGATGAAGATCAATTCTTTGAGGAAGAAGTTGGTGATTGGTCTCTCTTTGAGCATGCTGCAATGACCCAGGGATCCAAATTGGTCTCTACTCCACCAAGTCCACCTGCTGAGACGGAGAAGAAGGCCACCGATTCTGAGCCAAGCACTGCATGAATGGGGGCTTGCAATCAACTCCGTTACCAGCACATAGGGGAGAGAGTCGGTATAGAAACTCTGGCAACTGAAAGGGGAGTCTGAGAAGCAATCCCCTGTGTTGGCTCATCAAATAGATGTCTCTGTACATCATCAAATTCGAGATTGGATAGTTCGATTATCGAAATTGCCTCTAATAGTAATCTTGTTGACCCCCCCAAAAAATTACCCTGTCCTTGGTTCACAATTTTGACCGTCTGCTGCGTTCTTTGACCACGGCTCGAGCGCCTTCCACCAATGATGTTTCGGCATCCATGAACATCTGCTTGTTGAGCCTCGCAGCCAACGATAGTACTCGAACGGACACTGCTGCTCCATCCCGTCTGTTTTTGCCTTCACGCCGATGTTGTGCAATTTTCTCAATGAAATCCCATAGTCGTCCCGATGCTCTCAGCTCGCCCGTCATGGGATCTCTCTCCGGTGTCCATTCGGGAGCTAATCGTACCGTGACTCCTGGTTTTGCATCTTTGCTTTTCGACACCAAAATCATTCCCTCCTCTTGAAACCGGCTATAGGCGTTCTTCAGAGCCTCCTTGTTGACTGCCTCGAAATATGAAAGGTCACCCTGATGATACAGCGTCCGTCCTGCGAGTTGGGCGGTGTTTTGTGCCTTTTGCATATCGATCCACGCGATAGGAGAACCAGCGGGAGGTACCAGCACCAGTAATGAAACCGTCCCTAGCCAAGCCGCATCCACGAACGGCCATATAAGAAAGCAATAGAAATCAAAATTCTCACGTCCCAATTTCCGCTCAGCATCCGACAGACCAACCTTTCTTTCACCATCTTCTGTGACTTGGAGTACATCATCTCGCAACAATCCTTGCATGGCATCTTGGAGGTTATGTCTCAATCCTTGTCCCGCAGGGAATATGAACTCTCCTCGGAATAGTTGCGATAGGAAGGTGACTTTGTCGATCAGTTCTGTTTCGCTCATCTGTTGATTGGCGCTGCCTCCACCTTGCTTTACCTTGGTATACAAGGCAGCGGCGATGAGGGTTTCCGAAATGAAGAGGTGGATGGTCATGTTCCGGTAAAATGAAAGCTGGAAACGGTCAACAGCATAGTAGGTCTCCTCGGCTAGACCATCGACCGAACCAACCAACTTCGGGCCCAACACTTCGAGAGCGCGCTCGACCACGAATGAGGTAGGCCGGCCCCGGAAATCTGTGACCTTCCCGCCATTAGCCCGAGTTCTTGCACAAAGCCAATCAACTCTTCGGATCAACTCAGATTTGCCCACACCGCGGCCACGAAGTGTGAGAAGAACCGTGCCAACTAGTGCCGTGGGCATAACAACAGAGGCCGAGTTGATATCCGAGAGGACCTTGTACCCAAGAGTTCTCAACAGCCGCGTCTTCGAGGTAGTATCCCGGGAATCTGATGACGAGATCTGGAGATCCATTTGGTTTTGACGTTCTTGTTGCTCCCGGATAAAATCTCTGAGACTCCAGGGTTCGTGAAATCTGCAGTCAACTCGTCCTAAATTCAGGGACAACACCGAGGATGATGAGATGAAATCGGCCAAGTTTTCCTTTTGCTTGGGTTTTCCCAACAACTCGCTCACATACGAGTCAACTTCGATGACTTTGTCGTATTGCAACGATACAGGACATATATAAGCGTCATCGGTTCGGCCTGAAAGAACAGAATCGAGTAAGAATCTCAAGAATCCAAAGCGTGGGCCCAATAGTTTACCGGTCCGGCTTCTTGTGCCTTCGATAAAGCACTCGAGGTTGTAACCTTGCTGGAGAAGGGTGTCTAGGTATGCCTGCACAAGGGTTGTATAAAGCTGGTCATTGTCGAAGCTCCTTCTAATCCACATTGCCCCGGTGTTTTGCAAGAAGTTGCCCACCAGAGGGAAGTTCAAGTTGTCTCCGGCCACTACAACCGGTAAAGTCAGGCCGAGGCGATAACATATCAGATGTAGAGTGACATAATCAATATGGCTTGTATGGCGTGGCAGGAATATAATTGACTGGTTTCGTTTCGCCGCTTGTGTCGCCACTTCTCGCAATCTCTTCACCTCCGCTTCAGAGACATGAATTGCGCTGTAGGCTCGAGTAAGCAGTTGCGTCACCCCGTAAAATGCAGCTCGAATGTATGGTTTGCTCTCCATTTTGCACATCATTTTGTCTACCATGTCACTCGCAATGTCTACCAGTTGAGATGCGATCTCGTGTCTGCGCCGTTTCCTCTCTTGTCGGTATGTTGGGCTGGCGGGGTCGAGGAAGAACTCCTTCTCTTCCACTTTCAATCGGTCCTCGGTCAGTTCAACGACTTTCTGGCGCAATATTGGAGACGCCATGACCAAGGACTTGATTTTGGCCGTGTAGCCAGGATAAAAGACAGGCTGCCCAACAATATGACCGTATCCGCGCCATCCGACACCGCGTACGAAGAGTGAGATCTCGTGGGCAAAGTTGAACGGATTCTTTCGAAAGCGTGCCATACGAGTAAGAAGGCTCTGGTCGGTAGAGTCATTGGGGCCATTGTCGGGTTGGTCCTGACCCTCGGCGCGGACGAGGTCAACCATGATTTTTGAGAGAAAGGGACTGTAACCGGAGGAAGTGGCTTAGAGAGGATTAGCCATAGAGGGCGCGAGTGATTATCGAGAAAGCCATGTCTAATTTCTAACACTGCATATGAAAAGAGCTCTACATCGAAGCTGTAACAATGTAAAATCGCAGTTTGATTGTTTGCGAGATCATCTCCGCTTCTGCCCTCCACACTCTCGACCCCAGATTCTGCACGTGACTGGCTTACATAAGTACCAGCCTTTGTCAGCCACGCAACGGCCAGCCACCACGTCCAGCCAGGTTTTCTGGCTGACCTTACATCTATTCATCCCTTCGGTATCTTTTTGCACATATCAATCAAGATGAACTCGAGATCCTTGTGCCACTTCCCCTTGGGAATGATCCACTGTGGCCCGACCTGTTCAAACCCTTTCTTCTTCCAATACTCTCCAAGGAGATTTTCGACGACCTTCATCCAAAGTCGCACTTCTTTCCCTGACGAACGTTCCAACAAAGTATTTGATAATGCTGTGAGACATCGATCGACCAAACCCTGTCTACGGTATGGAGGCTCGTTCCTCGAGGCGGCTGGACTGATCTCCCAATCGTAGCAATCACCAGATGTGTCTGCCCAATTGTTGTCCCTCTTCCAGCGCGTGATCCCCACAACCGCTACTGGTATATTTCCTTTTCCGGGGTCCTGAACAACGGCATAGAGCCCGTCGTCTCCCAGTTCTGCTAACATTGCATTCGAATCCGGGAACCGGCTGATTGAGCCTTCCTCTTCGCGCTCTTTGTATGCTTCATTGATCATATCCAAGAGGGAGGTCAGGAGAGTATGTTCATGTTGAAGCTCCTTCGAACTGAGAATTCGCAGTGGCAGGAGAGAAGCCATCCAGGTATACAATATGACAGACCTTGAACAATTATCTTGAGAACAACGCCATTGGCATATTCTTGAGTCACGACTAGATGTTTAACCCAAGGGGCGCCAAGGACAAACCAAAATTCATACCAACTCGATGTCATTGCAGATTACAGGAAACTTCTACCGCACCAATTGTTCAGAGAAAAATTTGGGACTCACCTTTCTCTGAGAATTCTTGCTTTCTTTCACGCCCGATTCTTGGGCATCCAAGTGTTTATCAGAAAGATGATCCCACTATTGCGTGAAACAGTCCGACCGGCCGCATGGACTCATACCCATGTTCTAATGAGGCGCATAAAGCAGGCATTCCTATGTGTCGCCGACGCTGATCCTTGAAAACCGAACCTTCTCAGTTCGCTCATCGGAGACTTTATTGACAGATTCATTACGTTCAATCCTTTCTGTCGGTATTCCAGCCAGACTCTTGAGTTCGGTCCATAAGCACACGACGGCTATCTATCTCATCACACAGTGATCCTCAGGGTCGGTCACCTCTTCCAATGGAGTGGCCGAATGCATTCACTGCCACGACAGAGGACCATGTTTGCTGGGCTATACCGGTTCAGTCCCACACTCTTCCCCTCACAGAATCACCGCTATGCATCCGTCGGATGCCCCATTTCCAAGAACTCGGGTATTGATAAATGGCCGCATTTCTGCGAATAAAATCTCGAAAGAAGACTATTGTGCGGGGCATCCTGTTGATCACAGATACGCACGACTTGGAACCAAAAAGTAAGACAATTCGGTTGGCGCGGCACTTGACCGTCTTCTCAAGCTTCTCGAATCAATCTTGGCGACTCTGTTGGTATCTCCAAATCCTTTTAGTACGGCATCGTTTGGTCACGCATCAACGAATGGTTTAACCGAGATTTCTGACCAAGCCCCTATTGCCAAGAAAGTGTGCCACCTTATAGCTTCTTATACTAGCCAGGGTTTGTTGGTACGCCATCCACTTTATTATTCCCCAATGTTTCCCCAGAGATAGGGAATTGATCCACGATGCCCCATTTTGTGGGGGAAAATGTGATTTGGTCATGTTGGAGAGAACAAACTTGATAGGTGTTTATATTGAAAGACATAATTGCGGACTGCAGTTGCGGTCAGCCAAAGGAAGAAACTTCTACCCAGGGGGTTTTATTTTTCGTTTCAAAAAAACGAATTTCTCTCCGTCGGATCTAATAACCAACATGGGCATCAGCAAGGAAAGAGTCAACCCTATAAAAGACAACTGGAAGTGTGTCCTCATTTGTCTGGCTGTGTCTATCGCAAATTGTCAGTATGGATTTGACACGGCGACCGTCGGTGGCTTTCAAGCGATGGTAGGATTTCTGGAGATTTTTGGGTATCGCAATCCGGAATCAGAAATTGGCTGGAGCATCAGAACCCAGACCCAGCAACTCATGACATCTTTCATCAATGTCGGCACCATCATCGGCGTGTTTGTCACTGCCCCTTTTGCCCGCTATTTTGGGCGTCGGCCAGGGATGTGGGTGGCTAGCCTGATCAACTTCATCGCAGCCGGAGTTCAAGTAGGCACTACTTCGCTGGCCGGGCTCTATGCGGGAAGAATTCTCATTGGTTTGGCCAACGGATATTTCATTACATTCGCCAATGTCTACGTCGCCGAGGTTGCTCCTGCACACCTCCGTGGTCTTCTGGTGTCATTCTTTGGGATTTGGGTCAATATCGGTAGCGTGATGGGCGCTGTTGCTGACAATTACTCGAAAGAATATTTGAATAAGTTGTGCTATCAGATTCCTCTCGCCAGCCTTTTTGCTGTGCCATTCCTTTTGAGTGTGTTTCTCATCTTTGTCCCCGAGTCACCTAGGTAAGTCGAATGGTTCTTGACTTCCGTCCACATTTCCATGGCTGAACGTCGATTAGGTGGCTTCTTGTCCACAACCGTCCCAAAGAGGCGAAGAGGGCGCTCGAACGATTACGAGGAAATTCCCTGGCGCCAGAATTTCTTCATGAAGAATATGTGGAAATGGCACGCGGGATCGAAGAAGAGAAGGAATTGGCCTCATCGGCCTCCATTCTCGACATCATCAGGGGAACCGATTTGAGAAGAACGATTATCTGCTTTGGCACAATTCTCTCTCATGCTGGAGCTGGACTCTGGTTGATTATTGGCTATGGGGTACGCCACTAACGCAGTATCACCATTGAAATTCACGAAACAGAAGCTAATAGCGTCCACAGACCTTTTTCTTCCAAATAGCAGGCATCGATAAGCCGTTCCAGGCGTCAGTTATTTCAACTTGCGGTAGCTTCGCCGGTGTCCTCGTTGGGCTTTACTTCACTACCAAAGTCATCGGTCGACGGACATCAATGCTTTTTGGCTCTGCCACCGCCTCTCTGTGTATGCTCGCCATAGGTATTGCTTACACTGTCGGAGGCACATCTCATCCAGCGGGCACTGCCATCGTGGCATTCATGGTCCTTTATGGTTTCTTTTACAATGGCTTCTCCGGAACTCTGAGCTGGCCAGTTGCGACTGAGGTTGTGAGCTCGCGTCTCAGAGTCTTGACCATTGGCGTCTGCACAGGCATCAACTACTTTTTCAACTGCGAGTGTCTTAATCGTTCCGACCAAATCCATGCTGATTCTTCCAGGGCTTACCTCGTATACTGCTCCTTACTTCATCAATCCCAACGAGCTCAATTGGGGTGCAAAATATGCATTTGTGTGGGCGGGCTCGAATGCTTGTGTTTTTCGTGAGTCATCCGCTTCTCTCGTGTGCTGACCTCCCTTCAATGGCAAAACACTTTTCTTACGCACACTAGCTAACCTATAATGCCCCCTAGTTTTCTTTTTCTTCCTCCTTCCTGAGATGAAGGATCGATCTCTCGAAGAATTAGACGAGCTGTTTCAAAACCGCGTCTCTGTCCGAAATTTCAAGAAATACCAATGTGTCAGCTCTGAACGCGCAAGGGAAGTTGCTCTCAAGGAAGCTGGTCAAGGTTTGGAGGGGAAGAAAGATGTCATCGTGGAAACGGTGGAAGACGCCTCCGAATCCAAAGTCTGATATTCTCTTCCGTATGCATTGCCGGAAATGGAAGTGGTATTGTCCATAAAAGAGGACCGAAGGGCTGGTGTCAAAGTAAGGGTGGGTTACACTACCAAAGTAGTCCTGCTTGCCGACGGCCCGGACCCTCCAAGCCCATCGGCGTCCACTGGCTTAGATAGGCACTTGTAAGGGAAGGGATGTCAGACTGATATCCATGAAACAATATACTCTTGCTACTAGTGTCAACCCCTGTGTATGGCAACTTCAGTGCTCAGCTGGACGAGGGCTGTGCTCAAGTGCATCGGAGAAAAAGAACCCGCCCTGATCATTGGCGTTCGCCCTCGGGTTTGCAAAGCCCTGGGACCGAGCTGACCGTTTGTGACCACTCTAGGAAATGAAAGTCGGACCTACGCTGAGTCCGGATTCGGGATCGAAGATATGAAACCTGTGCTGCCTTTCCCGCGTCTGGTAATCGGCGGGAAGACATGCCACAATCTTCTGCAGCCTGTTTCAAGCTTCTTATCCTCGAAAGAGCCTTGCTCCATCTACAAGGATCAAAGCTCAGTCTTTGGCCCCTGCGTTTCCAATCCGAATGGATTTCCATGGGAGAGGGGAATTTCGTACCAGATAGAAGTTTGTCCCTGAACCTCACCGAACTCATCTGAGAATATAGATTTTGCGGGATACCTGCAAGTGGAATGGGACATCAGAACGAGGCATTGATTCAGTAGTCTCACTTAATGAACTCATCTCTCCTCTCAGCATTGGGGCAATTTCCTCTGGCTGCACGAATGTTCTATTTACCGACAGACTTGGTGAAATATAGGAACGAACACTTGGTATTATGATGCTGTGATACCATCAATCCAGATATTTTACGAGAACGCCATGATATAGAGAGTGCAAGGGCTGCCGCAGAAGCCTATGAATCCCGATTTTCCCTCGGCCCGTGGAGCAGAGCTGCTAAGCATCGATTCAAGGTTGGATCCTTGCCAGGAAGTCACAATACGTCGAGTTTTAGCTCACTGTCCAGGTGTTGAAATCCAGGAAGGTTTCGTCGCAAAGGCCGAGGAGGGATTCTATTTCATTGCATGGCTCCAAATGAACGAGTTCAAGCAGGGAAATCAATGGGAGTGTGAAACATACGCGAAATTGTTGGTGAAAATGACCAGAGGAGGGCTGAAAGAGGAACGTCGTAGACTAAGGGTGGAGAGTCAAAAAAGAGACCTGATTCAGGAGAGAGTAATTCTCTTCCCAAAAGGGAGGTCGTTTATATCTCGTCCGCGTAAGCGGCAAGGCAATGGGCGGATTATTGTTTCTCCGAAGGTACGGAGGAGTAATGGGTTTCCGCAGTTTCGAACTTCTAAATTTGTCTGCCGATTGCGTAGTTCAACGATCCTCCACGACCAAAGACATTGACCGTCCTTTCCTGTCGCTCATTCCTATCCTAGATTTGGAATTCAGTACATAGTCTTCCTCCTTCAACCTGGTGGTTTGCTGGCCAAACAATCTCTTCAGGCGGATGGAGCATGTGAGGACGCCACCGTGGTCATGGGCAACGACGCCGATAAACGTTATGGAGTCGTGCTAGATGCTGGTTCATCTGGCACCAGAGTTTACATTTACAGATGGCTTCAAAATTCCATCGCCCGGCTCGATCAGTCCTCCCTTCGTGCCCTCCCAGAATTGGAGACCAAAGACAAGTGGACCAAGAAAGTCCATCCTGGTGTTTCAACTTTCGGCGCGACACCTGAATCAATCGGCCCAGAACACCTAAGACCTCTTCTTGAACACGCTCTGGAACATATCCCAACAGATGCCGTGCCTCAGACACCTATTTTCCTGCTGGCAACGGCGGGGATGCGACTGCTCCCAGATCAACAGCAAAAAGATCTCCTGCGCCATATTTGTTCATACATTCGCTCCGAAACAAAATTCTCCCTTCCTGATTGTGATGTGCATATTCAAGTGATACCCGGCGAGACTGAAGGATTATATGGGTGGATCGCTGCAAATTATTTGCTGGGTGGATTCAATTCGCCCGAAGAGCATGACCATGGCAAGGGACATCACACCTACGGTTTTCTAGACATGGGCGGTGCTTCCGCGCAAATTGCCTTCGCACCAAATTCCACAGAAGCAGAGAAGCATGCAAACGATTTGACATTGCTCAGACTCCGAACAAACGATGGGACAGCGCGCGAGTACAAGGTATTTGTTACAACGTGGCTGGGCTTTGGCGCAAATGAAGCCCGTCGACGATATGTGACAGATCTTGAGGAGTCGTACGGGATTGATGGTTTACTGGAAATGCCCGATCCGTGTTTGCCAAAAGGACTGAAATTGACGCTAGACGGGACCATAATATCGGGTGACTTGGACCCAGATTCCAAGCATTTACTTGTCGGCACTGGCAAGTTCGACGAATGCCTTCGCCGTACATTTCCGCTACTGGAAAAAGACATGCCCTGTCCAGATGAGCCTTGCTTGGTTCATGGCGTCCACGTTCCAGCAATAGACTTCGATGTCAACCATTTTATCGGTATTAGCGAGTACTGGCATACAACACACGAAATTTTTGAAATGGGCCACCAAGACAAGGCATATGATTTTAACACATACCAAAGTCGAGTCAGAGATTTCTGTGAACAAGATTGGTCGGCCATCGAGCAAGGGATAGCACAAAATACATGGGGTAAAAAGGTGGACGAAAAAACAGCCCTAGAAGTTTGTTTCAAGGCTTCGTGGCTTATAAACATGCTTCATGACGGTATAGGCATTCCACGAGTTGGCATTGAAGACACGTCATCCTCAACTCATAATGGAACGAAAGAACTTCTAGAAAGCGGAAAGGAGAAGGGGTTTCTTGATCCTTTCCAAGCTGTTAACAAGATCAAATCCACGGAAGTCAGCTGGACAATGGGCAAAATGGTACTGTATGCTTCTGCCGAAGTTCCAGCCGCTGTCGAAGGAGATCTGCCCGTTGGTTTCGGCAGCAACGTACCTGGTATCCCCAAGGACTTTCAATATCCAGGAGGTGGAAAATTGCAAGACATTCCTAACTACCAACCCAATCAGACGTCAAGCACAGAAGGTTCCCAAAGTATCACAGGTCAAATCCACGACACCCTATTCAAATCGGACGTCACCCACCGCCTCCCTGGTTTTATATTCTTCCTTCTCATTCTCATAATAGCCATATTCTACCTCTGTGGCCGCGATCGCCGGTCTCGAATCTACAACTCCATCTTCCCACCTTCCTCGTCGTCGTCTGCGAAACTCAAGACCCCATTTACTCTTCTTCATAAGCTCCTCGATCGCCGCAACGGCAACGTTCGACTTGACCGCGACCTGGAAGAAGGATCACAACGGCTCTACGACCCTAATGATTTCGAACTAGGCAACATGTCTTCCTCTGACGATGATGGCCTCGGTCTCGACGCAGACACTGCTTTTTCCAAATCCATCCCCCGCCCAACATCACAGGGTAGGAGCTCACCTCGAAGTAAACGCAACCTAGGCCGATTGACACCTGACGTGATGGATCGCACGGGGTTGGTGGTCAGGACGGAAAGCCGCGAGCGCCTGGGTTTGGATGTCGCTAGCGGCCGATCTAAGAGCCGTAATGGAAGTCCGATCAGGCTGAAATGAACGAATTCGAGATGAGATTTCTCTTATCAATCGGATCGTCATGTTTGACTTGAGCTTGCCAGCATTGACTACTATATCTATGTAAATGAATGAAGAGAAAATTGCTTCTTGAAAATACTACGTTCTCTTAATATATACACATATGTGGTTCATACCCACGCCTTCTACTCTCCAGAATTTTCTCCGCGTTATTAATATGCAATTACTCCCGACTATGTGGTGTTCGCTGTGACAAGATTGATTTCGCACACGGAATACCTGGCGTCTTGCATATAAAGTATCTCTGTTCGTGCATAAGGGAACCTGTACCTCCGTACTCAAAACATCGCGCCAAAAGGAGACACTTCCAACTCAATCAATCAGATCCGCACAGATCCAATACATCATAGAAGTATCAAATCAATCCGTCCCACCCCTTCGTAACCCCACGCTGACCGCCTCCGGTAATCTGAATTCCGGAATGCTCCTCTCTGATTCCGGCTCGCAAATCGGGCGCAGAAGACTCGAACTTGTCCCGCTCGTGCCTGGTGGGGCGTTCTTTCTGTCCCTCAGCGCCGGTAATGTGGCTGTGACTTCTTTGAAGAAGGCCTCGAGGCGCTCGGAGTCATGGCAGAAGGACTCGAGGTCGTCTTTGATTTGTTCGGGGGTTACGTAGTGGGAAAACCCCGAATCTGAAGAGACGAGGGGGCGGCGAGCGCTGCCACCGGCGGGGATGACGTCGGCTGTTATGACCTGGGCCGTGGCGGCACCGGCTGCAGTGGCACTAGTAGCAGCAGTGGCTGAGGTAGCTGAGGCACCGGAGGAAGAGGACGTCGTAGCAGTTGTAGCAGACGGGTTTGGCGTGGTCGGGAAGGGACGAATGAGTGGTGATGCAAACGGGCCGGGCTGTGGCGACTGGACGTTCAGGCCGATGATGCCGGAGGCTTGTACGTTTGGGGCTGGAGCGAATTGTATAGAGAGCGTCGGAGGGCGCACGAGCATGGAACTTGACACATTGGGTGTCAGGTCCTTCTTGCTATTGTCAAATCTTGACGATGAGTCTTTACTTGAAGCTTGTCGCGAGTTATACAGGCGGTTCGCTAGAAGTAGGATGTCGCCATCGTCTGTGATCTGCGCCAGAACGACGCCCGACCGATGTACGAATTGTGTGTATCTATAATCCAACTTGCCCCATGAATACTTAATCTCGACGTTCTCGGGAAACTCGGAGGGTGCCTCGAGGTCGAGCACAAAGTTGAACCGCTTCAGCAATGCTTTTTGGTAGATGTGGATGTCCGAGTTCAATGGAGTTTGTGGCCCGAACGACGTCGCTGTGAAATACGTGTTGCTGACGGAGCTGCGGTGAGGGGGTTCGAGGGCAAGCTTGATCCTGTGAGCGGCGCGGAATGGTTCGTGTTCAGGCACCTGGGCAGCCTCTGCGATGGGGACTTCGACGAGCTTCAAGCCGTATTTCTCGGCCTGTGTCGTCCAGCTGATGATGGCGTCGTCGACTAGTTTCGACGTCACGTTCAACCAGGAGAGTTCAAGATGGTAACAGTTCTCTGGATTGTGAAGTCTGTCGTAGTGGAGATTGATGATTTCGGGCCGGTTCGAGCGTTTTCTGAGATCGACGTCGATTCTGATCACCTTGCTCAATGTCACAGTCCGTTTCTTCTTATCGCCCAGAGACTTTGCAAGTTCGGAGTTGACCTGTGCTTGGCCGGCGAGATTTGAGCCTGATCGCGACCGGGGACTCATCAAGTCGCGGTTTGGATGATCCGTGATTGGAGTGGGTGGAATTGACCGGTCCGAGCGTCGACTTGCGGGAAACCACGACTGTCGGATCTCTGGTCGCTGTGCACGCCATTCTGGTTTGATAGAGTAGAAATAGTTGCCATCCTTGAACGTGTGACGGCTGTTGACGTGTTCGAACAAGTTCTCTTTCATCAGGTCGTTACCCAATTCGACAGCCTCTTCTCTGGTTTCGATATCTCTGAAATTGTGGACGAGCCAATTCGTCAAATCTTCTCCCATGAAGCAGCTATAGTGTAGACGCCAATGCCATCGCCGATTTTTGATTTCGATTCCATTTTCACCTTGCAAGGCTTGCGCCAACTTCGATAAGCTGAAAGTTTCCTTCTCGAATTGTTCAGATTCAGGGAGAAGTTGCGTGGTTTGGACTTCACCGCCCTCTTCGGCAGCGAGTAACTTATCGAGCTCCGTCGCCACCAGTTCCGAAGGGTTTAGAGTTTCGAGATTGATTCTCAAAGGATTCCGATCTTTCCGCTTCATCGTGCTGAGGCGATTGTGAGTGGGCCTTCTTTCATCTGGAGGGACATAGCGAGCTTTTTGCCACATCTGTGTCAATGCTCGAATGCCGCGTAGATGTATCTCTTCTTCATTTTCTTCAGTATCAGAAGGTGCAGGCCTCCAAGCATTTGCCGGCGGCTGCACCGGTATCAGGACAAAGCGGGCACGCCAGAAACGAAGAGCTCCTACATCTGCATCTGGTTGCTTTTTGAAGGTAGCAAGATACTGATCTGCCTCTTCCCAAGGATATTGCTCCGAAAAGCCATTGAATTGCATGTCTCGGATCTTGTATGTGTCCGACAGGATAGTCCTGATGTTGGGATGATAGTTTATTTGCTGAGAGTAAGGAGGTTGGACGTTTGGAGGACTGCGCACATATTTGGTCACTCGAATGCGGTTCGAGTCTTGAAGTGACAATCTTTGGATTGTATTTCCCATCGACATGTATGTAAGAAGTCCATCTGACCGAACAAGACCAGGGGTGAAGAATGAGGAGTGGTCACACATCCCGGGCCCAACGGATTCAATCAAGGACGGACCCACGACTAATTGATAACCATGGGAAAATCTCAGGGCTAGCATTTCTCGAAATAATGCGTCCCGAGATTCAGGAGCCTCAAGCATGTCATTCGAGTTCTCCAACCTGATGTCGTAAGCAGTTATGTCGTAGTCGGTTTCTAGCTCCTGCTTCGTAGGGAAGTCCTCAGTGGTCAAAGGAACGGAGGCAGGCGTGCAAAGCGATCGCCATTTGACGGTGGCCGCGCGAGGTTTTCGTGGATACAAGTGTTGCCATCTTCCGAAGAAGGATTCTCTGTCTGGATGCCGCTTTAGAGGATTCGACGCATTGACATTCCTTATAAAAGGAACAGTGCTCCTTGGGACGGAGCTAGCGATAGAGGATCCTAACCAGCCTTCTGACGGTTCCATACTCTCGCCGTCTTCTTGATCATCACTTTCAGAGGAGATTGAAGATTCACCGTCAGATCTCTTATCAAGCCGATGATCCGCTTTTCTAGAGCTGACATCTTTTCCCATCTGCTCGGACGTCAAGTTTGATCGTTGGGAGCTTCCGAGCCTATCATCATGGTACCTCCGGAGTGGGGTGTTGATGGAGATTGGTTTTGATGGCGTGTCATCTACTCGTATCGCTGACCTGGTAGCCGTCTTTTCTGGCGTTGCGATGCCTTCACCATTCTTCTCGCCTATCACGCTGCTCATGGAAACTGATCGAATACTTGCCGCTGATGTTGGAATGGTTGGTCGTGAATGGCTTGGGCTACTGAATAGCGGTTGAGCTTGTGCGTTGGTAATATTCACTTCGGTACTTGCAACCGCCCGGACGGGAGGGGCAAGGCCGCGCAAAGAATAGTTCAGATCGCGGTTGACCTTGGGGACTTCGGGAGTTTTCTTGTTGGCCAAGGTCTGACTCGAGGCATCGGCTGATGCTAGGGAAGAGAGTTGAGGTCGGAAAGGTGAATTAAAGGATTTATTGGTGAGGGCCTTGATCCCCTTGGACCCAGTTTTAGGCTCTTCGGCGGTGGTGTGTGCTTTGCCCGGTGAGGTTGAGGTTATGGTTTTGTTTCCCACAGGCGGTGCTGGTGCTGGTTTCGAGCTTTTGCTTTGCAATGGAAAGCCTGGATGTGTGCGGAATAAATCAGAGTCATATCGATCCATACGGTCGAAGATATCCCCCATAGCCTTCGCATGTGTTGACAATAATCCCTGGGTGGTGCGTACCGGCTCGGTACTGAACCGACTTTTGCGTGATATTGTCGGAGAATGGGACAAACTTCTGCTCCCGCTTGCTCGTCTTCGTTTGGACGTGATGCGGCTGAGGGAAGCGAGCGCTGCATTTTGGGTCTCGCTCATGAACGGAATGCTGATATCTGCCATGCCCAGTTCCATAAGGCCCATCATCTGAATTTCATACATCCTTACTCGCGACACGAATGGGCCTTTCTTGCGTTTCGACTTATTGATATCCCTTTGTTCGTCTTCACGCCTTATTGTTGGTGCCAAATCAGCTTCAGCTGACCAGTAGGATAGGTCGATCCATTGAGGAATTCCATAACACCATCCTTGTCCGTTATCGTGTGTCTGTCTGGACATGTAACTGGAAAGGTACCGAGCACTGTTGGTGGTGATGGACGATAACGCAGGGGACAGCTTTCGAGGTTGGCTGGAATCAAAGAAACTTGGTCCAGATCCAGAGCCTCGAGGGCTCATGCCGAATGGGTTAACGATCGGGGGGAGGGTAGCTTGTTCAGTTCCGGTGGCCCGATATTTGAATAATGGCACGGAATGTAGAGGCATCTTGGAAAGGCAAACGATGTCAATTCCAACACCATTATTGGTCAAATTTTGAGATGTCAGGTTGAGAAGATCTCGGTCAACTTCGAAGACTCCGGTCCCTGCCGTGATTATCACAATGGAGACGCCGGTTCGAATAAGATCTCGATCCACATAATCGTTGGCGAACTGAGTGCAAGCAATATTGATGGCTTCCAGTATATTTCCCTTCAATGCAGTGCTTGGTCGACCCGCGATACGTGTTGCCTGTGTCTTGGTATCTTTGAGCGTGGTTTCACTGTGGCTGGAGGCGTGCAAAGAGATGTCCCGCAGAAAGACACGAAAGTCCTTTTTGAGTTCATTCAAGATGGTTGTCCATTGCGCACTGGCCATGTCCGTAACAACGACTCGATAGAAATCTTGATATTGACGAGCTGTCATGTTTTGAAAGCCAGAGGATGGTGCCATTTCAAGTCTCCTATCCTTGTTTCTGGCAAGATCGAATCGGTCGTATTCCAGTCGGCCAAAAAGGACGATGCTGACAAGGTGATGAACATCCAGATCAGTCCACCGTTTGAAAAGATCTGGTAGAAATCCATTAATGACCCGATTGAACATGATTTCGCCGTTGCCGTCCGAGTCGAAATCCCACATCTCACTGGACATTTGTATGAAGAGCACATACCGTGCGGCTTCACTCCGGAAGACTGGGATTGTGGTGCCGGCAAAATATGCGGTGGGGACTTTATGGCTTTGAACATGGATGGACTTGACTGTGAGCTTGATGCTGCCCAAGAAAGTGATCTTCTGACCGGCATAGACTGTCTTGCCCGCTAATTCTTGACCCACAAGGCGCCACATATCGGATCGGGCAAGGTACATATCCCTGAAGCTGAATTCGACATGGGAGGCGGTGGTATCCTCGAACGATGCAGGTAGTATCCATACATAAGACCGTGAACGGAGTCCAAATGCCGCAGCAATATTGTTCTTGATGGAAACTTGAAGATTGGCTTGTTTTGCTTTGAACTCCGTCTGGGCAAATTTGGCGATGCAGAGATATCTGGTGTTCCTGTCAATGTCATGATTTAAGTCGAAGTTTGAGTCGGGATTTCGCCTGCTGTCATCATTCTCGCTGTTGGGTGATTGAAAATCGCGAATGTCGGAAGTTTCCTTGGCGGGAAAGATCTCAATCAAATCTCCTTCGCGTATCTCTGAATCTTCAAGGATAGACTCGTTAATGAGGAGATTTTCTGAAGAGAAACTATCATCATGAACCCAGAGAGCTGCGCGAACTGGGTGGGCGGCGAGCGTTGGTTGAGGACCATTGCTTGAACCCTGCTGAATGCTGGGAGTTGCTTTAACTGTTGAGCCACTGCTGGCTCGCCGGTGACCTTTTGGGTTGAGATCGTTGAGGGACATTATTCCAGGATCTCACGTCACATTACCTTGATGGAAATTGCCTTTGCTGTAGCTGTGGCCGCAATCTAGCAACTCGACGCGGGCATTCCAGGGCCGGGGGATCGTCATATTCCTCGATATTAGACGCGGCGCCTTGAATTTTCCATTGATGGAGCCGTCAGAGGTCCCTTAAGGCTAGCATGGCTACGACATTGATTCCCCTTGCATTCTAGAACTTTCAGATTTGGCGGCGCGTGATGCTGAAAGATGAAGACGGAGTGAAGTCTCAAGTTGACCCAATAATTTCGCGCCGCGTAAATTCCGATGAGGCTCTACGCACGTGATCAGCCTTGTTACCCGATATGGGGACTAAAGAACATGGCAACAGATGGATACTTTGGGAGTTTTGTCGAGAACCAGTTGAGATCCTATCTATGCTTTTGACTGTGTGTGCTCAGTTGTCTCCTTCATACATCTAAATCTTCCAAGCTAATTGTACATCTTCTCAAAGGGTATCTAGGATTCGATCCTCCTCCGGGTAGATTCATTCCATCACCATATGTACAGACCGGTAAGGAGTTACCACACACTCCTTGTTTCAACACTGAGAAGCCATTTCTTGACCCCTTCACGCAAGACATTTTCTTGTTTCATTTCCTGACTAAGGGCTTTGCCATCAATCTTTGCATGACCGTCCGCATCACGCACCCGGTGATGCTTAGCCAAGTCGTCGTTGACACTCTTAACCACCTCCTCCAACGCTCCCACCACTGCCTGGCGGCAGTCCGACTGAGAAAGGGTCGAGGGCCGACCCCAATCTCTCATCTTCCCTGGGCCAGAGATCTCCAGAGGCTCCGATTTCGCCGACGCAGTCGTGCCCGTGGACACAGTTCGAGAATGTGTTCGGGACGGAGTACCTGACTTCTGTCTCGCCTGCTCTGTCTCGCTCAAAATCCGTTCAATTGCATCGGTGAGCGTCGTATCAAAGTCCATGACTATCTCACGGGTAAAGCGCTCCGGTTGATTGCGTGAGAAAACTGGTACCTTCGAATATTGAGACGTTCCAGATCTCTTCGAACTGCCCCAATCTCTTGGGGTAGAACCGGCAACGTTGTGCAGGTCTCCACTCAAGTCCTGGTCGACCCGACGGCTCAAGGTCAGACGTTGGATAGTGAAATTTCGGAGATCAGCCAGAAGTGTCGTACAAACGTTGACCCACCGTTCTCCATTCACTTCCTCTTCCGGAAGAAGACTGCAGAAATCTTCGATTGGAGTAATTTCTCTGGACATGCTTTGTTCGACTTCATCCTGCAACTCTGGATACGGCTTCACACCTTGGAGAATGAAGTCTTCGTGGTATCGTTTTAGGAAGCCCGCGACATTGGTAGTTTTCGTCCCTAAACCGTCGCCACGGTGGGACCTAGAGCTGTAGGAAGACTCAGCTTCATCCGAGCTAACAAACGAGGAAGAGCGATGGTGCGGAGAGGAAGGAGGCGAGCAACTTCTACCATCTGCCCAGCCTATGAATCCCGGGAGACCGATGTCCACATCTACCACCCCATCTTTGTCGTCAACCCTGAGTCGGGGTGGCTGTGCCTCACTACCCGCAACCGATTGTCTCCACGCTGTCGAAGGTTCCTCATTTTTGTCGGCGACAAGAGCAGTCTTCTGGAGATCACTGGCCTCATCAACCATACGCTCCAAATGACGTGGACGTCTTCCCTGTATTGGCATTGATCGAGGGGCAAGTTTGCGGCGGTCCCTCAGACTTCCTGTAGAATGTGGGGTGGTGCCTTCATTGGTGGGAGCCGATGATGAATCTTGCTTCTTGCCCCATAAACCGCTGACATTGCTAATCAGCGACCCCCAGTTGATACTTGGTTGAGGAGCTTGAGCATGGCTGGCGCTATCTCTTCGAAGTATTCGAGCAAGATCGGCGCTAGCACCACTGTCCTCGCCATCCACGACGACGCCTTCAGGGAAATAGCAGTCGTTTCTAGTTGAGAAGTGAGGAACAGGCGTCCCAGTGCTGGGCGTGGCAGTGGAGCTTGTCGCATTCGTTTTATGGATTGGTCCAGGTATCTCGGGAGGCGAGAATATTGAAGGATGTCTGCTCCGGCCCTCCTCATGGTCAGATCGTGAGAAAACAGAACGAGAGCTTCCCTGGACGGCCTTGCCAATGCCACTTGCGCTGTCGGTCGATGAAACGCTCGTAGAGAGCCCTGGAATATCACGACGTGAAAACGTAATAGGGCCATCACGAGATCTGCCGCGAGCATGTCGTCGGGTCGACGCCTCAGTAATGACTCTTCCCACGGGTGACGAAGAACTGATGTCGGGTGTGAGCAATGGGGACATAAACTCGGTTCCAACCTTTGCGGGTTGGCTCACTGCGTATGAGCGTGGTAGAAATGAAGCGAGCAAAAAGATGATCCGTCGTGCCGTAGATCGGTTATCGCAAATGATTACGGTGCGACCTGCAAGACAGCCCGGGCGCGTCTTCTTTTTATTCAGAGCTCTGAATTGCTTTCGATACCAATCCGGGCCTAGACGCTCAAGCCACTCGGTATGGTTTCCCAGAAAAGCAGTTAAGAGATTGAACAGGAAGAAGTTCTGTTGCTTATTTCCACATACACGAACAAGATATCGTGCCTCGTCAAGCCAATGGCCGCCGCTGTCAAGGCCAAAGCCGGTAAGCACGCGGGGAACACGAAGGGCATATGACACTCGCCACAATGTATGTTTGATGGCACGCTGGAGGTGAGAAACGCGGACCAATGCGTTTGGCGACCGAAGATAAACGTTCCGCTGATTCGTCCGCTGCTCTGACGGACCCTTTGGCGCTTTTGCTGCCGAAGAGACCATGGCGAGATTTACTTCTTGCAAAAGCTCACCAATTTCAATACGGGCTAGGGCCTCAATGACTGCTAGGCTCCGCAAGACGACATCCCAATTCTTGACAATGATCTCAATGCTTTTGTCGATCAATTGACCGGACGTCTCCGGTGACAACAAATGCTCCGGAATAGCATTCAGGAATGTCCACGAAAAGGAGTCGGATCCATATGAATTCGGGGCCGAAGACGTGGTGTAAGAAGCTCTTGATGACGGACGAGCACTAGAGGAGCTGACTCGCATGTCACTCGATCGTGGCAAGTAGCAGAGCAGGCCAACTGCAAATACGGGTGTTTTCTTCTCCACCAGCTTGGGTTTCTTACCTTGGACGCCCTGGGCATCTGGTTGTCCCTGTGTAGGTGTCATTGGGCTGCCAGAGTCAACTGGCCCATCAGAGGAGCTTCGATGCTGCTTGAAATGTTCCCGTGCTTCGGGTAGATTGACTGAAAACATTTGGGTGATCAAGACAGCATCTCGAGGCTCTCCTTCTGTTTCTCTGGGAGCCACGTGCTGACGATAGGTATTCACACCGTGTGTAGCAGTCCTCGATCTTAAGAGAGGGGCACGTGGGGGCACCGTGCTCGCTGCGTTTGAGGACGACGTTCGCGGTCCCAACTCCCTCGGCGCTCCTCGATCCCCGGGTAGCAGGTGGATTTTGGTGCTCGAACCCGTCTTGGTGGCGCTGCTGACACCAAACATACAATCTAAGACATTGCTGAGATGATCTGTAACCTCGAGGTCTTTGTTCGGGCGGCCCCAAGAAGCAGAGGCTCCAGAAATTGTAGAGCTTCGGTTTCTCGCATGGCCGACGATGGGGATGCCACGTTCGGGCCTGTTCCCAGGTCCCCAAGCGGGAGGGGGACTGGCTGGTTTCTGGGGTGGAGCAGTTTCCGAAGCTGGGTTGGGCTCCGCCGTCTGGGAATCGTACAGGACTAGAGGGCGGTCATTTGTGCCGAAGGCATCTTGGGCAACAACGAGCCTTAAATCTTTCGTTTCATTCAATTCTAATCCCACACGGTCGTCGAAAGGAGAGATTCGAAGGTTGGGAGAACCAAATGGTGTCGTAGGCGGTGAGACGGAGCTGGGACGCCCATCTGGATGGAGCTCTGGCCAGAGAAGGGTGCGAGTATGTGTCTCATCTGTAGCACTTTCAAGCAGGCTACCTCTGGAGTATCCTTGTATCAGTCTCCCCAGCATCTCAACAATATATACTGCGCCACGCGAAGGATCGAAGACCGACCGAGTGTGGTCGTCGCTGTGCTAGGGTGGAGAGGAGGATTGCGGCGGATGACGGTACATGGAGCGTAAAGAGACTCCAGAGAGGATCACGGTCGGACAGGGACGGATGTGGTTCTGACGGCCTTGCCGCTGTCCTCGAGACAGACCATGCATGGCAATGAGGTCGGCGCCTTTGGGAGAAAGTAGAGGTTGGGATAGGATCAAGAGTACAGTGCCCACAGTCAGAGCCAGGATGCTTTTATTTCTCGTGAGAGCTTCCGCATTCCAACTTTGTTCGGAGTCTTGCCAGAAGTTACGGTGAAGCCACAGCCACTAGCCACATGCGGCAAAGCCCTGAACTTAAATCAACGTTCCCGCTCACTGGCTGCAGGTGGCATCTCAGCGTGCTCACATCTCAAATCTCGACGCATTTATGGCTCGCTTCCGTTCTCCGACTCTTCGTCTTGAGCATATAGAGCACCGGGGCGATCTCTCGTTGCGATGCCACATCCCGCGCAGCCTTCCAAGCGAGCTGCCCTGAAGGCAACGAGTGTTGCGCGCTCCTTGGTGCACATTGCTGCTGGAAAAGACATGAATGAAGTTCGACGTCGAACCAGCCATGCATATACATCCCTCATGGTCGGACTGCAGTCCGAACCACCTTTACCCAATCTCCATGTTGATGAGATGAATCGGGTGGGAATACGCCATCAACGGTAGAAAACAACTTCATCCGAAGGACTTTTGCTGGTCTCATGCATCGGGGGCCTAATATGCAATGTACATGACTTACGGGGGCCTCGACCTCACCGTCCCATCCATTGCCCTTATTATGGAGATGAATACGTTCCTTTTATCTCTGTATAAGGGATTTTCCAAGAGGAATTTGACCGACCTTGTCCTGCAGGCTTCTCGTCCCAATCGGAGCTTTCACAAGAAGTCTATCCTTGGTCTTGTCGCTAATGCACATCGAACAGCACCAGGAGTCCGCTATTGAATAGGAGCAAAGGGTACATATGGGACGGAAAAGACGTCTATCTACCAAAACCGGTGGTACCGGCCCCTTGTCGGAGGCATGTGATCTTGCATGGCAAGTCGGTTTTCCTTCATTTGAATTCTGCAAGGCTGTGACTTGTATGAGTAAACCCCATTGACCTATCCTTCACGTCTCTGGCCGTCCATCTCCACTTATGAACAACCCTCTCTATTCCGGATTCTCTGTCATTATCACAGGTTATTGTCACTCTGCTCTTTACCTTCGATTCCCGCCTGAGGAAATCGAGTATTAGCGCCTCCTCCTCGTCTATGAATCTCTGTTTCAGCATCGACCCAACATCTACGCCTCATTTCTGAACTACCACTTCAACCTTTTGATTTGTCTTCCGGTCCCCGCGACACTATTCTTGATTCGGACGGTTCCTCTTTCTTTGCCAGTTCTCACGGTTTCTGACCTTTCTGCCTTTCAGTTGACCTGTCAATTTATAAAGATTTCTCGATTTCATTGCTTCTTTCCAGTGCTAAAATTCGCGCGACGACAATCAACATGGCCTCACCAGAGGAGTCTTTCATCAAACCTGATTTTGTCTTGATCGATCTCACAGACGACTCGGATGATCAGCCAACAGCTGAACCGGAAAAGATTCCAGGGACTGAAGCGCCTATCAAGCAGGAGCCCACTGACGATTCAGCTGATCTTTCTTCTGGTGGCCGTTTCAGTTACGTTGACGAAGACGATGCTACCCTACGTCACGAAGAGCACGTTGGTGTCACCACCACAGAAAAGATTCTGGAATCCGATGATGATGTCGAGGCTGCCATGGATGAGCGTGATATTCTGGCTTTGAAGCTCTACAATGAGAACAAGGCGAATTTCGACCATTCCTAGGACGACATCGTTCCTGGCGGCTTTGCCGAACCAGCAGGCGATGACGATAACAACGATGCCGATCGAGTGGATTGGAATGCTGCTTTGGACAAGGATCCTACATCAGCAAACCAACAGGCTATTGCTGCATTTGCTCGTCTCAAGGCAGAATACGAGAGAAAGAAAGCCCGTAGTTTTGCGACTCAGGCGGATCACATTCAGTTCGCAGCAGACGAGCGTGCAGAAATCAAACGCCAAAGAGACCATGAGCGAAGCCAATTGATCTCGGAGGAGCCCCGGGAGCCGTCGCGCCCACCTTGGGAATATGCCGAGGAAGACCTCCTGTTCATCCCAGAGGCCCCGGAGCCATCGGCGAGTCGCTTCAAAGAGAGAGCAATCCCCAAGCCCAAGAACCGTATTAATGCACAGGAGATGCGTGAGGCAGTGCCTGTTGGAATTGACGCTGGCTATGCTCAACGCAGGAAGCATAAGAGAAAACTACGACCGACAGATGACGAACGGCCGCCAAAGAAGAAGAAGCTTGGTCTCAAGTCCGGGACCGTCAAAGCCCCCCAAGAAGAGAGGTCGGAAAGGCCCAAGATTAACCAACCTCGAAAGCTTGACCAAAACCAATATTGTGCAAGCCGCTCAAGCAAATATTTCGAGACCTGATATGCCCACGTTCACAACCAAGAGGAAAGCAAAAGCATTGCAAGACCTGATTGCAGGCATCCCATCAGCTGACCGAGGCTCCCACCGCTCTGATAAAGCCGCAATTCTCGAGGCGACAAAGAAGTTCAAGGGTTTCGGTGCAGTAAGATCAGACGGCCAAGGTGGGTGGAAACTGAAGGGTACGAAGTCATCATTGTACCACCACCAGCTGCTTGGTGCGGTTTTTTTACGAGACCGCGAGAATAACGAGTGGAGACCCAGAGGTGGTTTGGTCTGTGATGAAATGGGATTCGGGAAGACGGTTCAGATGATGTAGGCCTTGATGGTTTTCAGAAATCGCTTTGATGTGCTAACTTCCACAGTGCCAATATTCTCGATGGCAAGCCTGATGTGGACAGTCCTGTCAAGACAACTCTGATCATCGCACCACCCAACCCTGCTAACTCAATGGATGCTGGAAATGGACAAGCATGTCAAGCCCGATAAACTTGGCCGAATTCTTCGATACCATTCCGGCTCCCGCCTTCAGAGCAATGATATCCTCTCAGATCTAACGGCATACGATATCATTATCACGACCTATAGGGAGGTCCACAGGAGCTATCCATTGACGGATCCACCGAAACATTTAGGCAGCGAAGCCAAGAAGTTCGACGGGGAGAACGTGGGCCCACTGCACCGAATCAAATTCCACCGTATTGTTCTGGACGAAGCTCGTGAGTCCCCATCCGTGGGAAGTAAGTGAACGTGACTTTGGCTGACTTGGTACAGATCATATCAAGAACCACACATCCAAGACGTTCATGGCCGTCCGTGCCCTTACTGGCAACTTCAAGTGGTGCATCACTGGCACTCCGGTTTTGAACTACATCGAAGAGCTATTCTCCTACTTCCATTTTCTCAAGGTTCCGCATACTGGTGACTATCCAACATTTATCCACAATTACTGCCACAACCGCACGAATAAAGCTCCTGCGAACATGGAGCGGATCCGCAATATTCTCCGGGCGATTACGTTGAGAAGAACCCACGTGGACACTTTGTTCAATGCTCCCATCGTCAAGCTCCCGGGGATCTCTCATGAAACTCACAACGTCGAATTCAATCCAATTGAGAGGGCTATCTACACTATGGTGAAAACAAGATACATTGGTCAAATCAACAGTTATTCGAAAAGAGGAGAACTCAATGCAAATTACAGAAATATCCTTTCCATGCTTCTACGCCTCAGGATGCTATGCTCGCACATTTTACTCTGCCAGGATGTCCTGAAGCAGGTGTTCGTGGCTTCTGATATCGAGACTTTGTGGCGCTTGATGGCTAAAGAGGTCGAAAGATCAAGGGCTGAAAATTCAACCGAAATGATTGATTCACTCAGAAGAATGATTCGATCCGAGGACCAGGTCATTCATACATACCAGGCTAAAAACACGGAGGGAACGGCTCAAACGCCAGTGGATACAACTCACGAGGCCGAAAGCCGAGAGGATCCGGGCTCCGGAGGTTCTTTTGGACTCTACTTCAAATTTCGAAAGTTTCTGCGCGAATTGAGCGAGTCCAAAATATGGCTGGAATTACACCTTCGGTCCACTTGTGCCAAATGCCGTCTTCCTCCAGACGATCCGATGTGCACTTCATGCTTTCACGTATATTGCAAAGAATGCATCAATGCGATGGAATTCGATCGCCAGGAGAAGGCCGAAGAGAAAATTACTCGTCTAGAATGTGGCGCCCATTTCGAAGAGACATCGCCATGCTCAGGCCTTAAAGAACTAGGATACAACGGCGAAGAAGTCGTCCGAAAGGTTGGAAAGGCGAAGAATAAGAAACAACACAAGCAGGATGCCAGAACCCGACCCAATAGTGCGGCATCAGTTGAAGAAAGTGATGGCGAAGAAGACCAAGATAAAGATTGGATTGTGATGGGGGACATTGTCTTACCTTCGTCAAAACTCCTGGCGACGAAAGCGGCAATCCTCAACTGGTGACGACAATCTAGCCATAGTGATCGTTTGGAGAGTCCATGCATATACTCATCTCGTGGAATCCGACTTAGAGTTATATCTTGGTAGAGCTGGGCCATGTCTCCAAATACAAGCTATTTGGAAATGTCAGTTGAGCACATCAACAAGATATTCCCAATCACGAACCGGGAAGCATGGCAGAATTGCACCTGCTCCGATAGCACAGAGGATGCTGATCGGAAGGCATGCCGAATCAACCAGGGACGCGTAACGAAACAAATCCCTGAAAGAAACTCTAGCCTCAGCGATGTCGACTTGCTTTTCCAGTATATCCGTCCCATGTTGTGTCAGATGCGGGTAGGGCATCTCGCATGACTCGCCGTCATTATTCATCTTTTCTGAGGGTTTGGTAGCCTCCATCCTCTTCCAAGTCGACCCATGAACAAGCTCCTTTCTGTTGGGCCGAGAGAAGATTGATTGAATGAATCTATCTGAGCGAGGTGCAAGGTACAAAAAGGGGCACCGAAGGGTGCGGTGCACGTGACTAGGCTAGGCCCAATGTGGACTGCCAACACTTTCGACATTCCCGTATATAAATTCGAACAAAGCACCATGGAAAGCTCCGAAAATCGGCAACCGCATTGGTGCCACTAAAGCAAATGCCGCCTTGGTAGGCTTCCTAGAGGCACACCAATTTGGCGGAACGGGCATCAAACTTGGCACCGGGTTCGGAGAAATTAAATTATCAAGTTGCATCGGTAAAGCATCTGCTGGCACGTGATACCGTGATTCACTTGCTGTGACAATTGGGGTCAAACGATATAAGTGGCTACAGTGGCTTGACTCGACGAGTCCGAGTAATGCTAGGACTTTTTGGCACATGATACTGTATCTGTAGCCCAGGAAATTAAGGATACGAGCAGGGTGCCCCCTGGCGACATGGTCCACGAATTGGATTCAACGACGGGACGGCAAGGGACGATGTTAGTCTGTACACCACCTTCTGTTATTCTGTACACCGGCTACAACACCCCCACAGAACGCCACGAACGCTGCGTAGAAGACTCGTATTTTTGCTATACCATGTGCCGAAATGATCATCTAGTAAGCAACCGTCTTTCAGCTTTCAAATTCGAGTGGTGGTAAAATAAGTGCTATTCTGGCGTAGTGGTCCACCCCTTTGAAATCACCACGTGATGACCGCTTTTTCCCCCCCTTGGCTAGTCAGTACACTCTTTTCGCAACATTGAATCGCCAAAATCTCAACAACGAGTGGTCTGAAAATACTCTCAGTAGAGTTGATATGTAGCCTTTAAAATTGGATCAATCAAAAAAATTCGAGTTTTTCTACGCCGTTGTAAGGTAAAGAGAGCACTGGAAAAAAGTTGCGTTTAGTGCGCTAAATGGTAAGACGTACTATTTTTAAAAAGGGCGGATCACTACGCTATAATGGCACTTATTTTACTACTATTCTGCAAGCATATATAAGCGATTTGAAAGTTGAAAAGATGTTTACTTACTAGCTAAGCATTTCTGTACACGATATAGCAAAAATACGAGTCATTTATGTAGTGTCTGTGGCGTTCTGCGAGGGTGTTGTAGCTGGTGTCCAAGGGGTGTGGGCAACCTCAACGGATCAAACATTTTCCGGGCCACCCCCAATCGGATCCAGTCTGTGGACCACCTAGACGAGCTCTTACTGATCTCGCTCGAGATGGTTCGTAATCGAGCGTTAACGAACGAGCCTCGATGTCGATATGGTCCATGGATTGGATCCGATGGGTCGTGGTATTTCATTGGATCCAGTCGGTGAACTAATCACACTCGAGATGGTTCGTAACCGAGGGTGAACGGACGAGCCTTGACGTCGAGATGATTCGTATGGAATGTTATTGGATAGTAATTGGTCATTTCACTTAATTACTGAAATTTTATATAGGTCATTTGATTAATTGTATTGCGGTAATGTTAATCACATACTGTGGTATCCAGGGTAATTTTCGTTAGTACGCCTGAAGGTCTTGGCAGGTAAAACAGAGTAGCGTCCCAGGTGTGTTGATAGGGGTCGCTCAGCTAGAAGGTGCCTATCGTATGCCTAGGGCAGTCCGACTAGCTAGTCTAGGAAACCCTAAATTCTGGGTTGCTTTAGGCATTAACCCCCTTGAGTTCCAGGCGTACACGCCTAGAAGATCACGTGTATAGTCACGTGTTTTAGTTCTATACTAACGAAAATTACCCTAGGTACGGAATTTGACCCAGACCTTTCTGCGACGGGGCTCGGTCACAAGAGATCACGGGTGACAGGCTTTTTGCACGATACTACTTATTTATCCGTGTGCTCCGCTCTCTTTGGCTTAGTTCGGGGGGTGGGGGTATCATCTCAGTGCTAGTGCTTGTACTCGTAGTTGCCAGGAAATATATCACAAGCTTTGAGCTTTCATCAACGCCTATTTTTGGGAACAATACCGAAAAGGACGACAATCAGTAAGAATGTTGTGTTGGTGCTGATGCGGACGAAGCGAGTGGCATTTCGATGGGACACGGTATGACCGTGTCCGTGTCCGAATTCAGAATCGTGTTGTGCCCGTCCGCAAGTGTCTGTGCAGTCCAGTCGCCGATCTCCAGGCCCGGTTCCATTCTTCAACGATAATAAATCTTCTGTTCAATATCTGCTGTCATTCTCTTTCCGTAACATCATCGTTTTCTTACCAACCAGCGCCAAGCTAAGTTTCGCTATGTGGATCCAAGTCTCATTGGATTTTTCCGTGAGCAAGTAAATCAAACTCCGTGCAATCCACACTATTCTATTCTTCACGCTCCAAGATCCTTGATCGCCGCTTTTCGTCGCTCTAGGACTTCACTCCTCTTAACTCTTGACCTTAGTGCTTCACTTGCCTGCACTAAGGCATCGATACTGATTGCATGATTCGTCATATTATGATTGATATATGTGTAGACTTGCGCTGCGGAATCGAGAGCAAGGATGGCTGTCTCGTTGAGCTTCAAGAGCGCCAGGGCAAGTTGAAAAAGAAAGGGAGAGCTTGTTCCGTCATGTTCGTCGGCATCATGATGGTCTTGCGACATCGTTGGTGTTACAGGTGTCGATGGTTGGCTCAAACCCAGGGATGGCATGTCGACGGTCAAATTTCGAGTCTGGGTGAATGCGTGGGGCACTGCATCGGAACTGTTGAGGCATAGACTGGAGGGAGAATAGAATCAGCTTGATGTCCGAGACAAGGGTGTTATTGACGATGATGACACTCACATTACATCCCAAACCCGGTAGAGGGCTTCGCCACCGGTCAAAACGCCTGCATAAAGAGAGAGAAACCAGTGGAACGTGCATGCTTCCAGTTCCACACCAAGTTCGTCCAGTTTGGCACTTAACTTTGGTAATACCTCTGCAACATATTGGCGGAGGACCACCTGATCGGCCCGTGCCACGAGCAATGTTGAACTAAAATACTGGCTGGGAAGGATGACATCGATGATGGCAACAAGCAGCCAAAAACAGTCTTCTGCTGTTGCACAAATCAGGAGAAGAGACGCTGTAATGAGGTTCATTCCTTGACAATATCCAATGCGAGGATTGTGAAGCGAGTATGCCCTCAGCAACTCTTCCAGTCTCTGGACACCGGGTCCTGAGCGGAAGAACACATTATCGGTCAGCGTTCGACGAACATCTGCTTTGATTTGACTTGCGATATCCGGGTCAATATCTGTGCCTTCTTCGGACCGAGCCACGAGGTCTTCGTAATATCCGGGATTTCGCAGACCACTGGCCCCGGAGCATTCGGCCCAGATTTTTGGTCGAAGTGAAACCGGAATGCCAGCCAACACCAGTGATTTGAAGTGTAAATACTTATTCTTAGTCTTTGTCGAGCGACCGAGGGTCGCTATTCCGATAAGCTCGCCGTCCAGCAGATCTGCTTCGGGTGTATTATTCGGCGGGCGATCAGGGTTGTTGGCTCTCTCTGCTCGTACTCGGCGCAAAAAGTCATTCCATCGGACACCTCTTTCTGCCTGAAGCGCGTCATGCAGATCCGTTAACTGCTCAAGAAGCAGTTTCGTAGGACCAAATTCGGCCGTGGATTCTGTCTCGGAATCGGCCGTAAAGTCGGCCGACGTAGCTGTCACGACTGAGGATTGCGGTTCCGGCACCACACTAGTGGTGGGAAGCGCCTTCTGCGCTGAAACGGTAATTGAAACTTCTCGGGACCGATGAGGTGTTATTGTCCCTGTAGCATCAGCGGTGCTGACCGTCACTACGGCTCCGGCAGAGGGGGTGTGTGATAGCAGTTCCTTTGGTCTTCCCGAGGGGAGGGCGGAGGAAACCTTCAGATAGTCCTGCCACGACTTCTTTGGTGCGTCTTCGTCGATTGAAGCTGGCGTCGATGGTCTTTCGACGAAAAGATCGGCAGATTGTGGACTTTCACCTGCTCTAAAACTGGCAAGGGTCTCTGCACCACTCATTTTGTTCCGCTTGTGTTGTTGAACTTGCCAATTCTGTCTCTTCCGAGATCTTTGGTCGTAGATGAACCCAAATCTATCAGTTAATAATCCATTGCTGTCGCTATTGTGATTGGTCATCGTCGGTGGTAACTGAGAGCTTTCGATCATGGAATCCAACTCCACCGTTGGAGGAAGGTTGCTCGCATTTGACTCTTTTCGAGCATGATTCGGACTGGCAGAAAGTCGGCTTGTGGTTGGTGCACGCTTTGCAGGAGGTCTGGTTTTTGCGTTCCCGTTGGAAGGTAGTGATGCAGTGGACTTTGTCGCAGGCTGAGACGGGTTTGTTCGTATCTTCGACAGGTTTGCGTTTGACGGCTCTGCTTCAAGTGCCTCTCCTTTATTGTTGGGGTCTTGTCCAAGTGACGATGCCCTTGATCGATTCTGGGATTTCCCACTGAAGATCTGTGTCCAAGAGGCAAACGATCGAGCTGATTGATTCGACCGCACACTAGCTTCATCACCCAGTTTGGGCTTCCGGATGGATTTGCCGCCAACGAGGTAGCCCGAGGACTGAGGTGGAGGTTGAAATATGCTTTGCAGCCCAGACATCTTGCCAGAATTTGAGTTAGCAACTCGGGGGCGTAATGTCGCATCCATGTCTTGACTGCTTTCGCTGACGATGCTGTTTGCCCTGCTTGGAGTTCGGCTAGCTTTTGCCTGTGCCGATATTGCCGATCCCGACCTGCTACGATGGCCTTGTAACTCTGCTTGCACCGCGGTAGTTGGACTTCGAAGACCTGAGGCCATGTCGCCACGGTACGCTCCATCAACGGGACTGGACACCATGATCCCATCTGCCATCGCCTCACTCATCATGCCATCTAGAGAGGTGGCAGATGCTGTCCGATCCGTCGAGCCCGGAAAAGCTCGAGGATCTAAATTGTCCGACCCCTGTTCTAACCAGAGCAGTCTCTTTTCCACTTCGGCCGTTGACACCCCCGCTTCACGTAACAGTCTCTTCAATTCCCTCTCTCTGGTGTCGGCCCGGATGCGGAGAGCGGAGATCTCGGCGTCTCTCTGCGCCAGATCGGAGGCATATTGTCGAACCAACTTGACTGCCCCTGTTCTGCTTATGAGTCTCTCGATGTGTTCGTCACTTGCCAGGTGTAATGAGCCAGGAATATCCAGGGAAGATCGTGGAGAATCGTCAAACAAGGCATTCTGTCTGTTGAAAGACGGAGAAGCACTTGTCAACCCGGCAAGAGTCGCCTTTCTGTCCCGAGCTTTCTGGGATATTGTCCGCGCAGGTTTCGACAGTGTCTCTTGAGTAATGGAGGATACTTTCGTGTCGGGTTCTGGAGAGAAGGAAGGGAAGGAGGTCAAGGCCGGATCGTCTTCTTCAATCGATTGGGATGAATTCTTCGAACTATGGCGCTTGGGGACCCCTCGGAGTGTCTTGGGCCTTTTCAATTCGGTGGAAGCGTGAGAGGTCTGAGAGGAAGATCGCCTCGAGATGTTGCTGCCGTTGTCGGACATGTTTGGGCCAGAATGGCAGTTCTATCACCTCAAGCTGGCTTTTTCTCGCAATTGAACTCTTACCCGCATCTTCGTGCTGACCAATTTCCGACGTTCGGGTGGAGGATATCAATGGTTATTCGATCAAGTGTCCGACCATTGTATCAGGGTGCGGTTCCTGGAATTTGCGGGTGAAATTGAGGAATAGACACTTCTGGAGTCTCGGAGAAGAGGGGATATAGCCGGTAGATGGAAGAATGAATGGATCTGACTTGTGTTTCAAACGCACAAGTCTAGAGTTGGGCATCTCTTGCAGAAGAATGCTCGTGTGATATGACGACAAGTCATACAAGCAGACTGGCGCAGTGGACCGTCATTTGCGATTTGTCTACAGGGGGTGGGGGATGTGCGTCCACTGTGATTGAACAGGGGGTTGCGACGCCCCTAGAACGCGTCTCTCACGTGTTATCACATGACCATGTATGTCCGCTAACCTCGCCTCGCTTGGTCATTTGGCCATCTTCATCATACATTTCCTTCACCTGGAGTAATAATCTCATTTCATCATCTTGCGCCTCACACCGAACAATATTCACGTCCTAATCTGATTATTTAACCAGTCTGATTCGCTCAGGACCCCGTTCAGAGTTCAATATCCCGTCCCCGGGGGGCGTCCGCGATTCTCAGAAATCCCACTCCGTTTTGCCTGGGTCCTTCCTAGCCAGAGGATCAAACGGCCATGCGTGCGAAGATTTACTCTCTCTCCCCCTCTTGTTTGCAATCATAGATATGGCCTCGAGGCTAATTCCTTTCCGTCTGCTGACTCTCGGCTAATCGATCGGGGTTCTTTCTACCCACGAAATCAGCAAACATGGGTCAGGGCTACTCTATGACCACGCTGTCCGCAGCGTCAGCAAGTATTGACGTTCCCGAGTTGGCGGATCTGGTCCATGAAAAGACCCTTGCTTCCGCACGGTTCATGAAGAGTGTCCGGGCCCGAAGCCAACAAGGCTTCGTTTTCGTCAAAGCGGTCATGAAACCATACTCCTCTTTTCAGGTCCAAGAATACGTCCGGCAAATCGTAGAAGAGAGGAATATTCTGGCGGACATTCCTAACGCATTGGGATACCAACGCATCGTTGAGGTCGGCAGTGGCGGCTTCCTCGTGCGTCAGTATATGTTCAGCTCGGTGTATGACCGAATGAGCACCAGGCCTTTTCTCGAGGATATTGAGAAGAAATGGTTGGCTTTTCAGCTCCTGTGCGCCGTTCGTGATTGCCATGCCCGGAATGTATATCATGGAGACATTAAGACGGAGAATCTCCTTGTCACCTCCTGGAACTGGCTGTACCTAACCGATTTCTCGTCATCCTTTAAGCCGACCCATCTGCCAGAAGATAATCCGGCCGATTTCTCCTTCTTCTTCGACACCTCCAGTCGGAGGACCTGTTATATTGCTCCCGAAAGATTTACCACCACCAATTCAGGTGATCGACAGGGCGGGTTGAACTGGGCAATGGATATCTTCAGCGCCGGCTGCGCCATTGCCGAAATATTCCTGGAAGGGCCCATCTTCTCACTCAGCCAACTGTTCAAGTACCGAGGGGGTGACTACAGCCCCGAACATACACATCTCAATAAAATCGAAGACCATGAGGTTCGCGCGATGATCCTGAACATGATCGAACTGGATCCCGAGAAGCGATATAGTGCAGAGCAACTCCTGTCCTTCTACAAATCCAAGATCTTTCCGGAGTACTTCTACAGCTTCTTACACCAATATATGCTAGACCTGACCAGACCCGCCACTGCTTCCAAGCCGGTGGGGCTAGATATGGACAGTCTTGGCGCATCCGATGACAAGATTGACCGAGTCTATCATGACTTTGACAAGATATCGTTCTTTTTAGGTTACGGCCCTAGTCCGACCAAACGATCTTCCCGATCTCCTCTGGCACTCCGATCGAGTAACCGAGTAAAGTCACCAGACTCTGATCCTGCCTTGTACGACGGGAGCTTACTCTTCCTCACCCTGGTGGTCTCGAGCATGAGAAATACGGCCAAAGCATCCGCCAGACTCAAAGCCTGTGATCTCCTGGTTGCCTTTGCTGAACGACTGCCGGATGAGGCGAAACTAGATCGCATACTCCCATACGTTGCCGGCTTGCTTGCTGACAGCTCAGACGTGGTCAAGACGGCAGCCATTTACGCGGTGACGTCGATTTTTGAAATGATCGAAGTGGTGTCACCAATCAATGCGTACGTCTTTCCCGAGTACATATTTCCCCGACTGCGGCAATTTGTCCTGGGCCCTTCAAATGAGCCCAGCATTTTGATTCGTACCGCCTACGCATCTTGTCTGGCGTCGCTAGCCCTCTCAGCCTCGCGAATCCTTGACATGGTGCACGCGATACGCACGGACGGAAGGCTTCCGGCGCTCCGGGAAGACGAATGGGCTCCTGAATCATCCTACCATGGTCTCTATGACATTGCGAGGGCGGAGCTGGTTCCGTATTTCGAAGAATCCACGATCGCTCTTATAACGGATCCGGAACCCTCTGTGAGAAGAGCCTTGCTGGGTTCAGTCTCACGATTATGTGTCTTTTTTGGAAGCTCTAAAGCCAGCGATGTGATATTGACCCATCTCAACACCTATCTGAACGACAAGGACTGGATCCTGAGATGCTCCTTTTTCGAAGCGCTGGTGGGGGTTGCGTCTTACGTGGGCACTTCCAGCTTGGAAAAATTCATCCTCCCGATCATGGTCGGTTCATTGACTGACTCAGAGAGCTTTGTGGTTGAGAAAGTCTTCCGTTCCCTGGCTCGAATGGCTGCCTTGGGCCTCTTGCAAAAGAGCACGACCTGGGAACTTGTCAGCATTGCGGCCAGATTTCTGGTTCATCCCAGCATTTGGGTTCGTGAGAGTGCTGTCCAATTCATTGTTCTGTCCGCCAAGTATGTCTCGGCGGCTGACCATTATTGCATCATTCTACCGATCATACAACCATTCTTGAAGAATCCAATTTCGGTATTGACAGAGGAGTGGATCCTGGACAATCTCAAACGACCGCTTCCCAAAATCGTGTTCGATTCGGCGGTCCACTGGGCAAGTCGAAAAGGAAAGAGTCTGTTCTGGACCGCAGCGAGCCGTGACGGTGCTTTGACTCTCTCTGATCCCACCACACCCCAGAATCCGTCGACGCTCACAAGAAGACTCCTCACCCGCATACCGCCGTCGCAGAAAGATAAAGACGATCAACCTTCTCTCGAACAATTACGAAATCTGGGAATGGCAGCGGAAGACGAAATCAAGTTGCTTGCGCTCCGAGAGTACATGCTGAAAGTGTCACGACATAAGCCATCAGAAGATGCGGATGAGAGAAATCGCATGCTGAACAATATCATCACTCTGAACCAAATCGATGTGACACCGCAGAACATTTTCTTCGACCAACGTGAAACCATACGAGAGACCAAGAGCCGACCGACCATGACACAACAAAGAAGATCTCGAAGGGATGAACGACACAGTTTGGCGGATGCACTGCTCGATGCTTCTACGAGTATCGATGATCATGCGGTCAGGCGAAAGTCACCGTCAGATAATGATAGCGGGACTGCCACGCCATCCACCAAGCCCATCGAGATCCAAAGGCGCATAACGTCTTCTACCGAAGCCGACGACTCCCCATCCATCAATGTAGAAAGAGCAAGCGGCTCGTCCAGGCCCAGTGTCTCGTATGGTGGAAGCTCTCCTCCGGGGGTCGACAAGCTATCTTTACGTCGCAATCCTACCCGTGGACTCAGGCATCGGAACAGCGGTCTCAACTTGATGAATCGAACTGATTCGGCTAAGGCAGACGCAGAAATTTCTACTATTTCCGAAAATGCGTTTGGCAAAGTCGATGGACCGCTTCATCGAAAGAACACGGCGGGGCCGTCCGCATTGACTGTGACTGCGAGGATGGCCAGAAGCTCCTGGTCAGGCTCGCCTCGAAGCGGATCCCGGACGCCTTTGTATGAGCTCAACCACTCTTATACTGGTAATGATGTCCACGTGCTTCGACTTCTCGATAATCACTTTCTGGAAAACTTTCCGGTTGATCAGATGGACTTTGGTGGAAATCGGCCTGCGGCCGACGTCAAAGCCCCCATCAAGAGAGCCACAGATGTTGTCCAACAGAGGATCGGAAAGGCTGCACAGCAAGAAGAACGTGGATTCCGAGCTGAGCCCTGGCGCCCATCCGGCCAACTTGTTACACAATTCTCAGAGCACACCGCTGCTATCAATCGAGTTTGTGTGGCACCCGATCATGCCTTTTTCGTCACCGCTTCCGATGATGGCACCTGCAAAATCTGGGACACGATCCGACTCGAAAAGAACGTCACGCCACGATCCAGGTATACTCATCGACGTGGCAATGGAGCAAAGGTCAAAAGTCTTTGCTTTGTAGAAGGAACCCATACATTTCTCAGTGGCGCGGCCGACGGAAGCATCCACGCGGTACGCGTCGATTACAAGAGTGTCGAGGGTGGTGAAAGTTCTCGGTATGGTAAACCAAGTCTTGTTCGGGACTATCAAATACCTTCCAATGAAGTCGGAAATCTCGATGATGGTGCCGTGAATCTGATGCCTGAGTATGCGGTTTGGCTCTATCACTATCGGGCTCCGACATCCCAATCCGTCCTGCTTGCTGCCACCAACAAATGTCGCATCCTAGCCATCGACATGAAGAACATGGTGATCATCCACAGCATGAACAATCCTCTCCATCACGGGACACCCACCACGTTCTGTGTCGACAAGAAACGTCACTGGCTTCTCCTGGGAACAAGCCGTGGCATTCTAGATCTGTGGGATTTGCGATTCAAATTACGATTACGAAGCTTCGGGATTCAAACGAATTCCATGATTGATCGAATCCATATTCATCCGACAAAGGGGCATGGAAGATGGGTGATGGTCAGTGCTGGGGGAGAGATCAGTGTTTGGGATGTCGAAAAGATGTCGTGCCGCGAGATATTGAGACCGAGCACATTCGACCCCAGGAGCGGGACGACTCGAGCATATGAAGCCTGGTTTCCGGACGATGAGAACAGCGAGAAGGTCTTCTCTCGCTTTTTGAAAGACGTCGCAGAAGATGACGATCTGAGCGAGCCGGCCCTTCATTCTTCTCCGACGGAAAAGTCCAACGGCTCGCCAGTCCCAAAGAAGTCATTGGCCCCCCATCCATCCTCGGCGTCAAATGCCCCTATCCCAAACTTGCCAATGCCGGCAGTGTATGTCCTTCACGATTACCTCCTCAACTCATCGCAGCCAGACAATCCATACAAACATGCACTGCTGTTCACCGGCGGCGACGACCGTAACCTTCGGTATTGGGACATGCAGCGCCCAGAGAACAGCTTCATCATCTCCGGACCACAGCTTTACGGCGAAGATGGAGTCATGGTGAAACCAAAATACGACGTAACACATCCACTGGCATTAAGTGCCGGTGCTCAAATCGCGTTGATCCAGGAGAAGCTCAGTGATGGAGGGGCGGGGGGTACAGGAAATGGGCGGAATCATGCGAAACGGTCCTCTCGCTCGTCAAAAGATCTCACAGCGAGTCCGGCGAGATCTCATACACCAACTCTGGTGACCCCAGGTTCGACCGCCGCTGGTATGTCAACCTCCAGCAAACCGGGCACCCCCACCAGTTTAGCACTCAAAACATCGCCTGGAGCCACATCGACGGCGGTAGCAACGTCCAAACCTCCTCGCAACACCGTCATAAGTGCAGCCCACCAACAGGTCCTCCGCACGCATGTAGATGGAATAACGGATGTGGTGGTGCTGAGGAAACCGTATGGCTGTGTGGTCAGTGTGGATCGGGGCGGGACGGTGTTTGTCTTTCATTGAGAGTCCTATGTTTGAAGAAGGTAAGGGAGGGGAGGAGATGGTGATGCAGGACAGGGGATCATTGTGATAGAGCACTAGATTTCTCAGCGGCCGATAAACTTAAGGCTGATTTGCCCCTGAATTTTTCGATTCCAAAATTAATCAACTGTTCGTTCTCGACCATTTTCTCTAGCGTAGGCAAATTTTCCGCGATGAAATAGCACTGGGGCTGTTACCACTCAGCTCTTTTCCCCGCTGCTCTTCCTAAACCCGGACCACGGCCTTCAACGCGATGTCCGTAATTCGCATAATGGCCTTTGCCTTTCACCCAGCCATGGACCCGTTACGATTCGTTTTCACTGTCATCCTCCACCGACAACCCTTCCCCAGTATCCTTCCACACACCACCAAGGACATCACCAAGATTCACCAGGAAACCCGCCATGCCCTTTCCACCTCCGCCGATGGTGATTGGAACCATGTCCCGAGCCTAGGGCCGAGAAATACGATTTTGCAAACGCGCCCTCCGAATTGAGAGTGTTTGGAAATGGCACCGGTGTGGGTAACGGCATGACGTGCGGCGGATTAAAAGGGTGCATAACCGGGAAGTCTCTACCTTGCTTGACTTCTAGAGCGTGATACCGGAAGGGGACATTCGGATTCCTTCGACAAAAGGGCCGAAGAAGCACAAGAAGAATAAAATTCCGGAGCACTTCAACTCCAAAGTGGAGTGTCGATTTTAGGAGGTTAAAAAGATTAGTCATTATCGAGGAGGGTACCATTAGAACATTCGCAAATATTCAATAAGTGGCCCTTCATGGATGTATAAACAGGAACAGTTGTCCACCTGGACATATGAAGCCATTTCCGACTCCCTTACGAGCGGTGTGGACATGGACTGTATATTCGACCGAGATGTGTGCAGAAGGCCTATCCAAAGGCTATTTCAGCATGCTCACGGTCGTGAAAGTTATCTTCGGAGCGATGTGCTGGGGTGACTCTACTTCAAATTATGAGGCCGATGCTAGAGGCAGAACGTGATCGACGTGTGAAGAGACGGTTCAATGGGCGATGTCGTTAGATGGATGGTCTCTGGCGATCTGTGAAACTTGGAGAATCCGAAAACTAGCTACTAGTTCCTCCTTTTTTCTCCCCAGGACGACCCAGACTTCAGTGTCGAAACTCCTGCCAGGTGTCCCCACTCGCCTGCGTCTCATCAAGTTGTCGATCTCTTCGCGAAAAGCCATTTTCGACTCTTCAACCCCTTCACATTCAGCCCCGTCTTCATACTCGGCGTCAACTGCCCTGATGGCTTTGTGAGATCAATTTGGGGGGCTGTGGGCGCCGGCAGGTCAGAATTACCGAAGTCTGCAGGGAGGGACGGCAGTGGTGCTGTTGGGGGAGGAGACAGGCGGCCAGAGCGGTGTTGGAGAGAGGTAGCTGAGGCTGGCATCGCCGAAAGATTGTGCAGATTGTCGAGGTGGAGCCATGAGCCTTCGGGACGAGGAGGGGAGGACCATGTGGGTCGATGGGGTAGCCGCAGCACGGACGCCGGAAAAGCGGATCTGGAGACGATCTGTGGCTGGAAGGCTGCAGGAATAGTGGCGCAGACCGTCCAGGATCAGCGGGGCGATCGCCAGGCTTGGCGTGGGGTTCCTCGAGATGTTGGCATTGATTCGAAGGAACAAGAGACTCTGAGAGGATGCGGGTAGAGGGCCTGGGAATTGAAATGACTTTCCGAACATGGACTGCGGAATGGCTGGACCACTGTGCCTCATAGTGGGCCGCGCGGGCTTGTGTTGAGGCATTTCCGTGGAGGAGAGGTCTTCATCATCCCCGTGTTGTTCTTTCTCGAAAGGCGTGACCGACGGAGAGGGCTTTACCTTGATTGGTTCTCTTTTCGCCAGCGGCACGGGAGAAGATCCACTATGCTTGTGTTTCCCGGGCTGCGGACTGCTTCGGAGGTGCGGTAGCATATCGTCGCGCGGGCCCCGAGAACTGTCCGTTCGCGGAGTCAGGGACGACGTTAAGACTGGTGGCAATTTGGCCATGTCTGGTGTTCGCAGACACGGCACCCATGGGGTTGAGGTCAGCTTTGGATGCATCTCTTGAGCTATCGTTGGGGGGACCGAGGCGTCAAGGAGATCAGCCGGTGCCGTACTGACGGCAACGCTGTTAACCGTGGTAAAAGAGCCCATAGGCGTAACGCTCCTGCATTCTCCCAAGATCGACATAGTACTGCGTGAGGGAATGCTGGATGTTTCTGAGTTCCTTCGACCCGACTCTCGTGGATCGAGAGGAAGTTCTCCTGCTTCATGTGGGAGTGAGAGATGATCGATGGAGCTCTGAATCAAGGAGTCTAGCGTGGGCGCCGGAGAGGGCATCATCTGATCCGGGGCTGCCGTACGCTCTGAACCGTTATCCACTTGCGGGACCCCGTCTATGCGGCTTTTCCTTGCTATATGCGGAAGAGTCCGTGGCAGCCGCATATTGGCGTGCTCGGAGGGCTTGATGGTTAGCTCCCCGGTCGACTGTCTGGGCTGTTCGAAGACAACGGAGGCAGGGAGCTCGACGGGTAGCTCAACGGCGTCAGGAACCACGGGCTCCAGTGCCTCCTCGTTCCCAATCCGCGCCGCCGGCGCATTAGACATTCCGAGGGACAGCGGTTGGACACCTTCTGCCCGTGCCCGAGTCAACCCTATGGGCTGCTCACCGAGCGCCCACTGACTCGCAACCAGCCTCAGGTGCTTCTCCGCCGTGGCCTTTCTCCGGCTCCAGACGACTTCAAACCACGTCTTGTCGTTGCCCACCCGTTCCTCAATCTGGCGCACGATGGCATCGCGGCAGCTTTCAATGTGTCGTTTCCTCCTCTGCGTCATTCGGTCGACCCACTCAAGCTCCGCTTCAACCAGGCCGTCTAAATGCTGCCATTCTTTCTCTTGCTCTTCATCGAGGAGGGCTCCGACTCCGGCTTGCCGACTTTCGAGCTCTTTTTCTCGCTTTCCCGGTAGCGTCGGGCTGTCGTGGTTTTCCCGCGTATCTGCGTGAGGCTGCACAGAGAGCTTGTCATCTCGGTCCGCGTCCTTCTCGGCCAGTCGACTCTTTTCCACATCGAACACGTTCCTGAGCTCGTGTTTCATCCAGTCGGCATGCTCCGAAATCTTGGCCTTCAACGCCCCTTGATACATATTCAACTGCTTCTGCGACTTCCCATATTCCACTATCAAGACTTCCTCATCCCATTCGTGGCGATCATCCATCTGCATTTGTTGATATTCTCTCATCCCCTGTAAAGCCCATTGTAAACTTTCCGTCTCCTGATCCAGTGGCTCGACACTGAAAATGTCCTCGTCCACCCCAGGGAGGTCTCCGCGTAAGGTCGACAGGATATTGCCGACGCGAGGCTGCGACGAGCCGTTGCGCTCTCTCTGTTGATGTCGCTCTCCGAAGGTTGGTGATGGTAAGCGCGATGGGTCCTCTTCGTCCGAAGGGGCTTGAAGGGACCATCGAATGATACAGGCCAGCTTCGCCGGAACTTCAACTTCATCCGGAATGTTCGCAAGTTCCGCGGGCGGGTCTCTCTCCCACCACATACTCGACGCTGCGGTTGAAAGCGAGGTCAATAGTTCCCATCCAGAAACAATGCAAGAGACGCGAGGCTTGCAAACAGCAGTGAGTTCTTCTTCAAGCAGAGACAACTTCATCGTTGTTTGGGGGCGCGGCGTATAAGATCAGACTGAACAGCTTCTGCCGAGAGAAGTCGCCAGAACGGATGCGAGTGCGTTGATAAGGTGGGCCAGCCTCTCCGTGAGCCCACCGTTCCGCCGCCGCTGGCCACGAGATTGGGATCTCGAGCGACTTGCGAAGCCCGCAACCCTACACAATCCATACAAGTCGACAATCTCGTGTTCCGAGGACGGTGACGTGCGATGACCTGACCGTGAGCAGCTCCCACGCGGCTGGGAACCTGTGTCTTGTTGCCTAGATTGGTTGTCATCTGGCCGCAACTCTTACCTCTTTGACCGTTGAATAATAACATGAAGAATGGCAAGGACACAACCCGATTTGAATAGCGTCACACTCGATAGCCAAAGTCGAGATGGGTGGATGTGAGGAGCTAGGCGTGGGCGAGTTAGCGGACACTTCAGTGTCGGAATACCCACGCTCGTTTTGGTACACACGTGAAAAGGCTGCGGCTTCGTCATTGGTCAGCTACATACCATGGTCGATCAGTAAAACTCATGTTCGCGACAATTTGAGCCATGCGGGAGAAGTTCTTTCTTTTTCCGCCAAGGATGGTCCAAAAATACACCGAAAAAAGAAGATATCACAAATTGCAGAAAAAGCTTGATTTCTGGATGAGGTATTTGCCTAAGAAATGGCATCTTACCGCACCTCGGACATTTGAAACACTAGTGCCTGGACATTGATCGTTGATGTCCTTCTTGTCCACATCGCACCAGCCGGGACGTCATCATCAGAGCGATATCGAAATCCACTCAGACCCAAGACGAAAGCGTATCGCATCATCCCTTGAAGCCACCCGCTGCTATCAACCTCTCTCCCCCATGCCACTGACCACATCGCTGTCATCGGCCTAGCACTCCACATAATACCTCGAGACAAGTGTCTCTTGGCGGCGACCTGATTAAGCTTGATTTGGCCTTTGTGGATGGAAACGGGTAACCAATGATGTAAAGGTACCTAAAATCCCCGATAAAACGCACACAAATCGAGGTACCAAAAATATCGAAATCGAAGGGCTCACATCAAGTTGCGATTGGAGTGCTTTTTGTCCATCCCTCTGCAATGATATATACTGTCCTGGTGCTGTAAAAGCCTTTTTCGGCCACCTTCTTGTTGTGTGCTAAACCGTTCATCACCTTTACACTATCAAAAGCATTTGATTTTAGTGTTGCCAAGCGCCAAGAGTGGTTTTGTTGTGCCAATCCATCCAATCCATATTCATACGCCCTGTGAGGTCTTTCAACGGCACAGCAACTTCCCGGTCCCGGCTCCTTACTTTTTATGGTTTTGTCATGCGTCATCCGCAGAGGGGATAGCGATGCCTAGATGTATCACGTGATTTTGGATCCAACAAGGATGGGGTCGGGGTAAATCTCACACTCACACACCCCCCCGAAGGAGCCAGAAATGGACGAAGGAACCAGAAAAAGGGGCCAGAGAGAGCATCTCTCTCCCCCCACAAACACAAAACCAGCCTACCCTCAACCACATATCGTAGCCATTCTCCAATCTAAAGCCGAGGCATGAAAAGTCACATGTTGCCGAATTTAGTATCGTCTTGATGATTCAATCCACGATAAGCGAAATTCCATCGCCGTATATCGTCCGTGCCTGCACCGGTTCAGCCAGCGCCAAAGTGCGGAAGCCATTGCGACCAACGCGGGGTCTGATATGCTTCGACAGGTAGCTTGCGGAGACTGATGAACGCTTCGATGACAATCAAAGCACGCGCCAAAACATATGGGACCAAGAGGAGTAGACCGAAAGCGATTTCGGTGCGGCCATACCTTCTCTTTGCCGATACGAAGTCGCTATCGGTACGCCTGAGCAGACGTCCCTGCTCTGAAGATTCTGACGGCATTGGCGCCCCTGAATACTGTGACGGGGACCGGCGTGATAACGGTTTATGGATGGATATTTTCGTACTTGCTGCCTCAGGAGCCGTTGTGAAAGTTTCAGCATCGGATAGGGCCTTGGAAGAGCGAGAAGCTGGCGAAGATGAGGCTTTATTCCCCCCTCCCTGGACATGAGGATCTGTCGCAAGCGGCAGGGCTTTTGGAGTTTCCTCATCAAGGGTCGGTGCGCCGTACATGCCCTCCTCCATGTACTGCAGTCGCGAGTTACTGCCTGGACCGACCACTTCACTCATTGTCAAGTTTGCATGAGTACTGTCAATGACCAGATCTCGTTCATCACCTGAGCGATCCCTTCCAGACTGGACTGTGTCCAGATGTCGATTTTGATCCGCTGCCGGACCGGACTCTGACTGAGATTGACCAAGCATAATCACCTGGATGTTTTCGGGATTAGTAGCGTATTGTGGGTAGGTGCATGCGTTCGCTGGATAAGTCTCAGGCCACGGATCGATTGGCTTGGAGAAATCTGATTCGGGCTGCTCATCTCTATCGCGTCTGAAAGGCGTTACAAGTGCCCCGGACATCCTTGGGGCCTCGGCGTCTGCGTTCTCACCTGTGCGCGTTGGCGAGTGAGCGGCAGAGTCACGTCGATCGTGAGTGGATGCATGGAAATTCTTCTCAAACCTTTGCCTGACCTTTGATGAGGCAGCCGTAGATCGCTCGTCTGGCCCCAGCTCTCGAAGAAGTCTTGTCACCTTTGGCGTGATATCATTTAGAACCCTTGTGGATGTTCGTGGAGGTTTCGCGGATAAGTCTTCGGTGTTTTCAGGATCGAGATCGCTGGCAATCGGCCGACAGCACTTGAAGAGGTGGAGCACCAGTACGACAGCAGAGCTGATGCAGTGCCAGATCTGCTTCGGGATCCATGCTAGGAGGAGCTCCATCGTGACAAATATTGCTACACTTGGGGCCATTAGTAAAGATGTTTCAGTTGCTGAGATTCACTTACATGAGGGGCGTACAAATCCAACGCCAAATGAAGGAAGCGACGGACATAGCTACTCGTCTGATGATAAGTACCAGCACCATCAGAAACCCTGTACCAGCTACGATCAATGCCGATATCCGCCAAATAAAATGTTCCGAGCTGGACGGCATGTATGTCTTCCAGGCAGCTATATGGAGGCCTCCGTATAGCGCGGTAGCGAATGCGATCCCGACGAATAATAAGAAGCGCCCTTTGCGGCTGCTTTCCAACGATTCACTTGGCCAGTTCAACGCCCTTGGTTCGAATCGACGATCAGAGGCATCACGAGATGGCTCTGACAAGGACAGCCCTGATTTTGTCCGTGCAAGAGATTCCTGAGCATGCCGCCAGCGGCGAACGCCTGCATCATCGATCAATAACACAGCTAGCCGAACGGGTGCTGACGGTGTGCCAAGCATGAAACGACCGTCGTGAATTTCTCGCAGGAGCGCATTGATCGTAGAACAGGTGCGCTCTCCAATTCCTATCGCCGAAAACGGGTTGTTTCGTAACTTAGACGAAGCCAACTTCCGAGAGACAGCTCCTGTGAGGTATTGATCGCCCTTGTCGGCAATCTCCGGGAGAAGGTCTTGAACGTGATGTGGACCCTTTCCGACATAGAGTCTCGCGGATCCTACCAACAAATATGGACCAAATGCCCCCTGCACTTCCTGCCTGTTTGGTTGCTTAGACGTTGTCAGCACGATATTCAACTCGTTAGAAGGATACTCCAGTAGCTCCGATTTCAGCGGGGCCTTTTCGATCATAGTCATCGGTTTCTGCCTTGCAGCGATTTCCTGGGACTTAAAGAAAGACCTGAATAGGTCAAGCTCGGATCTTTCAAGTGGCTTATCCTTCCGGCCCAATGCACCCTGCGAGCCCGTCGTAGTGGACAGCGAATGAGACACGACATCTTCAAGAGCTCGTCGTCTCCGCAGAATCTCGATCCAGTAGACAGGATTATTCGCCAACCACTCTGCCTTAATTTGCGTTGGCTCCGACACATCAAGTGGCTTGTTAAGCCAGAAATAGTACATAAAAAATGCGCAAAAGACATGGCCTATGGTGTTGACTTCCAAAGGAGTCAGCGGCAACCCGTCAGCGAGGCGGCCTGCCGATTGAATAAGCAGCCACCCAGCCTGAATACATACCAATGTCTTCGCCAAATAGTCTGCTTTGCTGCGGTCTCGTATCGAAGTCTCTGACACATGGAAGTCCTCGTGCTTTCCTTCGTCGAAGTGGTAGAGAATCCCAGTGGTCGTCAGCGTGACGCAATCCTCCCGAGCCCCCCTTGGGTAGCAAGCTGCGAAGCCCCCCATAACGCAGAAGAAGTTGTGAGTCATAGTCCATTGAAATGGCATATCGAGCTTTTGGATAGTGAGCGACTGGTGTCTGCGGCAGGAACAATACGAGTACCAACCTTTTTGATACGATCCGACATCTTCTTGTGAAAGTCCCTTGCCAATAGCCACTGGCGCCATGCGACGTAAACCATGAGCTCCGGCGCAAGAAGGCCAACCAGTAGCCATTTAGCCTTGTGCGAAAACGGTCGCAGAGCGGCTTGTACCCATGACGGCGAGGCCCGGAACCTAGATGTTCGAGCGAACAAATTTGAATTGTCAGATATCAGGGCTGGGACGTTAAGGTGTACGACAGTCCATATGCATAAGATCAATGTTGTCAAGCAAGATGCAACGATCCCGAAGGTGCCCCGGCCGGCGGGAGGAGCCTGCCAACCAGTCGCGTTGCGCAGGTTGCTAGGCGTTGCTGTGGATCCATGGGTGGTGCGAGTTGTAAATGGGGTAGAAGCTAAGATCCAAAGGTCGCCGTCAGGACCTGTGGACAACGTAACTGTCGCAGTCTGGTAACTCGAAAAGGGCCCAGTGTAGATACTCATCATGTCGAAGCTCGGGGCGCGGCTGCGCGGGTCACCGGTACAGCTGATGAAATACTCGTCTTCTCAGTATCGGTAGCGTCTGTTTCGTGATTATCATGAGTGCTCGCATTATCAGCAAAATGAGGAGGATGTCTCATAATTGGATTCCTTCACCTTCGTCCTAGCAAGTACTACGACCATTTTCCTATGCCTCAAGACATTTCTCACTTCGCCGGCGGTGAATGGAGGAGGCAGGGCTTATTAATGTTCCGCACGAAGCCCACATCCTGCCAATACCGACTAGACCAGCTCTCAGCTCGTACAGTATGTCAATGACCTGTGTACTGTAGCCACGGGAACCGTCTCGCATTACTGTGACGCTGCAGCAGATTCCGCCGCCCGCCAACCGGTTTGAATAGGGACTCTGTGGAAGCGATGACCTGGATGTCCTGATTTGAGAGCCACAGCCGCGTTTGTCAGGAAATGTCTTCAGTGGACAAGACATACCCAATAGCATGTCGCACCGCAGAAAAATGACCATGAAAGCCACAACACAGGGCTGGCCAATAGCCGTCCAGATCACGTACGTCACACCGGGTCGCCTTGACCTCTGACAATCCACCACGATGTGACCGAAAACGCCACGTTCATCCAGTTCTAACCAAAATGCCCGGGATGTCAAGCCCAGACGGACGGGAGTTCGAGAGGCTGTCTAATGTGAACCAGCAACATCGAGTCCGTGCTAACATTGTGGAACAAAAGACGCCACGGGGCCGTACAGGTAGACGTGACCGAAAGAGGACTTGTCGAACGAGACCTACTGCCAAATAATAACCGTCAGACCAACGATATCGACCGTGCGCAAATGACCGTGTTTCGTTGCATGACGGGCTATTTTCTGCAAATTACGGCTTAAACACCCGAAGGGGCCCGTACCAGGTGTGTCGGATTAAGCGGCCTAGGCAACCATTGTAGGTGTTGAAGGTGCAAAATCCAAGTTCCAGGGGACCTGTTGCTATCAGCAACCGTGGACAAAATATTCCGTCTTTTGAATACGCGATCGTTTGGCGCACGAACCGGGAAAAGACTTTTGAAAGGCACCTCCGTACATTATAAAGACAATAGGAGGTACAGGGAGTTCTCGCTTCGCCAGACACATTGCATTTTTGTTGAGATCTTGGCGGCCGACCCCACTAACGCGGAGCGTTAGGACCAGTAGCTTAAAATTCAATATTACCTCCCCCAGTGCAGCCAAATATCGTCGTACCATTCGCATTAAGATTGAGCAAGTCTTCCATGAGTCTTTCTTCGTTGTTGGTATGTTGCTCGCATTGAGATGGGCCTCTGCTGAGGCATAGGCCGGCGCCGTAAGGGGAGGACTCTCGCGACGACGGCACGGGGAATTGAAGAGTCATATATGTTTCAAGAGCTCTTTTATTGAAGCGTAAGCTTCATTTACACTCCGACCCCCCCGCCCGCGACCTAGGGATCAATTTTGTTCACCAAAAGCGCCCCCTCTCTTTCTTTCTCAAAGATGCCGCCGCCGCCCCCGGGAGCAAGGTCTTTTCCACCTGTATCGCCTGTCGTGACAAGTCCAGAAAGTGGAGGGCTCGACAGCCGTCACGGTCGACGATCCCGTCCAAGAGGCGTGTCACACCGCTCATAGAAGCTCCCACACGTCCAAGGTTGTCTTCTCTCCTCGAATCTCATCCACTTTCGATCCTCCCTCCCCTCGCCCAGCGCGCCCTCTCTCCACCACCGACGCCCGTCCGACCTCGACCCGAACCGCCAGCCTCGGGCTTTCTCCCCGCCGAACAATGGGTGTCCATCCAAAGTTTTCATGCAGCCATGGATCAGGTCAAGATGGAGACCTGCAGCCGCTGTCAAGCCCGGTGGTTCTCCATGGATTTGAAGAATGGGATCTGCCATGCCTGTTTCTTGCGGGATCAGGGCGGCAAGACTCCCTTTCTCATGTCTGCCGAGAACGGAATGGACTCGGGAGAGCTGCCGGCCCATCTGTCCGCGCTGACCCAAGTCGAGGAGACGATGATCGCCCGGTCACATGTGCAAATGATGGTCTATCGCTACCGTGGCTACCAGTACCACTACTCGGGACACTGTAAGCTTTATGCAAAATACGATAAAGACGGTAGATGTACTGCCTAATCTGCCTTCTGAACTAGATGTGTTGGTGTTACGGTCCTCAGATCACGTCGCCGAGAATGATCTTCAATATCAACGCCAATTCCAGTCAAATTTTCAAGTTCAGAAGGGACATGTTATGACCTGGCTGCGGTTTCTCCAGGCGCACCACCCGGATTATCGGTATATCACCATTTCCCCGGACCGGATCGACGCCCTACCGATTTGTTAGCGAGTTGCGTTCGCGTCGCGAGCGCATCACCACGAAGGCGTTGACATCGGGTTCGAAAAGGGTGAAGGTGGAGCGTAGCGCTCTGATTGGCTGTGACAATCGCAGCCCGGAGTTGCGATTGTCCCAGCCAATCAGAGCGCGTAGTTTAGGTGGATATCAAGCTTGATATCCATTTAAGAGGTAGAAAGTTATATCGATATCGATATATCCAGATAGCAGAGTTGATATCGATACATCGCAGCAAAATAAGCAGGTCTGGTGGCAGTCATGTAGTGGACATCTGTCCTCTCCTGGATAAGTAGAAGTGTTGAACAAAGGGCTATTGTGTACATACTCCACAGCTGAAACACTGGTGAGAGGTTTCCATAGACGACGACGTTACTGATGGTTGCTCTGTGTAACGACGTAGTATTCGCACGCCTATAAAAGAAGCCTCAATACCTCGACAAGTAGATAGAGAACAGAGCATTCAATACATCTCGAGTTGCACCCAGTTTGACAAGAAGCCATTGTCTACATGAAATGACGGCTTTCTGGTCTTTGGGGGAGCTCTGGATCTGAGCAAGCACATACAGACAATTGCATGCGGGGTCTGCCCGGTTCGTCATGCGGCTCAGACATATCTGACCACCAGCTTGGCTACCTGGCCAAGTTTCGCCAACGTCTCTTCGAGGGCTTCTCAACGAGCCGAGCCGAGCCGAGACTGAGCGAGACTAGTCGAGCTCGGGCAAAACCCTAGCTCGTCTCGTCTTGGTCTCGTTAGTAGTGAGCGTCTTGCCGAGCGCTCGTCTCATCTCGTTTATGGACCGGATTAACTATTTTCCGGGGCCTTCGCCATCGGATCCAGTCTGTGGACCACCTAAAATAACTCTACTAATCACACTCGGCATCCCTCGTAACTGAGCGTGAACGACGAGCCTCGACGTCGACATGGTTCACGGATTGGATCCGATGAAATCCCCCTTTTCACGGATTAACCTTTTTCCGGAATTACGTGCTCCCCTCGTCACCCATCGGATCCAGTCTATGAACCACCCAATCTCTAGCGGATTAACTATTTTCCGTGACCCCGTGATCACGTGGCCCCGATGGGGGCCCTCCCAACTCGACATGATTCATGGATTGGATTCCATGAAATCCCCCCTCGTCAGCTCTCCATCGCTGGCAGAACCGGATCATCTTAGTTTAGGGATTCTGTGTAGACATTTCACCCAGTATTCCGATCTTCTAGATCGCTCGCGATCCATGTTTAGTAGATATTACTGGACCACTTCGTCGGCTTTTCTGAATAGGTATGCCTGTGACTATAGGTGGCCCACGTGACCCTTTTGAAGGTCTGCCAAGGTTTGTAATGACCAGGGGTCTTCGAAGAACGCTAGTAACCCTCAGATACTATATAGTCAGACGGTCCCTCGGACCTCTTCGAATGCCAACTAAGTCCTCCGTGAAATCACATGCCGCCGTGTACACAATCACGTGATGCAATTGACTTGGCAATGTCGCAACTTCCTCCTTATTCAGGTATGTATCACGTGATTTTAGCATCATGTGTGGGGACGCCAATACGTAATGTTGGCCAATAACGTGAGAAAATAGCTTGGCACTATCACGTGATTATGGCTCGCTATTGTTATAGCGGCGGGAAGAGAAACTAACTAGAACTATCTGCTGGGGGTGGCCGCTTTACTTACTGTGGTACGGAGTTACCACAGTACAGTAAATTAGTGACGCCCCAATCGCGCTGGTAACCCTGGAACGTCTCACCTGAGGGCATTGCATCAACGCCACCGAGTAGATCTGGCCGAACACCAAACCGTTTGATTGTATCGTACACGTGTGTTAGACTGCGGGCGGGTTCTGTGCAATTCTGCGTATACAGCCTACCAGAGATAGCCACATTGCTAGTTGATTGAAAGCTGCCCACCTAGTAAGCAGTTTGACCGACAACAACCGAGTAAGTGGTGCGGAGTTAGGTCCTTCTGAGGCTTTCAAACCACTGGAAACTGCAACCCTGAGGCCAAGGTGTGGATCGAGCTGTGCCTGGAGACTTAGCCAGTTGTCATCATCGCCATAGATCAGCTGGAAGCCCCTAGTCATGATCTGCTTCGACATCCCGGTGGATGGCAGGGCTCACCGTTTCGATCGTCCTCTGTAGGACCCGCGGGAGCGATTGCTCCGTTCGGCGATATCATGTCGATATGAAGCTTTTCCGCGATGTGTACGCCGAGTCTTGAGCTAGGCGAGGCTCCACGTCAATGCCGTCGGCATCAGCAACGCGATCTTTCCGTTCGTCGCAGTACCATTTCAAAACTTCTTCGAGGTCGTTACATTCAGCCGAGAGACGCTGTCCGCGGACTGTGAGGCTAGCCTGACGGAGTCATCAGCCCTCCCACGATAAACCACGAGGATACTTTACATGTCTCATTCCTGCAGCATGCGGTCATGGGCAACTCCGGTCAGCGGTTGCATCGGCTCTTGAAAACTTGGTCCGCGGCCGGACGGCCCAGAAGTGGAAATTCTGTCATTGGTGGTGGTTGGCTTGCTGGGCTTGTCTTGGTGCGACCAACGTCTCTCTCCTTGGGGGGGACGGGGTGGTTCATGGGTGCGGTAGGGCGGCACGAGGGTGAGCTCAAACGGGCCAGCATTCTCTAATGAATATGGGCTCTGGTATCCGCGCACAAGGGCGTAGAACCTGTTAGCTAAGGCGGAGGCCCAGTGTGAAGGGGTAAGTACCCTCTCGCTCGCTGTGATATATAGAGAGATATAACATGTAAGGCCACTTAATATTTCTTACCGTAGATAACAGAGAATGCATCATGATATCTGGTCCCTCATGATATGAGCTATTCCCATCAGCTTTCTGAAAAGTCGATATCAACCCAAATTCCGTTTTTTTCTTTCAGAAAACGACCGACACTCATGATAGCAATCATAATTCTTGCATCTTCCTTTTGGGTTATATCTGAAAGCACCATAACGAGAGGAAGGAATGTTTTAGAAAGGATATCCTGCCCGGATGCATCATTGTACATCAGTGCCCGCTATCCCTCGAGCAGGCTGCGAAGATCAGGTACAAAAGGACTTGAAACTCAAAAGACTCCCAGTCTGAAAATACGATTGCTTCCTTTAGGTCAAGAAGGTTTCTGGCCCCAAACAGTGTATCTTCTAGGTGTTAGCATCCTGTCGCATGGACAGATTTAGCCATCGGAGCGTAGGGTGACTAACAGATCAAACATGGCATGGACGGCGGAGTCTTTTAGGTCTTTTCTGACCTCCGTGAGGAGAATCTCGAGGTCCTCACGACTCCATCCCAAGAAATCAATATACAGCCTCAGACTCATTCCCTGTAGCCCCTCCCAAAGTTGGGTCCAGTTGAGCAATCCAATCTTTTTGAGCTTCTGGTCTTTCGGCCATACTCCCAGAGGTAGTGGTGACTTGACGACTTGGACATTAGTAAAACCTGCCTCGTGCACCCATCGTTCCAAATACTTCCCGGGGCATAGGGTACGTCCAGTCTGCTTTTCGGCACCGTAGGCCGTGGTGAGCCAGCGCCGCAGGGCGTGATCGGGTGTTAGAGAGCCATCTTGAGAGTAGTAGTCAATGTCGAAATCTTGGAACTCCACCCAACCGCCTGGTTTTAGGTGGACATAACATTGCTCCATTAGTCGTGGCCAGTCCTTGATAGAGCCGGCCATGTAGCGGGAGTGGATATAGTCGAAGGGATTTCCGTAAGTCCATGGGTCTTCCACGTCGTCAATCTCGAACCGGACATTTGGCGGAAGTAATGGGGGCGCACTAGCGCTGATGTCGACGCCAATGATCTCGGCTGATGGATACTGATCGCCCATGGCGATGCACCAAATACCGGTCCCTGCACCAATGTCAAGGATGCGCTGCGATGCAGGTTCAATTGGGGCGAGGTGAAGTTTGTCGTTGTTGACCATCTGTAGCAAGGCATTCATGAGATCGAGTCGGTCGAGCTCCTCCTATGCAATACGTGAGTCGAGGTTCGCGCGGCCAAGAGGATTCGGAGTGATTTACTTCGTCATTTGGCCGATGGTAGGAGCCACTCTTGTAAGCATGATATTGTCGGCCGTGCTCTATCGGATAGTCTAACACACTGGTACTGGACGATATCGAGAATGTGGAGGCGAGATCCCATCTGCTGAGTGGTCAATTTGAATGCTTTCGAGGCGAATGGACTAGTTCAACGGATCATTCAAATCATGGGGACAGTACCACCCACATATCGGCAACAGCTTCATCTTCATCCACATTGATATTTTCAGTTGGATGAGCACTCATTCCGACCATTTCATCGATGACGGGCGCACACAGTGTGATATGGAGTAACAAAAGTGAGATTAGGCCGATGAACAAGGGCTAGGTGTCGATAGCTACTTGTACCCCGCCAAAATGGCGGATGGGCCCGAGTGGCGCCGATCGTTCGCGGAAGGGTTACAACCAGGCACGGCCCGGAGAAAAGACGCAGATATCGCTTCGAGCCAAGAGAAGGAGAGAACCCAAATGACGTGAACTTGCGAATAGGTGCGCTAGCTTGCATAAGCCTGGCAGAAACCTGCAGATTCTTGCATTGGAATGATAGAAGAGTAAGTCTTGAGCGGTTCCTCATCAGGCCACGGCGCCAGTGAGTCGAAGGCCGGCGCGACGTGCAGCCCGCATCTACCGCAGCCCGCCACCTTTTTAAATCTGAAACTACTTTTCTATTGCTTCTTTTTTCCAAGCCTTTGGAACCAAGATTTCTCACGTCACAAAAATGGGATCAGAGAAACCACTCAAGATAGTCGTAATCGGAGCAGGATCGACAGGCCTTCTCCTTGCTCAAGGCCTGAAGCAGGTACGTGCCCCCCTTCCCTTCGGGGCCTTTGACTTGGTCTTGTGCACGGTATTGACGGTCAAGGGCAGAACGGAATCGAATGCGCGGTCTACGAGAGAGAGGATTCTAGCACATATCAGACTCGCCCTCGCGAGTGGGGCATGACACTCCATTGGGGTGCCTCTTATATCTCAAAATGCATTCCTCCAGAACTCCGGCCGCTGCTGAATGAGGGTATCTGCTGTGATCCATTCTACGGCGAAAAAGATCTGACTCTACCTCATTACAACGCGAAAACCGGGGAAAAGCTCTTCGACATGCCGGGGGAAGAGCCAAGACGGATATCGAGGAAGAAGTTGAGGAATTTCTTAAGTCAAGGTATTTCTGTCCAGGTACGGTACTGGTGGGCTACCTGCTTCTCGGAGCTAGACCTAATGGTGTCGTCATAGTATGGCAAGCAACTCTCTACTATTGAGCCTGGCCCAGATGACATGGTCGTGGCGACCTTTGCCGACGGCACAAAGGTGTCTGGTGACCTCATTGTGGGCTGCGACGGGGCGAACTCCATCGTGCGCAAATATCTCGTCGGCGATGAGGCCGCTCAGGTGGAGGACCTTGATATTCAGATGTTTAACGTCAGCTGCTCTTTTCCCAAGGAGACCGCTTTGCTTCAACGAATGGGCCATCCGGTCTTTAAAAACAGCTACCATCCTGACGGGTTCATGTGGTGGCAGTCCATCCAGGATGTCAAAGACCCGGATCGGCCTGAAACCTGGTTGTTCCAAAACTGTCTATCATGGATTGGCACACCTCGTGGTGAAGACCTCCCTGATCCTGCGGCTCGGTTGAAATTTTGGCGAGAGAAGGCTGCTGCGTTCGCCGATCCCTGGCGGACGGTCGGTAAAGATCTCCCGGAAGATTTGCCTATCGTAGTGGACCGCACTACTGTCTGGCGACCCACAATGGACTGGTCTGAGACGGAATTCGGAGGTCGAGTCACGATTGCTGGCGATGCTGCTCATGCAATGCCTCCACATCGGGGCCAAGGACTGAACAACGCCCTTGAAGATGCTGCAAGGCTCGTGGACGAGCTTGTGGTGGTTAAGAATGGGGGAAAGAGCCTGAGAGACGGTGTCGCGGCTTACGAGAAGGACATGAAGGACCGGACGCTTGTTGAAATCCCAATCTCCATTGCACAAGCCCAAATGGTACACAGTTTCGACACGCTGATGGACGCTCCATTCTTTAAACATGGAATGAACAAGTACCGAGAAGACATGGAGGCCAAGGGTCAGGAAATCGAAGTCGCGACAGCGCCAGCACCGATCGTCTAGCACGGCCATACTGCCACGTCATCACACCCGAAGGTCCTGTCACGTAGGGTTTCCTGACGAGGGTGATAAGTATAGCAAGGAGTAGAGTACAGAACAAGTCGATGTCCTAACTGGTGCTGGTATGATTGATAAGTTGACTACACAGGAGAACCACAGAACGGCCGTAGTTGTATAAACAGATCGACAGGTCGCATCGCGTGTCTGTTCCTTACCGACAAGGCTGCGCTTCCTCGGTTAGCTGAAGCCGAAGGCATTCCTGGTCGACCCGTAACACTTCGCAAGCAAGATTTTCGTATAAGCTATTGGCCAGAATAGGCAATATACGGGGAGTACGACGACCAGCTAGGGCCTAGTATAGACTATCCGGAATGCCCGACACTGACAAATGATGCAGAATTTGGCGTATGTATAAATGCATCAGGCACCTTGGAGTCTTAGATCTCAATCCTGCAACTGAAACAACGTGATAAATCACGGCGGCACCCAAGGTCGCGACGATGTATTCCAATTTTAGGCTTCCAGTGGCGAGCTGTCTGCTCGCCGTATCATCTGCGTTCCCGACATCGCCATCAAGTGTCCACACTCGTACCAAAACGCAACCAATATCTTTGCCAATATCGACGGGGCAATAGCAGCAAGGCTGATCCCGTCGGTCCTGCTAGGAGTAACAAACCCTTTTATTCAGCGGCGACTCCATATCTTCTACCGACAAAAATTGCATTTAGCGCCACGTCGGGCAGGGAAATGCCGCAAATCATGTTGCTCAGGTTTGCTGATCCACCCCAGCGCCAAGTGAGTGCGACGCAATGTACCTTTTGCGCGAAGAATTTGACAATCGACTGGACTCGCCCAGCCTAACCCAGTCGGGACTGTTAGTATCGCCGGTGATGGTAAGGATGGGAAACGTGTCTCCTAGTCTCGTGGGTAATGGCAAGGCTCGGTAACAGCATTTTAGGTGATTCTTCGGTACAATATAGAGTTCCAGCATTGTCGGTCGCCCTGGAGAAAGAGCTCCTGATTTTGAAGTCCTCTGCTCTCTTGCTTGAATTCATATTTGGGGCTTCTGCGGACAGAATTACTCCGTGATCGTGTGGTGGCTCAGATATTCTCGGTGGGTCCGTCCATTTTTGCAAAAATGCAGCACATGCGCGCGGCTCGGTTTGCTTCAATTGCGGCCTTGCAGAAGGTCAGCTGACACAGACTCTCTCTGTCCTTGAATTCCTGAAGTGCTATTTCACCACAGTACAATAACAATCCTTGTGGTGGTGTGGTACTAGGTGTTCCATGTGATCTTGCAGAGCAGAGTCTGTTTCAGCCACATTGCCAGAGAGAATGGATTCCTTAGGCAACAGCACAGTGGCGATTGCAATCCATTAATTGGGACAACCACCACGTCTACGTCACCATACAGATTTCGTCGTTTTTAACGCCCGACAACACACTCCCTGATCTCAACTTCAATCACTGCCTTACCTCTGCTGATTCTATAGTACATGGCCATGCAACGGAATCAAATCAGAACCTGGCTCAACTTAGTCTAACCTTGGTCAGGGTTGTGCCACTATGGTTCGACAGTTCCTCGGTTACCCGCTCACAAAGGCAGTGTCTGCAAGGCTGTAACGGAAGGCGAGGACTTGAGGCAATCCGGAGGTTGAACGTTTCCACTGTTCTCTTAAGAGGTAGGTATTGTATACCCTATGATTCATGCATGTTTTGCAGATCGGAGTTAGTACTGAAGCAAGGCTGTAAATTTCAGCTTGCCACTCGCTCGTCCTTTTAAGGTGCATATGCATGGGGCTCGGATTTAGGACTTAAGAATATTCAACCAATCAATCAAAGCCAACCCGGGGCCAACCAGGTACCGTTGAACACATGGCTGAGACCGTTTTACGCTTCGCATCGAATTTTCGAATTTCGAGAATCAAATGGTGTCTCAGGGCTTTCACGCGCCTTAAATGTTTCGGTAGAACCAATGTTTCGCATTTGCTCTGCTACTCGTACGGGTTAGCGGCATTTGTTCTTGAGTGGTTATATCCCACCGATTGGATTACCGGTAGTTCGAGTGAGGTGAACGGACACTTTTGTCCTTAGTTTTCAAGAACCAGGCCATATAACGCAACTCGGAATCCCCCTGGTCCATTCATTCTCCGTCACCGGCCGACCGCGGACATCTTTCTGATGGCAAAACGTCGGTATCACCTTCGCACAGAAGGCTTGTTGAACGGCAACAGAGTATATATCGCCCCTCAAAAGTCATGACTGAGATGTTTCGAGCCATTCAACATCTCCAATATCTTAGATCCATCTCCTTGATAGAGACTTAAATCGGCTTTTACAATGGCAGCGGCTCCCAAATTCCCTCAACGCAAGATTGGAGAGGATTTGGTCTCTGCCCTCGGCCTTGGATGCATGGGCATGTCGATTGTCCTCTCGTCTGGCCCATACGACGAAAAAGAGTCTCTCAAAGTTCTCACTGAGGCAGCTGACGTGGGCATCAATTTCTGGGTCACCAGCGATTCGTACGGCCCTTTTACCAATGAGAAGCTCATCGGCAGATGGTTCAAGGAGACCGGACGGCGGGATGAGATCTTCCTTGCAACCAAATTCGGAATTAGGTTGGGAGATGGCAAGATAAAAATCGATGGAAGCCCAGATTATGTGAAAGAAGCATGCGAAGCGAGCCTCGAGCGCTTAGAGACTGACCACATTGATCTATATCTCCAGCACCGAGTGGACACTGAGACGCCCATTGAGAAGACGGTTGGAGCCATGGCTCAGCTCAAGAAAGAAGGGAAAATTCGCTACCTTGGGTTGTCGGAGTGCTCCGCTCGAACGTTAAGGAGAGCTCATAAGGTGCACCCGATCACCGCGGCCGAGATGGAATTCTCGCCCTTCGCACTCGACATCGAGTCGGACCAGACCAACTTCTTGACGACCGCGAGAGAGTTGGGTGTTAAACTCGTCCTGTACTCACCGTTGAGTCGTGGATTCCTTACCGGAACGGTCAAGAGTAGAGACGACTTCGATAAGGCGGATACGCGCAGACTACATCCTCGATTCTCCGAGGAGAACTTTGGAGATAATCTGAAGCTGGTTGAGGCACTGGTGGCGCTTGCAAAAGAGAAAGGCTGCACACCTGGTCAATTGGCTCTGGCATGGGAACTGGCTCAGGGTGATGGTAAAAAGAAAGCCTCGTTCTCAAGCGTGAATATTCTGTACTGATTTTGTTCTCGAAGACTTTATTCCAATCCCGGGTACCAAACACATCAATTATTTGAAGGAGAATGCCGGTGCCGTTCATGTCGATTTCTCTAAGGAAGACGAGAAGAAGTTCAGAGAGGCCATCGAGAGGGTCGGTGGAGCAAAGGGAGCTCGTTATCCGGAGGCTTTCCTGTCGATGTGTTTTGGAGACAGCCCCGAACTTGTTCCTGACTGATCCTTGAGGTCAGCTTGATGGAAGTACCACACAACTAAGGAAGGAGCGTAGACCAGTCGTATGGTAGTCGGATCATTGACCTCCACTGACAGATATACTGATTGGGTTGACAGGTGAAAGAACATCCTCAACACCGGCGCAGTTATTTCGTCCATCGGCCTCAGGACGTTCCTAGATCCCGACGAGCAGGAAGTACCAGCCTACACTGCTCTCAGCCTTGGGTACCACCATATAGATACAGCGCATAAGTATGTACGTTCCTCCGTGAATCCTTGCAACCGGTGCAAGCCGACCTTTTTTTTTTTTCTTTGGACCATTTTTGTTGGCATCGATGGGTGAGGAACAGAAATGCAAGTCATCCAATGTATCAAAGTATTGCCCAAGAGATCTTCTTAACCACGAAAATGTGGTGCAATGCACGCTATCCAGACGACACGGAGCCGGCGTTGGGTGCTTCTCTCCTCAACTTGGACACAGATTATGTCGATCCCATGCATTATCCATATTCTTTTCAAAGAGGGAAAGAGTTCGTGCTCGTAGGCCCCGATAGAAAGTGATCACCGACCCCACGTTGTTCATCGAGACGTGGAACGCGATGGAAAATTGCTAGAAACGGGGAAGACGAAGAACTATTGTCAAACAATCAGTGGGTATCCATTGATTGTTGTCGAGTGCTCTGTCTGTTTGGCAATTGGTTCTATCAGATTGCTGATATTTATAGGAATGATAACCCTTTTTCCAACAGCGGGGCACCGGCCACTGTTCAACTAGTCACGTGGCAGAGAAGTATCGGCCTTCGACACAGCTGCGATGGTGAAGTTAGCGACCTGATCGAGGCACCGAAGAAGACGTTTCCCGACAATTCGTTTATTCAGATCCTCGACTATGATCAAGAGGTCTCAATCAGTTTTTGGGTGAAGTGGTATACCATTCGCAAATAGGCAACAACAGACATTGTCCAGATTCCACGGAGCTCATTCTTCAGATACTATTTTCCGCTCTTCCAAACCCAGCTTCGTTTGTTCCAACTGGAACCGGGAGAACTGACGGATCCGATATGTGGTTGGCTTGTAACCGCAGACCTGAACGACTCGCCTCAATACACTGCGGTGTCCTATGTCAGGAGCTGAAGTAATGAGAGGTACTAGTATCACAATTTTGACGCCATGGAACGAGGGTGTTATCACGCCAATCCCAGGGGTAACATTTCTACGGCGACCGGGGAGGCTCTCTGGCTGGGACTTGAAACAGAAGATACGGGGCTAAGGTATGCAAGTGCTTCAATTTCTTGCTAATGGGTTGGGCCTTTGAAGCAAACCTACTATGGGCAGCTGACGACAGTGAAGACCTTTTCGAAGGCTTCAAGGACATCTTGGGGAGAGAGTAGTTCTCTCACTTGTGGTGACTCTTCTGAAGTTGGTTTCATTGTATGAAATGTATTCCAACTGCTGGTACTCTGAAAGGTCCCAAGAATGCTCTTGTCTCAAGTTGGCAGGTGTTCGGTCAAATGCTCGAGGGGTTGTGGGATAGCCGGATACTTGATATGGCGTATGTCGAAATGTAGCCAATGATTGACCCTTAACACCAACAAATTCGTCGCTGATTGAATAGGACTGCCCTCACTGCAGGCCCGGATCTCTTCGACTCTGTCGGAGAGCGCAAAAGCCAACAGCCACAGACATGGACAGCTGTACACCATATTGGGATTGGCTTGGGGAAGAGGCGGCGAAAAGCTATAGAAGAAAGCAGTGATTCGACGGATGCTCGCTGCTCAAGACGAAGCTTGAATGCAGTAGGGAGTATGTAAACATTCATGGGGAACCATCACGGCTCCAGTTGATGGTCACGATTCTGTACAAGCATCCTTCCACTGAGTTCCCTTGAGTCTTGTGCCAACATTCTTTAGCTGGCAAGTTTGTCATGAAGACTGGAATCAGGGTTGAATATCATACATCATACTTGATTCTGTTCTGCTCTGTTCTGCTCTCATTTCATCCCGCTGGTATTCTTTCCTCAGTCTCAGCAAGCGAATATTCTCACAGCACGAAATTCAACGACACGCTGATTCTCCGGACCAACAACTGGGCCAGTCGATTCGATTCGATTCGACTGGAACGCAGGAGAGTAATATAGGGAAAAACATAAAAGCAATCCCATACTGAACCAAATGAGGCAGAAACAATGACGAGGCGAATCAAAGTGTAGACGAAACAAATTAAAGGCAGCCAAATCATGGCCACACTCTGCATTAAAATCGAGTCTCCTCCACAATATTCAGCAACATAGATGATACGTTGAACTGAAAAGGGGGGAATTTCATCATAGATAGGATCCTGAAAGGGGGAAAAAAAAAATAATTCAACAACTCCAAGCCATCAGTCCCGACCAGACTTTCGCGCCAAGGCTCCATGCAATTCAAAGTTCCATGCCAGATCAAGTCCGTTTCCGTGATAAGGGTGATTAATTTTGTTTGATCAAGCTGCTCAATGAGCCCACACGACGTACCAATATAGGTAAGGTTGGGTCTATGCTTCAATGACTCGGCTGAGGACAGCACCTCGGCCCGGAGGTTGCTTGCCGGTCTCTTCGACGACGGGGTCACCCTTGACGCTGCTTGTACCATTGACACTTGCCGCGCCATGAGCACGTTCGGCATCCTCATCCTCGACAATCTTGGTCCGGTCGGCTCGAGTGTTATGATTCAGGGATTCTCGAGCAGTATAGTTTGTGGGCGCCGTGCTAGCCATGCTTAATGCCGTGCTGGATCGTTGATGAACCAGATCTGGTGTGGGTGGGATGGAACTTCGTTCACTCTGAGGAGTCAAGTGACCCGTGCCGGAACGAGAATCGGTGGTCAGATGCTCCACGGGAGACAAGTTGCCGCTATCTTCTCGGGCGTGACTTGTTGACGGAGACACACCAGCTTCGTCGGCCTCTGCGTGTTCTTCATCTTCCACATCAGCAGCTTCATTGGCCAATTGCAGACCCTCAACTGCAGCGGCACATTGTTCGCTAATGTTTCGGATAATGTCGGCAATGGCATCAGTCTTGTCACGAAGGTGGCGATCAGCAACATCAGACATGCTGAGCCCTGAGAAGCGCTTGCTAGTTCGCTTGCTGGTTGCGAGCAGTTTGTTTTCCATGGAGGGCGTGACATCTTGACCATCGACGGAGCCCGCTCTTGAAGCACGCTTGCCCGATCGGCCGGTGACATTCTTGAGTCGGTCGCCATCTTCAGCGGATTCATCTTGGTCGTCTTCCTCGTCCTCATCATCGTCGTATCCTTCATGGATATATTCAGCGAGCTCAGACGCGGAACCGATAGAACGGACAATGTGTTCCATGTGATGAGTCTGGCCGGTGATCAGAGAACGGAGATGGAGAACCACACGTTGAGCTTCATCACGTTGTCTCTGGAGGGTTTGGTTGGTATGTTGCATGGCCGCAATCTCCTTCCGATTGCGAGCGCGTTCTTTCTCGAGATCTTCAGCGATGCCTTGCTGCAGAACGAGCGCTTCCAGAGCATTGTCACGCTGTCTCTCGGTGCCCGAGAGTCGGAGAGCCAGACGAGCGGCATCGTCTTTCTGTTGATCAATGAGACCAGTAAGTCGGCGGTTCTCGCGTTTATGACTCTCGATCTTGACGCGAAGTTCAGCCAACTCCTTGTTGAGGGACTCCACAAAGGCTTGGAATTTCTGGAATTGCAATTTCCAGGTCTCGACTTCTTGTTCGAGGTAGTTATTGCGCTTGGCGACTTTGGCCAGTTCGGTATCCATACGGCCCTTGAGATTGATAAAGTCTTGCCAGGCTTCGAGTGCATCACGGGAATATTGGTTGCGTTCTCGGACAATTTCGTTCATGTGTCTCATCGAAATCTTGGTCATCAATGGCTTCTTCATGGAGCCACCGAACAAGGCCTTGACACCAGTGTTGCGACCAAGCTTCTCACAAACGTGATCCATGACAGCCATAACAGCATCTTGGTTCCACCATGAAGGGTCCTGAACACTTTCAACCTCACCGCGCAGGACAATGATTTGTCCAGCAGGGATGAGTTTGCCACCACCATAGGCGGACTTCAGATGTTGTGGGACTCCTGTGATCTCGACATCGCTGTTCAAGGCTTGAGCCAGACGATTGATCATCTTGGTGCGTTGGCCAGCTGTCAAAATGTTCGGGGGGTGATCCGTGATGACCAAGTTCCGATCCAAATCAACCAGGAGAGCATCCTTTGGTGGCTGGAACAGGGATCGGCATTCGGTGGTGATGCCCAGGATGTAGGGGCCAGGCTCTTGGACCATTTCGCTGACATTTCGGGCGTGAACGACGGGGACGTAGAGGCCACTCCATTCATAGACGCGGACGCAGAATCTGATCGTCTCGGCAGCGATTGTCAGCATGGCAGGGTGGTGGCTGGTCAGAATAATGCGGCGAGTCGGTGAGACTGCAGCTTCAATGAGACCAACAATATTTGGGATCGTCAAGCAATTGAACAAAGGCCACATAGCAAAGTTTTGAAATCCCGTCGGAGAGGATGGGAACTGATAGCAGAGAGCATAATCTTTCATGTCGATGCGAACCAGGTCATTGAGTCGTGGAGCAGGGAAACTGAGAATCCTTGAAACTTCCTCGGCATGGAACAAATTCGTCGCCTTGTTCCAGTGAATCCACATTCCTCGCAAATAGTCGCCGAGGAGGTTGTACAAAGGATATCTCGACAAGAAACTCAAGCAGTAGGGAATCCAATAGGTCTCATCAGCAACATCTCTGTAGTCGGGTTCGGTCTTGCGGCGTAGATCACGAATAGTCTCAGCTCTCTTCTCATCTGCTCGAGACCAGACTCGAAGAGCAATACCGTACAAGGTGTGCTGGGAATCTTGTTGGAGAACAAATGAATGGTGAACACAGTGTGGCTGGCTTCGACCAGTACAAATTTCCACATCATGAGGAAAACAGGCCTGTAAAGGGGTCACTAAATGACAAAACAGCTTCAAGGTTTTAAGGGGGGGGGGGGGGACCTACCCTCATTGCACTGTGTAGAGCTCTGGCAATCTCGTTGTCGCTTTCCAGTCTGGGACTGCTTCCCAAGATCTCTGGAAGCCAGAATTGGCCTACAGCCCCCTTCATGTGTTGGATTTTCCCGTGTGATGGAGGTGGTGCTTTGACCCATTGTGAAGGCTCTCTTCCTACACCGCATACCATATACGCATGGGTCAAGGTTTTCGGGGTTGGTCGGTTATTCGATTTGGCCAAAGTAGAAGGTAGGGGTTGGGTGATTCGAGAATGAAGAGAAGATGTTCGGCTTGGAACGATAGCATTGTCGACTTGCTGTTCTCTCGTCGTAGGACGATTGGTATCGCGGGTCTGAGGACGAGCCATTGAAGTCATGGAGGTGTGGCCTCTGAGAGATGGACCCATGGCTTATGAACTGACAGGATTGACCGTAGAAGATGGTCTCGGATCAAGTAGGTCAAGTGCTCCCCCAAACCTCAATGGCCTGTGCGAGGTCCTGACCTGTTGGGATTGGACGACACCTGCGCCCAGAGGGATTCTTTATGTTTTAGACAAAATATCTTTGCAACGCCCTCACGGCTCTAGGCTACTTCAATGAGTTGAGAAAGAAAGAAGGAGCAAAAACGAGCGGGACGTGAGAGGAGGGTGAATAACACTAGATCAGCTGGCGGAGGGGATTGAGGAGATTGTTGCGAGGTACCGGAGCAGCAGGAAGGTGGTAGATTCAGGAGGCATTTGATACTGCAAGCGAGAGAAAGCGTAACAGGTCGCGTCTGGCCAAGGAGGACGGAGGCCAGTGGAGAAGCAACTAATGGAAATGAGGCTTGCAGGGGGCAGAAACCACAAGGTTAACCTGGGAGAGTAAAGTGTCGACCATTTCGCTCCGCGTCGAGGCGTTTCTGCATCAGAGGCGAAGGTGGGAATTTAAGTCAGATGCGGTAGACAAGTGGATCATTTCTTTTGCTGGGCTGCAAAGATAGTTGAGAGTACATAGTTCATACAAAATGCGACCGGAAACCTTTTTCAGGGTTGGGTGGAACGGGACCAGAGATTGAGTTTCCAATGCCACCCAAAAATTCCACCGCAAAATCCAGAGCCAGACAAGGCCATAGGCGCAACCAATACGAATTCTCTCCCAGCTGACGGAGCTGACGCGCGACTCCTGTTTGTCCCTCTTGAGTCTAGCCAGGAGTTCCGCACCACCAAGCTCATCACCATCGAGCCCACTCTAGGGCCACCACCCAACCTTGTGTCGGTCTCCCCTGGTTTGTCCCTGGTCTTTGGCTCCCCCCCGTCGCTTTTTTCCCCAGCGGGCCTCAATTTGGCTGCCACATCAGAACCAGGTTTCTGATCCACTCCTGCTGTGATGAGCCGAAAAGTTGTTTGACATCTTTGGACTGCTCTGCCACTGCCATTACACTTTTTTTCCCGGATTGGTCTGTCCCCAATGGTCGATAGCCAATGGGTTCTCGGCCTTTGAACCTTAACGAAAAAAGAGGGGGCTTGCAATTGTTGTCTTGCCCAGTTCAGGGGTTGATGGACCCGTCATCCGGTCCTGGGCTCAGCTGTGCATGTCCTCTTTCTGAATGAATCAATATGCATTGAAGTTGTTTCGGTAGAGATGTAGAATTCAGTTGACATTTTCGCCACGATCCCTCTCACACAGGCTAATCGTTCTTGGGGAAAATCCCTCCGGGACGTTGTAATTTCCCGATATGACATTTTACATTCCCAATCTTCAGGTCGGTTCGCATTTTTGTACATTGCAACTCAGAGGTTGAGAATCATTGCCAAACTTCTTCTTGCTTCTCCCGTTCGGGCATGACTTTTTATGTGAGGCATTCGCGTGCAATTGGTTATATTCGAATAAAAAGTTTGATTCGGTGTTGGTTGTGTCCAAAACTTTAATCATCTGAGCTCCGCAGGATGGGTGTCTTCGGTTCACGGCAGGTATCCCTATACCTTATTGAGTCGAAAAGATGCCGACATGATACTATCTTCTCCTAGTACTCACCAGGTCTATCCTGGATAAAGATGCGGGCTTGTAGTCATAATATTTTGACTGTAGGCACGGATGTATGCAGAAACCGTAAAATCCTTTTGAGTTGAAGCCAAAGAAATTGGATCCGATGTCGAAACTTCACTCGCGAATACGAGTGTTTCGAATGTGAACCCTTGACTCACTACAGTATATTTGTCCTGCAGATTTTTGTCCAGAGAGAAGGATTTGCTTGTCGTGCAAGCTGATCATCTGATATCCTAAAACATCCTCTTTAGCACCTCGCATGCTCTTCCGCTTGTCTTCGCTAGATATGGGCCGAGTCGCTGGGGATGGTGGTAACGGGAAACGGTAATTGGAAGCCCAGGAACGGGGACTGGATATACAGATGCAGGACATGGCTGGTGAACTGAAAGCTTTTGCTGCAGGCTAATACCCCTTCAGTGACCAACACTTCTCCGCATTTGGGCCGATAACGATAAGGAACCTGTGCCCGGCGGAAACATGGGCACGAAAAACAAATTTCTCAACGTTTGAGTCCAGCTCCCGCTTGCAAAACCACACTCACGGATACTGTCTTGAACACTTGGGTTCACCATGCAGGAAACCAAAGGTAATATCTTATTGACGGATCTCTGTGCTATTTGGTAAGTTTGATTAGGGTACCTGTTTGGGACGGGTTGCTATTGACTTCTGGAACCTAGTCATGCTAATTCTATCAAATACACCTGTCCCCGATGCGGCATCCATACGTGTTCCCTACCTTGTGTCCGGCGCCATAAAACATGGGCTCAATGTTCTGGCATTCGAAATCCTACAGCCTATCGAAAACGGGCAGAGTTAGCAACGCCAGCTTCTGTCGACCAGGACTTTAATTTTATCACATCCGTCGAAAGATCCCTGCAGAAAGCAGATGACCTAGTCCTAGACAAAGGCATAGACTTGGCCCCTAGTGGCGTCAATCGACATGGCCATGATCCGAAGCGAAGGTTTGATACCGAGGTTGAGAATAGAGGGATTCATTTGATCAAAGCTCCTCGTGGTCTATCTCGAAATACCCAAAACAAGTCACATTGGACTCCTAAAGGTATCATGTGGACAACGGAATGGATACTTTATGACGGTGAAAAGAAATTCCACAACGTCATTGAATTGAGGACTGTGGGGGAAGCATTTGTGGCCATCTTTGGCAAGACTAAAATCCGCAGGAAACGGAAACGGAGTGATGCTGAAACCACAAGCGTGCCGGCTACACAACCTGACACTGAAAACACCCAGCCGGACTCTTCCCACGCGAGGATCGCACAAGACCAGCCCACGTCGACTCCAGACATGGAAAACCAAGATGACGGTTCAAAGAATGAGGCATCTAGTCGGGACAAACGTGTCCAAGACCCTTCCGACACACTGGAAACAGGAGCAAAAAGTCTAGAAATTTCGCCAATAATTCGCAATCTTCATTTTTACCTCCTCAGACCGAAGACGATGTCGAAACTAAAATGTCTGATACCAATATCGCCTACATCCACCTTGGATGGTGTTCTTCGCGATAAAACGTTGCTTGAATTCCCAACCTTCCATGTCAGGAAGGAAGCGCCTGACGCTTTGAGCGAGCCGTTCATCTCAGACGAGAAGTACACCCAGGTGTATGGATCGGAGATGCCCGTGGATGTGCCGACGAATCCCCCGAAAGAGGGACCCGACGCCAGAGAGCCGATGGCACGGACAGATATCGACGAGAAAAAGGTGTTGGAAGTGCTTCAGAAGGATCTCGCCGGCGGAGGCCACGCATCTGATTCTTGTCTTTCTCATGCCAATTTGCCTGGTACAAAAGGATGACCGGCACTTAGGCCACCACATACCGCCCAAGCCTGACCGTTAACATAACTAGCCTCGTCACTCCCCAAGAAGAGCGCCACTCTCGCAACTTCATCGGCCACCGCCCCTCTTTGTAGAGGGTTCAGCTGTCCAATCTTCTTCTCCGTCCCCCGACTTCTAGCCTGATCATACATGGCCTTAGTCATCCCCGTTTCTATCACACCAGGACACAAGGCATTTACTCTCACACCAGTTCCCGCCAATTGATACGACAGGGTCTGCGCCAGCGACACCACCGCAGCCTTACTCATCGAGTAATCCGTCCCACCGGCATTCGACCTCAACCCTGCCACGGAGGCCGTCCCAATAATACTGCCACCAGGATATCTCTTCTCGGCGTTCGTCTTCTGCATCGCCATGGCCGCATACTTGGCGCACAAGAACACACCCAACGCATTCACACGCATCGTATTCATAAATGCTTCGCTCGTGATATGCTCATACGTGTTCGGCACCCCCGTCACACCTGCATTGGCGAACATGATATCCAACTGGCCGTACTTTGCCATACAGTCATCCACGACGGCTTTGACCTGCGCTTCGTCCCCGACATCCATCTTGACGCAGTGGACTTTGCACTCCGGGTACAAGGACTTCATTTCCCGTTGGTGCATCTCTAGGTACTGGTCTGCGTAGTCACAGATATACACTGCTTTCGCGCCGTTCTGGGCATATTGGTGTGCAGATGCCCGACCAATGCCGATAGGCGAGTTGCACCCTACAAAATAATTTCACGTCAATTAATGTTCCATTTCCCAGGGAAATCAAAACCAAACCAGTGTGTCCCAGCCAGTACGAGCCAGTCTATCTCTCCTCTAGCCAAGCGTAGCATAACCCAGTTCATGTTTCTTGTTTATCATTCTCTCCAAATTTCTTTACCTACGGCCCTCCATATATTTCGACGCCCGTATAATGCAGTGTGTGCTCGTGTGGGGTATATTAGGTGCGTACCAGTAACAATAACCACTTTCCCCTTGACTCTCGGCCCCGTCGAACTATCTGCGACGTGCCGAATGCGCGGGATCTCCTCGAATGTGCCTTCACTCGGAATACCTTCAACAAGTTGCTTGGAAAGCGCGGCAAGCCGCTGTTTGGGAACAGAGGTCATCTTCTTGGCAGTTTCTGCAGACTCTCAAGTAAAGCGGAAGGGAGCAGGCAGGGGTGAATTCGTCGATATGTGAGCGGCGAAGGGAGGGAGATTCTTGTGTCTGTCAGGAATACGTGGTGGATTTTGGCCTTTGGGTCTGGTGTTGGACTGCGTTGAGACGATATCCGACACAAGGCAATGCAATGCGAGGAAAGACGAGGGGGTCAGAACTGCAGTCCAAACGCTATGAAGCATACAAGGAAAATGCAATGTGATCTCTTTCGCCTGGCCTTGAGCAGGGATACTCGCAAATCGAGGGAAGAGAGTCAAAACAACCGAGGCTATTTCACCGATTAGGAGATCTGGGGTCGATTTCGGTGGAGCAAGAGACCAATCAGTACCTGGGTACGGTGGAGAAGTTAGCCGTCTATTGCAGCGGCTAATCTCCTGTTATGCCTTGCTTCCTCTGACGTCACTGCAAAAAAAGGGGGGGTTGTAATATGAACAAACACCTCTTTTAAATTTTGATATAAACAATCATCCACCACCCCCTCCACACCCTCCGCCTCCACCTCCGCCTCCTCCACCACATCCCCCTCCGCCGCAACCGCCACCTCCAGGTCCTCCGGCACACCCCCCTCCGCCTGAACCGCCACAAGCACTAGCGCACCCTGAACCACAATTGCTCGCACACCCTGTATCCCCTATATTATCTGTTCCAACATCGAAAGAACAGTCCACGGGCCCCAATCCTGAATCCGCAACTGCACCAAGCCAAAGCCCATGTCCACCATACACCCCAGTAGAATAGTAGTTCTCTTCTTCCATCTCACGTCTCTGCCTCTTTGCCTCGCTTTCTCCAACTCTCCGAGGGCCAGGGACATCTTTGAGCCGGACCCGTCCGTCCCGGAGTTCTTCATATTGCCTGACACGCTCATCGAGATCCCGGATGGCCCACTCGGCAATGAAATATTGATGATACAGCCCTTGGTCAAAGACATGGCTGAACGGCTGTGCTCGATGGATACCACCTAGTTTCAGCCTGTCGACGGAGGTGTCTTCCGATGTATGCAGCCACTTGGTCGCAGTTCGGAAAGCTGGAACCCGGTGCATGGCCGCCCCGACTCTCAACAGGAGATTCTGGGCGTGCAGCAGTGTGAGACGGTTTTTAAACCACTCGGCGTCTGAAAGCGGCAGTTTCTCGCCACGTGTTGGAGCATACATCCACCTGTCTCGCCCCAGGTGCAGCGAGATGATACTCCAGCTATCAAAGGGAAATGCCCAGACGTGTTTGGACAGGTTGCAGTCGCCACACCGTGTCGGGTATCGTCCAAACGCCTCGGTGCAGTCCCATGGGAATAAGGTCTGATTCGGGTACAGGTGCTTCCCAAAGGCTGCGAAGTCAAACCAGTATTCGTGCAGAGTGTCGATGATGTCAGCTTCCTCATGCCGCCCGTACCGGAATTTGAGTAGGTACTCTTCAGTCAGGCCCGATGGAACGTCGAACTTGGTGGCAATTTTGTTGCGAGTGTAGGAGCTGGGTCTCGTGGCGAAGGAAATGAGGTAGAGTGGATGTGGTCGAGATTGAGATTGAGATTGGGACCCAGGAGAGAGCGGATAGGGCGGCGGATTGTCAGGGATGAACTGTCCGAAGTGATCCCAGTTCAGGATCGCGTCACAGAAGCTCTGGCAGCTGTTCTTCGTCGGGCTCCAGCGAAGCTTTGTATCTTGGTGGATGAGTCGCTGGCTGATCGATGTCAGATAAACGTCGACTCTAGATTCTAAGAGTCGTTTCACTTTTGGCATCAATTCGAGTAATATTGAATCAATCAGTTTTCTCTGGTCCGCAAGTGATAATCCCGGATCGTCAAATGGCATGTCGCTTCCCGCTATAAGAGTTTGGACAATACTGTCTTCAATCTTTCTGTCCAGAATGCCGGTAAAAGGGACTCCGATAATTTGTTTCATAATTGCTTTGTATCTCTTTCTGCCTCGTTGACGGTGTGACTGGGACCAAACCGTGCGCCGGGAATCTTCTGCTATTGCATATCCTACGTGGTAGGGCGGCGGCAAAGATCTGGAATCTCTGCTAGGAGAGAGTTGAGCCGGATCTCGTAATGTTACCAATGCTCCCCCTTTTGTGCTGTGAAGAGAAAATTGTCAGTATATCGGGTGGGTGGATATCAAAGGGGGGGGGGAATATACTGTGCCACGCCATTCTCAATGATCAACGGGCCAACCCTCAAAGCCATGTGAACGTTCCCAAACGGATATTTCTCAATGTACCGCCGCATGAAGAACGGGATATCCTCGTCGGCCTCGGCCTCTCTAACCTCACTCGACTTGCCCTGGGTGCCAATCCGATCCGTCTCGTCGACCAGACTCGGCATCGTAGAAACTTGCAGTGTTGCGTCATTCTCCTTCTTCTTCTTCTTCTTCCTGATACCTTTACTTTCAGATTGCTTCAGTTTCTCCAATTCGGCCGGGTTCAACTGTGCCCGGCGTTTCTCTTCGCTCAGTGGTATTCGTTTTGTGACGAGCGTCTGCATCGCGTCGTATTTCGATTCTGCGATCGCGTCACCCAGTGACAATAAAGGGCATTGTAACCCTCCCTTTCTCGACGTCGTGACATGTTTGTCATCGTTATTAATAGGAAACAAAGTACGATATCGGCCCGATTTATCGGAGTGAGGAACCCGAGTGCATCGGCATATCTTGCGGCTGCTAGTTGGGGATATTGAACCGTCGAGGACACAATGTTTGTGGACTTTGTAGACGTTGGGTTGACCATAGTAGCGCTCTAGGTAACAAGCTTCGCAAATCTTCCAATCTGGTATAGAGGATGTTGAGGCTAGTTGGTCATGAGGAGTCGTGGAAGAGTAAAACATGGGCCCTCGGATGACGGTGTTGCATGTTGAGCAATGCGCGCTGGAGAAGATTGGAATGGAATCTTTGGTATAGCGGGAAAGGGTTACTGAACAGGAGTCAGCGTTAGCCAAATTGATGGTTGATATAGGGTTGCTCTGGGGAAAAACAAACGCTGCGGTACGCCGGGTCTCCGCCAAAACTGCCAGCCATCCAATGGAGGGCGATGCTCGATCAGCTTCTCTATGTCAAGCAAACCTGAAGGACGTCAACATAGTCCCTCAGCAACGCAGAAGAACCCCACACACCGGCGCTCTGAAGAAGCAACCTCACCCGTTCCTCAAGGAGGGGAGTACCTATCGGGTCTGTTGATTTTAGCAAGGTATAAAAGCCTCAAGGGATCGGTATGCGTACCTTGAACTTCCTCCCTCAGTGATTGTTTGATCTTAGAGCTAATCCGATCAGCTTTCAGATCCAATCCTCGCTCATGCAACGCAGCAGCGTAACTAGGCAAATGATAATTGGTGTTTGGTTTCGCACGTTTCCGTTCCTCTGATCGAGTTGAAAGGAGTCAGGGATGAGAAGTATAAGGGTAGAAGTAGATACGACGGAAGATCTTTTAGCCTCTGCGATTTGATACATACCATATCGTCTTGCAAACGCTCTAGATCCTTGACAAACCTGGTCTACAAAGGTGTCAAACCCATGAATAAAATCATCCTCGTTTTCAATGCTATCAGGATCTGCGAACTCGGGCTTTCGCCATTCTCGGAGGGCGAAGAGGATATTTTCCAGCTCGCTTCTGACACCGATCCAGTATAACTTCTTCAACTCCGGGAGGAGATGAGTATCTGCAGGTCCGACTTCTCCCCATGGTTGATCTGGTGCAGCAGTGATATTGTCACTGGGTGTGGAATTGGAACTCGAATGTATTTGTGACTGCGGATGGCTGTTTATGATTCGTTTGGCAGCGACCACGGCTGCAATGTTGCGGAGGATCGCCGGTGCCATTGAAATGGGCAGCAGGAAGCTACTTCACATTATCGCAAGGTGCGCGCTCGGGCACGTTTTCATCTTTGTACAATGGTTTGATCGGACATTTGAGAGGTTTAAGCCTTGTGTGAGCCCAAGTCATCCAAGGCGACTTGGAGGAGGGGAAGGACAGGGATGATTGTGGCTGAGGCAGAAAAGTTGCAGTACAATCGACTTTGAGCGGGCAAGCCTGCCTCAACATTCTCCATCCCAGCTGCGCCCTGTTTATTGCAGTCCAAAGGCTGACTCTACAATTCTTTCAATGGGGATCTGGCATTCTTTCTTTACTCCACGAGGCTTCTTCTCGACCGATGACACGAGCTAGAAGTGACATCGCGTGAGACTTCACCTCTCGGCCACCTCGGACAAGGATTGCCAGATTGCCTTGTGAGGGTGAGCACCCAATATCGAGTCGACTGCAAGATATACTCGTATCGATCCGGCGTCATTGACGATCCTTGGATATCTACCTGGTCGCATCTCACTCCCGTCTGAGCGCTTCTGTTTGATTGTGCCTACCCACATCAAAGATGTCTCTTACCATCGACGATAACCAAATTGACCTTCATACCTCAAGCAAGAATACAGTCGGAAAACCGACTGTCACCCCATCGTGGTCGATAAACCAACATCGACGCCAGAATTCTCCGACCACGGCATACCCCCCGAGGATAAGTACAGGAACAGGACAATCTGCCACCCAGCCAGTTATTCCCAACCCGGAAGTTTTCCGCGGTCTCACATCGCTCCTAACAGGGGACTTTCAGAATGGATCACCCGCCTCTTCCAGTGCCAGTCTCCCAACGGTGGCGGAATGTGCCGTCCATCTTGAACTGCTTCTCTGCATCTCCACTCTGCACTATACGGTTGATCAATCTAGATCCCTGGACCGAGCCTTCACCATTTTTCCACGGCCAAGAACGGTCCAATGGCGACATAGAACGAAGAGGCTGAAGGACTCGACATTCGACACCCGAAGGAAGCGGAAATGGCCTACGTACCTGAATATGGCGGTCAAACGATTTTTGGTCTGGATCAGCGCTATTGATGCAAAGCTAGCGGCATTAGATCAGACCAGACGGATGGGATTCTTCCCACCGCCGCTCGGTTTGTCGATTTGGAACTTGGAACAATCACTGGCTAACGTAGGCATGTAGATATCTTAATGGTTTGGCATGCCGTCCTTTTAAACCCAAGCTACTATGTCAAATTTTGCCAGGCCCACGACCTGATGACTGTCGTCCAAGTTGGGTTCCCTTGGAAAGAGATCGTGAGTGGCCAGCAGAATGCCACACCATAATCCTAACATACTAATCTTTTCTCTCAGCACGAGGCAATCAACTCTGAAAACTATGCATTCACACCCCCAACGCCCGCCCTCGAGAAATTCCAGGAAATGACTGGTCTCGAGCCTGACCTATTCGAAAGCATCTGCCATCACAGCGTTTCCGAGCCCGTGGCAATCAAACTCGCAGGGCTCATCGAGAGCACCATTCCGAGATTGGAGGTCTACGAATCAAAACATGTGTACGAAAAGGATCTGCTGCCGGGCGGCAAGGCGTTCCTGGGCCTGCTTGACAAAGGCAACGATGCCAACAACCTGACCGTCAAGGACATCGCGGACGCAGTGACAAGGCAACTTTCATTTTGCCAGAAGATGGAACTACAGCTCTGGATCCGGAGTCCTGCAGCCCTGGGGACCCTGACCCGGGCACGAGCCCGCTATGGCCGGTTCCTGCAGCTCTTCAAGTTGTATCCCCATACCATGCTCGTTCCGACTTTGGACATCGATCTCGTATGGCACACGCATCAACTCTCTCATCAACGGTATACCATCGCAACGGCGGTTTTAGCAGGTGATTTCATCGATCACGACGACAAGCTGGGAAAGACCACGTTGAACAACGGTATGGAACGCACGGAGAGCCTATACCGGATTCGATTCGGGGCCAAGTATCATATTTGTACCTGCTGGGATTGCGAAGCCCTAGTGTCGGCGTTGGAGAAGGCAGATCTGGAGGACAGTGATAACAACACTGAGACACCTGCTGACATCGAGAGTCTTGTAAATCAAGTTTCTGCCGATGTCCAATATTACCGCACGGCGGAGAAAGCCCGACGGACTTGGGTGGCCGGCCCCCAACGGTGACTGCATGAGGTATAGGAATCACTCTGGTTCATTTAATTTGATCTGGTGGCTTTGTTTTCTGTACTCCGTCCTCTGTAGCTGATGGTTATATGTGAATACTTATGAGCACCTCATTTGCTACAGGTATCGCCTCCGGGTTTCGCCACCTCTGAGGCTGAAGATTGGGTGCTTTCGAGGAAGCCCCTACTAGTGGCTGCATGTGGTCTACTCCCATGCCGGAGCTGTTGTATGTATCGATAAGATTAACTCGACCAAGCTGTGAAGCCATTAACTCAGTGTACCAGTGGTATCAAAAGGCTAATTGGGATCGCGAGAACCATTCAAAGCACCACGAAGTCCCCGAATGATATTTATCACGGGGGCACGACAACATCTAGCTTGCAGTTACACTAGCATGGTCGAAATCCTGTCTTGAGCCTCAACTCGAACGACGCTTCGGACGGAAGATATGGCATGCTGTGATCTCACTTTTCTGGCCTCGCAGAGGGTCTTATCTTGCTCACGAGTTGTTCCTAGACTCGAGCGACTTGCCTGACCACTCGGACATCTGGATACATTTGCTTGGAAGCTTGGAAAACTTTCCATTTCAGTGGCATTATCCATGAAAGACGGCCAGCGCCAATCCCTTCAGAGACTGCCGGGATTGCACATTGGCGGATAGATAACCCAAGGATTCTACATATCACCAGTCTTGGTCTGTCATTCAGCCTTCCTCCAATAGAGGCCTTGACGCCATAGTTATAATATGAAGTTCTACAGTTTGCTCAAACCGGTCGAGCTCTCTGAATCCTTCTCACCCCCTTCCGGCTAGCCTTCACTGGTACAAACCTGTCCACCAGTTTCTACCGACTACGAAGTCAGCTGCTAGACAGCTCCTACTCAGTCTCTTTGTCGATGACAACCTGGCAACCACTGCGTACAGAGCAATTAAGCATGACAAGACTTTCGACCCAGATCCAGACAAAGGTAGGACGAAGATATCCGGACGCAGCGAGAGAGGTACCTCGCCTTATTCTTTGCAGTGGATTTCGGTGACGTTGAACGCTCAGCCCCCCAGAGGTGAACGTGCTGAGACATCTCTGTGCGTCGATTCCGATACATCAGCCTGTCTTCCCCTATGGCATTTACAGCTTGCAGTCGCGAGCAAGAAACCCACTTACCTAACCCTGACGCATCTGATATGATCTCGTTCACAACTCTTCTTCAGTTGCAATATTACATTCTATATCACGCATTTCAGGTACCTATTAGGTATGTAAATCACCACCCAGACCTTCTGTTAAACCGGCCTGCAAGTATCTGTTCCACGCGAGAGTCATACTCTTTCCGCCTATGCACTCCGATTCTACAGAAGAGCATCCTGCCAAACTCCTCATGCGGCACCCTAAGCGCCTTCAGCGCAATTTCTGTTGCTCCTCGATGCAATGCATTCGTTAGTTGATCATTTGACATCACCAAATCCTTCGTCAAGAGAACTATATCGCCGACATGGTGGTATTCAGGCAGTGGAAGAGCCCATTCGTTCTCTGCGATATTTCTGGCCTGTGTGAAAGGAAAGGATGGAAGATTACTTTCTGTTTCAGTCACCAATGCTGAATTGGTCAATGAGTCCGGATCTTTAGCCTCGAGGATCGGCGGTTGTCTGTAAATCGAGCGGAATAACGAAGCTAGTGATCGGATATATGATGTGTCGGATCGAGTGACCAGGTCGTATTCATTGACAATGGATAGGACCATAACTCCATTTCGGTTTTGTTGCTGGGGCATCATCGGTCTGGGATTGATGATGGGTGGGCTTCCGAATGTGATACAGGATAATTGAAAATTGGGGTCTATAATGCGAGATTAGTGTTCTTGATGCCGAACAGGGTAGATTCAGATACATATTCGATGAGCATCCGAGAATATCTTCAAATATAGAAGAGATGCAATGGCGCCACCGGCGGAATGGCCAGTAAATACCACGTGGGGGAATATGGTAGGTTCAGATTCGTGAAGCCGACCCAATTCGCCAATGACCTCTGGTAACAATGCCTCCGCGCCATTGAGGAAACCTCCGTGAGCTTGCATCGATTCGATTATTGAAGTTCCGTCACGGATCTGGTACCATTTTAGCTCAGGATAGATTGGAAAGGGGAAGAAGCTTGTTTTACCGTAGGAAGGTGGAACATCTTTGGCTGTCCATTTAGATTCACCATGTGTGCAACCAAGTTCTCCGTCCCTCGAATAGCCACTATCAGGGCTGGAAGCATTGGGTTCGTTCTGGCGTCTGAGTCGACGGGACGAACGGATGTGAAAGACGCAGCTTTCGTGGTGCCTGTGATAGAGGGCCGGATGAATTTCAATTCGTCAAATATTAGGCTCTCGTTCGAAAAGTGTGGTCGTCGTTCGGTTTCGTAGACAGATGCAGAGCACTTCCAAGAAACATACACAAGTTCCGACTCTTGGAATGTTCTTTTCCAATAAGTCATCCATTAAAGAGAGCAGACGCATCATCACTCACGGATTCCACGGATCAAAGCGAGCATGTCGGGGCACTCCGCAATTGGCATATTTGGAGGCTTCTTGGTCCAGTGACTCGAGGTGACTCTTGAGGCCATCACGAAGATTCCCTTTGAACAATACTCCGAATCAGCACAGACTGCGCCTCGACGGATTTCAAAGGTCCTTACCATGCAGATCTAGCTGTTCGATAGCATCGTCGAGAACGCCTGACAACTCACTCACGGCAGCCGAGGCACCTTGACAGTTATCGACAAACGTTAATCCGGAACTGGGAAGCGAGACAGCAGAGTTAAGAGACGACTGAGATAAAGTTCGAACTTGTTTGTTCTTGAGCCTGCGAGCGAAGAATGCCATCAATTGACTGGTAGCAACCCTGCTAAGTGGATCATATCAAGCCAGCAGAACAATACGGAGTTTTGTAAAGACGTGAAGTCTTGGAAGAGTCTGTACTCCCTACACGTTCGGCAGAAGCATCGACAGATGTTGTGGCAGTGCTAAAGAAACTCGACGCTGTTGAAGTGTTCAGCCCTTGCCAAGATCACAGCAAGGCAGCAATGAGACGGGGACGAAACACTGCATGGGGGACGAGTATGCCTCGTCAAATCCCAGGAAGATATGTCTGAAGTGCGTCCTTACCCATGATTCAAGAAGGTATTCATTGCTTCTGTAAGGTCAATGATGGTACGGGATAAGTCAGTAAAGCCCAAAGTAGCTACCGTCACGTCATGAATTCCCGAATTTAATACCGCAGCTAATCGTCTCATTCAACACCCGTCTCTCCTTCTCGCCCATTGAGGATGCATAGTACTCTTACATTCCCGATCACATTGTGTACACACCCACCACCTAGGTCCTTTGGCTCCCAGCCGACCAGAACAATTTCCACACGATTGAACCCGCTCTGCCAGGAACCGCAATTCCGCCTGAAGAATCTTCTCTCGTTTCGCTAGGACTTGTTCCGCTGTCAAGGATGCACAAGTTCGACAAAGATATTGACGTGTTTCAATTGTCGTATCATCGGCATATTCCAACATTGTGTCAAACCATCTTCGTCTCTTTTGCTTGTAGCAGGAGCACGGGGCCCGGCGATACCCCCTGGTTGTGTTGGTCGGACGATGCAATTTGGTGCTGTAGTAGCATGAGGAGCAGTAAGCTATGCAGTGCTTCATATGCGGCACAACTGAGCTGGTAAGATTCCGGTGCTGCGTTTGGCAGTCCTGTTGAAACCATTTCAGCCTCTAGCAAAAAGCGGCGGACTAGGAAGACAGACTTTGCATATTTGTCTTTGGCACGTCCAACAATTCAGTTTAGACCCTTCGGTGCAGCTCAGAATACGGAGATTTTCGTGGGAGTCAACATTCTTGCTCGGAGAAACCAGAGCCTGTCGAACTGATTTGCAGGTTGAACTCAGGTTGACGAGATCGACAAAATGCAATTTTGCCGCAATACCTTCTTGTATGCGATCTTCATGCAACAGGCCGACGAATTTGTCCACGGAAGATGGCTGTGGCTTTTGTTTCTCGCTAAATACTGAGAGTTCTGTTTTCGGAGAGCGATGTCTGGAGCCATGCCAGAATTTCATAGTGAATCGTCTAAAGTACCTCATTTTGAGGATGGACCAGATCGGACCTTTCCAGAGCACCAAATAGGGCGGCCAGCAGATGATGTAGAATATGAACTTCTTGCAAAAGCTTCGTGTGCGAGATGTGGCTCCAATGGTTCCACTGTAACTAGAGGAGTTGCTACGGCGGTGATGCCCGTTGTAGCTCCTTCCATTGGCTGTCCAACATCCCAACACCATGCTCAAAAAAGCGGAGATGAAATATAGGATACTGGACGAGCCTCAATCAGCTTGGCCATCAATACCTCGAACCACGGGTTTTGGCTTACCATACGGCAATCTGGCAAGACCAGGTTTCCACAAAGCTCGTGCAGACATGACGCCAGTCCGGGAATGTGGAATTGTCGGAGGCAATAACGGTGAAAAGGCTGGGGGTGGTAGAATTGGGTGGATGGGAGCTGATAAATTCAGAGCAGCTGGATTTCTTGTGTGGTATATATGTTCCTTGCAAAGCCGCGGCTACTGTAAGACACACGGCTATCACAAAGTCTACCAGTCCGATGCAAAATAGAAATGCACCAGATGAGGCTGCAGTAGGAATCCACATGGCTAAGTTCCACGACAAGGCGAAAACTCCCTGTTAGGGAGAATAAGGTGAGTCCATCATTCCCGACATTCACGTAGATTGATAGATACTCACCATTCCCCCGGCAAGATGCCATGCCGGAAAGATGTACTGGTTGTAGGGAGGATGGCTCAAGATCTCATGTTTCTTGATGTCTCTCCAGTTACCTAGATTGGTGAGTCCCACAATCCAAAGCGGAATATGACAAGCGAAACGGATAACCGCTGACGGTATGCCAGCCATGGCCTTTAACGAAGTCATAGGATTTGTCCATAGTAAAGGAAACTGCAAGAATAGGGATGACGAGGGACGAGTACAAGTAGAATTCTGGATCTGGCTGTGCAGCCATCAATCAGCCTGAGAAGCGCACCCTATGACACTCGGGAGGGGTAGTCTGATTGAGTTCAATCAAGAGTTGCCTGGTGATTTTCTTTTGCGTTCGGCTGCGCCAGGAATTTTTTAGTTTTCACGCTAGACAGGGCGCGATGATACACCGGTTGGGAAAAGGTAACCGGAATGCAAGGTGGGGGCCAGATTTGACTAGAAAGGCGCGCTCAAGGCTCAAACTATACAATTGATGGGTGAACATGGCGTGATCCTGCAGTTTTGGAAGCAAAAGAGAATGCAATAACTGAGGAGAAAGTATTCCTGGTATATGACTTTCGGAACAAGGCTATATATCACGTGATGATAGTTACATAAGCACGCCTTATCGGGGCTGCCCAAAAAATTGGGCTGCAAAAGTGCGGAGGAAACTTGAGATTTTCCAACTGCGCTGGCCGCTAAGAAAGTCGAATCCCTAGAATACCACATGCAGATAACTCTCAGCTGGCCATCATGCCCAAACGAACAGCTGACAATCAAGAAACCCAAGGGTCTCTCAAGGCCGGACAACGACCAGACTCCGGAGCAAACGGTGAAACCTCACTTGACTTTGAGGATGAATTCGAAGATGAATACGAGTCCGAAGACGAAGTGACGGAGGCTGGTGTTGATGGAAGACCAGATGCCGAAAGAGAAGCAGACCAGGCACAAGATGCTATGGAAATAGACACAAAGGAACAGACATTCATACCGGGACGGTCAATACTGCAGCCAGGCATGTCTTTGACACCCGACCGTTCGACCTATGAGATGCTCCACGTCATGTCCACGACATGGCCCTGTTTGTCCTTCGACGTCGTACGAGATAATTTGGGAGACCAGCGAAAACAGTATCCAAGAACATTGTATGCAGTTGCCGGCACCCAGGCCGAGTCAACACGTGCGAAAGAAAATCAACTCTACATTCTTCGATTGAGCAGTTTATCTAAAATGGATCGAGGCAGCCAAGCAGATTCCGAAAGTGACAGCGATAATGATGATGATGACGAGGCTTCGTGTGACCCAATTCTCGAGTCGAGATCAATACCGCTTCCTTGCACAACCAACAGAATCCGATCCTTTCAACCGTCACCTGCCACTTCCGATATGACCTCAATACCACAGACATTGACGGCTACTTCGCTCGAAAATGGCCAAATTCTCATCCACGACGTCTCTCCATACCTCCAATCACTCTCGACACCGGGCTTTACAGTCCCTCCCAATGTGTCAAAAACGCTTAGCACTTTACGAATGCACAAGACGGAAGGCTATGCCCTAGATTGGGCTCCTTCCGCCTCTCACCCGAACGGTCGACTTCTGTCTGGTGACAATGCCGGTCAGATTTTTAGCACACAGCGGACAGAAGGTGGCGGTTGGGTGACTGACACCAGGCCGTTTGTCGGTCACACGGATGCAGTCGAAGAACTTCAATGGTCGCCGAATGAGAAATTTGTCTTTTCTTCTGCAAGCTCCGATGGCACTGTTAAAGTGTGGGATGTTCGAAGTAAGAGTCGAAAGCCGGCAGTCGACGTGAAGGTTAGCAACACCGATGTCAATGTGATGTCTTGGTCCAGGCGGACATTCCATCTCCTCGCTACAGGCGCTGATGATGGTCAGTGGGCAGTTTGGGACCTCCGACAATGGAAACCACAACCAGGAACGACTCCTGGCTCCCAGCTCAGACCAATCCCCGTTGCCGACTTCCACTTCCACAAGAAACCAATCACCTCAATTGAGTGGCATCCTACGGATGACAGTGTAGTTGCTGTCGCCTGTGCAGACAATACGGCAACTCTTTGGGACCTTGCAGTCGAGTTGGATGATGAAGAATACGGTAAAGAGGCTGGCTTAGGATTAGGTGAAGGAGCCGAAAAGGTGCCTCCACAGTTGCTGTTCATTCATCATGTTGAAGATGGCAAGGAATTACACTGGCACCCGCAAATGCCCGGCACTGTCATGGTGACAGGCGGAAGTGGACTTGGGGTTTTCAAAACTATCAGTGTTTAGACCCAGATACCAGAGCCGTTCAATAACCCAAAAAAATGTACAGCATGAGTGAAACAGAGTTACCCTCGATATCCGTCTTCAGCCACTTCGGTGATCTCGTCGGTGGAGGAATCTCGCCTTTTTCACGCAGCTCTACCATTTCACCGACCCTTTCTTCATAATCAGACCATCAAAACAACAGTGTATCTGAACTATGTCTTCAAAGAAGACAACAACCGACCAGCAGGCTCCTACAGCACCTCCTGACAGCTCCACTTCTCCTGCGTTGCATTGTGATATTTCTTTTCAGATCGGCTTCTTAGTCCTAATCCCGCTCATAGGGCCTCTATATTTCGCTCTTTGGACACTCGACATCCTCACAGTGGATATTTCCTCACCGTCCCAACATCTCCGACCTCAGGGATGAAGGTACTTCTTGCCACTCCATAGCTGACGAGGTACCTCCGATAAGAAATAGGGAGAGCCTCCCCGATGCGTCGTTGGCAGTTTTGGTTTTTGAATTCGACTCCAAAGAGTCAAACATTGACCTGAGCTTCCAATGTGGAGGTTCCTACACAGAACCAACTTCATACACGACGTCTTCTCAGGCAGATAAAAGCAGAAATATCGGCATAGCCGTCTCGGACGTGCCAGATCCCTTGCTCAAGTATCGTTTTGCTGCACGGCATCAGCACCAAGTCATTAGCTTGGGCAAGAAAAGAGATCAAAATAGCGATATCCTGTCTGTCCACCCTATCTCCGAAGAAAAACACATTCGATTCATCGAGACGAATAAGAAAGCTACGCACAAGCCTCACCCCTGTTCCATGTACTCCAAAAAGGGACGGCAACGAGGAGAAAGCATTGAGAGTCTTCGAAGCCAAATTACAAACGAAGGCGCCGGCGAAGTCGATGATGACCCTGACAATACGGCCATAGCTGGCCCAGTTAGACAGGAATCATCAAGCCAGATTAAAGTGAAGCAGGTAGAGGGACGCCTTCCACCACAGAATCATCCATCTGCTCGGGAAGCGGTGATCAACAAGAAACGATTCTCCACAATCCAAAAATTGAGCTCAAAAGCCAAATCAGGACCTATCAAGAGAGACACTGCCTATACCAACTCTCCCGAACACAGAGGCAGTCATATAGCAGCTCTATGTTCAGGTTATATCTCGCAAGAAGCCATCCAGCACAATCAGCGAATGCTCGCAAATACCCTGCATAAAGGAACAAAACCTCCACAAAATCAAGATAAATCCGAGACCTGGCCTTCACCCTGTCTGCGTGGTGGAGGCAATCAACAGTCTCGACATGCGGCTATCTGGGACCATAAGAATCGACACAGACATCAACACCACCGAGGCCATTGCTGTGACCGCAACGGCAACCGGTCTCCACGACCACGAAGTCAAATCCCCCATAGCGATCCCGTCTACATCTACCCAGAACCCAGCATTCGTCCGCGCGATGGACCTCGACGACACCAGCACCCAACTCTTGTCACGCTCACTCTCCGCTCCGAAATCACGGTTGAATGGATCCATTATGCAGCCAACCAGGACAAACACGAAGACAATCAGAGACTTGTAGGTGTACGGAAGAGAATAGGGCGCAATCTCGTCGCAGAGGCAGGGTCTGCGGGAGAGAAAGAGGGTCCTCTCTTGACCTGGCCCGAGAAATTAGAGGCGAACTACAAAAAGAGAGACCCAGACAACCGGAAGGCAGAATTCATTGTCAACCGCCGGGCCCATCTCAACTACCTCCTCAACCTGCACGCACCCAACCCAACGACCCCCGCATAGCTCCTACAACACAGCCACAGCCACAGCACAACACTGCCTCCGTCATCATAATCCGCACCCCAGCCTGGGCTGAGCGGGAGACCCGTTCGCACCGCATCGGTCACAGCTCCAGCGCAGAAGCATACCAGGCGCAAACACAACATCTCACGCGCCGTAATGCTCATGGCGCGTTCATAGAGGATGTCCCTGTCACCATCACTTTATCTGATGGCCGCAGGGTACGTGGCGAAGACTACATTGCGATAATGGAGGACGAGGCCGGAGGCACAGCGGAGACTAGGTTTACCGAACGAGAACACTCCATGAGCCCCCGATCCTCCTCCTCCTCCTTCTGCTCCTACTCTTGGCGTAGCCGCAGACACAGTCGATCCACGCACTCAGACTACTCCGTCTGGTGTACAATCGGATGGCTAGCACGTTGGGATCGCGGTCGTAGTATTAGCCTTGGTAGACGACCAAGCAGGCTGAAGTTTTGCGCGGCTAGGTCGATAATTGTCATTATCCACATTAATCTGGAGCTTGGGCCGAGTGAATTGAGTGAATAAGTTCATGCTGTCATGCACAACAACCAGTCGATGACATGAAGCATAGCTTGTGAATACTAGATTCGTACAAAGCGTAGACTAGATATAGATAATGTGTGGTTGGTGCGACCATGACTGTGAGTGAGATATGACGTGAGGGTGCCCAAGGTTTGGGGATAGATATCTCTGACGAAGCGCTCCGTCCTTTCTGAGGTTGCGAGCCTTGTTTCCATTTTATACGAAAGACATGTCTCCTGGATAGGCTCCAATGATGGTTGGTTTTACCTATTTTGAAGAAGCCGAAGTCAATGCTCGTGGATGTTGACATAACATTTGACCCAGATCTGTACAAGGTCATGTACAGTGATTAATCTCATCGAGATCTCGTGACATAACCACGGTTTCAAGGGAAATTGTGATGTCGTACATAACGAGATTCGAGACAATCTGTCGTTGAGAGAGGGAAATCTCACAGCCCCGATGAGTAGATTGTCGAGACTGCGTCCGAGCCCGTAATCCATATTCTGCATGAGGCCCGGTACAGTCCTTCTCTTATCGAACCCGTCAAGCGAAAACTCGAGTCTCTGGGATATACTGTGATCTGTGCACAACAGCCGTTTACCGGGATAAACCCTCCAACAAAGACTCTGTACGGCGACGCTGGTCATGTACGGGCAGAGTTGGAATTATTGATCGAGCATGGCCAGGATGTCATTGTGGTAATGCATTCGCATGGAAGGGTGGCTGGGACATAAGCTGCTGCCAGTTTAGACAAAGCAGAGAGAATGAAGCGAAGGCAGACTGGTGGAATCATCAGACTATTTTGCGCCTGTGCGTTCATCCTACCCTTGGGACATCGTCTGTGCACTGTTCTCGGAGGCGAGTTAGCACCATTCATCAAGCCAAAGATAAGGCAAGAAGACCTGCGTAGGATTGAAATCCGGCCCTGGCCTGAAAATGTTCGTAGGCAGGTGGAAGCTGCAACCCACTGAACCCGGAACACGTTTTTTATTATGATCTACCGCCTGAAGAGCAGAAGTTCCGAGAAACACGATTGAAACATCACATGGTGATTGCTCCAAAGCCCCCCTTAATCTAGGTCGCCTATCCTGGCATATTAGTGACCTATCTGAATTGCGAGGGCGATCAAGCACTACCCGCTTGCTCTGTAGGAAATGATGGTTAAGCAATCTGGTGTTGAGGTTCCAGAGCTGAGATGCGGAGTAGGGCACTCGTCATTCCTAAGCCAGCCAGATATATTCGTCAAGTCCATCATCAAATCATTGAATGCGACAACACAAGCTCTCGGTGATTTCTCAAGGATGACAACTCACAGTGAGGGTGGCAATGGCAAGCCCCAAGGAGCATGACGCACGGTCAAGCGTCGCCATTGAGAGCAAAATTTAGAGTGGGACTTTGCTATCATAGTTCCACCACAGATATGTAGCTATGAGGATATTGAGAGCTGGCCACATGGTAAGGTGAGGGGTGCGACTAACGTATTGACGAAATTGTTGAATAAAGGATGGGCCATGTGACGTGGAAATGGAGGCCAGTTCTCCCATTGTTAGTATCCATGTCATCAGGTCATGATAATTCTTAGCCTCATTGCCATCATTGTCCCGGGTGAGTCCTTCTGATTCGAAGGTGTGAAACTTCTCCATGGCAAGCCAAAGATGAGCAGCAAGCTTGGGTTTGGTTCCGATCATAGCTGGAAGTGGATACAATACCATATCGCCGTAGATCAGAGCTGCCGTACGACATAAGATCCTCAAAATTCAGGTCGACTTGGTTCAAGTGACAATTTCGGATTCATACCCAATAACTTGTGCTGGGTCTCATTCGCTTCTTGAATCAAGAATTTCAAATTCGGTGGGTTTGGTCGACGTTGTTGACAATATTCCAGTGCCATAGTGACCTCTGCCGTAGATCTTAATGCATTGGTAAGGTAAGAATCAATTCCGTTTAGTTATTTAAATTCGGTACCGATTGCGAAAGACATCCTAGCGGCTGCTCTATACCTGTCGTCTCTGAAAATGGACCCAGAAGGATCTCTCCGAAGGGAAGAAGGGAGCGTGAGGAACGGTGATTGCAAGATGTGGGCTCTGCACGAACAATTGAGGAGTCGTAATGCTAATGTAAGGTTGGGTCAAGAAAGGGCTAGCCGAGGTCGGCTCAGCGTTGAACATTGCGATGGATCGAAAGCCTGGTTAGCGACAGTCTAGGATAGACCTATGCCGATGCAGGTTCCCAGGAATATCATCATATAAAGGGGAATGAAAGCAGGATGGATTGTGTTTGTCATTGGGCCTGTAACCAAGACGAGAAGACCAGCTCAATGGCATAGATAAACTAGGTTATAATTAGACACGCTGGTGCCTCCATGTTTCGAACACGTGGTTGCTCTTCCTGAAAGGAATCGATAGTGAGGGGTGGTTTGAGCATTTGCAAAGAAACGTCAGGCCGATGCAACCAGTATATAGTAGGACAATGCAGAAAAGTAGGTGAAAAAGCCTGACGGACATGCTTTGTTGGTGGATGAGAGGTGATCTCTCCTGTGCAGTCGGTATCCGCATATCTTGTTCTCGATCCCCATTATGTTAGTTCTTGAAATCGGTCTCAAAGTGCTTCCTCTTTGGGTGGATGGGCCCGATAACTCAGCAAAAAGAATCTCCACGACAAGATTGATATCTCGGCACCCTGTACTAAGACTTCGGAGGATTTACCAACGTGTCTCGTTCTCGGCATTTATCAGTGCTCATCACAAGGCAGACCGTGTCCTCCTCTACAATGCTCGAGTTCTTGTTTTCACGACGCATTTCTTCTTCTTGAACTTCGAAGGCGAACCGCACACAGAGTTTCTGGCCAATTTCAGACAGGTTTGTAGGGCGTCAAGCCTATTCTGGATTGATGGCCGAGGGAGACTAATGACTTGGCAGGGGTCCAACTCTGGCTCATGTTCCGGCCAAGATATCGCAGGGAAATTGATGCGCGGTCGCTGGATTTGTCGAGATCATTTGACATTGAGGCTTCGCAGTTCGATATTGATCATGGATCGGAGAAGAGAGAAGGAGAAGAGGCCTGACGCGTCCACGTTCGCGAAGACACGATTCTCATTGAAAACTGCGACGAGACGGACGCGAATCGTGCCGAGCCTGTCCTAACCCAAAACGGAATGATTCCCGTTTCTTGAACCAACCTCCTCCGTGACTCTGATTGGCCAGACAAATCTCCGCAGCTCATTTCATTTCGCGCCGCAGAGTCGTCGGATGTATTCCTTTTCAACACACCATCGAAACGATCAACGTCTTGATCATATGCTTGCAATGGCATTTCTCGTATCTTGTTGGCCGAGGTAAATGACCTCATTACGCGGCATTTCCGCGGCTCATTTACTGCATGTGGATATCGCTTCCGTCAAAGTCAAGGTCGACCCTTTCTGAAATATTGCAGCCTAACTATGTTTGTTTGGTACCGTCGAGATTGCATTCTGTGCTTATTCCTTCAGCCTCGCAAGCCATCGCCTTTATAACATACGAAGAAGTCAAAGTTGTGCATTAGCTCCGGCCATGACGCTTAAGCTTCGTGGGGGAGACTGTGGATCCTTGACCGTTTGAGAATCCCCATATCCCTGGAAGAATCTCAAAAGTTGGAAATGAATGCTTCATATGAACCATCGGCCGCCAGCATCTGCGCCTTCCTCCGGCTGGATGATCATTCTTTTACGCTCTCTGCTCTCAGGATTTTCCACTCGTTCCTCCAACATGCCTTTCTCTTCCAGCATCATCGTTATTTTTGCACTCTTCTTTGCTCTCGTAACTGCCCTCCCATTTTCCCTTGGCCGAAGAGGTATTGTGGACAAATTAACCAATCCTGCGGGAAAGTCAAACTAAGTTACGAATCAGCTGTGTCCCAAGACTTACTCAACCAACTATCCTTTTTTGAACAGTATTCGGCTGCAGCGTATTGTCCGGACAACAATATTCCGACCTCCAGCACAACTATTACCTGCAGTGCCGGGAATTGCCCCCAGGTACAAGCAGCCGGTGCTCAATCAATCCTTGAATTCCAAAAGTACTGAGACCCCTGCTGACCATTCTTCCCCGACTTCAAACGCTCGTACTGACAATCCACCCCTCTTTTCAGTGTTGGCCTCTCGGACGCAACAGGGTTCGTCGCCCTCGACCACACGAACCAACTAATTGTCATCTCTTTCCGCGGCAGCCAATCTATCCAAAATTTCATTGCAGACCTGACTTTTGTTATGGTCCCATGGTCATTGTGCACAGATTGTACCGCTCATGCTGGATTCCTCGATTCCTGGAACGGTGTTAAGTCACAGGTTCAAGGCGCCATTGATGGTGCAAAGTTGAACTATTCCTCGTATCAGATAGTGGCCACGGGCCATAGTCTGGGAGGAGCGTTAGCAACTCTGGCTGCCGCGGAATTAAGAGATTCCGGTCATAGCGTATCCCTAGTATGTGGACCACTTGCTCCACTCCTGGCCACTCTATGTCTCCATTAACTCGAAATCAGTACACATACGGCTCACCCATGGTCGGCAATGCTGTCCTCGCCAATTTTACCACTGCTCAATCCGGTGGCAACTATCGCGTAACGCACGCCCAGGACATCGTTCCAAAACTTCCGGGTTATTTCCTAGGCTTTGCACATGTATCACCAGAATATTGGATCACATCACCCACAGACGCTGAGGTGACAGCTAACGACGTACAAGTTAGCAGCGGTGTGATCAACCTACAAGGCAACCAAGGTCAGCTGGAAAGCAGTGTTGAGGACCATCTCTGGTATTTCAACAGTATCTCGGCCTGTGGGCCGGATGGCATTGAAGTCAAGGCTTAGAGAGCCACAGTTGTTATGACGATGTGTGATGTTGTTGTGCAGAGTAATGACGGGAAACATCATTCGTGGAAGCCTTGAATGCTGCATCGTGACTCTCAAATTGTTCACAAAAGCTGATTGAATAATGGCGGCAGAGGAAGAAGGACACGATTCATGTGAAAAATAGCCAGTAATGGTAAAGGATCAAACTGAGACGTTCTCCTCGACTTATTTCGTTGTATGCTTTCCTTTGAAGATCTTGTCACGGAATCATCAATGCCTAGTGCCTTAATGACCCATGATTTTGGTCTCAGCCTTTCTCTTTCTTTGGCATTGTGACGCTTCAGACTTCCCCCCCTCTTATACCTGCGAGCATGGTCCAGAGAGAAAACAGAGATAAGTCAACCTCTCTCTCTCCAGACCGAATGCACGAGGCGGTGGTGTTGACCAGCTAACCACTGATCTGAGATTTGTGTTTTCCATCACGTTCAACAACCGAAAACATCTAAGGCATCGACCTCTCTGGGTGCCATCGTTTTAGAAGTCACTGCGCTCCATTCTCGAATGCGTCGGACGTGCCAAAGCGACAGAACAAATTGGAGATGGCAGCAATGGCGGACTTGAAGTTTAGTCGTTTCAGAAAGTGAGCTCACAGCAGAGAGAAAGTGGCGAGGAAGAAATCCGATGGAAGTGGTGTTTCGCACAAGCATGTGTCGACGTTTGTCGTTAACCGCGCCTGCGCATGGCGAGCCAATGCTCCGTACTAGTTAATGATTAGTCGCCATATACGGTAAAGTACAAAGACTCGCCAGCCATAGACTACTTTTCTCATCCACCGCCTCCCTCACTTGAACTTCGCAATTTTGTCAACCATTTGAATGATTCAAGAGTAGTAAGAGGAAAGCGCTGAATAGAGGTACTCAGTGAATCCTTTATGACTCTCACGAGATAATCCTTTGCTCCTTAGTCTCGTCGAGGCCGTTTATCAGTCATAAGGTAAGTCTGACATGCGGTTTTTCAACGTTCGATCTCGCTTATCTGCTGCAAACATTCGAAGGCATTCGAAATTCATTCTTGTTGAACATAGGTCGAGAGATTCACACAATGAAACCTGCTGCGGCGATTCGCATGCCTCCCACCACAAAAATTGCCCCACAAAATGGCCATCACGACCTCGAACGTCAGAAAGGCGAAGAGAACCTGCATGCAATGCAGAGCTCGAAAGGCGAGGCTCCCCCCTTTCAACTTATCGGCCCCAAAATTGACTTCCATGCCAGGTTCGGTGCGATGGACGTCCTAGTTTCTGCCGCAATTGTGAACGCTTGAAATTCGATTGCTCCTTTGCACGATCGGCGGATGGGCCTAGTGCTAGCGAGAATTCGAGCGACTTCCAAGTCCAACTGGAGCGACGACGGGGTGCCCTAGCTTGCATTGAATGCCGTTCCCAAAAGATTAAATGCCCTGGAGATTTCCCCACTTGTGGAAACTGCCTTCGAAGAAATCGCCCATGCTCGTATCCCGTGCCAAAAAGACCGACCCGAGAGTATCGACAGCGGAATGCACCAGAACAAGACCACCGCCCAGAATCACCGACAAATGGAGTGCAAGTTTCTTCGGCGTCCGGTCCTCATGAGTCCGACAACTTTTTACCGGGCCCCAATGAAGTGATTGTCCTGATTGAGGCGTATTTTCTACATGTGTACCAGCTTCCTTGGTACGCCTTCGTCCACAAAGATTCGGTGATCCAACGGTTTATCGATGGGACCATAGAGCCCTGCTTGACCTTAGCGATATGTGCCACCACTACTCAGCGCATCAAGTTTGAGCAATACAGCTCAGAGCTAAGCGCCAAATGGGCCGGCAAAGCCGAAGAATTCATCATGGAGACGCTTGAGACTCCCTCAATATCACGACTTCAAGCGCTTATGCTGGTGGTGCGATGGCGGGTTGAAGCGGGTCAATTCTCCAGGGCTTTCATGCTCGCCGCCCTTGCTGGACGATTTGCCGTGGCCCTTCGCCTCAATTACGAACGTCCAGAACTCCGATTTCTGGCGCAAGAAGTTCGTCGACGACTTATGTGGTCATGCTTCGTTCTCGATAGCCACTTCTCCATTGGATTGCGCGAGTACGAATATTGTTCGCCTGATATCATTTACCTCCAGCTTCCGTGTCCGGAGACAGAATTTGAAGACGATGTTCCTGTCGAGACGGCGCCTCTTCGCGCCGTTTCTTTCAATACCATTGAAGGACTTGGGACCTACGCTGCCTGTGTACGGTTGGTTGCCATTAGACGAGATATCATGAGGTATTTGGTGACCCGTCCGTTTTTGCAACATACACTGATCACTACAGACTCACGCGACGTGTGGCGTCTTCTCCCATGCAAGTTTCCGAGCTCATGCGTGCTGTACGACAATTTGAAGCCGAACTCGAACATCTGTACCGAAGCATTGCCGAAATAGACAAATACTCCCCGACTATATTCTTGCATTCCAAAAAACAAGCCCGACACCTGATGCTCCACCAGTCTTGGCACCTCTCTCATTGTGACCTATATCGAATCTTCTTAACCGGATATCGAGAGGCAGCACCGGCTTCCACACTGGAGGGAATTGACAATAGGGAAATCTTGAGAATGCAGTCTTTGTGTCTACAACATGCGCTGACAATTGTCCAAATAATCGCCGAGTTCTCAAAGCATTGTACTGCTCAAACCATTGACTCCGATACTGCTATCTGCGCATATCACAGCACTCGAATCATTCTCTTCACTTCTCAAACCGATAGGCTCCCGCAAAGGTTGAGTAAAACGGCTGCATTGGAGCAAGTTCGTGTATGCCAGAACATAATGAATCGATTCTTCGCGACCTCTCCGGTGGTAGAACCTATGGTAAGTATGTGACGCTCCGATGGTACCTAAACCTGATTTGTTTGCAGAAGAAAGAAATGGAAATGTTGATTGCCCAGCATTCATCGAAGGTCACCTCGAACAACACACTGTTGGTGTCACCGCGCGAAGATGGCATGGGAGATGACGACTCGAAAATCCGTGATGAAGCTAGGGCCCGACAGAGATTGGCTATTCATAGCTTGGTTCGAAGGGCCGATTTTGTCGACGACAGCAATGAAGTCACCAGTCCCGCTCATACTCATGTACACCGGTCCCCTGCAAAAGCCCGACAAAAGGTCTCCAGTGTACGGAATATGTTGATAGAACCACCCGCTCGTCGGAACATTACTCCTGTCGGCATACTTGAAAGCTCTCAGAATGCACTAAACCAAGGACCAAGGATCACCGAGGAGAACAACAGGGGTGAATCCACCCGCAATGAAGAATCGGAGTCCGATCAATGGATGGATGGAATGCGTTTCGCATTCAATCCTTGGATGGGCTGGTCAGAAACTCTAGAAGCATATGGATTTTCCCAAGATATGGATGGCGACTACTTTTAGTCTTGTCAACTTATCATCTTTGTTTGTCGAAGATATGTTGGTCGGCTCCTCGACGCTAAGACAGGCCCCCCGACTAGAGCATACGATATCAGCGAATTCGTACAGCTAGCCGGACTGCCGCACCGAGAAATGAGACCTTCCCTGGACCCCCGTCTCTGCAAAAGCATCTTGTGTTGTACAGAATTATCTCAGCCGGGTGGACTAGAAAAAAACCCCCGACTACCGATTGTACAACCGACATCCGAACATCCAACCGAGTCCCGTAGAGGGTCAAGTTTGAACTCGATGCCAGAATACGGATGTGCTCTTCTTGTTCTCATCCATCTAAGGAATTGCCTTCTTTCAACGACGCGAATGCTCCCTTATGTCAAGAGTTCCGCGAGCAAGCATTTTCGAGTAAGAAACCCATTCATATTCCCTCTCACATCACACTTCTGTGTTTCGGGAGAGTTGTGAATCTTCCTTTTCTCCAAATTTACCACAACGTGGATTCAACATGTTGAATGATCATCTGGAGCAGTTTCATCTGGAATCCTCGGATGCTTTCTCAGCAATGGAGTCTCGACCAAACATCGTCTTCATCATGGCAGATGATCATGCCTCGAAGTCGATCAGTTGCTACGGTGCTGGAATTAATCACACTCCAAATATCGATCGCCTGGCCAAGGAAGGAATGAAATTTAACCATTGTTATGTGACCAACTCTATTTGCACCCCTTCAAGAGCTGCCATTCTTACCGGTACACACAATCACGTCAATGGAGTCATGACGCTGGATAGTAAGATTAACAAGCACATTCCCAACGTCGCCAAACATTTACGAACAGGAGGCTACCAAACAGCCATGATTGGCAAGTGGCACATGGGTGATGGAGAAGCCCACGAACCGACCGGATTTGATTATCGGTCTGTCGTCCCTGGCCAAGGCGAATATCATGACCCCGAATTCATAGAGCCCTCGGGCATCAAAACTGAAATGGGCTATGCCACGAACATCATCACAGATAAAAGCATCGAATGGATGCGAAAGCGAGATTCACAGAAGCCATTCTTTTTAATGTGTCACCACAAAGCTCCACACCGACCATGGCAGTGCGACGAGAAACACAAAGATCTCTACAAAGATCCCATTCGGCTCCCAGACACGTTTACAGATGACTACAAAAATCGCGCACGAGCTGCGAAAGTCGCCAAAATGCGTGTCGAAGAAGACCTCACCTATCAAGATTTAGGTCTTGCACAACCCGATGGCGGTCAAAGAGTTGGCCAAAAGATGATCAATGCCTGGTGGTGGCAAGATCGGAAGATTCCAGCTCCCGAGGACGTTTCAAAACTCAAGTTGGTTGATAAGGAGGACGGAAATATCTTCATGTTCAAAAGTAAAGCCGAATTGACAGAATTTAAGTTTCAACGGTATATGCAAAGATATCTACGAACTATTCAGAGCATCGATGACAATGTGGGCCGCATGCTCGACTGGCTGGATCAACAAGGCCTAACTGACGATACGATGGTCATCTATACTTCAGACCAAGGATTCTTTCTCGGCGAGCACGGCTGGTTTGACAAGCACTTCATGTACGAGGAGAGCTTTCAAATGCCATTCTTGATTCGATACCCCAAGGAGATAGCCCCGGGCTCCGTGTGCGATGACATCATTTGCAACGTGGACCTTGCACCGACATGGCTCGATTTCGCGGGCCTCAGACAGCCTACATACATGCAAGGGGTCAGTTTTCGATCTTTACTACGCGGTCAAACGCCGTCGGATTGGCAACAAGTCGCGTATCACCGGTGCTGGATGCATCGCGATATCATTCACGAAGCATATGCGCACTACGGCGTGCGCGACCAGCGGTATAAGTTGATTTATTGGTATAATGAGGACTTTAAGATCGAGGGGACCAGGCCAGGTGGCGAAGAAAAGGAATGGGAACTCTTTGACTGTGAGGAAGATCCTCTTGAATTGTTCAACTGTTACCATGACCCGAAATATGCGGATGTTGTTCGACGCATGACGAGGATGCTAGAGGACAAAATGGCGGAGATCGGTGATGAGCCTGTCCATCCACCTTTGCCCAAGTTGATTAATGACAAGGTATGATTTGGGAGACTGCTGATTTCGTATGACGTCAGGGGGTGGGTGATGATGGAGATGGATGTCTACATTTACTTTTTCCACGTGAACGTTCTCAATCATCTAGACGGTAAGAAGTCCGTTTCAACAATGATTTGAAATTTAAAGGGTCATGTTTCATTGTGGATATGTAGCATCCAAAGTAGTACTCTCATAAGTACCTGAAAATTCAACCTTTTGCGTTTCACCCGGTCCCATTTCATAGGTACGTGCACGTGTTTCATTGTCTGGCAGCGACAGCACACCTCAAGTGCTTCAGTGCCACCTCTCCATGCCCTCCTGGATTAAGTGTCTGTCAGACGAATCTGTGTCCAGATCATGGTGTACGTGACGTCCATCGTGTCCTGTCCGGCCTTATTGACGGCGAATGTCCGAGAAATTTACCCCAAAGAGGATCTTTGGGTACTGTAATAGAAGAATGTTCAAATGAAACGTTCATTTCATTCTTGTACGAAGGTAAGAAGGGAAGGGAAAAAAGGTACGTAACTCGTGCAGGTGAATTAAGTAAGGAGTACCAGGAGTAACAGAGGAAAAGTTAAAAAAATAAAATGTGGTCTCGTCGTGGATTGATATCTCTGCTCAGCACCTTATCTTGCAAATGGACGACTTTCTTGGATGGTTGAAGCGGGGCTGAACTTCCCAGAAGCTTGAGAAATCATTAGGGTAAGTCCAATCAAATCGGCTCGTCGCGAGGCTCAATCAAGACTTCATTCACGGCAACATGCGCGGGTTGTTTAAGCGCATAGATAATCGACGCCGCGACATCTTCAGGATCTAGAATCTGCGCACCTGAAGGCTCGCCATATTTCTTGATGGCTTCGGCATCCGTAGACATGCCTAGCAGGTCCGTGGCCGTGTTCCCAGGCTGCACGCTTGTGACGCGCAGACCCCTGCCAGCGGTCTCGAGACGTAGGGTTTGCAATGTGGCTTCGACGAAGAACTTGCTTGCCGAGTAGACGCTGAGGCCGGGAAAGACTTTGCGCCCGGCGTCGGAGGAGATGGCGACGATGTGCCCGGTGCCGCGCGAGAGCATGGAGGGAATCGTTGAAGAGAGGCAGTGCAGGAGACCCTTGCAGTTGACGTCGACGGTGCGGTTCCACTCTTCGGTTTGTGCGTTCGCCATCAGAGTATAGTACATCACCCCAGCGCAGGAGACGAGAATGTCGACTGGACCGAGTTCAGCGCTGGCTGCGCGGATAAGGGCTTCCACTTGTTTCTGATCGGTCACGTCAGTTTGGCGAACGATGACTTTGCCTTCACGGACGGCGAGTCTTTTTTTGACTGCTTCGAGAGTTCCGATGCGTCGAGCGGCGAGAGCGACATGGCAGCCTTCTCTTGCCAGAGCAGCAGCAACTGCAGCACCGATGCCCGAAGATGCCCCTGTTACGACGGCCACACGTCCGCTTAATGGACCTCTGCGGATGGATTGCGCCGATCCCCCGAGAGAATTTAGGCGCGAGGGAGGATGAGGTAGCCATCCTCGTGCAAACCAATGGCGGGTGTAGGTTTCGAGTAATACCTTGTCAACTTTAGGCCGCTCGACAATGGCACGGAATGGTCTGGTGGCGGCATTGTTGAGCACGACGATGCCTCGTAGAAAGTCGACGGTCGGCATGCCGCTGCGAAGGATATCAACCGTAAATTGGCCGTCTCCGCCGCTGAGGTGGCCTCTTTTCTTCGTCCACATGGCCTCCCATTCATCCCAGCCGAGTCGCTTCGTCGGATATCCGAGTTGACCCAGATCATCGAAAACCTGTCGAGTATTGACAGGGTCTGGATCGCCGAGGTGAAAGATAGTTTGTTTGGCATGAGTCTGATTGGAGAGATGGATGATAGATTTGCTCACGAAGTCGACTGGGGTCATCTCGGCACGCCAGCCTTCCACGTCAGGAGCGTACCCCAGGTGTATCGACTCCACAATCAATGCGGACAAGAGGTCCCAAGCGTTGCCTGCACCAGTGGTGCTGTGCCCACTGATGGTGCCTGCTCGGAGGATCTTCACCGGCAGTCCACGTCGACCAGCTTCGAGTACAAGCTGCTCAGCGACCCACTTGGTCTGGCCATAACCATCACGCAGCTTCTCGGGGACGTCTTCTACGCCCAGCATCGTGGTCTCCGGCCAGCCTTCCTGAGATGGCGGTAACACCCCGTTGGTAGATATGTACTGTACCGTCGCGTTACCGCGACATGCCAGGCGTAGAATTTCTCTCGTGCCCCCTACATTGGCGTTTCGCAGCCCGGCATAGGGATACACCAGGTTGACACTGGCACCGGCGTGAACGATGACGTCGACACGTTCAGCAAGCTCTTCAAAAGCCTCTGGTGAAAGACCAAGGTGTTTTCGAGATAGATTGCCTGGGAGAATTTCAACGCGCTCCATGATCGAGTCGTTCCACAGCCCTAAGTCGAGGAGATTCCTGCGAAGCCTTGCTATCCCCGCTGGCCGATCCTCTTCCGACGGGTCATTGAAACGCACAAGACACACGATTTTAGCCGAAGTACTGTCCAACAAGTCGTTGAGGAGGAAGGCACCCAAAAAGCCGGTGGCGCCGGTCAAGAAGACTGTGTTTGCTTTGCTGACTGGATATATCGTGGCACCGGAGGGTTTGATTTCCTCATCGAGGGTGGAATCCGCACGCAAGACGGCAGGGAGATCGGCTTGCACCGCTGCAGTATGTCCGTCTCTGACCGCACGAACAGTTTCCAGATGGCCACTGAGAGTGGCAGGGTCGACGAGACGGGCGAGGGGAATGCGAACGCCAAAATTCCGCGAAAGTCGCGCAGCAAGGTCTGCAAGTGACAAGGAGTGGCCACCGAGATCGAAAAAGTTGTGCGCGGGTGTAATATTACCAGGAAATGTCTTGAGGGTGGCGGCCCAAATTTCAGCAATGGCTTGGATACCAATCGGATCCTGCTCAATCTTCTGCCCATTGGCAATGATATGGGGAGCGGCAGATTTCGAGCTCGGAGGGGGAGGAAGACGTTTCGGATCGGCCTTGCCCGAGACGGCATGAGTTGGCAGCTCGTCAAGTTCCACCCACAGAGCCGGAATCATGTAATGGGCCAAATAAGGTGAGAGTTTGCGACGTGCGGCTGGACTGTATCCTGACTCATCGATTTCCACGGTCGGTCGATCGGTGGAATTCTCCTTTTCCCGGACAACGTAAGCAACCAGTTGTCGTTCTAGGCCTTCACCACGAGCAACTACGGCGCAATGACTCACGGCCAGATGTTTAACAATGGTATTTTCGACTTTTCCAGGGACGACCGAATAACCTCGGAGCTTGATCATGGATCCCACGCGACCGGTGATCTCGAGGAGTCCGGAAGGAAGCATTCGTGCCAGATCTCCAGTCCTGTACATGCGAGCACCTGGGGTCGGATCAAAGGGATCCGGCGTAAAGGCTTTGGCCGTCGTCTCCGGACGGTTGATGTACTCACGAGCGAGCATTGATCCGCCCACAAAAAGCTCTCCACTAGCTCCCGGTTCAACCTTCTTGCCACTCTCGTCAAGAATATAAGTGTGTTTGGGATCCATAGGCGGGCCAACCGGACAGTATGGTGCCTCGGTGTCAAGCATATCCCCGATATCACCACACGCAATCTCGTGGGTTTCACAGGCACTGTAGCAGTTGAGCAAGCATGTATTTGGAAGAGCTTTGAGGGCTCGACGGGCCAAGTCAGTGGTGACGACTTCGCCATTGAGCCACAAGGTGCGAAGTTCCGGGAGACGAGTTCCGATTCTTGGATGGCGAGACAGAACCGCAGCCAAAAGAGTAGGTGTCATGAGAGTTTCGGTGATGTGCTTGGATGCGAGTAAGTCCACCAGTGCAACAGGGTCATAGCTGGCTTCATCTGGTACGGCAACCACGGTGGCACCTCGCAAAAGTGGCCGCAGGATTTCCCAAATGAAAAAGACATTGCACGCGACACGGTCTCCTTGCTGAAGATCGCGAACCCCGAATCTCAGGTTGTAAGAAAGAACTGGTGCCCGGTGTGGGTTGGCGATCCCTTTAGGACGACCGGTAGTCCCCGATGAGTAAGAAACAAAGGCCAGTCGATCCAGATCATCGTCAGCAGGTAATGGAGAAGGCTCGCTCGCGTGGCCGTCAACGTCTGAAGCCGGATCGTCGAGTGTGATAAGCGGGATGCCTGCTTTGATCTTCCCGACCTCTGCTCGGTATGTGACCACGACAGCGGGCCTGGCGTCGTCGATGACGTCGGCGAGAAGTTCGGGAGGATATGCAAGTTCGAGAACAAGAAATGCTCCTCCAGCACGAAGGGCGGCCAGACAGGCAATCACATAGTCGGCGCTGCGAGGGAGGAGCACTCCTACCAGACGGTCTCGACCGACTCCAGACTCACGGAGACGGTGGGCAAGAGCGGCGACCTTTTCATCCAGCTCGGCATAAATATATGTCGTTCTCTCGTCCTCCAAAGCCACCGCATCGGGTGTGGCCTGGACCTGTTGGGAAAAGAGTGCAGATAAATCCTTCTTAATGTCGATAACAGGCATTTTCGGATTTTTGGAACGTTGGTGAAGTGTAGTGGGGGAATTCGGAGATGGGATAGTCGGGTTTGATATTGGTCAACATACGCCCGAAAAGTATGCCAGGCCACCCCTTGAAAATGCACCCTGGTCAGCCGGGTGTGATGTTCATCGGTTGTTGACAGATCTGAGCGAATCGATACAAAATTCCTCATCCGTGATCGATGCAGTCAGAGGGAAGATTGAAGCTGCTGCATTCTGTTGAGGATGAAATTTCTTTGTGGCCAATGATACCGCTGATCGGAGAAGACGTCATCGTGAACACTTCGTAGTGGAACATTTAAGACAGCCAGTTGTTTCTATAGGGTTTAGTGAACCTTGTGGGCTGCTAGGAGATACTAGTAGGGCTTGATGGATGAGATAGAAACCATGGTTTGATGGATGGGATGGAATAATTCTTGTCAGGACCCAGACAAGGCCCTGTTTAGGCAGGTAGGGATACTTTTAGAGATGTTTTATGGCTGCTTGCGAGGGTTCGCCGGCTCGCTAAACAGCCGTGGGCAGCCGTCAAACGATGTTACCTGATTGGGTATTTTCCCCTGCTGCTCTAATTCCCAGCCTTCTTTGTCACAGGACCGTGAAGGGATCTGTATCAACAACAGGGTGAAAGCAGGTCTACGTGACATTACGGGAACGGAAAGTATAGAGCTGCCGGAAACTTCAGTGTTACACAACGAGACAGAGCACCAAGGATGTGACATGGGCATCTGCAGTTCTGAGCCTAATCTTGTCTGATAGAAATCATGTTCCTTGAGAAGATGCTACTAATAATAGGGTCTCGCTTCAGCGGTTACCGGGGCAGACTCACTCACAAGCATAGAGGCAAACTTCCTCAGTCTCCAGGAATTTTCTGTGCCCCGCCAATCTTCATCACTTTCCTAAACCAATGAAGCTGATTCCCAAGGTTCTCTCATGATCATGCTTTTCCCCGCATCTAGTCGTATCTACCCTTCATCATATACGCTCGAGGCGCCTGACCGCCAACGTGACGCCTGCGGGATCTGTATCCGAACCGCGGGGATCCCCTCAGAGTTTTCTCCAGAGTTCGTCAAGAAGGGGGTTTTGGTGTCCCGCAGTGTGGTATGGAGCCAGACGTAGTCTTCATCCGTAGTGGATGCCAATAAGCGGTCGAACGGTGATCCGGGCCCGAGGGCCGAATTGATCAAGGTATGTTATTGAATTTACCCCCTCCTCAAGCTGGCCTCTTCCCCAGGCTATAGCTCTCCACTGAAAGGGAGGACTTTGCAGAAACAAAAATTCCTTCTTCGGTCAAGTCTGCGATCACACTACGCGGGAAAAAGATCCTGAACGTTGCCCGACAGACTAATATCGACAGCCATCTCATATCTCTACGGACCGATACACCCGCACATCAGAATCATGGCATCATCGAACACGGCACACCTTCTTGCCCAGGCTCAAGTGCCAGCCTTCACATGTCCTCCAGGCACCAAGATGCATTTTCTGGACCTCGGGACGTTGGAAGCCGATGAGGGATGGTACGCCTCCTGTTTATTTGGACTGTCACCGTTCCATGCCGGGGAGCATACAATTGAACTCACCAACAACATAGGCTACTCCGAGGCTCGAACACGAGCTCTCTGAGCAATAAAAATCCCGAGAACAAGCGTCGCGAACTAATCATTCTGGCTGCGTTGATCGAGTATCCGGGCTTTGGATGTATCCTCTTTGAGACGGGCTGTGCAGAGGATTTGCAAGTTGTAAGTCTTCCCCTTCTGGAATGACTGACGCACCGTCATTATGTGGTCGAAAAAGATCATCAGGGAGAATTGATATTCATCATGTAACACATGCAGGCCTGGCCGGCTCCGCTTACAGATGTCTTCCCACGGACCGGCTATAGTGATCAGCAAAAACTGCCCAACGCAATCAAAACCACGGGCAATGACATTAAAGACGTGAAAGCGGTCGTGATTGGACATCTCCATTTGGATCACGCCGGAGGACTGGAGCACTTCATGGATACGGGGGTACCTATCTACGTCCACGAGGAGGAATTCAAGCATGCATGCTGGGCGGTTGGCACACAGGCCGACCTCGGCGTTTACCTTCCTGGTTACATGAACCTGGAACGTCTGAAATGGAACACCTTTAGCGAGGATCATCTCGACCTCTACCAGGGAGTCACGCTGCACCATAGCCCAGGGCACACACCCGGGCTTTGTGTGATGCAGGTCAATCTCGAGAAGAGCGGGACGTGGATCTGGACGACGGATCAGTTCCACATCGCGGAGAATTACGAGTTGAGTCACCCGCACGGATGGTTGGCTCGGGATCACAACGCCTGGATCAAGAGTTTGAAAATGATCCAACGGCTACAGAGATTGTTCAATGCCAAATTGATATTTGGACACGACAAAGACGTTGCGGCGAAGTATATGGGGGAGAAGTTCTACGAGTGAATGCGAGATGTCCCAGCGCTGGAAATCCGTTGAGTTCTTTGCGGCCATTATTTGTAGCATGAGAAGAATAGTAAGAGCGGAATATGATCAATTATACTTGAATGCGTGAGGTCGCACAATCAGTGTCACGTGGCTTCGCGGCTTCTCCAAATGTCTCTTGGTTTCTGGGATTTCTTCCAATCTACCAACCTCGATCCGTGCGAGCGATGAGAGGAACGCGACTTTAGGTCGCAAAAGGCCATGATCAATGCGGGAACGGTAGCATTGCGCATAGCAAGAAAGTGCTTGCAGGCATCGACATGCCAACGCTCTCGCGGAGCAATACCGTGGCCCCCCTTCCCTAACCCGCCGCCCGTCCATCCCGACTCCGTCTCGATATGCCGTTCAGTATTCTCACACCTCCAGTCATCACGGCTGTCAGCCCCGCAACGTAATTTCACACAATCAAGTTCCTACCGCTTTCGCCAGTCTTGCATCGCCCAGAAACTCAAGCCGTACGGTTCGGACAAGAAACCAGAGAAAGGATTGAAATTTCGAGACGTCGAGCTCAGCAGAAGAGAAGTCCTGAACATATTTGGATCACAAGCCCCTCCTACATCCTTCGCCAATCGACTTCTCCGAGTCCTCCACGGACGTCGCCACGATGGCACTTTGGATCTTCCGCTTCCGGACGATGTGCAATCACAGCTACATAAATATCCCTATGCTTTCGATGACGGCCTGCACTGGCTGCGACAGACGTATCCAATTGACGAAGATGCTGCCATTATGGCCCGCATTGATCGAGAAGAGCATGAGCTGGAAAGAGACAACCCTGCGGATCTGATTCAAAGAGGGCAAGATCTGGGACTTTATAGAGGACCTCAGAGTGGACACTACGAGGCCAAACTAAGCGACAAAGAAGGTGATGTCTGGGGTGTTAGTGAATTGGAGAAAATTCGAGAAGAGAACATGGCCAGGGCGGCGAAGGAAGAGGAGGAATTGGATGCGCAGATCGAGGAGCAAATAGCACGACTCAAATCGGAACAGACCAAAGCAATTGCACAACGACCCGAGCACGGACTTCAGTCGGCAAAGGAGGTTCGACCCCCGAATTCCGTGGAGAGATGGGTTCTCAAGGCACGGAATCGAGCCACGTCGAAACTGGCGCTTGAATCACCGGAGATTGCGGAGATGACGATAAGCCAACGACTTTTTCCATCATTTATCTTCGTGGCCTTGCTCTGCGGTGGCGGCTACCTCTTTGCCCAGTACTGGGAGAGACCGAAACAGTCTGAACGATTGTTCCCCGATGTTTCCATGTCCTTCGCGACCGTTGGCACTCTGGTCTTACTCAATTTTGCTATATTCGGTGCTTGGCGGATTCCCCCTCTGTGGCGGCCTCTAAACAAGTACTTCATCATCGTTCCGGGATATCCCTATGCGTTCAGCATGCTCGGCAGTCTCTTCAGCCATCAAAAATTCACCCATTTTCTCCTGAACATGGGACCTTTAATCCTTTTCGGCCTTCCTCTCCATGAGGAAGTAGGCCGGGGGACCTTTATGGCAATCTATCTCTCATCAGGGTTGATTGCAGGTTTTACTGGTCTGGCCCGCTTCGCCATTCAGCGCTTGCTGACGACGAGCACATTGGGAGCGAGTGGATGTGTTTATGGGACCCTTGCGGCCTATTTGACTCTTCACGCTGAGTATGACATCCAACGCTGTACCAAACCGCAGGAGCTAACCGAGCCGCCACAGTGACAAATACGCTCTTTTCTTTCTGCCTCCCGACTTGGCCGAATCATTCTCATTCCGAGGGAGTTCCCTTCTGGCCGGTATAACCCTGATGCAAGTCATCGGTAATTTCAGAGCGCTGCACAAAATAGGTTATCTCGATCATCTGGTTGGCATTGTAGTGGGATGCGCTAGTGCATATGCCTGGCAAATGAACCAGCCGAAGAGAGATCCCCCAAAGAAGCAGCAAAATTGGTGGGAGAATCTTGTCGGCAGGAAACCGTGAGCCCGACGGATTCTACCTGGCGGCCGATAATTTGCGGAACGAGCATGCTACTTACATCTCCCACTCAACAGGAGCCCTTGTCTGTTCCCTTCACAGGCCGACCATTAATAACGAACAGCCGTGATGATCATTGAACGTTGACGCGTCATCATCTCCTCTCGGTCGTCTCACAGCCCGCCGAGACCTGGACGACAAACGCTGGCGGCGGATCTGTGTGTGCAAGAGGCACCCCTATGAATGGCGATCTGGTCCGACGGCATTGCCCTGACCCTGAAGAGATGGGGGATGAAAAGCAATGGAGATAATTCCACTCTTGAACTTCTGTATGTAATATCTAGAATGTTGTCAATATCCGAAGAGTAGATGTCTGGCCGCTGATAGAGAAAATTCCGAGACCGGACAATGTTTGGCGCCGGTCCCCCGCAGTCCACTTCTGGGGCGCTTTAAAAATTTTTGGACATTGTAAACAACAGCGCAATCGGCTGGACAGGATGATTTCGGCATGCTGAGCTGCTATCTCCCTGTCCCGGTATCTCTTTCCTGTTCTACATATGCCGCTCGGCACTCCTCAACCCTGCACAGGGCCGCTTCTACGAACGACTATTAAATTCTCCCGTACCTCCCAATCCACACCCTGTCCCTCGAAAGATGGCAGAGTCTTCCGGATTACCACCATCTTTATCTCTGTTGACCACTTTACACCCCCCCGCTTCTGGACCGACAAGATCATGGCAATCAGTGCCGCATCCCGATCCCTCCACACCACTCCTCGCAACAGCCTCTGCCGATAAAACAGTCCATGTCTGGAGTTTGCGTGACTTCTCTCGAGTTTCTACGATAAGCGGAGGCCATAAACGGAGCGTGAGAGCCGTGGCGTGGAAGGACTTTGGCACAAGAAGTAAACGCGCAAAGAAGGACAGAAAGCCTGTCGTCTTGGGAACAGGGAGCTTCGACGCCAATGTGGGTATCTGGGTGTGGAATGACGATCGGCGGTGGGCGAGGTTCCGAAATCAGGATAACAACTCTGAAGAAGATGGCGCACAGAGGCAAGACGCCAGTGACGAGATCGATCTCACCAGAGATGCGGCTGTCGACGACGAAGAGGATGAGGAGTGGCATTTCTCGACGCTCCTGACCGGGCCAGACTCAGAGATCAAATCCATCGACTTCTCTCCGCCGCATTACCCTGCGAATCTGCTAGCTACGAGTTCACGAGACAAATCGGTGTGGATTTGGGAAGAGGTCGAGCCCGAGGAGTGGGAGACCATAGCTGTCCTTAGCGAGCACACGGGCGATGTCAAGTGTGTGAGTTGGTGTGCGGGCGCGCGCAAGAGCGACGGGGACTCTCACGCCAGGAAAGCCAAGAGACGAAAATTGGAAAATGCGACCGGAGCTGCAAGCGACGGTGATGTCGAGATGGAGAATGCCCAAGCTCAAGCCAATGGCACTACCACGACCCCATCTCAGGACGAAGAGGACCAGCACAACTCGGCTGACGAGATATTGGGCTCTCGCAATATCCTCGCCAGTGGATCCTACGACGACACGATCCGACTGTGGCGCGATGTCGAGGAAGAGGGCGACTGGATCTGCGTCGGAGTCATTGACGGCCACAGAGGGACTGTCTGGGACTTGACTTGGGAAGGACATATCAATTACTCGGTTTTGGATCTCTCACGGTCCCCAGGCCAGGAGGACACAGCAATCGCCCAGTTCGAATCCGACTGGTCCCCACGCATCGTCTCGTGCTCAGACGATTTGAGCGTGCGCGTCTGGCGTCGTGAACTCAGCGAGGCTGAAAAGCGGAAACGTGCTCAATCACGGCCTTTGGCGGCGGCTCCAATGGGCTTCGCGAGCTCCCGACTCCCCAGCGTCATCAGACCGCAGAGCGCCATGGAACGCTGGGTCGAAGATGCCACTCTTCCCCCAGTCCACGTCCGCAGCATCTATGCTGTCGACTGGTCGAGACGGACAGGACTCGTCGTCAGTTGCGGTGGCGATGGCGCAATTGCCGTGTACAAAGAAGTCGCGGCTGTAAATGAGAGCGTCACGAGCCTTTCAGTCGATGCCGATGTCGTCATGAACGGCACCACACCCCAGACCAGGTCTGAGGAAGACGATACTGGTATCTACAAATTGCACAAATCGAAATGGACACTTGTAGCACTCGTGCAGGCCGCGCACGACGAATACGAAATCAACCATGTCTGCTGGGCGGCCAGGAGGGATAAAGACCGTCGCTTTGACGGGGAGGAAGTCATTATATCGACGGGGGATGATGGCGATGTTAGGGTCTGGACACTCTCTGAGGACATAGCTGGCTTGGAAACCGGGGATTGGCATGAGATATTTCAGAGATGACAGTCGTAGCTTCCGGTAGATGAGATGGATTGGTGGCTTCAATCACCCAAGAATTTTGGGGGGATACTAGACCTGGGGCTCTCAGTCCGAGAGGGAAAGGTAGATGAAGAAGTACAGGTATATGAGTGACGAGGTAGACGAGTCGAATATTGGACTTGTTCGACAGCTGTTTGTTGATCTTATCCATTACCCCACGTTCGCAACTCAGGGGTATTTGGATATGATGAACGAAGATCTAGCACGAGTCAAATGCCGTCGAGCCAGATATCATGTATCAAATCCTCAATTGAATGAACCAGCAGACCAGCGCCGTGAAATGCAAGCCTAACTCGCATTCTGATTCCATGCCATTATTTTTTTTTTTTTTTTTTTTTTTCCTCTTTCCGCTGCGTGTCTAATCCGATATTTGATCACTTCTGGCGTCCCTTCCTAGGTAGTATGTGATGGTCGTCCATAGGTCTTATGCATACATAACCGTGCTTGTAAGTGGATATCATACAAGACGATTGAATGGCGTTCGTTTGGAAGTGAGGAAAAATGAGCGTTCTGAGGTGGGCTCGAGGAACACAGTAGGCCAATAGTCTCAGTGCTTATGCAGGCCTTTACTCCGGTTCCAGCGCAATAGAAGAGACAGTTGAAGGATCCTCTGGTCTGTGCTAATACCTGCAGACCTAGAGCACAGCGGCAATTTCCCGTTAATAGGGGGTCATAGATGAGGAACTCGGCAGAGTCGCAATTATGGACCCTTGCACAATCACATGGTCTGTTGCTGTTGCTCTTGTGTGGCTGTTGCATGTCAGCCTTGCCAGGCTTTCCGTCCATGTACCAAAAGACTCTTCATGATTTTTTCAATTTCCAATTTGTCCCCAACAGTCTCAGACACAGTGCAAGAATGGATCGATGGCTTACCTAGTAATGCCGCCGTCAGGTTATGTGGCACAACACTATTGTTTCATTTCCGCATGTTTCTTCCCGTATCTAGCCTCTCCTACTTGACCATTTGGGTAGCGTACTTTGGTTGAAAACGTTACGGTGCGGAAATCAGAGGGCAACTGATGGTGAAGAGCCAGGAGGGCCAACAAGATAAACTCCTCCTGGGAGGAGTCTGGGAGGGTTTTTCTTGCAAAGAGTTTCGCCATTTGAGTTTTTAATCTTGTGCACGGTGGGTTGTTTGCAGGCATGCGTTGCGCAGCGATAGTGCAAGAGGTTTCCTCGGCATTGTGGCATGCGAGACAGTGGATGAAGAGGTGAATTTGAAGCTGGGCACTTCAGGGATTGAAATTGATCAGCCTCTGTCGACATAGGCTTCTTTTCTCGATTGCTTGACAGCCTTGCGAGCTTGGTTCATACTCCCGCCAAGCAGGTTCAATTGCTCCGTTCGTTGATAAAGCGCAGCCTCAGTCACTTCATCCAGCAAAAATCGACCCATTTGACCATTTCTCCATCGTTGGACGAATTGCAAGGCCGAAGATTCAAAATCTGGAACACCTCCTTTCTTTAACCGGCCTTGTTTCCGAGCAAGACCTTCAAGCACAACAAAGATGTCATTGGTCGCTTCAGAAAACGTCCGGTACAGTTCGGGATCATGCAAATTGAGATGGAACAAGAGATAATCGGCGATAGTCGTAGGAGGGATGATGGCGTCTTTGACACTCCCGCAAAGAGCGAGTTTCAACATACTTTCGGCATCAGGGACATATGGTACAAAAACGCCAGGTGTGTCGACAACATAAACTCCTTCGTTACCGTCTTTTCCCTCGATGATTTTTACACTGGTTCCAATCTTTCGGGTGACTCCCGGTTGGTCGCCGGTTCTTGCTGCTTTCTTCTTTCCCAGGCTGACATTGCGAAGAGCGTTGAGGAGAGAAGACTTCCCAACATTGGGCATGCCGACAACCATGAGGCGAGTCCCGAAAAGAGATGTAGAGGCATTAGCATGTGCCCGCGCAAAGTCGAGAACTCGATTAATGGTGCCACGAGATTTAATGTCGGTGAAGAACGACGTCGACGGAGCATCCCATTTTTTAATGACAGATTCTCTCTGCCCTACACATCAGAAATCTTGTGAGAAGAGGTTGACTCCCAGAATCGCCTACCTTCCTGTCGTCGCTGGTGAAATTGCTTCCTAGATCTTGCTTGGTGTACACTATCAAACGTGGACGTTCCCCAAGGTGTGCTTCGAACAATGGGTTTCGCGAGACGATTGGGGTTCTATAATCGCGACATTCGACGACCAGGTCAATCTGCGACACCATGGCTTTCATCTTGGAGAGTCCAGCTGCATGATGGCCTAAGTAATAGGAGCGAGGAATTGAAGACAAGGAAGGATAGACTTGTCGAGGTACGAAAGCCTCCATTGTGGCGAGAGGTTATTGTGGGTCCGAAGTCCAAGATTGCAAGCCATTACAATCACGCAGATGGCCTCATGTCATAATTTCAGCATGGTGAGCTCGTTGAATAAAGTCGACAGACATGGAGCGCAGTTGAAAATAGGCGAAGTCTTTACGGCGGAGCATTTGAGGATTGTTCGGGTCCACCGGAGCTACCAACGACATCGACTCGTGATTTGGACAACCATCCGATGGATACCTTGGTTGAAAAGGCATATTCGGCAGCCTGGCTTCGATGAAGATGTCATGGCTCAAAGCGCCATGAAACATGGCTATGTGAGGCCACCAGAGCTTTGCTTTACGATGAAAGCTCCGTCCGACCACGGTTCCCTTCGATCACCTTTGAAGCAACACATTCAACAAATGGCAAGAGGTATCGTCATGATCTGGAGATCTAGCCCTCTTTGGGTCGACGTTTAGGACAACATAAAGGGTCGAATGCACGCAAAGAGCAGAGGAGTCCGGGCAAGATGACGCCTATACTCACACCCGCCATTTTTCTGATGGCCAGGAACGTCATCCTCTGGTCACGTATGTTCTCTCTTCTCATCAAGGGCAGTGGGGATCGAGATGAATTGGGTCTGGCGACCATCCCATTCAACATCCCAATCTGGTGCCCCGGGTGCAAAAATTCATCAAATATCATCATGCTTTTGGGGGATTTCGGCCAGAATGAAAGAGCACAAACAAGGTCATCCTCGGCACAGCATCATGCAACATCCCCGTCTTGGTCTCTCCCTATTCAAGACGCGGTGGGCCTATTCTCTGTGTGCGCCCGAAATTGGATGGCCCTGTGCGACAGGTATTCAGCCATTCCATTTCTGCTTTCATGGGTTTCGCCAGTTTTCCCACACTGTTGCTCCCTTTTGGTGTTCAATGTCACTCCCAGGCAAATGTGGTGAGTACGACTGAGCTTTTCACGAAGGAAATCGTTCCCAGGGAGCATCGTCGACTCTAACCAAGCCACACGTGAGCTTGACTGTGTTCACGATTAGTGATTCGTGGCATTGTTCATTCTCCTCCTAATATTGTCGAAGCCTATGACGGCCACGACTTGCTATAACTAGTGCCAGCTCGAAGTAACATAGCCAGTGTATCATCCAAGCGAGTATGACCAACTTTGCTGCCGCCTTTTCAACGACTCCACGTATCGACCTACCGCACCATGGTCACCTGGATCCCTGAAGGAGGCCATGCCTCCCAGAATCTCATTTTTTCAACTATCTCAATTTTGCGGGGATACCTATTTTGTCGACTTCCGGCATTTGGCCGTGTGAGGCATTAGCATCCCAGATATGTGGCGTGATAGTTATCGACTTTTCTTCTTCGATACCAAGCAACCCTGACAGGCTCCAACATCAGAGACCTGAGGGAATCCGATTGGGATTTTGCTTCCATGGTTGGACAACAGAGCGTGACGTACAGGGAAAAGAAGGCCAAATTTGAAGCTGTCTGAGGACTCTGTGGACGATGCTGGTCGATATTTCCGCGAGAAGCTGGGATCATGGTGTTTGCGAGTTTTCCGTCTACCCATGTTCTTGGATTCAACTTGGGAATGTTTCCGGCTCCAAGCTCATTGATTGTGAGCCAAAATTTCTTCGGATGTGTTCCTCTTCAGCTAAGTCCTATCCAAATGCCGGTCCATCCGTCAAACTTGCTAATTCTGCCCCCATCAATCTTGCATATCGGTCTTGGATTTGGGAGAACTGTGTCCTCGTTCATGCCTACGCGATTGTCCAAGCTGTGACGATGTTCGAGTTCACGGCCACACTGGCGAAGAGATGTTGGTGTTTCCTGTCTCAACACTGCACTTACTCGTGTACACTATGCCGGTCGAGGACCAGATTTGGAAACGGGATGCCGCCAGAGTTATGGATGATTTTGGATTGCCCAAAAAGCACACTAGGGGGTCGGCCGGGTGCTAAGTACGATGTTGTGCAAGAGGTGGAGAGTTTGGACCAAAAAGTAAAATTGGATGGAGCATGGTGAATGAAGTTGGGCTAGACAAGGCTATCCTTAGAGGGGAATTCACAAGCTTCAAATCGGATGAACAGTTTGGCTCAGACGAGTTAAAAAAAAAAGTTGGACCTCCCCCAAAGGGATGAACTGTATGGCTGGATAGGGAACCAAGGCCGTCTTACGCCGTGGACAATAATACGTCCCAAAAATAGATCCCCTGCATCGCGTTGAAAGAAAACAAGGGGACATCCAAAGGCGTACAAGAAGCAGCCGTCAGCCATTTAGTCGTCCTCATCACAATCACATTGCCAATGTAGATCCAGATAGCTTTCGATCGGTTGGTCAAGAGAAAGGTAAGAAACCGAAAAACGGCAGCCACGTGTAGAAGAAACCAGGTCATTGGATAGGCCCTAGCCGAGGGCGTGGTACAGGATGTCGTACTGTCACATAGTTGTCGCTTCGAGAACTGCGGCAAGGCTTCTGGTCCAGATTCCCAGGCACCGATTGTTGTACAGGAGACCAATAACAATCTGTGGGCGAGATTAAGGTCTCATTGTGAGTACGATTGAACATGTCGCACCTTGGGCAGTCGTCCGTGAAAACTCCCACCGGTTGGAAACGCAGAGTAAAGCACACAGAACAGAGAGGAGAGGTTGAAGACTTTCTCCAGGAAACATTTGCCCGAAAGAGGAAGAATCAGATTGGGATGCAAGTGGGGAAATGAAGTGCTAGTAGCCAATAAGGGACCTCAACTGTTATCGCGGTATCGTAGATTGTCTAAACCGTATTTGGCAAGGCTGTCCGTGCGGTCAACCGCGGCCCACTTGCTCCAGCAATTCTCTCCCTCTATCAACGACATCCGACTTGACCTCCCCTGCTCCATCCACCTTCTTTGTTCCTACCATGCAATTGGCCATACGCCGTACGGCCCTCCGCCACCGCCCTCTGCCTCCCCGAGCCCTTGTTCTTGCCTACCGCCATCGAATCATCAAGTTGCCCGATAACCCATTACGAACGACCGCGATCATCCTTCGAGAATCCATTTCGACTGGGTACATTGGGACCACTCCAATTGGTCTAGAGCCTCCAAGTCCTCTCCTCGATTGTTCCTCCCAACTGATACACATTTCCCCGCCGGGGGACTAGTGGGTTCACACAAGCATTCCCGCTTTCTGCTTCTTTACCTTATTGAGATTAACGCCCTCTTGAGCTCCCATCTTCATCAACCTGGTCGTGTCCCTCGATTGCCTCTCTTGCCACCAGCGTGGATATCTTTCATATCCTCTTCCCATGCTGTTATACATCAGACTCCGCTCTTCCCTATCCCCAATATTTCTTAGGATCTGGGTGGTCTGATTCGACCCATTTCTTTGTTCTGCTTGCATTTTGTCCTTTTTGGGTGACGTCCCAGGATCGGCAATCATATTTATACCTGCAATCGCTTCATCCTCTAGTATGACTATTTCTAGAAACGGTCGTCTTCACAATCTTTTTGGGGTTCTACGTCATCGGCTTTGACTAGTTGTGACTATTGTTTCGCAACAGAGAGTCACGACCACGATTTGTAGTTGATACCAATACCTTCTTCTCTCTGTACATATCTCATTTCTCTCTCCTCCAGATAACTCCAATCGTCACCATGATCTCGTTCACAGATGAGCGCACGTTGCTCTGGATGGGCCTGGCCATGTGCATGGCCGCCATCACTTATCTGAGCCTCAGCCAACGACAAAAAGAGATCGTGTTCGGGAGATTGAAACTACGAGGTCGACGAGCATCCAGCGCCAATACACCACCACGATCGCTTTCGCCGGAGAAAAAGGAACCGGCGAACTCTCCTCCCAAGTCCTCCGAATATGTTAATACTTTCCCACCTCAAGCCCGAGATCTGCTTGAGCAAGTCGCCGCTTCTCTTCCGCATGATCATCGCACAGCCATGGGCGATCTGAGTTTTGATGAGAAGAACTGGTCGAAATCGGTCATGGGCTTCGAGGAAGATTTTCGGAAATGCGATCCGAACAAGTACGTCTACACTGGGGTCAAAGTTCAAGAAGTTCGTGGTTTAGGCGACTTCCCCGATTATTCCACCTTGAGTGGTGTTCCTCTTCCCGAACCATACCAAGAGCATGATATCACCAAAGCTCTCCCGCGACCATATCGCCCATTCCGGTGGGCCTACCATCAAACGATGTGTGAGTCGACGATCGCCTCTGATGGAGTTTTACGACTAACCCCGTGTCGCAGCCCTCACCAAGATGGAACCCGATTGGTGGCTCGAACTCGAAAATACCTATGTTGCACGCATCACTCAACGCAAGCGCCTCTATGCCGAACACGGCGAATCCGTTCTTCAGTGGCTTCCAGGATCCGAATTGGCCTGCAAGGAGCTTATGGAAATGGCCATTCAATTCCTTTGCGCTCGGTACCCTCAATACTTCCGTCTGCACGAGGACAAGAAAACCTTCGAAAACAAGATCCTCGGTACCAAACAGGACGTTTCGTCCAAGCATCCCCTTCTCGTCTTGTTGGATAATGTTCCCGAGGATTTTGCAATCATGCTACGTAACCCGGAGACAGGATATTACCATTTCCGTGCGGGAATGATTTGTTCCGCCTTGGGATGGAATGTTGGTACCAAGATTGGCATGCAATTGCATCAGATACATGCCCCTATCCCGGATTACAAGGAGAAGATGCAATTCAGCATGGATCGGTATGTTTGCGTTTGGTCTTCTTGACAAGACCCTCCTGCTAATATGAACGGAACGTAGATTCTTCACGAAAATGCCCGCTCAAAAGCCCATCCAACGTGGCTCTTGGGGTCTCGAAGTGGACCAGCCACTCTACATGCCACCCGGGGATCCGCATGAGAAATACCGAGACTTCCAATCTCCTGATCTGGATCTCTCGCGCATCCACCTGCGCGTTGATTGGCAAACGCTCCGCCGCCTTCCTCTCTCCGGAGGCGTTGTCTTCAACTTCAAAGCTCTCTTCACACCGGTCACGGAGTTCCGCGATGAGCCATACATCCCGAGTCTCCTTCTCAAGGTGCTCAAGGAGGGTAAGGAGAACCTGATGAAGTACAAGAACACGTGGCACGTGGAACATGTGGTCGTGCCGGCCTTGGAGGAGTACGAAAAGGAGCAAATCGAAAAGGGTATCGTTGAGAAGGATTGGGCCCATCATACTCTGGATGAGAGTCCCTGGTTTCCTGGCTGGAAGGAGAAGTGGACCACGCAGCAAGGCTATGGTTCATGAGAGCGTCTTTCAGGGACCGAAAAAGGGACGCACATCCGTGATCAGTTCTTCGTTTTCTGTCTCCGAACACACTCCCGCGAGATCACAAACTCATCACGACATTAAACGAACTCTATTTACGGCCGACATATCCACCGAAGCTTTTAGCTCTTGTTCACAGAGAGTGAGTGAATTAATGCACTTAGGCCATCCAATCGGCCCAAAATTCGGCATTGAGGCAGGGCTTGCTTTGATTTTCTTTTCATCTTCTCCGCTGCCCATGGCCGCATCTACTCTGTGGTCATCTTGCAGCATTGGATAGGGGTAATTCGCATCGCATCCCATCTGTATTTTGTGTCATTTCTCTTTCTCTTGATTAGAGACACGAGCTAGTTCACCCGGCTTGGCTGAATAAAAGAAGGTTTTGTTGACCCTTTCCATCTTTCCTGTTCCTGTCTGTATTTCGGTGCTGTGAGAAGAGCAATGGCAAGAGAGCGAAGGAGCGATCGGATACATCTCCCCAGCCAATCAGCTGAGCGTTACCGGAGTCCTCATAATTGGCTGCGTCTTGTGGTTATCATAAACGTCATGGCACGATGCCAGTTGACACTGACATGTGATAATTCAAATCTTCAGATATATTAAGCCCGCACGTGTTAACAACTGCCACACCTTTGACCTTTGAGCATGAGCATTATCATTGCTGATAACCTAAATTCTCATTTACTTAGCATCAAAATCTTTTCGATCTGACTTCTTTTGGTGTTTTAGTTTGAAGCTCTCGGAAATCCCGTATTTGCCGACCAGCCAGGATGGATGTTCCAATGTACAAATTTGAACATAGTATGCTGGAACTACCCGCTTCTTATGGCGTCAGTGTCGAGGATATGGTTATGTTCAATCTCGGTGAGAACGATGAAGAGAAGACTCTGGATATCGACAGCACTATCAGTTCGACCGGTAGTGTCAACAGCGCGGGAGCAGGAGCACTTCTGGTAGCGAAGTCATGCGATGCGCTCGTGAATCTAGGCTACAATCAGCACGACGTGCGGAAAGTCGGGGACCTGGTCGCGCGGAACTTGATGACTTGCGACTCCGCACTGTTGAGTATGGAAACGGTTCCAGAACAAGACGAAAGAGCACGTCAAGATATTGGGCGGACGGTTGAATCGATGCTCAAGCGTCTCCTGGCGGAAAACATCCCACGATCCCGAACCGTTACGGTCAATTCTAATGAGCCGGTGGTTCTCATCAACCAGAACCAGGCTGACCAGCGTATCAACAAGGTGGCTTTCAATCGTGTCATGGACGAGGTGGTCAGGCAGTTGCAGCAGAATTGGAACATTTGGCCGGTACGCGTTTACGCCGGGCCGTTTGTGCCGATGGGCAGTGGTAATGTCAATGGCCGTAGCAATGGGTTTTCCATTACTTTGTTGAATGTGGTAAACACGGACATTGGAGGCCCGAGCATGGTGCAATTGCTCGATGCTCCTTGTGATGCTCCAGAATGGACTTGTTTCGTGAGAAAAGAGGCGCGGAGGGAGAGGGATTTGCTCTATCGTGAAGAACAGAGGACGTCATTCAGTGAAGACGAAGAGGGTGTCCCGCGCGATGATGCTTCTGAGCGCTCCTTGCAGAGTGGTGGGGCGGAATCGACGGATTCCGAGTCCTCGGATTTGGCAATGTTGAAGGCATCGAAGGGGCCTCCAGCTCCAGCACAAGAGAGTACCTCGGAAGGACCTTCATCCGATGTGGCGTTTCCATTACCTGCGAGTGAAGATGTTTTCGGGGCGCAGTCAGGTTCGCCGGGCACGGCAACGGAGCCAAAGGAGATTTCTCTATCTCAGGATCGGGGGTTACCGGAAAGGCGCATTGAGCACCCAACATGGCAACGTCATGATGACAGCATGTCATTGCTGGACCTCATACGATCTCAAGCATCAATGGTCGCACCGCTGGGAAAGGAGGGCCGGACCTCAGGTGAGAAAGAAAGTGATATCGGGGTCCCGCCAGAGTCAGAGACAGTGCATGATCCCAGCGATGATGGATTTGAAGTCGTTTGAGACTATGGCGGCGCGGTCGGAGAAAGTTGGTCAGAGGATGTCTTGAGTTCTTCCACTGTCGTGAAGATGAGGTGCCAATGTAATATCCTGGTGTTCAATCGCTCACCGAACCACTTCTGCTTCTACTTCTGCTCATCGACCTCGGGCTCTCACCATTCTCGCTTGCTCTCCCATTATGGTCCGCATCTTCCATCACTTCATCATCCTCTTCCATCGCATCCAATTCAGCTTGAAGCGGACTAACTCGTTCCTCCAGTTGATCCAGATCTTCCAGCAATTGTCTAGCGGGCAATTTCCACAAACTCGTTCCGCAGACTCGATCTTTCGTCAAAAGACTGTCCACAAATTCATCCATGTGTGTTAGGACGTATGATTCTTTTCGTCTTTGTCGCAGCTTTCTCGAATCTTCCAGGAAGGGTTCCAACGTCTTGTAAATGTCTGCTGGGTCAAATGTTAACCTCGCATAGAATGCGGCAAGAGCACGAAGGTATTTCCATTCCTCCCCGCCCGAGTTTAAGTATTCCAAGACAATTTCTTTGTCAGGAACTAACGTGAGTAGTTTGAAGGCTAGGCAAATGAAAGGCGTAGGCTTCATGGCCACACCATAGGTCCCGCCAATGTATGTCAATTCGACAGCTCTATCGCAGAGAGTAGCAGCATTTAGGCCAAAGCACTGTTCTTTCCAATAGAGAGAGTCGGTAATTCGATCTCGCATTGCAGTCTCCAGAAGCAGAGCGGGGTTCTGGCCTCGAATCAGTGGCCCGGAATAACCACGATTGTCGAGGGTGTTGGATGCATCGGCTCGATGGGTCATCTTGCTGATTCTGGAGAGAGAAAAGGCAGAAGATTGAATTTGTTCTCCAAAATCGCAGGCACGCACTTATCCGTCGCAGCACAAATTCGTCCCGCGCATTTTAGTGCGTCATTTCTTTGGTTGTCCTGCGCAACGCTTTTGTACACATTGAAACAGCCTGCTCATGACATGGACTGGATAATTAATGGGCTTCATTTACCGTGCCCTTTCTATACCGCCATCGAGAAGAACAAAGGTTTGATCACTGCTGTATCCTTCAACCCCAATCTCTCTATCTCTGTATACGGAGAACTTCCCCTGCAATCGCACATACCGAATCCTGGACCACGAATTGATCCTTGCATCGTTATGGTCCTTCTCACCTCCTCAGCGGTATCCGTGATCTTGTCGAGCAGTGTTGTGTGCATGTTCACGTTTCTCCTATTTTTATCCGGATATGTGCTGCAACAGCAAACTGTTAGATCGCTGCAAGAAGCTCTGCGAAGACCACCTGAACGATTACCGGTCCCGACGTTGCCTCCTCAATTTCAAAATCCAGATAATGAAACCGTTTCAGTTGCTCTCGAGTCGCCCACAGATGGATCCACACCTGTCGTAGTCGGCGACCAAGGAGCCGACGACGCCGATCAATTTCTAGAGTCCATTCAGGCGGCAACCGCGGTTCAGGACGACAATCAAGCTCATTTTGGTGACTCCTCAGAGCCCAAGTTGGAACCAGTCGAGGATCCAAGCAATGGTCCTCTTCCTCAGCGTCTTGCATATATTTTGGCACTTCTCAAACCCTCCGACCTATGCTCAACCCTCCTTTTCGCAAAACAGCAACGCTCAGCTTCTCGACTTGAAGCAGAGCCTTCGATTATTCTTCTCTATCCATCAACGTGGGAAACTCAATCTTCACCACTCCATACCTCGGTATTGAATTTCATGAGAGAAGTTCAGGATCTGTATGGCCTCCTATATCACCCGGTTCGGATCCACGGTGGCTGGGATGAGACAGCTTTGTTATTGGGGGAACTCCAATGGCGCAAGTGGGACTACGATCAAGCCTTGTACTTACGCTCACCGGGAATGATACTTGACAGCAAAGCACTGGACGCTGCTTTGGGATCACCAAATCCAAGGAAGTCATGGGCTCCGTTAAATCCATCTTCCGGAGATAACCCCGACCTTCTCCTCGTCACTCCGAAAGGACTCCAGAGTCCCAGAAAAGAGATGAGAGGCCTCGCAATCTCTGCTGTTTCCCACCATTCAGATCTCGAGGAAGATGGATTCGACATAGAAAATCTAGTGAAAGATGCAGCATATGTCCTTTTTGACGGGGAGGATCTAGGTCTCAATGGGATTGAGAATGAATGGTATGGGAATCTGGTACGCAACTTTGATCGTGGCCGAAAGTCCGTTTGTGCCGGCAGTGGGATATTGGACGATGACCTGAAAATTGATTTGAAGAGAAGGCTGTGAATAATAAGCCATGGTTGGCCCGTTTTATGATAGAAATGACAATTCATGGTAACTCAATTCCAGTGTTGCAACCTCAAGCTTTTCAGCACGGCGTTAACGTTTCCATCGAAAACGGAATCAAAAGGCCTCATTTTCTGCAACCTCGTTTACGTGCGAATAAGTCGACGGATAATCAATCTCCTTCACGATCGAGGATCGGGCGGACCATGCTCGTCCGAGCAATTACAATTGAACCGCGTGCTGGATATGCCTAGTCATGAGAGCCTCGGCTCACTGGGTTTCTAGGCCTCGACCAACTGCCTGAGGGAAAACCTCTCAGGGGGCACTGACACGGAGGGCTGACTAAGAATAAGAGAGGGTTCTGTAATTCAGCGCCCAGGAGACTCGGCATGCAAGGATTATGACAGATTCACAAGCCACTCGTCAACCAACCACGAATGGACCAACTGCGATCCCTTATCGTTTGTCTTGAGCTCCGACCATCCCCGTTCCTCAAGTTCAAAGCTCCTCAGATCCGCCACCTCCGCTTCGGATTGCATAACGTCTACGTCAAACTCTTGTGCCAGTGGATGATTTGTGGAACGGGACTAATGAGAGCCATGACTGAATGACTTTGTCATCCAAGCCACAACAAGGTGAAAAGCGAGATTTGAGATATGAAAACGCTCTCTGACGCCACAGAAAATCTATATCATGAGCTCTCACGCAGAGTTTCATGCGACTTCTCGTCCTCCAACATCGGTACTTGACTACTTCATTAACCATTTATACAGCGCAGGTGTTCCTGCGATACCATCGCATTCCCCTTGGATCCAGGACTTTCACAATGACCACGCCGAAATCTTCCGCTTCTCTGATTCCCTCTGACCCGGCAAAGGTCATGGTAATCCGAGATGTTACTCCCACGATCACGACCCTCAGCGTACCCTTCCTCCGATTCGGTCGCATCAAGATTGGCGGTCGCGGCACATTAGTCAAGCTCCAGACCGGAAATGTGGCCGTTTTCTCTCCTGTCGCACTCACTCCAGATGTGAAGGCCAAGGTTCAATCCATGGGCCCTCCCAAGTACATCATTGCTCCAGATATCGAACATCATATCTTCATCTCCACTTGGTCGGCAGAGTATCCTGAAGCAGAAATTATTGGGATGGAGGGTTTGCCAGAGAAAAGAGAAAGCGATCCAGCTACAAAGGGAATCAAATTCACCCACGTCTTCTCTGCGAAAAACAAACTCGACCTTCACGTCACTCCCGAGTTTGACGAGGAATTTTCTTACGAATATTTCCATTCTCATGGCAACAAGGAGCTTGTTTTCCTTCACAAGCCCACCGGAACCATGATTGAGGCTGATTTGCTGTTCAATCTTCCTGCCACCGAGCAATACTCCAAGACTGGGATCAATCCCCAGTCGGGAATTTTGACCAAGCTATTTGGCGGTATCATGAACACCCGTGGGGATATGATTTGGCAAAAGCGATTCCTTTGGTATGCAGCTGCCGGTAAAGACAGAGCGGGATTCGCTGAGTCGGCGAAGAGAATCAAGCAGTGGGACTACGACAGAATCATTCCTTGCCACGGAGATGTGATTGAGACCGGCGGCAAGAGCATTATGGACAAGGCGCTTGTATGGTTTACCGAAGGCAAGCACTGATGAAAGATACCCTTGAGCTGATGAAAAGTGGAGTTGTAGCTTTTTCTTTTGTGAGCAAGGAATCAATGCAATGTTTGATTATCTCAACAGGATTCTACTCTCTGATTTTCCGATTCATACTCTAATTTTTCTGCATTTCGTTTTGTTAGTAGCATAACACAATGTACAGCCTCGTTCCCACATTCTTGAGACTCGACCTTCTTTCAATCACTCTTGACCGCACATCATGGCCAATACCGACATAGGTCCTCATCCGGAGACGCGGGAGGAAACAGTGTCTAATTTTTTTTTTCCTCTCACACCGGCATATATCTCAATCCCCATAACATCCACGTTCCCCAGGATCAAACTCCGACAAGGACACTTGACCAGATTTTGGTCTGATCGCTCTGCTTCCTCCAACTAAGCCTCAAACTTTCAGAACTCTGCTTAAGTGTTCTTTTCTGGAAACCCTAACATACCAGTCAAGGAGCCTGGGTAAAGAATAAAGACGTCCTGCCATGGAAGTGGCCGCCTACCCATCAGGTCAATCGATGCTGGTCCAATCCCGATCTCTGTGAAGCACGATGATATCGAAGTTGACTTTGCTTGTTTCATGGCTCTTTGGAATCTTTTCTACTCTTTGGGAGGTACAAGGTGTGCCTCGTCAGAAGCTGGGTACCCTGTCCAGTCGGGAACCTCGACAAGATTTGGTGAGTGGATAATCCGCAAGCCATCATTCGACACAAGGCTTAACGGGAAAGGTGTGGCTGAGGAGCGTTTGCCGTCGACAAGTTCTTCTCCACAGCAGCGTCGGCTGGGATTTATCTGATTGCCAAACCAGGACCATATATCAATGCAGACTGCTGTTGGAGGCTTCCCGAAATATGGAGTGTCATGGCCGATCCCAATATCACGAAATTAGGTCCCATTGCATTGTTCCAGCTCGAGAATGAATATTGAACCTGACCTAGTCTGGACGACAATGACTATCCCCAGCTGCCGCAAAAACAATACATGGCATACGTTGAAAATCAATTCAAAGATACTGGACTGGTCGTCCCATTCGTCTTCAGTAACAACCATACTATGGACAGCTTTTCGCCCGGCACAGGGCTTGGTGGGGTTGGGCTGCGTTATGAATGTGAGTCAAGCATCATTCTCTGGACTTGACACTTACCTCTTAGAAGGTGCTCACACCGATGTTTAGCCCAACGTTCAATTTCCAAAGGATTGATTGGCAAATGATGCATGAACAATAAAGTCCACCTACACCATTCTTAGTATTGGAGTTTCAAGGGGGTTCAGGAACATCGTGGAATACATGATCAAAAACCTTGTTTGCTTCTTTGTTTGCGGAATAGCTCGCATTCTGCAGGGGCAGTGTTGGACAAGATATATGCCATGCACTCCCCAATGAAGAATCAGCCCGAGTTCTCTACAAGAATAACTACAGGTTCGGCTTAAGTATTCAGAATACACATATGGTCAGCCTTGCCAACCTTGGCTATATGAGAGGTGACAACTCCTGCGACGGAGCTACTATCACAGAAGATCGTCACGTATGAAGAGAAAAGCTTAGTGAAATGAAGCTACAAGCTAACTTTTGTGTCACCCTAGCATATCTCACAGCCGTGCCCGGGAACGAAACGAACGGTACATATACAGCAACAAGAGCAACTACGGTGACAGCTTCACAGCGAGGAGACCGCATGACTCTGTCTGGATGAGACTCAAAATTCTTCCTGACGGACTACGTTGTCGGTGGAATCAACATGATCTATTCGTCTGCAGAAGTCTTTACTTGGAACAAAGATGATAATGGGAAAATTGTTATGATCATGTACGGTGGCGCTGGAACTCCACAACTCCACCCCTCCGACCATGGCTTCCACCAATTCTATACCGAGGACACTCCACCTCCCCCACTCCTCTTGACCCTGAGACCTCCATCTACGCCAATATCAGCGTCTACTGGTCCTTCGGCTACGCCATCTAGCTAAACACAGCGTACCTAGGCTCCCAGATCGGAAGCCCCTCCAACAAAATATGGTCTCAAACGTTTAATTTTCCCAATCCCCTAACTTCAGGAGAGATTTCCGTCCTGACAATCCCAATCAACAACGTGAACCAAGACGAAGAAGCTCCCGGCACCGACGCGGTGGAATTCCCCGTGGACATTCTCAACTCTTTCCGGCCCAAAAGCGATATTTCGTGGAAAACCTAGGGCAGACTCGACGGCGAATAGCACATTAACAAAACGCGCTGACCCCCGTAACGAAAGCGCCTTCTACATCGAGCGCATGAGCTGTCATCTCCCATACCCATCCACCAACAACCTCAGCTTTGGTTGGTCCCCATCCACGACGGCATCACTGAGCCTGGAGTTGAACTTTCACCACGAACTTCGCACTCGATATTCCACTTGGCTACGACGCGCCTATGTCTTTCGGCAACAACTCTGTTTTGCGTCAGGGCCTTATTACAAAGCACAATTGTGAACCAATGGGTGGCGACTCGGCCAGTATATTAGCTAATTGGACCTACAGACGACATCTCCGATTCTTGAAGGGATGTTGAATTATCACGGCGAAAATTGGGCTGGGATAAGTAGATCCCAATGAGGCCGACGTGAAGCTCGGTGGATGAGAGCTTGTGAGTATGATGCCGGTGCTGAATGGACGTGGGTCGTGGAGAGCTCTGCTTGGAACGGAGGGAGATGGCATGTTAAAAAATGGTGTCAAAGCGGAGGAGAGTGCTGCTCTTGTACCCTCACCTAACGAATGCAGAGAACGCCAACAAAATATTAATTAAGATGATATACTCAGGTCCTTGATGCCGTTGTGATTGAGTCACACCATCAAAACTCTAGGTAGCTAAACTGATCCTGGAACTACGTGACGAGGCTGGGCTTCCCCCTCCCCCTTATGCGTACACCCACGTACTGGCCAGGTTGCGCTTGATACAACATCATCTAGTCGTGGACCTAATGCCAGCATCTTTAAGGAGCCGCAGAATGCATTCCATGTCGATATGACCCGCTCGGAACAAAGATACCTTGTATTGCCATCTATATCATTTGTCATTCTCATTCCTTTGATCAGGCTACCAGTATTTGCACAAATCGTCACCATACCATGCCAACACCAATCAAAATCAGCTTGGCCTATTTATCTAATTTCTAACCCCCTCAATAATGACCTTTAACACATTCTCTCCGCCCTTCCGTACCGTCTCAAAAGCTTCCTCTGCCTTCTCGAACGGGAAACGATGCGTGATTAGGATCTTTGGATCGATTTTTCCGCTTGCAACCAAATCCACGGCTGCAGGGTACACGCCGGCCGTATAGCGAATGGAACCACGAATCGTCAAGTCGCGAATACACGCAGTGGTAATAGGAAAAACTACATTTTCTCGACCCATACCAGCCTGCACGTACATGCCACCCTTTTTGCACAGGTGCACGCCGGTCTGGATACAGGGCTGGGCACCAGTAGCGTCGATAACCACATCGGGGCCCTCACCGAGCTGGAAGGTCTGTTTGATTTGCTCTGCGACGTGAGCGCTCCATTCGCTTTCGTTGTCGGCGCTGCATGCTTCGCCTTCAGCTTTAGGCATCAGCGGCGGTGCGAAGACGCCGTCTGCGCATTTCAGAACAGAATTAGCCAGCTCCATGCGACTGGCATTCAAGTCGATGCCGATGACCTTCTTGGCCGCGTAGGCTTTGGCGACGCACTGTACCAATAATCCAATGGGGCCGCAACCAAAGACCACGACCGTCTGGCCTGCCCGCACCCGGCCGACTTTGCAGATTTGCACGGCGACGGCGACTGGTTCGCACAGTGCACCGTCTTCAAGCGTCATGTTTTCGGCTAAAGGGTAGCAGTAATCTGCTGCAGTTTTGTAGAATTTCGAGAGTGTCCCATTGTGAGGCGGCGTGGCGGCGAAAACGGTGTCGGGGCACAAATTGTACGAGCCACTACGGCAGTAATTGCAGTGTCTGCAGGGAACGCCGGGCTCGATTGCGACTTTGTCGCCCACTCTCAGGTTCGTCACTGCTGAGCCGATTTCCACCACTGTGCCGGCACTTTCGTGGCCTAGTACGATGGGACTGTTGAGGATGAAGTCACCTATCCGTCCTCGTTGCCAGTAGTGAACGTCTGAGCCGCAGATACCTGTTTGACCGATGTGGATGATCACGTCGTAGGGGTCGCTGATGGTTGGTTTGGGGATGTTTTCGAGCGCAACCTCTTTAACGGCTCGTAAGACGAATGATGGGTTTTCCATTGGCCTAATTTCGCCCGTCTTCAACTTGCTTGCCGGATTGTATTAATAGAAGGTTGCTGTAATTTGATATCTCAGTACTCTATTACCAACGATGATCAACTCAAGAGAGTCCTACGCCTCGTATAACTACCCAAAAGGCTGGTAGATGTGGATCCGAGAACTTCACCGGATCTCTGGTACTCCGCAAACAGCCTCTGCAGCGTTCGGTAAATTTTGAGTTTGGAGATGTTCGGATCGACTCCTCCGCTAAGCTTGATTACACCAAAGGTTGGGCCGGGGATGGTGTTGGATTTCAATAAGTTGATCGGAGACGGAGGACCGTTTTCCGCACAACCAGCTGGACCACCATTGAACGACAGAGATAAGTGGACCTAGAGCTTGAAATGCATCATGACAAGGTCGAACACATCTCCCGGGGAATTCGGTGTTGTTGCTCTCAGATTCACGCTGATATTCTGGCGTGAGGAGAGCTCACCACATAAGATCACCACTGGCTTTCCACATTTGAGGCTGACAACCCGGAATTTTGACGATGGACGACACATACAAGCGACTCGCATCAGAAATATGCACCGCAGCCGTCAAAAAGTCACCCGGCAGACTATTGGTCGGCGTCGCAGGGCCCCCCGGATGTGGGAAATCGACTATCGCCGAGCAAGTGGTAGAAATTATCAACGAATCAACCTCGACTGACGCCCTTTGCCACGCACAAGCCGTATCCTTGGATGGATTTCACTATACTCGCAGCTTTCTGAATACACTTCCAAATCGGGAAGAAGCCTATGTTCGACGAGGAGCTCCTTGGACTTTCGACATTGATGCCATCCTTGCTTTCGTTACCAGCCTTGCGGTGTCTGCAACATTGCCAGCCACAAAACGACCACGGATACGAGCACCATCCTTCGACCACGCCTTGAAGGATCCGAAAGTGGATGACATCGAGATATCTCCGGGCACATCAATCGTACTGCTGGATGGAAATTACTTGCTCCTGGACGAGGAGAAATGGAAGGACATCAACCCTCACCTCGATGTGAAGATTTTCGTTGACGTTGATGCCAGCGTGGCACGTGAAAGAGTGGCAAAGCGACATGTGGCTGCCGGTATCGAGCCAACATTAGAAAAGGGCCAGGAGAGGTTCGATCTCAATGATGCGATCAATGGAGAACTGATCCGGGGGAATATAGTATCATGTGACTTGGTGGTCAAGAGTATACCGGCCACATAGGGCTTAGGTCCCCAAACCCGGCTCTCTGTCGTCCGTGCACAATACAACGGCTTTGGCTTCCAGTTTTATTGCCGGTGAAAGACCTCCGTATTCGCTCTAACGGGATTTGTGGATAATACGTTCACATGGTGGCACCTGTGGAGCCACGGAAAATCTTCTCTCACATCATTTGCAGCGGGAGTCACTGGCCGACAAAGTGTGCGCAGGGATTTTTTGCTCATTGCTGCAGATGTGCGGTTACATTTTTCTGTAGTCACGATTCTTCCACTTCCATAAATCGCAGAACGTGTCTCCGCGTACGACTTTCAAGTTTCTTTTCCTCAGTCCCCTTTCCCAAACAACTCTCTTGACAATAATGGTCCTTTCAAGGCCAAATGATCAAAACGTACTAAAGGCGTTCAGCCTGCGAGAAAAGGTCGCGGCTGTGACTGGTGGAGCAAGAGGTATCGGACTCGAAGTGTCACGAGGGCTAGCTGAAGCTGGTGCAAATGTGGCAATGATTTATCGAACTTCCAAGGACGCGTCCGTATTTGCTGCCGAGATCGCGGAAGCCAACGGTGTCAAATGCGTTGCCTATCGAGCCGAAGTCCAGGACGCAAAGGCCATTGGAAACACCTTGATTCAGATTGCAAAGGACTTCGGGAAACTTGACATCGTGGTTGCAAATGCTGGTATTGCCACTCACCATGCGGCTGAGGATGTTACCGTGGAACAGTGGCGTGAGATCATGAAGGTCAACTTAGATGGCGCCTTTTGGACAGCACAAGCCGCCGGCAGAATTTTCAAACAGCAAGGATTTGGGAATTTGATTTTTACAGCATCTGTGAGCGCCATTCTGGTGAATGTTCCTCAAAAACAGGCGGCGTACAACGCATCGAAGGCTGGTCTGGTCCAATTGGCCCGATGCCTTGCCGTCGAATGGGTTGATTTCTGCCGTGTAAATTGTGTGTCACCCGGGTTTATCGCCACAGATATGCTGTCAGTCCATCCTGAAGAATGGAGAAAGAAATGGTTTGGAATGATTCCAGCCCAGCGTCTTTGTGATCCTTATGAGTTGAAGGGAGTACGTCAATCCTCACGATGTCAGCAAACGAAGATGACTAACAATTTCAAGGCATATGTTTTCCTTGCAAGTGACGCCTCATCATATATGACAGGCGCCAACATGGTCATTGACGGAGCTTATACACTGCCGTAGAGGTCCAATGGTTGTCACATCGTGAATTGGTTCACAAAGTCGAACGGGACAGACTCGAAAAAGGCAAGATCGTGACCGTTCGAAAGTTGTGGGTCGGTCATTGGCCACATGAATGAATTGAGCGCATTGAGCTGGGTCAAGGGACTTTCGCTGGTGGGCGAGTCCCACTGCGACATGTCCTGAGCGAGGTACGCTCCGCACAGCTTCATGATCACATTATAGCAGCGTGACGCTGCCGAGTTCAGACGAGTCATGTCTGAAATCGTCTCGAGGGCGCCAAAGACCTGGTTTCGCCATCCCGGGGCAAGGGCGGAGTGTGGTTCGTTTCGGAGACAGATAACGGGGATCAGAGTCGCTTGGAACAGAAAATATAACGAGTACCAACACGCAAGGACATTTTGGGTCCCATGTTGCCAATAATTGGTGATGAGCTGAATGGATTCCGCAGCGGCCTCCAAACATCGTTGAATCGCGCTATCTTCCCAAACGGAATTCGGAAGGGTAGACCGTCGTTTCGTCATAAACTTTCGCATGAGATATGGGCGATACATTAAGATACGGAAGTTTCTCCAGCGCCATTGCAATACCGAATGGCAAAGGCGGAACTTCGGTGCCAAATTGGCTCCCTCTCGAAAGTAAGATGGAAGTTCTTGCAACCACTTGACAAGATGAGAATCGTCTGCTTGTAGCATTTCTTCCGCGGAGGGAAAATGAGCGGAGATTAATTTCGCATAGATTCCCTCCGTTGCTAGATGAAATCGAGACTGACACCTTACGTGTGTATACAAGGTGGTTTCCTGAACCTCAGAAGGAAATCTTTTAGTGTTGATGGTGATGTCACCGTCCGCAACGTTGAGGGGCAGCTGTATTTCAATTCCTTCTTGCGGCAAGTCCAAAGGTCGAGAAAAGGTAATAGTCGCTCCAACATCGAAGATGTAGAGACACCAGTAGACACGTCGTCTGATCTCCAACCTCATCGGTGTCGAGTGCCATGCCGGAAACTCTTTATGGAGGCCAATCCCCATGGCCATTCGTTTGGCCAGACCCAGGTAATTATACCCCGAATTCGGTTTATTTCTCTTCTGAACATAGTTTGATATCAAGGTCAGAGCTTGCACCAGGACAATATTTCCCGTCTCCAACATGTCAATTGACATGCGGGCTTTGGCAGCTTCAAATAAGGCCACATCAACTTCGGGAGCGGTCACCGCGGCTGCAAATGAGCCCAAGGCCGCAATGATGTGTAGCAGAACTTGCCAAGCGTTTCCTTTGGGTCTCGGAACGACTTCCATGAATTGGGCCCTGAAGGTGGCTTCATGTACGATGGGGTAGGAGATATGATAAGTCTGAAAGTAGGCGTCCACGAAAGGTTCGAGCTGTGACAAGGAGAATATAACATTTGGGATGGGTGGTGTTTCCTGTATATGGTCCTCGTGGTGGCCGTTTTCCATGTCAACCCCCGAATCAGTCGTGCTATCAGCAAGTCTGAGGAGGGCCGCTCCCGATGCGACGCCCATGTATCCTCGGCTTGAGCGTTCTGGGAGGCTCGCCATCCCATCGATAAAATGGGCCTGGCTGACCTTTTGCACACGTTCATCCCAGTCGAATTCACCACTCGCGGGTGATGTCTCAAGGGTAAATGTCGGACTATTTGTCCGTGCGGTGTGGCCATTGACGGTGGTTGATTGTCCTCGGAGGATGCCGTTCTCGACCACGTGGCCTTCCGCCGAGTGTCTCGACGTTTGATCGCGTCTGTCCTCGAATGTAACTAAGGCAGATGTATTCGTTTGCTGTGGCCTTGTTTGGGTCATCGATAAATCATTGTCGCGAGGAGCATGGGTACCATAGGGGGATCCATCCACTTCTGCACCGAGAGTTGCTGAAGGGGAACGATTACCCTCGTACTGGCGAAGGAGGGCTTTGGCTCTAGCGAGCTCTCTTTCGACATTGGTCAGGTGTTTTCTAGTCAAAGGAGTTCTCGAGACTCTCTCATAGATACACGTTCGACCAAAACGGGCACAATTGTTGCAAGGATTTACCCGATCACATCTTGCTTTCCTGCGGCGGCATTCAGTGCAGGAAGACAAGGTCTTTTCAACAGGGGTACCGCTGTGGTCATCCATGAGCGATTGCAGCCATCACTAGGCAGAGGAGAAAGCGAGTAAAGAACGGAAATTACTCGGAATTGCAGTGTTTGTGGAGGAATTGTAATCGCGAGGAACTACCGAAAACGAAAATGTTTGTGTAGCGCTAAAGCTGCGCCGTAACATATGCAGAGGCTACGGGGAAGCAATACTACGATGCCACTGTTGGCCGAATTATCCCCTCCTCGGATTTCTCAACGCTAAGTCAATTGAAAGCCTTGGAACTCTAGCTACGAGTAATTCTGCTCTGAAAGATTTGTTTACCCAAAAATATTGAGATTCGAAGGTTTTTCAGGCGAGAAAATCGAAGGTTAAAAATTACTTCGCTTTGAGAGGGGAACACTCTACCGTACTTCAGTGGGGCCATTTCTTGGCATAGTTTTGCAGGAAGGTTTGAAAATACGACGAGGAGTTCCTACAGCACTAAGAACCCTATATCGCGCGTCAAATTGGCAAAATATTTAATATTCAGTGCGTGGTGCACGGAATACTCAAAGGGGGTATACGAATAATAAACTTCTGCTAGCTTATATCAGTCATCTCAACAGTTTCTCCTCATTACCATGAGAAGCATCAAACTTCAGCTCAATCGCCGTCCTCTAATGTCTCCCGAATCTGGTCACCTCTGCATGCACCACATCGCAAAGCCCACCTGATCCACACGCTATCACTCCGACCTTCCACCCGGCCTGTTCTTCCCGCAGTAGCGATTTTCTCGCATTCAGTTTCCGGACAGCCACGATCGGCTTGTCTGTGACACCGTTCAGCAAGATGTCCAGCTCCTACACGACTATTTCTGCACTCTCCTTCACGCTCCATGTGAGTTTGGCGTTGGGATATGTGTTCAGCTATGCTAAAAGGCCTGTGATGCCGATGCCGCCGCCTATCAGTAACACTCGGCTGCATTTGAGAACTGTGTCCGTCGAGTTATTCGGCTAAGGGCTATCCATAGGGGTGAGCATACTAGCGTGGTTTTGCAGCAATCGAGTCATGCCGGTATTCTTGATGATCAGGGTAACGCCCGCACTGTCGGCAGGCTCATCGCTAGAGGGCGTTCGAGTTTCTGTGGCTTTCCTGCTTATCTTTCGGAGTGGTGAATAGAGTCACTTGGCATGGACAGGCTGTACTTGTGCGATCGGAAGAGGGTGGCAGAATTGATCGAGAAGGGGTAGCTTTCCCCAGGACGGAGAGCCGGGTTAGCGTGGGGAAATAGGCGTAAACATGAAATCCGGATTCATCGGTCCGTCTCAGCCCCTGAATATCGACATGAATGTGGTTAGGCCCAACTTCAGTCACCGCTACCCTTCGCACTCCGTTCTTAACAATGTGGAGGGCGTGAACGATGCGTTCGAAAATCCTGACGGCGAAGGCGGCGTAGAAGCCGTCCTCGTAACTTCCTGGTAAGCCGAAGCCATAGTACGAGAGGTACCCGTTCCTATAATCACAAACAATGCCATGATAATGTGGGAGACGAGGAATATCTCATAAGCCGGGGGCTTTGTCCGACGGTCGGTACGTTTTCTAGAAGCGGACGGACCTGATACGTACCATCAGTTGAAGGATATGGTTTGATCTTGTCCAAGATTTGGTCATGAAAGGAAGCATGTTGAGCACGGCAAGGAAAATTGGAGTGCCGAAGCCGACAAGCACGAGGACGAGTCTTGATTCTATCAATGGCTATGCTTTCGGTAGAAAGGATAAGACAACTTACAGGAATACGATTTGGTATGTTTCCGCCTTTATAAGAATGGCCATGAACTTGCGTTGCATCTCGTAGTAGCCGGATTGGCCAGTGCGGTGTAGTTCAGAGTATCTCCACTTGCATATGTTCTGTTTCGAGCAGTGATCACCGGTCAAGGAAGTTGTGTCGCCAGCTCGACATTCGGCCGACGTAGGTGAAGCACCATGACCAGGCCAGAATAGGCGAGTGGTGTAGATAAGAAGGCAGCACGACAAACGTAACAGCATGATGATGATGGTGGCGATGGGAGAGGACCCTTGAGGGTTGGCAGTCCACCGCTCAATCAGCTTCTTTCGTCCTCTAATATCCAGAGACCCATGGAGCTGTGACGGGAGTGCCAGCGGGAGTTATTTAAAAGGTAAAGACTCTTCTTCCCGCATTCAGGAATCCGTTGTCGGTTCGACAAGTTTACAAGGTCGCCCTTGTGAGTTCCTGTTGCATTCGATCTCGTCTACATTTGGATAGAATCGTCTATGGCCAGAACCTCAAAACCCAGACCCTTCTCGACCGAACACCTCTTGCCGTTGGAAATGTGCTCAAGCCAGGCCAGAGAAGAGAGATTCATTTCTCTTTGCGAATGGTGTCGAGCAGACAAAGAGGGTAGTATTCTCCACTTGCAAAGCATAAGAGGGCCAGTGCGTATGAAATGTGAATCTGTTACTGGCCATATCGTTCGCCTCTTCATCGGCAAGTATAGCCACCATCTACTACAATGTCGGCACCCGTGGTGTATGTGCTGGCATCTGAGGCGAGGTACAAGTAGACTCCCTTCAATTCCCTTGGGTCGGCATCGCGCTTCATCGGTGTTAGTTCGAACCAAGCTTCTTTCATCTCAAATGGACAATCTCCAGAAATTGCCGTGTCGATATATCCGGGGCTGACACAGTTAACCCGCGCGAACCCAGCCCATTCCACTGCCAGCGATTTGGCGAGATGTATCACTCCTGCCTTGCACGCATTGTAGCAGGCCTGTGGCCACTGTCAGTTGGTCGCCTTGGAGCTGCCATTTCGTTCCACCCACCTGTTGTTGAGGCACATTGGCGGCATGGCCGCTCATTGATGCCGTGAAAATCAGATTTCCCGACCCTTGCTCTCGGAAGACCTCGCCAGCAACGCGAGCGCAATAGTAAGCGCCATTGTAATCCACATTCACCACTCGATGCCAATCTTCAAGCTTGTCGTCCAACCCTCCGGCCTTTGACGGGATACCCGCGTTGGCGATCATGACATCTAATCGGCCGAAATCTTCTATCACTGCATGAACAGTGCTCGACACCTAAGTCGCGATTAAATTAGGTTCGTTAAAGCGGCTAAACCGTCTTCTCACCTGATCATACTCTGAGACATCACACTGATAGGCCTTACACTTGACACCCAAATCTTTCTCGATGGTGGCTGCGAGTTTCAGAGCATTGGGTGACTTATAGTACCACAAAGCAATATCTGAGCCAGCCTCGGCCAGACCTCTGGCCACTTCATAGCCAATGCCACCTGATCCCCCCGTGATGATGGTGACTTTCCCATGCATATCAAACATTTTGAAAATACTGTCTTGAAGCGGTGGATTCGGCCATCGCTTGCGGACGGGAGTATCGACGGAACCCATTGTGGCCAGATATGAGATATTGCAGCCGAAGAAACTCTTTTTGGATGGAACGATGATGAAAAAAGTACTCACAACGCACCCCAGACTGAAGGACAATGAACAGAAGTTACGATTTATAAGGATATGCACGGCAACCCCAAAATACAGAGACCATAAAACTACACCCCAGACCTTTCGGACGCTCCACTTGCACAAGTACTTAGCAGTATATTCACGGCGGACTTCTTCTTTCCTTTTCTTTCCCTTTTTTTTGAACCACCAACTGCCGTGAAAATAGGATGTATCACATTGAAACATACAAGATGATAGTTGAGGCCACTGCTCCGACTATCTAACTCCGCCTACAATGCACAGCGGACACTTGTTCTCCGGGCAAGACCTAGGGATGCAAACTTCACGGGGCGGCCTCTCCGGGGTCGATATTTCTCCTATTGGCGGATGATGGAACTTATTCGTCTTTTTTGCCATGGCCGGAGTACAGACGTCCGGACTGAGGACGACCCCCTTCGAACTCAATTTCATGCCCGTCTCCCACAGGTTTTTCTCCACATTAACTCTCGCTCCACGGCTCATTGTGGAGATGTGGCAACGTCCACGGCCACGAGCCGACGTTTTGACTTTGCCAAAGCCATATATCTTTGCTGATCTTGCCTCTCCCTACGATGAACGATCCCCAACGACGATATAACCAAGCTCCTCAATTCTCTTCCTCTTATATTCAAAATGGTCAATGATCAAGATATCGTAGGAGAAGCCCTGGCCAAGGTGCTCCCCCATTATGAAAAGGCATGGTTCAAAATTCCTCACCTCCTTAAGCTGAACCTCATTTTGTTGGTCCCACTGCTTTCGTCGGCGGTGGCAGGTTACGATGGTATGCACATTCCCGTCAAAGTCTTGGGTGGCAAAGTGGTCTAATATCTGTTCGTTGAGGCTCCATGATGAATGGCCTTCAAGCAACAAGCTCGTGGAAATCATATTTCAATCACCCATCAGGCTCGGTTCTAGGTGTGATCAACGCCGCGCAATCAATCGGCTCAGTAGTCATTCTCCCCATCGTCGGCACCCTTTCAGACAAGCTCGGTCGCAGATGGACACTATTTACCGGCATTATTACTATCATCGTCGCCTCCATCATCCAAGCCGCCTCTGTGAATTATGCCATGTTCGTCGTTTCGCGTATCATCGTTGGATGCGGCGGCATGCTCGTGACCCAGCCTTCTCCCATGCTGATTTCCGAACTCTGCTTCCCCACGCACAGAGGCAAATACACATCTCTGTTCTGGACCTGCTACTACTTCGGCGCCATCCTCGCTGCATGGAGCACGTACGGGACACAAAAACACATCGGCAACAGCGACTGGGCATGGCGTGCTCCTTCCATCCTGCAAGCAGCTTACCCTCTCATCCAACTCTGTTTCTTCTGGTTCGTGCCAGAATCGCCCCGTTGGTTCATTGCAAATGGAAAACCCGCTGAGGCTAGACGAATCCTCGCCCGTTACCACACCGGCGGAGATTCGAACCATGAACTCATCGAGTTTGAAATGGCCGAGATCTCCCAGGCAATTGAGGCTGAGCGAGAAGCTGCATCGACCAAATGGTCCTCTCTGGTCTCTACATCAGGAAACCGACGCCGAACATTCATCGTTGTCTGTGTTGGCGCTTTCGCTCAATGGAACGGTGTCGCTGTTGTGTCGTACTATCTAACTTTGGTTCTTGACACTGTTGGCATCAAGGATCCCGATACTCAAGTCCTGATCAACGGGTCAGCCACATCCATTTTACCCCCTAATCTCAACGTTTTCCTGACACTAGATATCTCTTAGTCTTCTTCAAATCTTCAACTTTTGGGCTGCTGCCAGCGCCGCCTTCCTAGTCGATCGACTCGGCCGGCGCACCTTATTCAACTGGTCTGGCATCGGCATGCTGATCTCCTTCGTCATCTGGACCGCTTGTTCTGCCGTCTTCGATGAGCAAGGCAATAAAGGCGCTGGAATCTCTGTCGTGGCTTTCATTTTTATATACGTGGGCACCCCTCTCTCTCCTAATCATCAGGAATATATTTTTTTTTTTTTTTTTTACGGGACAACTACTGATAGTTTGGTTTCCAGTTCTTCCACTACGACATCTGCTACACGCCCTTACTCTTCGGCTACAGCACCGAAATCCTCCCCTATTCGCTGCGCGCCAAGGGTCTTACGGCGGAAATGCTCTCTATCTACGGCTCCCTCGTGATTCTGGCCTTTGTCAACCCCATCGCACTAGACAATATCGGCTGGCACTACTACATTGTGTTCTGCGTTATTCTTGTCTTCATCGTGGTGATTACGTGGTTCTTCTTCCCCGAGACAAAGGGACATAGTTTGGAAGAGATCGCGGAGATCTTCGATGGAGAGAGGCCTAGGCCGATGGTTGATAGTCTTGTGGCGGAAAAACAGGAGAATAGTGGGGGGGCAATTGATGTCGAGCATGTGACGAAGGTTTGAGGAAGCATCTGCTTGACTATCTGTGTATATGATGTTCGGCCGGGAAAGTGAAAGATGAAAGAACGGTAAGAGTGATTCGACTCAGATCTCGACTTTGTATATAGCCTTTGGTGGTGAATAAATTAAATTTATGCGATCTCTGTGACGGAATCACCAGCACTGTTTCTTGCATTCTCTCTCATTGACTGTTACACGTTGTGTCTGTACATGTTAGAACCCCCCCCCCCCCCCCCCCCCACCCTTTACAGTTGACGGAAATTTAGGGGCCCTGATGAAATCCGAATGCTTTCCGACTCGAAGGCCTAGTTCTTGCTCGGATACTCTTGTCCGTGGTGGGTCGGACATGGGGATGGAGTGTAAAACGGGACCGGGCAGGTTTTCGTATCAACTGATTCTGTTCAACATCCGAGCATCTCACACCACGCCTCCTCAATCGATGTCATCATCCCCTGCAGCTCAGTGGGATCTCGCAATTGCTCGAGATTCTGGCCCAACGGTATTTGCTGCTGCTCCTCCCATGTCAACAATTGATTCTCCCATGCGGTCTGATTGACCGGCACCCCACTCCTCAGGGCATCAATGTACGCCTCGGTGAACAGACGCCAACGAGGTACGTAATACCCCCCGACCAATCCAGCCCATTGACGTGAGGCATAATCTGAGATCTCGCCCGCCGGGCCCCAGAGCGTGATCTGGTTGACGGCATTATAAGCCAAGTATTTTGATGTGATGCCATTGGAGGCCGACCACGCACGAGCAGCTGTGACCCAGGAATTAAGGGAAGATTCAGGCACTTCGCTCGGCGTGTACCCCAAGAGTGTGTCGAGCGTGGAGAGGAGGGAGAGGATTTGGGTTTGTGTCTGTGAAGCCGCAGCCAGGGCTCCGTTCAAGGCGGACGTGTCAGAGGTGTTCAAGGTCGTGAGATTCGTTTGAGCGACGAAAGTGGTGTATAGGGGGTTAAATGCGTTGGCGAGGACCTGCCGGGCTATGTCGATGAGGTCGAATTGGTAGGCTCTATTGGACCAAAGTGTAGGAAGAGAATCGGCAGCCGAGAGGAACGTCTGCCAGACTTCAACGAGAGAGGCCGGGTCGTAGGTGATTGTGGTTGGATGATGACCAGTGCGATTGAGAAGGCCGGTTGAATTTGGAGCGAGTTCAAAGATAGATTTCGTGACAGCCTGGGCAGCCGTCAGGTTCGTGTTGTTATAGACTGTATGTAGAAGGATTCCCCAAGCCTGATAGATCGACTCTGGCAGGCGGCTTTCCGTGGCATTCGAATAACGTCTTCTTGCCCAATTATGGAAGTACGTTGGCAAATCGATGGGCGAACTGGACCAAGCTTGCGAAAGTAGTCTTTGGGGCCTCGTTAGGAGGCGATGTATACTCGGATAGGAGGTTGGAACTTACAGGTCGTACATAATTTCATTTCCTTCCTGACCTTCCATGGTCGATCCAAACCCCACGAGAGAGGAAGAGTTGGCTATCGCCTCGATTGGATTGATAGTAACATTCATCACCTGGCCATAGAGGCCTTGGTTGCCCCCGTAATCATGCAATTGACACCACACCCACGGCTTTCCATAGTACGAATTCAGGTTCTGCCATTGTGGCTGCGTCTCCGAAAACAGATCCAGAATTAACATGTCATGGTCCTCCGTTACTCCACTCAGGAAAGCTTCCACTCTTTCGTTGGTCCAGAAGTCAGAATTGCTAAAGAAGAGCCAGCCTTGGAGCATCCAGATCGCGTTGGGATCGGCTCGCTTTAGACTCTGCCAGACCGTATTCGAGAGTTGCTGGAGGTCATCTGGGTTTCCAGAGATGGGATCGTTCTCGTTGAACTGATCTAGGGTGTAAATGTGGGAGATATTGCCATAATGCTGTTGCTGTTTCGCAATGAAACTCTTTTGCAGCCGGGCGAAGAGAAAATCCGAAGGATCCAGGAATGTATCGTTCGTATACTGAGGACTAAACCCGTTCCATTGAGAAATGTTGACGAGAGTTGCATTTGGAAATACCTCTGGAAAGGCTCTAGGGACAAATCCCGTGAAAGCTGGAAGTACTGGAGTCATTCCAAGTTCGACCATGCGTTGAAGAATTTGCTTCTGCAGCTCAAATTGGCTATCAATCCATGACATTGGAAGGGGACCGCCCCAGGAGCTTTGGATGTTGCCGAATCGATTCCAAGCTTGGAATGCAGGACCACTAAAGAATTCAATGACCTCTGACCGAGAGAGTCCCATCTCTTCAAAGACCTCGAGTAAGATCTTTTCCGCGCCGACCCAGGCGAGAGGTAGATTGACTCCTCTCAAGGCAAGCCAGTCTAGTTCCAGCTCCCAGTCTTCCCACGACCAGAATGCCGTGGTATAGGAGAACGTCACTGCGAAGATCGGATCAACTAATTCGCCAAAGTCGTCGATGCTTCTTACCTGTATTGAAATGGTACCTCCAAGGGACAATGCTCGACCGATTCCAGGGTTCGCAGGTGGGCAGCGTTTGGACTTGATCCAATTGACTCCCGATGAACCAGTACATATCAGTATTTGCCACGTCGGTTAAGTAGTGGTGCAAGCTTCGTGTTTGTTCAGCTAGATGAGAAGTAGAGGACCTATGTGGCTACTGACCCTGATGCAAGGGCGCTGAGAGAATTGCCCTGGATTGAGACCTTTCCATGGTCGCAATTGACCATGTATTGGTCGTTTGTCACGCCCGGAGTATGGTCTTCCGCATCGAGTACGAATGAAATGTCATCAACATGAGCAGGAAGACGACGTTTGACTAGGTCTGTCAAGCCCTGTATGGAGTGGCACTGAACAGAGGCGATCACGGCCCACAGGTAGCATAGTAGCGTAGTTAAATGCATCACTTATGGTGCGAATTCAACTTTCGAGTTGACTCCGAGAGAAGGGATTCCCGTTGGTTTCTCATGACTTTATGCTGGATTCGTAACCGAAAGCCCTTTGAATGCATGATGTAACCTTGCGCTGTTGAGTTAAAGCTCGATTCATCTAGCAATTTACCCGTGGAGGATCCCATGCACGATGCAACGCGAATGTCGGATGAACACTGCTGGATCTGACTAAAACCACGCTGGAACCCCAACTAGTGATCTACCGCGAGATAGCAACCAACCGGGGTTTCCTATTCGGAGATGTGCGAGCTTGTTCTGAAGCCGACAAGCCGTTAACCTTGCAGGATCATATAGTCTTCCTAGAGGCACTCGCATTCTAGAAGTTGTCAGCAGTGGTGGCATAACAAGTGAGATACCTAGGAGTAGGTAAACAGTTCCCTATAATTGCTTCCGAAAACCCGACGTGTCAGTTCCGACTTGCCCTTGAAAGGGATGCCTTTGCGACATACTACCTGAAGGAAAATGGAGTGCTTGATAAGAAGGGGAGAATCAGATCCATGATTTGAAACCGAAAATAGTCGTTGATTAGGGTCCCTTTATAATGACCTATTTCATTCTCAGTACAGGTCTCATAGAGAACGACGAGCGAATGAGCCCCAAATTCCATGGACATTTGGACTTCAAAGAGGCCATCCGTGTAGAAGTAACGCTCATGCAGACTCCATCCGGTTACCAAGGAAATGGAGAAGTTGCAATGACCCTTCATCTCAACGTTGTACTTGGGGCTGACGCTCTGACGGTGTTGACGATAAGAAAAGGCGACATCAAACCTCCATGTTTGTTGGAGAAAGGCGAAACCCTGAAAGCAACCATCATGCACGCCCGCTGGCCTTTTCACCTCTCGTTGACCTAGTCCGGGATGAAAGATCGACTTGAAAACGCACGAAAACTCGCAATGGAAATATGTTGAGCCTAACAAGTACGTGCCTGAAGTGATACAGCTACGAAAGGACTTGAGGTCTCTCCACATAGTTCAACTGTCCCATCTATCCTATTCATTCACTCCAGAAAATGTTCGTACGGGGCCAAAATGAGCGGGCCAGAGTCTGTTTTGAATATTTGTCAAACAATAAGGGGGGCGGATAGAACTCGTGTATAGATTGTAGCTATGGAAAAGGGGAAGCCCATCTACATAGGCCAGGGAATAGGGGCTCTTGGCACTATGCACCAGCTGTTTGACAGGCACCGTTTGGGGCATTCGTCAACCTATAACTAACTGATAGATGGGGTGCCACAACCAACGAAAGTTTTCAGTCAGACATGTTCAACCGAAGGAAGGTTTGATCAATGACCTCCCAAACGGTATGAGCAAGTGGACATTGACAATCGCTGGGTTCAAAGTCAAAATAGGCACTATAACGCCAGGAAAGTCTAAGTTCGAATCGAGCGACAACGAGGTAAAGAGCCCGCAAATGACCAAGGTATGTGAGCGCCTCAATTTTGATGTTTGGTACCTCGATTGTGTGGCTTTACTAGGGTTTTCCAGGTACCCTTCCATCCTACGGACAACAAGGGCCAATTGGGTGCGCAGACAGTTCTAGACCCACTCTCTATTGTCCGAAACTCTCTGCCAAGAGTCTCTCAAACACCTTAAGTTTTTAATTGGAATCACGTTGTTGCGGCCTGGCGTGGAGCGTGTCGACGCCAAGACTTGTACATGTTGGCTTGGCACTATTGCAGCATATTAGCATTTCAGCCTGATCCTTCAACATGCTTCCCTCACATTCATTTGGACCATCCTGGATTTGGCAGAGATCTAGCAATACCAGAGCCTCCTGCCAGACACGGTGGCTGCGGGCGCCGAGTGCTCCATTTCGATCCGCGACGCCTCCCGAACTTCGACCTCGAACCCAGTCCATCTGCGATATGACGCTTCTTGTGCTCCCTCCCCCCTGGGCTGTAGTTGAACAGCACCAGAAGTGGTGAAATATCCCTTTACGATTCACAATATCGTGCTCATATCTGTCTCCTACGTGCTCGACCGGTGACACAATCATCTGTCACATGATGCGCCTCCTGGAACTTGACAGTGGAGATACACCACATTTTTCCAGGGATTTCACCGACGACATCCCTCCCTACGCGATTCTAGCACATACCTGGGAAGCAGATGAAGATGAGGTCACGTTCAACGATATCAATAGTGGATCTGGCAAGGAAAAGGCCGGTTATACGAAGATTCAATTCTGTGGCCAACAAGCTAGGAGGGATGGCCTCCGTTATTTCTGGGTGGACACATGCTGCATCGATAAAGCAAATTATCCAGAGCTCTCCGAATCGATTTTCTCTATGTTTCGCTGGTACCGTGACGCAGCAAAGTGCTATGTGTATCTATCAGATGTTTCGGCTGGTAAAAGCGACAAAAACGGCCAGACTCAACGATCGTGGGAATCAGCCTTTCGAAACAGCAGGTGGTTCACACGGGGCTGGACACTTCAAGAACTCCTTGCTCCGGAATCAGCTGAGTTCTTTTCACAAGAAGGAGAGCTTCTTGGCAACAAGAGGATACTGAAGCAGCAGATTCACGAGATAACGGGCATTCCTATCGCAGCTCTCAGCGGAGCACCTTTGTCTGAATTCGGCGTCGATGAGCGACTGCGATGGGCAGAAAATCGCAAAACCCAAAGGAAAGAGGATAATGCTTACTGTCTTCTGGGGATACTTAACGTCTTTATATCTCCCATATATGGCGAAGGGGGAAAACTCCTTCGTCCGGTTGAGAGCAGAAATCGATAGGTCTTCAATCAGTAAGTACTCCATTCACCGCCAGTATTGTCCTGCTAGCCAGATCTTTGCCCTCATCTTGATCTCTTTACTATACTAACAAAGGCTGGAGAGTTGCTGAACCTGCCCGCTAAACTTGACATGGCCACAATGAAGAGCCTCGGCGATCTGCAAGCCACTGATCCAAAGCTTGACATGGAAAGAATTGAACATTTGAAGGATGCACTGTTAAAGGAGAGCTACGATTGGATTCTTAATGACCCTATACTCCAAGGATGGCGAGACGGCAACACAAGTCAACTTCCCTGGATTAAAGGAGACCCGGGAAAAAGGAAAAACCATGCTGATGATTGCCCTTGTCCGCGGATTGGTGAAGGGTTCACCTCAAAATCCTCGTACCGTTGCATGTTTCTTTTGTCAAAATACTGATCCAAGGCGCAACACAGCCGCTTCCATTTTACGTGGTCTGATCTGGATGCTTGCTATGGGAAGCGCTCAGCTGGCCAGCATATTCCACGCCATGTACCAGTCCAAATCAAATCAGCTCAATGGTCCAAACGCCATATACGCTCTGTTCTCGACGCTGTCAGCAATGCTAGCGGATTGTTCTAGAGCATTCATTCTTATTGACGCATTGAACGAATGCAGTTCGGGAACGGAACGGGAGCAACTCCTTGATCTCATCGTGGCACATGCGAAATCCTCAAAGACTAAATGGCTCCTATCTAGTCGCCACGACGCCAACATTAAGCAGATCTTAATGCACGAAGGTCAGATGCTGAGTTTGGAATTGAATGAACGGCACATCTCCAAAGCAGTCCGAGCTTTTATTGAACAAAAAACTAGCGAGCTTGCCAAGAGAAATTCATACAGCTTAGAGCTCACGGAGAAGGTCAAGAAAGAGTTGATCGCGAAGCCAGACTCGACTGTCCTTTGGGCAGCCTTGGCTTGTAAGAGGCTTCTTAAGGTCCCTCCGCGGAGAGCACTCTCTACGCTGCAGAGTATACCCCCCGACCTACGAGACCTCTGTGCACAGATGCTGGACCAAGTATTTCAAATTAATGATGAAGAGGACCGACACCATTGTTTGAGGATCCTTCGTTCGGTGTCGCTGACATTTCGACCTTTATCGATGGAAGAGCTGATCACCACAACAGGACTTCCGCTAGAGCTTCTGGACAGTGGCCTTTCGAATCTAATTGAGTTTTGCGGTTCCTTTATTACCGTTCGTAAAGGCATTATTTACTTTGTTCATCAATCTGCGAGAGACTACCTGCTTAGTGACGGCGCTGAGGGGCTCTTTCCTACTGGTTTTCAAGAAGAGCATGGCATAATCGTGGATCGTTCATTGGATGCTATGTCAAAGACTCTGAGAAAGGATCTGTGCATTCTCAGGTACGCTGGCGCATCCCGACGTTCAGCTTCAATCGACAATCGCCTGAGAGCGATTGGCTATGTCCGCTCCTTTTGGGTCGCTCATCTCATGCAATATCTCGGCGATATTTCCATCGATGGCCCAAAATATCAAGATTATTTTTTAGATCAAGGCCGAGTTCACAAATTTCTACTGAAACATCTCCATTGGTTCGAGGCCCTCGGCCTTATCGGCGAGATCGATAAAGGAATTATGGGACTGTACAGCTTGGAAAAGAAACTGGCTGAGTTGCCGTTCGAGAATGTTCTCCACCATAAAAGGTTCGTACACGACGCTATGCGAGCCTTTCGTCAATGCCGAGCAGCTGTTGAAAAGGCACCACTTCAGGTGTATTACTCTGCTTTAATATTCTCTCCAGAAAAAAGCCTTGTTCGACAAACTTTTAAGCAGGAATTAGGCCAATGGGTTTCTTCATTCCCGAGACTATCAGATAACTGGGGTCCCTGCCTACAGACGCTCGAGAGCCATGGCGGTGAGATCATTTCGGTGGCGTTCTCTCCCGACGGACAGCTGCTGGCCTCGAGCTCTGATGACGGTAGCGTATGGCTCTGGGATGCATGGACAGGGAAGTGCCTCCAAAAGCTCGAGGGCCACAGAGGCTCTGTAAATTCAGTGACATTCCTAACGGGCAGCACCTGGCCTCGGGCTCTCATGACGGGGGTGTGTCTCCTGACGCTGGATGGCCATAGAGACTGGGTTAGTTCAGTGACGTTCTCTCCCGACGGGCAGCAACTGGCCTCGGGCTCTCACGGCCCGCACCGTGCGGCTCTGGGATGCCATGACGGGGGTGTGCCTCCAGACGCTCGAGGGCCATGGAGGCCCAGTCTCTTTTAGTTCTGACGGCTCGAATCTTGTCACAGAGTCTGGGACTTTAAGTGTGAGGCAAACTTTGCAATCCGGTCATACATGATGGATTGGATGTGGTGTAGGAGGTGCAAAGGCATGGATTACTTGGGGTGGCAACAATTTACTGTGGCTCCCGCCTGGATATCGGCCTGTGCAATCTGCAGTCAAGGAAAATTGCGTTGGGATTGTCTGCGGATCAGGTGCAGTTTATATTCTCAACCTCCGAGCGGATGCATTGCTCTACGAGCAGATACGACTCGACAGAAGAGAAGATGTCAATACACAAAACGGCAATTATGGCAACACTCTCTACGCGGCATCACACGAGAAGGATTTTTCCGATTCGGGGCTTGGGTCACTGGAAGCGCGCCGGCAACTACCAAGCACAACTGATTTTTCTGATTCGGGGATTGGCTCACTCAATCCACGCAACGATTCTGGGGGACGACCCGACACCTTCGATCCCCAAGAGTCGCCTGAGATTACCGACAAGGGGGACAACTAGGTTGGGAGCACGAAAATGGCACAGTCACACACCGGTGATCATGAAGAGCTTCTCGAGATTCAGTCTCTGATCTCAGACACGCAGGACATTGGGTCACATCTAGCCGGTTCGAACATTCCGGAATTACTAGCTGCTGAAAAGCATTTAACAAAATTGCTGCAGTCCAATAAAGAGATGTTAGTGATTCTCACCGATATTTCGGAGAATATGGGATCCGCCCGACTACAGCGAAACCTGAGTAGGCTACTCAAGAAATTCTATGTCGACCTGTTCGAAGAAGCCGTGTCGAATCTGGAAAAGTCCACAGCCAATCTACTTCGTAGTCGCAACGCCAGACACAGAATATCCAAAAGCATCGCCGGAAGATTGGAACATGGAAAGGATGATAGCTCAAGCGACGATGACCCAAATTCAAAGCGACCGGTTTACAGAAAATCACTAGCCGAGGTTGAAATATGGATAGGGAACCAAAGGGCTTTTTCTGAACCCTTTCTCTCCTCTGAACGCGATGGTACGAAGCACAAGAGTCTAAACGCCCGGGACAATGATTCTGCTGATATCTCGGAGAGCTATGAAAGTGATATTCAAGACAGAAAGCCCCTGCATGAATTACCTCATATCTCTCGCATGGAGAACTTTGTGTTCAAAAGGGCTGCCTTCCAGAAGCTCTTGACCAACCTACAATTATTTGTCATCCCCTCACGATACTCCCCCTTGAAATGAATTTTGATGACGATTCCCAAGGAAAGAGTGAATTTCTCATGTTACGTTCACCAGAGTTGGCTCGACAGAGGCAAATGCTATATGCAGCAAGTGTCGGCATACCCCTGGGACTGGTGGCCTTTTGACGGACCAAAATCCCAGCTGGACCATGGTATGGTAAGGGTTTCATGGATATGTGTAGGTCTCAACTTATCAACGAATCTGCAAACCCACTGACATACCTACACCAGCACTGTGGGAAGGAATTATCGGAAGACACATCCCCGAAGGCAGCCTTTCAATTACAACGCTTGCTCCATCTCCGGCCGTTTCCCTCGGAGACTAATCACCTGTGCTTGAATCGTAGACGCTCACAGCATCCACCGAAGCAAACATTGGTACACTTCTTGAGCAGTCTCTATACTTCCTTCAGCTGGCCACTTTCCCCTGCGATATCTTCAACACTCCCAGCTCCAAATGTTCAACCGACTTCTAGCTCCAGTTCATCTCCTCCTACGGGACCTGTCGCTCTCCCCGCAACCGCTGCGAACCCGAGTTCATCTTCGACCGTCGCTGATCAGCAAAGCACTCACGTTATTCCTATCGCTCCCGATGATCGCTTGCTCGTCCTGCTTGGCGTTCAGGGTACGAGAACAACGCTGGACATCGAGCAGTTGGACGTCAAGAAAAAGGCCGATGGCCAACCTCCAGATGACGGCGTTTTCTTTAACGATTTGGTCAATGCTTATAAAAACATGCGCGGACGATTGCGGCTTTGGTTTTTAGTGTGGCAATTTCGCTAGTGCCACTTCAAAAAGGTAAGAGATGAGGATCCTAAGAAAGGTTTGCTGAAGAAGTTTTTTTTTTTTAAAAAAAAAAAAAAAAATTCACTAACAGCAGACAACGAAAATAGTTGAATAAGATCCGAAGGAACCGGGTCATCGTAGGCGAAACTGCCATCCCACATGATCCGGATTATGAATACGACAACTCGCCCACTCCGCCGGCGGAGATGCCTCCAATCCCGGAGCACGAATTCCGGAGTTCATTATTCCCCTGCTCCGAACCTTGCTGGTGGTCACCCTTCCACGACTGCATCGAACCATCAACCGAGAACCATGCCCTGAAATTGATTCCGAAGAAAAAGAGTCTGTGAAGTCTGGATTGTCCCGGACGAGATCAAGCGTATGGATTGGAGACAGTGTACGAAATATCCGCATTTCACCTCTGCCTCTACCATGCCCTTATGGTGATGGGCACGTTTGCATTCTGGGCATGGTGGCCCGGACGATATTTCTGGAGCTGGGGTTCCTCTGACGATCATCATGGCTTTGCTGTCGCTATTTTGGACTTCAACGGGAGTCGTGAAAGTCTTCAAGACCACGGGGAAACGATTCTAATTTTCCGATTTAGCGATGTCAAAAGAGTGCAAAACAATCCCCAGAGTTTCTGCAATAGGAACCATTGCAGCTCAAGGAATTTGGCTCGAGCCAATGGTATATATATAGCGATTAAATTGTTCGGGGGTCTGGCTTCGCTTCTTTGGTAGAGCTCACCTACAGGCTCATGAACCTGGTAGCGCCACACCTATGCGCTTTGCGGATTGGTGGGCTTCGGCATTCAGTCTTCCTCAAACAGAATATTGTAAAGAATGAACCACGCTAGAATGCAGAGCCCTAAAAGCCGAACTTGTCGTATAACTCAATAGGTGCTCCTCGTACAGCACCAGATTGTCTTCAAGATCAACCTCCACGACATCAGTCATTCCAATCTCGGGTATACAGTAATGTACTTATGTAGCATGACCAGTACGCATTATTAGGATGTGATAAGTGGCAACGACAAAGCTTGCAAAGACCCTCGGTGGCGTTGCACGCTTCGTACACGCTTCGAAACTATATATCTGACGGTCCCATAGAACCCATTTGAAAGAAATCACGAAGATGACACAGACCGGTCACGTGATTGACAAATCTCAGGCTGCGTTCCTCAAGCGCGAACGCGTCGCGGCTTGGAAACGCGTTAAGAGTTGCTTCAGGAATGCCCTTGATCATTGAAGACACGAACACCTTTGACGGTCCCCCTGAAACACCCGGAAGGCGAATACCCCTCAAGATCAAACTCCTTGAAAAAGACCGGTTCTCGCAGTTTAGGGGACTCCATTATACATCTCTTTATCCTCGATCTTCCTGTGACGATACAACCTTCTTCAATTCATTGACCATCTTTAGATTCCAACGTCCAAAGAAGCCCATCATGGCTCCTCCATCACCTCAAGAACGACTCGCTCTAGCCAAGAAAATGCGAACCCGACCGGGCCAAAATCCACCCCACCCTCTACAACGTCACCGACTTTGTCAATTCAACCTATACCAGATACCTCCTTCCCCTACTTCCTCCTGATGCCACGAAGGTCTGCAGCGATCTTTCCCTCAACCTGGTCCCAGACCCAGAATTCAAGGAAAACACGAATTTGATGACCGACGACCTGTATCCACGCATGATTGTCGGAGGATTCATGGAGAAATGGACAGATGCAATAGGTCGAGGGGTTATGATATCTATGATTATACTGGATCGTGGACGACAAATCATGTTCGGTGGACCTTTCGATTTCGGGAATGAAGTTGAGACTGCAGCGAGAGCATTGACCACCGCTTAAGGCTGGGTCGCGGAAAGTCGGAATGGAAAGAGACAGGGCACTGCTACATGGTACACATGGGATGGTGTGTTTCTCTGTTTGCTACTGCAATGCTGAATGAAATTGCGATATAAGTGACTTGTGTTGTGGGTCACTGTAGCTTCCTCTGTCTGAGGTAGGGGGTGTTTCGAGGTACGAAAACAGAATACGATCTTCAGGGCTTGATGTCACCCAAACGGCTGGTGATGCCTATGTTTGAGTTTTCTCTCCTGAATGGACGAATTTCAACGAGAATTCTCCATTGCCCTCTTGAATCGGGCGACGGCTGGGATAGAAACGGAACAACATTGATCCCGGAAGGGGCATCATGTCACTTTTCCAAGTTTCAGAGCAAATTTCTCCTTGGCTATTCCTCACATGACCCACCCAGAATTCGACCCCGACTTTCTCGCCTATCCAATACTTCCTATCATGGACTGAGGCTCAAACACGCTGCCCGGTTTAGGCAGAATGTTTTGTATCCCAACTTGCCAATAACCTTGCGCCATGTCTTTCTCTGCTCTTCTACCGCGAGGGACATGTCACGCGCCCTGCTTTGCGACGAATCATACGCCTTCGTGGTAGTCATGCAAACTTGCCATGGCTCAAAAACAAGGACCAGTGTGCCCAGGGAGCACCAGAACTAGACAAGTTATAGTTATTGACGATGGCGTCCAAGCAAGCAATTCTTTGTACTTCCCTGATTGCACCGTGGTCACCAGTGTCACTCAAAAGGACTGCCTTCACCGCCCAGTGACTTGAATCACTACTTACTCCCTCTCAACTTCTTTCCCAGTCGCCTGCGAATCAATATCGAGTGCGCAACTCTTTGACTCAGGACAAACAACTATCCCGAGTACATACTGAGCGGTCAAGATGCCGATCATTTCAAGAATCCTGTCCATGGGCCTGCGCGTCGCCGAACTCGCTTTTGCTGGCGTAAGTTGAGTGTCAAGTTTTGGCACCATGTTGGCTCACACTTTCCAGGTTGTCGCAGGCATCGTCGGATCGTACCTCCATGACTATCAGACCGGCAGTGGCTGGCCACTGGCTCGCTTCATCTACGTCGAAGTCATCGCCGGTGTATCTCTCCTCTTTGGTCTTCTCTGGCTCTTACCTTTCGCCAGTAGCTTCTTTCACTGGCCAGTCGATCTCCTCCTTTCCTTTGCCTGGTTTGCGTCCTTCGGTGTCCTTGTCGACTATATTGATGGCACTGATTGTGACGAAGACACATTTGACTGGAGTGGAATCACTGAGGGAGGATTCTGCGGGCGCTGGAAAGCCGCGGAAGCATTTTCTTTCTTGTCAGCTATTGTGTGGATTCTCAGTGCGATGGTTGGGATCTGGTTCATTCGTCGCGACAGACGCAAGGCTACCCCTGCTCATGATCGAGCGTAAGGTCGACCACGTATTCGATGGATCCCTGTGTGCTTACCTGGGGATTGGCTATGCTCGACGTCCATGGTTCCATTGAAGTCGTATCTCAGTCCGTCTAATCAATCTTCGAGGTGGATGAGGACCTAGAACTGGCCAGAGAAAGTGATGACTGGTTGAAAGTATGGAAAGGTGGAGGATCTGATGGCTGATGATGGGTCGCACATGGAATGCACAATACTTGGGTGCAGCTGGGGGAACTAATTGGATGGAACTTGACTTAATCTTGAATACCAATCGAAACCTCTTCCATACATACTTCCCTCCACATTTGGTCCTGTCCTCCATTCTTTAGAATAGTGAAATATTGTACCCTTCTCGCCATCATGTTCCTCAAGCTTTCACAGCGACTACTCCTGAACAAAAGCACTGAATGCGTCTCACCAAGGTCTCGTAGTAGACGACTGCAATCCTCGCCTAGGTGTATTCTCAGTGCTTCGAAACCCCTCATCTTCGAGCAACGCTTTGCCGGCATAAAATATATCATCGCCTAAGAGCATGAGCGCTATCTACGTCAAACAGGATCTGAGAAGCATCCCTGTCCTTTCTGGAGAGATATATTCGGAGGCTCGAGAGTATGAATACATAGACCTCACCGATTGGTACTCCAGATCACCGGCATCCTGATTTCTACCATTCTAGTTGCCGATGTCTTCAACCGTGATAAATCATGCCGCCTGTCTTGCTCAGTAGCAAGGCCAGATGACTTCGTCTCAAAGGCGACTGGGTACTGCGCTCAAAACACAAAGAAAGAGAGTTAAGCCGGAAGGAACCTACCTACAAATTCCTCCCCCACCCATTCATGATGTGCGTCAAACCCGTCTACTTCTTGATGAGTCTGTATACGTCTTCCGTCTTTGGGAAGATATACATGTAAGTCAAAATGAAGGGACACCTGCGTACACACGATACTGACACGAATTCCGGGCTTTCCTTGGTCTTCTTACCGTGTTTCGACGAGTGAGTTCGGTCTCCCAGTCAGTCATCACACATGCACTGATGTTGATTTGTTGCGAGGCTGGCAACCTGTGGTCGCTTGTCTCCCTTTCCTCGCTGTCTTGATAGACTCCATCCTCGACGCTGCAATCAATGTCTTCAACCAGAAACACATTCTCAGGCAGCTGAAAGCGAGCAAAGGTCGTCCTGTGCCCAAAGATCGGCTGCCACCTATGATGATCGGAGCGCCATATTTGCGGCTGGCCTGTTCATCTTCGGCTGGACATCCAGGTTTGATGTACGTGGGTTCACGTAAGTCCCCACTTCCTATCCGGCAGGCCCTTGCAAATGCAACATTGATGTCCGACAAAAATCTTCTTGACACGAATACGTAAGACAGTACAGACGCGAATCAGCCACGGGAAACAAGAGTACAAAGGTCTGGTCATAGATTTAGAGAATGTAAAAGGAAGAGAATTTATACTGACAATTGTGTGGATTTCTGCCAAGGACTCTAGCTCCGCTAGACTACATTCGTTTGCGGAGCATATATAAGCAAAGCAGTATACATTCTATTCCCGCCGCGACAACAATTGACACAAAACACGTGTTAAGCAGCAAAGTTTCCACTTGAGAGAGAACATAGGGAATCGTCAGAGCGCCCTGTTGGGCCGAGAGAAGATTGATTGAATGAATCTATCTGACCGGGGTGCAAGCTACAAAAAGGGGCACCGAAGGGTGCTGTGCACGTGACTAGGCTAGGCCCAGTGTGGACTGCCAACACGCCCGCCGGAGGGCCAATCGGAAATGCAGGAAGTGTCATGGCTCGCCGAGTCCACGCCAAGGACACTGCGCATATAGCTTGCGTCGCGCCGGACTCTCCTATTGGACTTCCAAGCGTGGAAGTCGATGTCGCCCTGGCGCACGGATAGAGAGTTCGTCACCTTGCCTGCCTCTGACAGGAAGGCCATTCGGAATACGCGGAGACGGAGAGGACCTGATTTCTTGACCCCTTCATCGGATAAACGATTCTTCTGCGATCCTTGTGATCGCCATTCTCAAGGTTCTTATGGCCTGGCGTGACCACGACCCACCGCCGCTTTCATGGTATATATGGTACATTTTGTAAGTTTGTCGACCATCGCTTGAAACAGGTCCATCCCCTCAGGGACCTTATTGACAACTAGGAATAAAGTGTTTCCGTCCTCCCCGCCCAATGCACAGGCCGTGGCATCACCGTCGACATCGATCCGATCGGTAATATTCCCTTGCGCGTCCTTGCGAATGAATGCATTATGCCCGAGCATGCTCAGCCATACACCGTCTTCGCTGTCGATGCATAGCCCGTCAATTCCACAGAATCTATTCCATTCATGTCCCGCCGCTGTGGGGAGCTCGTGCGTATCCCAATAAACGCGACGGTTCCGAAGGTCGCCGTTTTCGGCAATTTCGAACTTGTCCAGCTGGTAGGCAAAGGTCTCCGAAATGTACAGGTGTTTCCCTGCGCTGTCAATGCCAATGCCGTTCGGGAATACGATGTTGTCCGCGACAATTTTGATGCTTCGATCGGTCTCAATGAGCAGAATGCGTCCCGGACACGGCTTTTCTCCATGTAACACACGAGCACCTGTGTCATCCATGTAGACCCGGCCCTGGGCGTCAATGACCATGTCGCCGCAGTAGCCAGTCATGACGGAGGAAAGATCAGCGTAAGGCTGGCTCTGGCCATTCTTGTATTCATACAGTTTCCCGTCGAACATGGAGGAGTAGACGAGGCTCCCGTCTTCTTTGAAACACATGCCATTTGGTTGGTTCTCGACTTCCACGAGCACTTCTTTCCTGCCAGACGAGTCGATGACGTAAATTTTCCTCCCTGTCATATCGGATATGTACAATTTCCCATCACGCCATCGTGGACTTTCTCCAAAGTAAAGCCCATCGGCGAACAAGTGGAGTTGAGGCAAAGTCCCATTGGTCATTTTCTTGGAACTGGCTTACCTGGGTCCTTTTTCGAACACTGAAGAAATTGGATAGCCTATTCTTGTAGAGTTGCTCTGTGTTCTTGTAACAAAGCCTTGACAGGGCCCAGTACGCTGGATTCTGCAGAGAGAGCCAGGGCAGGGAAGTAGGTCAAATGAATATCCATTTGCGGCGGGTAAATCCCCGCAACTCGAAAGAAAAATTGGCGTGAAACATTTTTAGCAGCTCGCCAGCGGAAGAGCGCCGCAAGTGGGGGGGTAAAGGTATCAATCACACCACCGAAAACTTTCCTTGAACGAATTTAAAAAGCTCCCAGAGCATCTCATGAGGGTGAATCGAGTAACAACATCATGGCCGCCCTTCGGTCCTCTTTTGGTAGACTGCAAAACAGAGTCGCTATTGTGACAGGGGCGTCGAGAGGAATCGGTAGAGCCATTGCATTGGCCTACGCAAGAGAGAACGCCTCAGTTGTCTGTGCGGATATTTGGGATTCCGCGCCTTCCGGCGGGAAATCTACACACCAGGAGATTCAAGAAAATGGAGGAAAGAGCATGTTCGTCAAAACAGACGTGGGAGATTCAGAAAGTATGAAGAATTTGGTGGAGACGACGGTGAAATCGTTTTCGAGGCTTGATATGTAAGTGACAAATCTCCCCGGGCAGGAAAGATTGTATAGTTTGGCAACGCGGTCATCAGGGAGAAGGAGAAAAAGAAGGGGATTTTTGGGAAAATCCTTCGATGACCGGGTTTGCCAATTCACTACCAACTGGCCTCCCCTTGTTCACGGACGGGTCTTTACCCAGGGCTGACGTTCTCATAGCATGGTCAACAACGCCGGCATCGCTCGTGAGGCAGGGAATCCCCAGCCAATATACGAGATGCCAGAAGAGGTATATGATTCCACTATGCGAGTCAACTCCAAAGGCGTCTGGCTGGGTTGCAAATATGCGGGCCAGCAAATGATCAAGCAAGACATACCGGCCGGTAGCACCAGTCGCGGTTGGATCATCAACATGGCTTCGGTGTTGGGGCTGACTGGGAAAAACGGAACATCGGCCTATTCGTCGTCCAAAGGGTCTATCATCGGTATGAGCAGAGCTGCGGCAATGGATTATGCGCCTTTCAAAATTCATTGCAACTCCATATGTCCGGGATGTAAGTCGTTCATTGTCCATAATCCTTTTATGCTACACATGGAGAATCTGACTCTTGCCCTCAGTCACCGACACCGCGATGATCGAGCCATTGACCCAAAATGACGAAGTTCGGAAAGCTCTTGATGCGGCGCATCCACTGAAAGGGGTCGGAAGTCCTGAAGACATTGCTCGAGCAGCAGTATTTCTAGCTAGTGAAGATGCCAGCTGGATAACCGGTGTCGCATTGCCCGTGGATGGTGGTTATGTAGCTCAGTAAAGATTGAATAGGTTTCTTTTTTTTTTTTTTTTTTTTCAACACTTTCCAAAAGTTTGTCTCCCGAAAATTCGATCAGAACATCGTGATACCAGAATTGGGCACTTCAAGCCTCGAAAATGGGGAGAAAGTATGTTCGAGGCTGTGATCTTGTGATGAACACAGTAGATCGGATGTGGATATTCTTCGAATAATCTTAAAGATGCCGAGAAAGGGACACATTCTTATTGAGAGACGTGGAATTTCGAGATAACGAGTGAACTCATACACAATTGGGGACCATATATTTTACACATCGCATCAACGCTGGTCCCTATGGAACTATGCTCGACTCAATCTGGGAAACATCACGTGGGCGTTCTGGTAGTTGATCTCCTCTAACAAGCCTGACTTCTTGAACGGAAAGGCGTCGAGGCCTTCGGTATGGTAGTCGATGATGCCGGGACCAGCATACGGGTAGTCGCTACCATACAAGATATGACCTGGTTTGGCAAAGTCTTGGAGGATTGTCAGAACATTGGTGCTGCCCGCCACCGCCGTGTCGTAGTAGAAATTCCGGGCATCCTCCATCATGTCTTCAGGGGTGTGGCTCTGGTCAAGATACGGCATGACACTGGCCGGTCGTCCGATCAGGTAAGGAAGGGTGCCACCAGCGTGAGACAGGATGATTTTGACTCGGGGAAATTTTCGAACCGTCCTTGAAACAAGCAAGTCCACGGCCGCCTTGGTGGTCTCAAATGGATAGTCAATGACCGGCTGGGGGAGGCTCTTGCTGATGAGATCGGTATTGACCGGGTGTGTGGGGTGAATAAAGACGACAGCCTCTCGCCGGTTCAGTTCTTCCCAGATATATTGGAGATCCGGGTGACCGAGATAATGGTTGCCTGGTCCATATCTGGTAAATAATGTCACCCCGTCTGCCTTGAGAGTATCCAATGCGTACGTCAGTTCGGTCATGGCGAGCTCTTTGTCCAGGAGAGATGGGAGGGCGGTAAATAATCCATACAATCCGGGGTTGTCGTCTCGAAGTTGGGCGGCATATTCATTCGCTGCGCGAGCCAGTTTAGCGCCATCTGCTCCTTTCAAGATACAGGCACCAGGAGCAGTCAGAGACAGCATTGATGTTTGCGCCCCGTATTTTTGAGCAAACGCCTTGTCGGATTCGGGTGACCAGTTGGGCACTTCCCATCCGGAGGGATCGCCACCACTGTCATATACCGCTGGTCCTGTCAGACAGAGTATACGGGACACAAAACACCGAGTTCACCTTTGCGATAGAAGTCAGGAACATAGTGGTGATGGACGTCGACTCTGCCGGAAACCATGTTCTTAGATATGCTCCAATATTGGATTCCAATCGGTTTCAATAGCGCAACAAATTTTTACGTCGGTTTTCAAGGAGCTTACCGCATTCTTTTCGCTATTTATAAACGATTGAGTCGCTAACCTCGAAGCCATACTGTAAGTACCGAGCGGACAGCATCCGGCTGCCGAATTCAAACAAAACTGTGGAAGCAAATACTTGGTGACGAGACTTGGTCGTCCCACCTTGTGACACCCCCGCATTTGGCTGAATTTAAGCAGGCTTCCCCTCTGCGTAGCGTTCCGCTTCCGCCCTCTCTTCCTTATCTACCTCTTCGCCACAAACTAACGCATGAGCGCTCCCTTTCTTGATCCACATCAGTGGTCGGATCTATCCCGTAGCTGTGTGTTGGCTGGGGATCTCTATCGGGTGGGCAATGCTGGGGCAGCACCCTGCACAGGGCCCCGGGGAGCGCACTGAGCTCGTCAAGAGGCGCAAAGTGGCGGTGGCATGCGATCTATGTCGGGAAAGGAAGCGTAAATGCGATGGAGAACGACCTCAATGTGGACCTTGTGCGCGACGAATACCCCCGTCCACCTGCGTTTGGTCCGAAGAGAGATCCAAGTACGCAAGGTACGAGAACTCCCAATAAAAGTGACTCGCAAACATCTGGAGCTCCTCGAGGTGAAGGTGGTCTGGATTACTTAAACTTTCTTTAGCTATATCGAATCGCTGGAGTCAAGGATCAAGCAGCTCGAGAATTCAACGCGCGACGGTTCGCATTCTCCCGCGACTGAGGCAGCCGATCCGTCGCTGGGCGCCACTCCAAGACTGCATTCCAAACGGGATCAACCTGGGTTAATACCGACCGTCGTTGAGGGCCAGTTGCGGCGAGAGGGTGGAGCCGGTTCACGCCTCTCCATAAATCGAGCAGGAACTCGAAGGACAGCGTCTCATTATGAGCCTGGCGGCGCCACGTCCATATCCAATTTGGCGGGCGAGGATCATGGCCAGGATGCTAGAGGCCCTGGCGTGGATGCTATGGGGACTAGCTCTAGCTACATCATGCGTCCCGACGGCCCAGACCATGACACGGCCGACTATTTCGGGCCCTCCAGTACATCGAGTTTCTTGGGTCTAGTTCGGCTCGTTATTAGCAAGTCCAGCGATCCATTACGGACGGGACAATCTCAAGGGGCACCCAACAAACTGGCCGGCCCGTCCAGGACATCTGATTCAACGTTGAGAGACATTGGATGGAAATATAGCAGCACCGCCTTTCATGTGCCTCCGAGACGAGAGGCGGAGGCCTTGCTCGCCAATTACTGGACACGGGTGTACACGCTTTACCCCATTCTCCATCGTCCCACCTTCACTCGGAGATACCACGCCCTCTGGCAAGAGTCCCAACCTTTCCAGACGACGCTGGACGACGTGTTGTTCCATTGCATGCTCAATGCGATTTTCGCGTTAGGAGCCCATTTTCAACCCGAACTGGAACCCGCCGCGAGGACCGCGAAAAGCGAGTCTTTCTTTCACCAATGTCAACACCTCTTGACCCTCGATTTGCTGGCTCATGGGAACTTGGAGATGGTGCAAGCCCTTCTCCTCATGGCCCAATACCTGCAGAGTACCGACAAGCCAAATTATTGCTGGAGTCTGGCCGGACTCGCCATGCGAATGGCTCAGGCCATTGGACTGCACCTTCAATCGACGGAGAGCACGGCCGCCAATGGTCAGAAATGGGATCAAGTGGAGCTGGAGGTCAGAAGGCGAGTCTGGGGAATGTGCATCTTGCTCGACAGGTAAACTCGCATATTACGCGCATATTCCCCATCTCTTTCGGCCACCCTCCAATGGCTAACCCGCACCAGGGTCCTTTCGATGACTTACGGGAGACCCTTGATGATGCACCCTCCAATGACACGTCAGAGCCTGGTGTATCCGTCGATGGTCGATGATGAATTCCTGACCCGACCTCCGGAAGCGCCAGGCCGTCAACCGGAAGGGATTCCCAGCGTCATTGCCTCTTATTCGTACACTCTTCGACTACAAGAAATCCTGGGAGAGATTCTCTCGGCGTTTTACTCGGGCGATCAGTCGTCCGGCTCCGGCGCCGCCGGGGGCGAGAATAAATCGATGAAAGAAAACAGCCACTCCTCCCTGGTCAACCGGTTGAAGGCAGGGGACTTTCAGGACCTGTTCAGATTGGATGCGAGTCTCAGCAAATGGCACAATAGTCTTCCCAGATATCTGAAGACCGACCAAGGAGACATTAGGGGTGATCCCGAATGCATGTACGCATTTTCCAATGCTTCTCCGCCGAGTAATGACGGCATCATGCCGTTATCCGTCATCTTTTCCCGGCAGGCGAATGCGTTGTGGACGAGGTTTGCCACCGCAACCGGCCCTCAGATTTGATAATTAACTTGTCGCACAGGTGGTTGCATCTTCGAATCTTTCTCTTCCGCCCCGCACTTCTTATTGTGCTCGACAGAGACCAAGATTCCTTCGCATTCGGACCCGATGGAGAGACCAGTTCCGATCACTCGGTCTTGCACCAAAGAATGCTCAGGAACTTAGCTGACCTCTGTGTCTCGGCGGCGGAGGACCTCCTCGATGTCATCTACAGCGGCAGAGAGTCCGAACAAAGCTCGTTGCCCGCATGGTGGTTCAATGTGTTTTGTCAGACCTACAAGATCCCTTCTCACATCAATTATCGTGGCTAATTCTTTCCGGGCAGATCTGCACAATTGTGCGATCGTTATCCTTATCGCCCTGCAATGCCCTTCCCTTCAAGGTAATAGGCCGGAGGAAACATTGAAAAAAAGTTGGAGCAAGTGTTTGAATTGTTTGGAAGGATACAAGAAGTATAGCGAAGTGGCAAGGCGTTCTCACCGGGTCCTGCAAATGATCGATAGGCAGATCATGGGTGATCAATACGGTGCGTTGTTTCCTCGTTTCCTCCCCATTGTCTCCGTTTTTCTGAGTCTTTAACATGATCAGACCGTCGCCACCCTTCTCTAGCCATCGTTCAGTCGCTCGTAGCCTCGCCGAGGATGGATAATGCTCCCGGTAGCACTTTTGTCGATGCTGATAATGTCGGCCCCACCACTTACGGCGCCGCTGGTGCTTTGAACGATCTGTCTGGCCAGTTTGACTGGTCTGCAGGAATACGGCCGGATTTTCCTGCAATGCCTGAAGGTGATCTTTGGATGGGGGATTCGGGGGATGTGTCCTGGCTCTCTGAGATGCCATTTGTAACAGGAATGGATATGACCTAATGGGAGATTGTCGCCCTAGTGTCGCGGGGGAGAAAGTAATCAATCGGTCTGCGACATCGCCCGACGACTCCCCCGAACCAGGCGGGCAAGCATAGGAACAAGATGAACCAATATCTGCGTCTAATGCCAGCATTCACTTGGCATGGGGCCAGGGCAAACGTAATAGCATATTCAATCGTCGTTGGGTTGCAAAAAGAGTCAGTTTTGTCTTTCTCAGGCCCCCAGGTCTAAAAAACAAAGGGCCGAGCAAGAACAAAAGGCCGAGCAGGTTATCATCACATTTGATATCGGCTATTCCAGTCGGTCTCTTCGAACAGATGTCACGGATCGAGAAGTGGCTATTTCAACGCCATAGACCAAGAAGCAACAAATGGAGATCGGCGTCGCACTCCATCACACGGTCCCCCTTTCCTCCCCTGGGGAATATTTCATCTTTGAGCAAGGGGGCCTGAAAATTTTCGGGGTTGAAATCTCGTCAGGTTTGGTAGCTGGCGGAAGAGGCTCCGCAAGCGCCCAAGCCAGGAACCTGGAAACAATCCCATTGGGCTGTGTAACCTTGGATCCCCTCGGCGTTTGTTTGGATGCTGTAGTTAGACCAACACAAAACTTGCGGCCACATTGAAGAACAGAACTCTGAGACCACTCTCGGGCTGCAGTACCGTCCTTGTCGGCTAAAGGAACTGGCCGGCAAGTGTTCTCGGTACTGTCGTTGCTGTTGTTGAATACAATAGTGCCTATGCACCTGGTAGGAGAGTCGATATGGCGGAAATTCTCCGTCCATAACAATAACATCAAGGATTGGGAGTGGAGACTGATGGCGGTCTCAAACAGTCCGTGCAGTGTCGGAACATCATTTTGCCCGTAGGGCAGGGTTGACGCAGAAGCCCTTGCTTCCGTCAAAGTACACCAAACGGTTTCTGCTCGAACTAAAGAATGCGTATGGAGGTACTGGTTGACGTTCGCTGTTCGCTGAAAGTCTGCCAGCTAGGTTTAGAGACATGAGTCGACGAAATGGGATGCCACTTGCACTTCAGAAAAAACTCGAGAGCGAATTGGGCCTATGTATTTTTGCTCCTTGAAAGCCTGGGTAGTGTCGACCCAGCTCGAGACGCGGTAGAGTAACGGCCGGCACAGAGACTTAGGATTCAGGACACTTCGAATAGAGAATGGCGGTTCCTGAGGCCCAAAGAGAATAATAACATGGTCATTTACACCTTATGTGAACTGTGCAAAACCACGTTGATAATCCATCTTTTACCATCCCTTTGGAGTCGCCTAAGATTCATGCATCCCATGCATATCCAACACATTATAAAACAATATATTCGTCACAATCTTACACAAACATGGATCCATGGCGTACTCTGTGGACGCACTCTGTCGTCGTGATCTTAAATCCAAGGCGGTTACGTATAAATCCACGATGGGGTTCATATATTCATGGAGTCCATCGCTCGTCTTTCCGACTTCCTAAATCATCCTCTTCAATACTGACTTCCATAGTGTATTGGATGCCATCTTGTCTCAAATGCTCCTCACTGGACTGGCGCGCGGCCGTCTTCTCGCGATCGCCACGTAGGGAGTATATTGTAGCGACATTTCCCGTGCGGTTGTCGACGTTGTGTCCGTAAGGGAGTATTCTGTTGTTATTGCTGCTGCTGCTGCTGCTGTCGTTGTTGTATTTTCGATCTCTTCCACCAGCGTTTCTGGAACACATCTGCAGAGTGTTGTTTGTTTGCGGTCGGCTTCCATCTTTGCCATATGCGGCTTCGGTCAGGTTCATCTCGAGGTTCTCACTGACTTTCAGGCCGGTTTGATTGGTTTGAAGGTCAGTTACGACGCGCCGCAGGGAAGGGACGCAGGCCGTGATGATACTCAGATTGACAATGATTTGGTTCAGGATCGCTGGGATAGAATTCTGCCAGGTTTGATCTCCGCCTATGGCATCGAGGTAAGCATCGAGGCAGGCAAGCTGAGCAATGGCGGTGCCGGGAACTCTATTTTTCCATCAGCCCTAGGAAACTATCGAAAGACAGGTCAGGGGTGTCACTGACAGAACTCGGCCGGCAAAAAGACTTGTAATGATAATTTTCTTCGAGATTCGGAGTTGCAGATCCCAGACTACAAGAAACGGGATCACGATCAAAGCGATATCGGTGAGAATGTTCATTATCCCGACATAATCATAGAGTGCTGTCTGTATCCAAGTTAGTCGCAATCCGGACATATCCCAGAGTAAAAGACCGACCAGATTGACACAGCGATCACCGCCCAGGAGCCAAGGATGTGGTAGATCGCATTGAAAGGCCAGCGCAAATATGGAGGTCAGAAGCCACAGCACAATAGTGGCATCCAGCGCATGGCAAGCTAGACGGATTCTCCGCTTCGGTATGATGGTCAAAATGAGCTGAAAGACGGAGCATTTCGCAAAGGCGAGAGTCAACACGGTGAGGATATTGCTGGCATAATTATACTGAGAATGTTAGCCATGAGAATTCCCGATCGCGCATGACGTGAAGGACATATTCTGACTTTGCTGTATAGGATGAAGTCCTCAGACGACACTATATCGCGATGCTTTCCCAACCCATGATTTCTCGCTAATTGCATGCATACCGTTTGCGCAATGGCAAAAGCCTGGGAGAGTCGAAGTCAGTGAATGCTTGGAGAGTGATTGGGACAAGGCCACGCTCACGAGGGCAACAATGATGGCGAAATCATCGAGTGCTTTCAAATTGGTGATTCTCAGCCTTGTGAAGGCCCTCGCGATGACCACGATGCTGGAGAAGATGATCAGCACGCAATTGACGAGCGTCACCGGCGTCCCACGATCATTTGCAGTGACCGTCTCGAACGGAGGGGAAGTTGGATTCGTCGACATCCTCGTGTGGTGATGCAGCGGCTCCAGATGTCAGAGGACAGACGAGCGTGAGGCCCCGGAAGAAGGAGAATATAATCCTAACTTGTCCAAAGCATGGTCAAAATGCCACCTCCGACCCCCCTTCTAGACATGAAAAAGCACAGGTAAAGGTAGCAAATCCTGCCTCCCAATGGACCTGCATTAGCAAATGTTTGAGGAAGTATTGGGTCGGAGGCAGGGCAAGGATGAAAAATCTGGCACAGTGCCGATCTCAAGAGAAGAAAGCATGTCATCAACTCCGTTGATTGTCATCGTCCTTCCTAACTGCAGCAACCACTTCATCTCACATCGAACATGACTGGACGCCACACGACGCATAAAGTTTTCGTCTCGCACGGTCCGAGTAGGGCCCCGATCCCCTACAGGGAGTAGACGCAAAGGCGGGATCTGAAGGTGGGCGTCGGAAAAGTATGGCGTTTCGGGCGGTAGTTGTCCCGGCCCCCCCACACCAAAAGCCAGAGATACGGACGGGCGAAGGTGAGTCTTCTGCCGTGCCTCAAAGTTGTATGGTGTTTAATAGCCAAGGTAAGGGCATTCACGTTGACTGATAGCAGGGAGTACGAGCACTCAATTTTTGAACGGGCCCAAGGTCCTGAGCCCTTATCTACACACCCCTGTTCTCAACGGAGTAAATGCACGAGTTCACGGTACAAAGTGGAGTGCCTCCAGGACCCTCGGTCCTTGATAGCATGTCTGTCACATTTTCTGCCTAGCACCCGAACTATGTCTAGTTCTCGCCAATCGAGCCCACGAAGGTTTATTCCAGGGGTTGATCGTTGCCCTTTCTTCATGCCCCTGTGGATTTAGACCATTTGGCAGGGAGAGGAGCGCGCGCACGGACGGGCCTAAGATTCCGGTGGTCAAGTCCTCTCGGCCTCCTGCACTAGCATCTTGATGCTTTTAGACCGTCCAGCCTCGAAAGCGCCTCTGGGAGTGTTGGGGAACGCGGGCAGTGGGTACCCGGACTCCATAGGGCGTATCTTGAGGGTGCTCGGAAGATATTAGCGAAAACACATGAAAAGATTCGTCGCTAAGCTAGTTAATCTAGTCGTTGATTAGGCAAAAGTTATTCATACTGCAAGCATAAAACGAGGGTGTCCAGGGTCCTTTTGCATGGACAATCATGCAGCAAAGCGTCCAAGCTGCTCCCACAAAAAGGGCGTGAGAACAAACACATGGCGCCATTCCCATCGGGCAATCTATCACGCTGATCCAGGAGCTAAAGGAAAAACCACGTTCTCATCATGTACAGCACTGGAAGGCCCTCAGAATCTAGTTTGCTCCAGTTGGGAACCAAACGACAGGCTGGTCGACTCCAGGGGGCCCTTGAACTTTGCTAGGAAGCAAGAGCTCCTTGTGCTCGAGTGCCCGAACGAGTCTTTCTTCATCTTTGATTTCTCTCTCATCCTTGAACGCTCCTGTCACGTTTCTTCGTTTCATCGTCTTTGTAACTTGCCGGTTGACCCTCCTCAACAATAGAAGCAAACATGGATAACAACGACATGGAATTAACGAACCGGACGAGATTCAACGTCGACCCAGCCGACAGGAAGCAATACAGCTCTAAAGCTCCCACGCTTGAAGGCAGGCAACTCCGATCAACTCAGACCCTAGACGTGCGACTCACCTCTATTCTCCTTCCCCCCCAATCAAATCAAAATACTATCGTGGGACGTCGCCACTGACATTCGCTTTGGCAGAGATACATCTCTTTTATTCCTACCATTGCCTTTCCAGCCACCTTACAGTCATCATGGGAAGCTGTATCGGTCAGTTTTCAGGCGGGATTACTCAATGGAGGTCCCACGGCTTTGGTTTGGGGTATGCTTCTGTGCCTGATTGGAAGTACCTCGATTGCGCTGTCACTGGCTGAGATGGCATCGATGTCTGTCGGCTCGTGCAAACACCATGAATCGATAACTGATCATTATCTTCAGAACTCCCGTCGTTGGTGCTCAGTATCGATGGACCGCATTATATTCTCCCAAGGGCTTTATGTCGCCGGCCTTCTGGAGTTTACTACAGGGATGGATTACCGTAAGACAATCTCATCCATCTCGTCCGGGCAGGAATATTAACCATCGAAATCAGGTCTTCGCGTGGATGGCTGTCTGTGCCCAAGTGTGCTTCCTTGAAGGCACTATCATCCAAGGCCTTGTCGTCTTAAACGACGAAACCTACATTCCCGAGCGATGGCATGGCACCATGTTTTCCTGGGCCATTCTCGCAATTCCTCTATTATGCAATATCTTTGCCAGAAGGGTGCTTGCACCTCTCGAAGTCCTCGGAGGCATTGTCCACATCGCCCTTTTCGTCGTTTTTGTTGTAGTCCTCGTCGCCATGTCTCCTCGCAGCTCTGCTGATTTCGTCTTTGCCACCACTTTCACCGGCCTGAGTGGCTATGGGAGTCCCGGCGTGCAATGGTGCATTGGTCTCCTCTCCGGAGCGTTTCCTCTTGCAGGTATGCTCATTCCTATGGCTCTGGTGTAGATCGATACTAACGAGACGACAAGGCTTCGATGGTGTCCTCCACATGAGTAAGAACGCACTCAACCTTTACGTCGTTCGTTATAGAACTAAATTTCTCCCAGGTGCCGAAGTCAAGAACGCCCCTCTCCGCGTGCCTCAAAGTATGGTTCTCAGCGTGCTCATCAACGGCGTCCTCTCCTTCGGTATCATCATCACCATCCTCTTCTGCATCGGGGATCCAGTTGCCGTCTCCGAAACCCCCACCGGCTATCCCATCATCCAGATTCTCTACAATTCAACCGGCTCTAAAGGCGCCACCACGACCCTGATGACCTTCATCCTCTTCACCGGCGTCGTTGCAGTCTTCAGCACCCTTGCATCCGTCTCTCGTCTCACCTGGGCATTCGCCCGTGACAAGGGTCTTCCCTTTTCGTCTTTCTTTGGAAAAGTGAGAGCCAACCCCCCTCTGCCGACTCATGTTACAGAATGCTAATAAAAGGAATGAGATAGGTCCACCCAACCCTACGTATCCCCTTGAACGCCCTCCTCCTCATTACCACGATCATTGTGCTCCTCAACCTTATCAACATCGGCAGCACCGTGGCCTTCTTCGCCATTTTGTCTCTGAACACCCTGTCCCTGTACATCAGCTACATCATCCCGATCATGTTCTTGGTGATCCACAAACTGCGCGGTTTCCACGTGCCGTACGGTCCCTTCAAGCTGCCCCGTGGCACCGGCCTGCCCATCAACTTTTTCGCCATCTGCTATGCGATTTTTATCGCGATTTTCCTGCCTTGGCCGCCTACCGTTCCCGTCACTGCGGAATCGATGAACTACGGAGGCCCCGTGATGGGTGCGGTGATCTTGTTCGCGTTGCTCGATTGGTTTCTCGGCGGGAAGAAGCGGTTCGATGTCCCAGTTAACATACACTACGGCGAGGATGATGGGCGGAGTGAGTCTTCATGACAAGTTCCTCCCTTTCTCTTACTGTCTTTCTTGTGCTCGACTACTTGATCTCGGGATCTCTCCACCTGGACCCCGGGGGAAGGAATCGAAACTCGTGAGAGATAACCTGATAGCAGGTGGCCTTGTTGCTCTACTAGCTGCTTTTTGGTCGTGGTCTACTGTCAGGACAAGATTTCTATATGCTCTCAAATTCAATATATATATCAAAGAAAACCTTTTTGGTTGAGGGTGGGGAGAGATTACCGTGTCCTATTCCAACGCCGCCCAATGAATCGATTTTCTTTTCGTCAATCATAGATCAACATCCGCTCGCTTTTTCAAGTGTATCACGGGCCCTTCGCGATCCGCAACAAAGTGGTCCCATAATTGATACACATCAGCCCTGTTTCGAACTTCGGCGCACCTTGTTTTCTTTTTCGTCGGTAGCCTTGATGTGCCTGTACTACTGTCCAATTTCAAATCGTATACCCACAGCAACGTCGCCAAAGCAAGACTAAGTTCCAGATACGCGAGACGTTTTCCTGCACAGCCACGCGGGCCGATACCGAACGGACAGAACGCCGCGCGCGCCAATGCGACGCTCTCTTCTTTGTCCTTGCCCTCGCCCTCTGATACGATCCAGCGATCTGGATTGTATGTGAAAGGGTCCGGGTAGTATGCGGCATTGTGATGGATGGTCCACGGCGCAACGCCTACGACTGTGCCTTTCGGGAAGTAGTGCCCATCAATCTCAATGCCGCCGGCCATGACTTCGCGGGGAAGATGGGACGGTACGGGCGGCGCCATGCGCATGGCCTCGTCAATACAGGCGCGAAGATAGGTCAATGAGGTGAGCTCGGGACCCGAACGAATGGAGTCGAGGGTCGGAAATGTCCTTCGGATCTGGGCTTGGAGTATGGAGAGAACAGCCTCGTTGTGCACCAGGTAGAAGGTAGTCGAGCTGAGGGTTAGAGCGGTGGTGTCGGAGCCTGCGTGAATGAGTAGGGCCGAGTCGGCATGGAGTTCGTGGATTGAGAGGCCTCTACCAGTTTCCGGATCGCGGGCGTGTAGGAGGAAGTGGATGAAATCTTTCCGCTTGGCGGGTTTGGTGGCAGATTTCTCGTCCGTTTCCTGGTTCTCGGCCGCCATTCGTTCTTCCATCAAGGCAATGGCATACTTGATATATGCATCATTTTCTTTGGCGTTCTTGGTTGAGAACAGCGACATCCAGATAGTGCCGAACAGGGGCCGGATAAGGGAGATGAAAGGCCAGAAGCCTGCCTGTTTTGAAGTAACTTAGCCTTCTGACCCTCGACCGGGCTGATGAAAATGATCATACCACGTAGACGAATTTCGTCGAGTCCATGACCACATCGGGCACAAATCTGTGCTCTCCCTTCGTTACACAGCCGAAGCTCTTTCCGAACGTGAGGTCACCCATCATGTCGAACCCCAACCAGTTACACCAGTCTTTCATATTCCGGGCCACTGTCCAACCGCGCTTCTCGATATCCGCTCCGAGACAGACTACCCAGGTTTTGACGTCTTCAAGGATGAAGCTCTGCGCATCGGAAAGGGCTGATTCGGAGAATGCCTGATCTAACACCCGTCTGCGAAAGGCGTGTCTAGACTTGTCAATTTCGGAATGGACACTGAATGCTTTGGATCCGGCATCGATGGTACGATACCAGTTGGCTTTTTGCACATTGGCTTTGCGGCTACTATAAATGGTCTTCAATGCCGTGACGGTGTTGAAAGAGAGAGTATTGGGTCCGATGCGGACGATACTTCCTGCACCAATTTAAGCGGGAGTTGGGAGACGGTGTGGACGGACAGGAAGCGCGACTTTTCACCTACCATACTTCTCATGTTCTGTCCAGGTCTCGATATGGCGGTCTCCGCTGGCCGCTTGGAAGACAATGGACCAGTCTGTGATCTTACTGATGAATGGACCAGGGAACTGGGCCAGTGGATGTAAACAGATGCGGTAGAAACAGAGCAGAATCACCTGTGTTCAATACGTCAGTGGGGATGACAAATTCAAGGCGAGGTACCGACAGAGAGAAGACCAGCAACGAGCAGATAAGAAGATATTTTGAGTGACTCATCGAGCCACGTTTCAGGGTCTCTGTCCATTGAAATTGGAAGGCTGGTGAGAACAGAGGCTGAACATCAACATCTGCGAAGTCGAAGAGACTTCCACAGCTTGATAGCTTCTTCAATGGAACCCGGGTAAAGATGTGACGCCAGAAGGTTGGTAGGAGGGAGCATTAATACCCTGAGTATCTATGAGAATAGGCCGAAGGAAAATCAACGGACCGGTTTCAAGGGAGGGAAAGAGAAGAGGAAGAGTCTGATATTTAGCGGTTTCTATCTACTGCAAAGGTCGCCTCGATTTGTTATGTAAAACAACGAGTAGAGTTATATTAGTTGCTAGCTTAAGTGAGGGGGGTCTCAGTACTAGCGCCTTGGCATATTTCACGGTCAATTAAAGCAGCGACCTAATATTTTGATCACGTGTTTAGCCGACGGCCGAATTTATGAATGAATCAAGCCAACCGTAGGTAGATCTGAGCAGACCAATGATTTGATTAACTGATAAGAGATTGTGTGTATGTTTCTACTCGTTCCATATTTCCTCCATGATCAGTTACAGGTAGCTATACAAAGAAATCACAGAACGTTCATGCATTGGGATATTCCATTGTGAAATAGAAACAAAATGAATGCCCGGGTCCAAAGTTTCCTAAGATAAATGCTCATGAGCCACGATCTCTTCATTCACCATTCCGAACTGCATAGACGCTCGCTTCCCCTTTTGCCATGTAGTCAAAAGACTCCTCGCTCGTCGTGGTGGCAGGTGGACTGGGGGTTTCATCGCCATCCGGCTTGGGTGGGTTGGGGACGAATTTGAACCCAACATCTTCGTCCTCAACCTGGGTATTGGCACCACTGACAGCCTGTCTTCCTTCCCAGAGCACACCGTCGCCAAATCTCCATCCGAGCCCCTTGTTCGACCGCCGCACTTCTTCCTCGACCAGGCCGAGGTCGCCTTTCCCACCCGCCCCGGGAAGGTTAAGTGGGAGAGTCCTCTTATGCCATTCACCCAGGAACATGCCTTCGGGATCACTCTCGTTGCGGATTTTCATGAAGTCACGTATGTCATCGCCGTACATGTCTTCAATCTGTTTATTGGTCGTGTGCGCGAAGTTCTTGGCCCAGTGAGGGCGACCGCCGAGTTCTTGCATCAAGTACTCAAATGCTTTGTAGTATGCCTCATGGCAGGGCGGGTCGCGACCGTAAGGCCTGTACAACGTAGCGTTGAGGTAAAGGGTGGGGCCGTCGGGGACCGTGGGGTCGAGGTAGGGTCGGACACGGGAGCGGTTTATCATCTCATGGCTGGTGTCACTAACACGGACTTCGACAGGGCAGTGAACCCAAATCCCCTTGCTGGGGACGGGAATGCGGGCTGTCGCATCGTCGTGGTTGATCCAGGCAGACAGTCGAATGATTGCCTCGGGGCCCTTGGAGAGCGGGAGTGCCCATTCGTTGACGAATTGTGAATATAGACAGTCCATCAGTAGACCTTCACGGGCTGGCTGGACGGCTGACGTTTCAAAGGAGCCGGGTGCAAAGCCGTATTGCATGCCAAAGATGAACCATTCAATCCACGGCAGGATGCGGGGGAACGTATTGGACAGATAGAGCAGATTATGGTAGATGTAGTAGCCGAATTTGCCGCCGTAAAAGGTCGTGTTGGGCGGCCGCACAGGAGATTGGGTCCTTGAGCCGCGCCAAATGACGGCACGTTGGAGGTAAGGAAGCCACCAAACGCGAGTGTATTCTTCTGTCGTCCAGAGATCTTTGTCCCAGGAATTGAGGACCGAGGACAGTGTATGGAGGGTCTGGGACCAGGAGATATTGAAATCTGGAACCGCTTGGATGGTGATCTCCACAATGATGCCCAGGGCGCCGAGGGAAAGCAGCGCCGCTCGGAACAATTCTGGATTCTTGGTGGACGAGCACGTCACAAGTTGAGAATTGTAAAGGAGGATCGTCAAGGAGGTGATGGACTCGGAGATCAGGCCATGCTGGAGACTGGAGCCGTGAGTCCCCGTCGATATCACTCCAGCAACAGATTGGACATCGATGGATCCAAGGTTGGGGAGAGTGTACCCATCCTGGGCCAATGCGACGTTGAGGTTATGCAGGGACATGCCTGCCTGGAGACGAACGAGTCCGGGAGTGTCGTTGACATTAGTTTCAAGGATTTCGGAGAGATGATCGAGATTTATGAGCCAGGAGGAGGTACAGGTCAGGTCGGAGGGAGAATGACCGAAGCCGGTTACACATATGCGTTTTCTGCATCTCCGTGCAAGGGTGACAATTTTCTGTAACTCGGGAACGGAGGAGGGCTGGAAAAAGAGTTCAGGACGGGAAAAGAAGGTCTGCGCCCACGTGTGATGCAGGTAGTGAGCTCTGGGATTGAATGGGATGGAGTCGTCGAGACGAGACAGCTCGCGCTGAAGTTTTGGGTCCAGATTGATGCTCGCGGTGAGGCCCGCGGTCGGGAGGGGAGTGTTTGGGTTTGTCTGCGGGAGGCTGGGGCTGACCCCGTCCATGTTGATCGGGATGAAGTGCTGCAACGTCGATAGATGAGTCAATGCATATTCGACGTGAGAGGCAGTGAATGGCGGGTGTTGTGGAGGCTATACGGACAACAGGAAAAATATAAACACAAACGGGAATGGAAATCAAAATTGGAGGTGAGAAGCGGAAGGAGGGATGATTGGCGCCTGCTGCACCTGCCTTTGCTGCCTGCGTTACCGAGGCGAATTATGTAAGCAGCCGCCATTACGATTGGCCAGGATTGAACGACAACCTGCGCGCCCCTTTCAATATCGAGTTACCTGATTCTTCATTCCATCTCTGGGGCCTCAATCACACCGAAATTGAAGTAATGCCCCAGATCCACTTGTCCAACCAGCCTCCCTGGCTTGAAAAACACATTTTTCAACCCACTCCTGCCAATGCCCAACACAATCATATCATCCATCTCATCTCGACAACGCCATTTTGACGAACTCGCCTTGAAAGAAAAGATGCCCGGGAATGTTACCTACACAAGAATATCCTCAAGGAGAAGTAATGCAATGCCGAAGTCGCCTCCCGATGACGAACCGAATTTGACATCCGGACTCCCCCCTACTAAGCATCATTCACAATGTCATCCCTAGCTCCTGCATTACTTCTTCCACTCGTGCGCACATTTGTTCACCTTGGCTCGTTACTCGTTCTGGTCTCCATTTGCGGAAAACAGCCTTGATATTCTGAGGAGGATCACCCAACACAACATAACAAGCCGGAAGAAGGGGCCTGTCTTGCACAGAAGGCGACAGAACGGCGATTTCTTGAGCGATGTTCACCGCGGTCACAAACTCCGCTGGTTTTTTTGCCGAAGCACCGATGAGACTGTCAATCAAAATGTGTCAGCATAATTTGACTCAGATCACACGTCGATGTTTGAACCTACACGTAAAGCTCCCCGTATGTGTCTAGAATGTGAATGTGGGTAGCATCCAAGTCGCTCTGGCAGAACGGAGATATTTCCTCAACCGACGCTATGTGGTTTTGTTTTAGCGGCGATGACGCTCGCAAACCCCAGAAAACCCCCGCGGATTTGGGTCGCTCATGTTCCACCCTGTATAGCCTAGGAGAATGGCCGCGACGTGGATCGGTATTCTTTTGTGTCGGCGGCGATTCTTTTCTTGCTGGGCGTGGGGGAAATGACTCCCAAAAGCTTGCAGGCTCTTCGCCTTCGGAAATTTCCTCAATCTCTCCGGTCAGGCCGAGGTCCATGCCGATCAATCTTGCACATCCCACATCTTCTTGATTACACCCAGCTCCTTTCCAGAGATAGAGCTTCCCAAATTTGGCCGAGATCAAGAAAGGCAGCCCTGAACACAGACTCGAGGCTGACAGATCGACTTCATCAAAAGCGACATGACCCAGATATCGTCTGCCGCAGAGCATATAGAGCGCAGAAGACTTGTTTTTCCGAGTGATGACAATACCACCCAATGCTTGGAAGAACTCGGAGCTTTCTTTGCCTTGCTTGACCACCTCCGACTTGGCGCCATTGTCGCGAGCAACTTTCCGACAAAACAGTTGAGCGTCTTCAATGGCGGCTTCGGACACTTCGTCTCCGCACCAAAGATATACCTCCGTGGATTTAGACCCACTCGTTGATTCCATGGAATGAACACAAAGATACATGCGATCCTCGAAAAGAATATGTTCTTGTTGGGGTGGCATTGCCGTCCTTTTTCCATCGCCAGTCACCTCCCATATCTGCTTGCTCAGAGTTTTGGGCTTTTCGGCACCACTATTTTGGGAAGACAGAAAGGCATGCGTGTCAAATTCCGCCCGGTCTCGTGCCTGTGGGAGGACACCAAAGAAACTTTCGAGCTGACGCTTGACCGCAGGGAACGACTCGGTCGGTGAACTGATCTTGTTTGGAGATACCGCTACAGAAGCAGCGACCACTTCTGGCTCAGGTGGAGGAGTAAGTTCAGGGACAGCCGCCGTCCTCTTGGAGGTCGATCCAAGCTGCAATCCGAGGCCACTGACTTTGCTGGCCGTGGCGACACTCGTTGGTTTGGCTGAATTATCGGGTAGCGGTTTGGGTGGTTTGGGGGCATTGAGCTTGGACTTGCTGGGGTTTAATGGCATATCCGAGGCGAATGGTGGCGTAAGTGATGAGATCTTTCTCTCACCATCAGATTCAGGAGGAGAAGACACAAATGCTGGTCGATCAGTCAATACCTCAAATTTCTTGGGAGTCGAAGGTTTTCCTGAAGTGAGGTTGTCGGTACCCTTCGAGGTCATCCCCTGGTTTGACACCTTTCGCAATTCTCCAGACTTGTTAGCCATCATGGGTTTTGGTTTGGCAACCGGCTCCTCGCGCATGGGCTCTAGTTTGGCAGAAGACGTTCCCGCATGGGATTCTCCAGCAGGCTTCTGTTCTTCCGCGTCCATCTGGGCTTTCATCGGCGTCACCTTGGAACCTCCTGCCCACTTATGCGGCTTACTGTTGTTGTTTTGCTCCAGATCATCAGCGATTGTACTTGATTTGGCTGGAGGAGACCTAGGACCAGATAATCTCAACGGTAGGGTGTCGGCTATTACAGAGGCGGGCTTTGATGGGGATTTTGGCTGCGTAGCAGAGAAATCGGTCTCCATCTCAGCATTTTCCACGTGCTTTTGGGGAGTTTCCTTGGACGCGGAACCAGACTTAGGCGCTCTTCTCTTGGGGCCCTTGGTTCGTCCTTTCGTCATATGGGTCAATTCGACAGGGTCTCCATTCATGTGATCGCGAGAGCTCTGTTGAACTTCCCGAACTGGCATTTGAGCGGAACTATTCGTTGATGACTCTCCGGGTAACCTCGGGCTGCCACTTCGTGATAGAATACCAGCCAGCGCAGGATTGAGACGAGCTGCAAGTTTACTGTTTTCTGGTAACTTTCCCTTGAAGTCTGCGCCTGGAACCGGCTCGGATTTAGTCCCGGCTGGTTCAATCTCTGATTTGGTGTGACTCCCTGGCTTTCCCGCCGAAATTACAGGCTTGATCGGGAGCACTCTTGCTGTGACAGTCTCTGATACCTCACGGCCCGTTGGTAGAGATTTCTGGGTTGTGTTCGATTTTTGTTCCGGCGGCGACGGTAGATCTCTCTTCAAGTGTGCCGGTTTTTCGGGCCGACCCTGGACGTTGGGTGTTGAAGGAGTCGGTTTGCTTGGCTGCTCCACTGTCTTCTTGAGATCCACGTTCTCAATCGATGGCCCTGTTTTGTGCAATGTCATCCGTCGTGCCAATGCTTCTGGGACAGGGTCCACTCCCTTATCCGTAGAGCTTATAGATTCAGGTCTCTTGTTTGTAGATCCACCTCCTGCCTTCATGGCATCCTTCTTCTGCAGAATACTCTCTTTGAACTCGTCGACGCGCTTGGGTTTTTGGGGACCACCTGTTACATTGAGTGCTGCTTTGCCTTTGGTGATGTTCTCCTTGAATAGGTCAGGTGCAACATAGTTCTGTGTTTGGGTCCTCTTCAGCTTCCCGAAAACCGCTCTGAATTCCGGCTCAGCATCGTTGCTTTCTGTCGGCGCCGCCTGGCGCGGCTTTAAATTCGCTCGAAAGTCGGTTTTTGGAGGGGTTTGTGGTTTTGGTTTCAAGGCAGGAGGTTTGGAATCCGGTTTGGAGTCTGGTATGTCTTTCACTTGAGACTTGCCATCGGCCTTTGGCTCTGTCAGCTCTTTCGAAGACACCAGCTCACTGTCCGATTTATCTTTCAATGCCGATCCCACAGGCGCGGAGGCAATGTTCCTCCTGGATGGAATTGCAGGCTTTCCTTCCTTTTCTGTGGCGGCTTGCGTCATCACCGACGAAGTAGAATCATCGAAGGCGGGAAACGGCTCGGCGGCGGTGTTTCTCAGATTTGTCTTCTCCGATGTTGGTTTATCTGAAGCTTTGTAAGATCGAACCTCCGTCGTCGTCGTCGTTGTTTGTTTCAATGGTGAGCTTAGGGGTCTCTCTGCGACAGTGTCGTTTGCAGGCACAACAGCAGCAGTCTCAGAGGGTTGATTATGCTGTTCTAATTTGGAACGCTGCATGTTAAGCTTCCACGTAGGTGTCTCGGATTTGGCTGGAATCAATCTCGGGGATTCTGGTTTGTTTAATGCACTTTCAAGCCAGCTTGCCTTTGTCGGGCTCCATCGTCGAGGATCCATTGTTTTAGATGGGCTGCGAGACAAGAAAGATTCTGAAGGAGGTGGAGTTGTTGGATGAGTCTTCTCTTGATTGAGAGTTTCAGCTGGCTTGATCTGGTCACCTGGTCCGCTTAGAGGGGCCACTGTCGGTGAATCGACTGACCCATCCTGTGCTCGCGGCAGAATACGATCTTTTGTAACGGGCACGGGATCAGATCCATGGCTCGAAACGGGCCTCGAGCTTGAGAGTGGCGACGAATTCCCGTCTCTAAAACCTCTCGTGTCCTTAGAGGAAGCACGACTCTGCCCAGGAGTGAAGCCAGATGCACCGGATGAGGGTGGTGGTCTAGAGCTGGCAATAGAATCACTGCGTTTCAAGCCAGCATTTGCTTGAACACTCCATCTCTTGCTCACGCTGTCTGATCTTTTCATCATTGCGCTCTGTACAAAGCCACCGAGTCCTTTGGTCGGAGAGGGAGGATGTCCAGCGGAAGATCGCACGCTGGGGTTTCTGCCGAGACCGGTAGGATCGAGCTCCGTGGTAGTCGAGATATCCAGAGGCTTGAAACTCGGTAGATCCAAAACAGCGGAATGGGAAGGAGAAGCCGACGCCATAGGGTTTGCCAGTTTATGAGGCGATAACGGAGGGGTCGGTTTGTCGGGTTCAGCGGCTACATGTTCTGCACCAGAAGAATCCAGATCCTTGGACATTCCTGGGAGCCTCATGGCGCCGCCTGCAAAAGAGGGAGGTATCTCTGCGTCAGTCTCAGTTTTGCGGTATGCAGCCGAACCGACACCTCGATCAGAGGTCTGGCGGAACCATGAAGGATCTTTTGCTCCCAGTGTAGCCGCGATGTCTTCCCTCGACATGTCGTCAGCATTCTTAATTGGCGTACTGGCCGCTGATGCGTTTACATCGAGGATGGATGTAACAGACTTTGGACGTGACCTTATCGAGCCTGGACCTCGTGAAGACGGCCTCTGCTGCCATGATAGAGTTCCACTTCTGGACAACGCAGTAGCATTAAGAGGCGGGTTGGGCATAGATAGTTTCTGGCTAGCCGGAGGAGGCGGTAAAGGACGTGAAAAATCAACCCCTGAGACTGCGGCTCGATCAGGTCTGGGAGACATAGATCCGGAGCGTTCAAAAGTTTGAGACTGCACGGGCGGAGTGAGCGCAACAGGAGGTTCAATTCCTTGAGTGGGCTTAGGGGTGCTCTCTCCAACAAGTCGCAATGAGGGCACGGGACCAGTTTTGGAAGGGGATAGAGACCGAGCACGTTCTGCAAGATGTAAGTATCGCATGATTATTCTATTATGTATTTCATGTCCACATACCAGCTCTCCTCGCCTGTCTCTCGCGCCTAGCTTGTATCATTTCTTCCTCCGTCTTTTTCGACCGCTCTACCTCTTCGAGACCCTGCTTCGAGTTCAAGCTGGCAATCCGAGCGAGAAACTGATCAACGGATTCCGATCCATCGTTGGACGCGTCCATGGTCGATGCCTCGGGGAAGGATTTTCTTCAATTGCGGAATGTCGGTACGATTGGTCTATGGCGCAGTCATGGCTTGGAGAGGTTGAAATTTCCGAGATCAACAGAACGGCCAGCGCTCGAGCAGGCAAAGCGAAAGAGAAGGTGAAGGTATAAGGATACTGTAGACAAGCCACAGATGACTTCTTTGCAGTGAAGTCACACAAAGAGAGCGTCGTGTCAGTTGCGGTGTTGTTGATGTTGATGTATGGTCGGTTGCGAGAGGCGAACCGGGGCGCGTCTCCGCCGCGCAGCTGAACCGCGAAACTCAATGATGGACCGAAAACCTTGTATCCCTCGTCCCTTTTCATGACCTCGAGAAATTTTGATAGGGCTGATTCCGCGAACTCCTGCCGGTCTGTCGGCTCCGAAACTATCAGCGGCCAATTCGCGGCCTGTGCAAGGCTCCGTCCAGGGCCATGTGGCTGTCGCGCTTGTTTCGCCCTTTTAACCGAAGTTAGAAAACCGACATGTACGTCTACCCTGTCTACGAATCCATCCCCTCCGTCAATACAGAAACAGTCGATCTCTTGCGTCTTGCACCACCCAGTCCAACCCTCTCTCTAGATTTTCACCAGTCATGGCAGAGCAGGGAATCACTACCCAACGATGGGTTAATATCTTGTTGAGCTCCAGCGCTTGCGTTACTTCAGTTTCACTCATTCCATCGGCCACGTCGATCTTGTTCAGAAACACCAGCAGGCTTGCGCCGGCGAGACGCTTAGCTTTGTCAGCCCGCCGTTGGGATCACTCCTCTTGGTCCAACATACCTCTTCCAACAGCAGACCTTTCAGTTCAGCCTTGCAGTCATCGATTCGTAGTCGATCCGTCGCGTCCACCACCCAAATGAGAGCGTCGGTCTTCTCGAAATAATTTCTCCAGTACGATCTGATTGTCTTCTGACCCCCGACATCCCAGATATTGAGCTTGTAACTATAAATGCGGGCATTAGTTGATGCGACTCGTCCCTCGGGGATTTTTGCACTACCCTTGGAAATCAATGGTCTTGATAATGAATCCCAATGTCGGGCTAACAGTGTTGACATCCTCGTTCATAATCTTCTTGACAATGGTCGTTTTCCCGGCGTTGTCAAGCCCTCTTCACCCCGCGTCAGCCTTTCCATGAATACATCGCCAACAGGATGCCTTACAACATCAGTATCCGCATCTCCTTATCTTTCAGCCGAGCCTTGCGAAGTATGGAAAGCATTTTGATGGAAGCAATCAAACTTGCTGACGTAGAGTCATTCTGCGGTATCAAGGGAATTCTCGGCCCTAGTCAAAGATCGATTGCGTCCCCCAAACTCCAACTTGATTCCAAGCGGAGAGTCTGGCAAATAGGGAATCTGCGTCTTGTTCGATGTGAAATTGCGAAAGAGAGACAGTTTCACTCACTCTTCTCCGGGCTTTTGACTGGCCCACAGCCGCCGGCATGGGGCGGCCAAAGTAGACCTGACGCTTAGAGACCAGCGGAAGGTGGGCGTCAGGATTGGCCCATTCCCGAGGTGCCCAGCATAAATAGGCGACAACAACCTTCAACTGCCGGTTCAACTCAGTTCATCCTCGCGCTGTCACCAGGTCCTCATCAAAGACAACACCTGGCCCCTTCGCAGTCTGTCTATCTTTCTCACGACCTTTGGCATCCGCTTCCGTGTGCGTTTGTCGGTGGAATGCACTGACGCCGTCTCTTGATATTTGGCCACTTTTGGCTTCAGTGTGATATGGATGCTCGCCCTGCCGTCAACACACGCCTTCTCCGTTGGGTGACCAGCTCATAACCTCCAGCTTGTTAGTACACCACAGATGAGCTACGATATTGACTTACTTATCGTTGACCCAACTGCATGTAGATCTCTATTACCTGCTTTTATCCAGCGTTTCGTCGAGCATGAAGGACAAGTTCTCAAATCAATCACAGCCTTCCTTAGGAAGCTCATCAGATTCAAGAACGCGGTCTTCACTCCATGGTGACAGCGCCGTGCCAAGGCATACCGCCGAGGGAGACGATGGAAAACCGCCACACGTGAATCTTCCCAGACTTTCCTTTTTGATTCATCTTCTCTCACACACTTCTTTCTTCAAACAATGACAGGCATGAAGCTGAAACCCTTCAACCCATATACCTACGGCGACCTCTTCGCCAAAGCGATAACTGATTTGATTCAGGCTAGCGATGGTCGGACAACCCATACCTCCCCAAGCTGCCCAACTGGGATTCCTCACCCTCCCAAGCACGTGAGTTTTGGGTCATCGACCACAACGAACATAGGGTTACCATCAGTGTTCGAGACGAATGGCGAAGGTAAGCAGACGCAGCAAGAACGTCCTTCGTCTGAATGGCTCTTGAATGAGTTAGGAGCTCACCAGTCTATAGCAGGTAACTCTACATCAAGTCAAACGACGAAAGTCGAAATTCCGAATTTCGACCCAAAGGCGTATGGAGACCCCACGGCAGATACATCCACTAACAGTCCTTCTACGACCTCGAATACCGGCCGGCCAAAATATCGAGGCAGTCGAGGTGATACCCGTGAGAGTGGTGCATCAACAAACGCGGCCTCGTCCAAAGTGAATTCCCATGCCATCAAACCTAGCAATGGAGACAAGACCTCTCTCCTGGCACAAGGAACACACGAACCAACAGTAACGATGAACGGCAAGGGATCCCGAATCGCCGGAATCTCTCCCCAAGCGGCCAACGCCGGCCAACAGAAGAACACCAGTGCGGTAATGATTGACACCAGTGAACAGAACCGGTTGTCAGATGTCACGGAGGCCTATGTCACAAAGGAAACACACCAGAATGAACCATCCAAAGAGAATGGGAAGAGGCCGCCAGCAGTCACGTACGAGACACTCAAGAAGGATGATGAGACTCCTCAACAGGTTATGGTACGTCTCCAAGCGGCCGGTGTTCGTCAAGTGCGTGATATCCGCCGCCAAATGGGCCGAAAATCCAAACATGAGCCCACCACAACAGCCTTAAATACACTTGACGCCCTTCGAAGAGAACCGTCACCCAATCCGGATAGAAGTACCAGGCTCGGATTCACCCTAACTTCCGTCGCACCTCGAACACTGTCCGAGCGGAATCCAACCCTTCATCTTACTGAATCACTTCGAGATGGAGGTTTGCGAAACGACAACAACATGAGCGAGCCTGTCCGGGGGAAGCAATCTGTCATTCCGAATCCCATCCGACCCAAACCAGTTCAGGATTCAAATCACGCAAGAAACACCGCTGTATCAACTCTCGACCATCAGAATACCTTCCACACTGATAAACAGTCCGACATGAAACGACGCAGCCGTTGGGCCACGGCCAAGGAACTCAAAGTACCGGTTTGCAAGCCAGACAGCAATGCGGAAGGGTCTGACGCACCGGAAAGTGATGCCGATTCTGTCAGACCCATGGTATCAGAATTTGGCAGACTCATTCGCAGTCGTCAACCTGCTGTTCCCGAATCTCAACTCTGGGCCTGGGATGGTGGCTTGCAACCCCCCCCTCTAGACTGGGAGCATCGTCCTCAGTTCTACAACAACCACCCAGAGTATATCAACGGATTCGAGCGATGGCTAGGAGCAAATACAGTACGAACAATGAGTGGTGTTGCGACATCCACTCTCCAATCAACCGAACAGCGAGATGTTCCCAATATCGACTTTGCACCTCTTTCGAGCGAACTGCTGCAAGATCCCAACAACCACCCTGACGGAATTGGCTTTACACCTAGAGAAACGGTCCTTAACTCTAGTAACGCCGAACGTTACGGGGTCAACCTCAACAGTGTGAGCTCCAGCAGAAGAGGTAGTATCGATACGCCATTAGACTTCGAGGCCGAAGCGAAGCTTGATCTCAGTCGGCCTGAAAACAGCTGGTACAAGGACGAAACCGCGCAAAAGTTCGTTGATAAGCGGATGCGAGACCTGGAGCGCAACATAAAAGAAGCTGAAGTCCAACGAGCAATGCTCCAGCAACAGATGCAAGCTCCTACCAATCATGACACAGTGGTAAACGGACAATCAAGCGAAGCTCGGGGCGTCAAATACAACGTCTATCTCCGCCCCGCGGTCAGAGCAGATCACGGCGATATGGCCAAGATTTACAACTGGCACATCAAGAATGGAGTTCGACCATCTGAGCTGAACGAGATCACTGAGGAGGAGATGCGAGTGCGTCATGACATGAGCGAATCTGCCAGGCTCCCAGTCATTGTTGCTGTGGTACGCAACCGCAAAAGCTCCCGAGTCAAAGCACCCGCACAACGAGTCCACCCAACACACCCGATTCAAAACATTGACCCTAGTTACAATGGAGTGGTCAAGGACGAGCAGATCGTCGGCTGGGCTTCCGCTACCGACTGGACAGCCAGTGATTATGTCGAGACAACTACGGCGGAACTTGAGCTCTACGTTGCTCCTGATTTTCGTCAAAAGGGCGTCGGACGATGTCTACTGGATGCACTTCTTGATGCTACCGATCGCGGATACATGAAGAAGGGCGGGTATGACTTCCACGTTGCACCAGAGCTGAAGCACATGTATACTACCGGTGGCGGTAGGGACCTTCATAAGATCATCTTCCAAATTCGGTCGTTCAACAAACCCATTACTCCGGAACAGGACTATCGCTACAAACGCGACACCGCGATGAGAGCGAACTGGGGTTATGTCAATGGTTATAACAATACCGACATACCACCTCCAGCAGAAGAAGTCGATTTCTCGAAGGATGCCAAGATTAATGATCGCGAAGATGACTATTCAGTCTGGCTGAAGGAGTGGCTTGAGTCATATGGTTTCGAGGAAGAAGCGACATTGAAGAAGCTCGGTACTAAGAAGAGGAGATATGTCGATCTTTATTTTCTCTCTCGCTATACGTGCTGGCAACCAGCTGAAAACAAGATCCCAGATTTCTCCGGCGGGATTTAGATCTGACTCTCACTGCCACCGACTTTCCGTACCCGCACGATGACCCCAAATACCGATCGAGCATTCCAAGTCTTCACCACACGCACGCCTTTCGAAATCCCCATGCACAACATTTCAGCTTTCCACCTCGAGTTTCATTCCAAAAATACAAAGTTTTCGTTACAGCAAAGCATCATGATCTTCTCAAAATGCACAAAAAGCAAAAGAAAAAGCATGAAATTACATGAAAATGTTCCCCATCAATGACCGGTTTCACAGGAGGAATGCAACACATGGTCCAAGCTTGTCCTTCTCCGTTGTCCGCTTGATTTTGCATATATCATCCTCGGACTCATTAGCTTCACCACAGACATATGTTTTGTTCGTCCATCTGTGTATGTCGCACAGTGGCACACCATTCAACAACGAGACCCTTTTTTTTTTTTTTTTTTTTTTTTTCCCTCTTCCAATGACCTGATACATGGCACGAGACGAGTCGAGAGAGACAATGGTGGACAGTATAGACCTCAAGGTCATCTTTATGGGTATTTGGCTCCCAGTGAAGGAGGTGAGAACAAAGCAAGCGTGGGCGTCGGGCGTCAGACATCGCAGAATGGATGCTAGATAGCCCCCAGAAGGGGGAATCTTTGGTATTCACTGACCTGGGGCAGTTCCATGTACTCTACTCTCTCAAGGCGAAGTCGCCAGTGCTAATGGATGGCTAGCAAAATTCGAGAACAAAGATTCACCAAACACTCGGATGGCTCACCGGTCATTGAATTCGGACGAAAATTGACAATGCTGCCGTCAATGTATGGGACGAGTATAAGTTTCGTGGCCTTCAGCCTGATGCCAATAGTAATACCGGGTTGCGGCCTGTACACGGCCAAAGGATACCACCTTGACGACAGCATCACCTTTGTGCTTATCAGCCTCGAATAGAAACATATATTGTGATGGGGTGAAGTAGGCCCATGCCAAGCAGTCACGTGATAGAGTAAGCAGACAGTACAAATGTTGAACCGATGGAGGGGGACACAGGAAAAAGGAGGAGCAACATGCATAACAGAGACGCAACAACAACAGAGACAGCAACAGACATTTTTGGGCACAACTGTTATTAGTCTACCTTCATGTGCCTTGACGCTCTTACCTACCTGCCTTTGAAGTGATCCTTAAGCTCGCGCTCCCACTTTGGCCTGTTGTGTGGTCGAGACAGGTGCTAGTTTGGCAGCCCCCATATCACCCCTCCAAAATATAGGGAGAATATTCGGCTTATGTCAAGGGAATAATCTAGTGTTACAACTGGCATCTATGCCAGCTCCGTTGCCGTGATGGTCAACTTGGACGGGAAGGACTCAAGATGAATTACTATTGGCGCCCTTCCTGAAGTCCCCTTTTTTGGCTTTCCGATTGATCTGTCAAACCAAATAGTCCGCAGCCCGCCACTTGCCAGAGTCACTTCAGGCTTCTATTTGAATCATCCAGATGGGGATCGTAGTCGGATCTCCCGACAGAAAGTTTCAGAAATCTGCTGTCACAAAACCGGAGAAAGATTCTCACACACTTGCGTGATAGCTGCACCAAGCCACCGACGCATTTCAACGTATCGGGATCTGCCAAGAGTAAAAAGCCGATCTGGGTGGCGGATGACTCGCATTTTCATCCATTCCCGGCACTCTGGATCAACCGAAGTCAATTGGGGGGAACTGAAGTTGTGGCAGACAAGACTCGTCGGTACTTCGTCATTCTCCAAACTTCGGTGATGTTGATGCGGACGGTTTGAACCATGGTGTGGATAGATGGTCATGCACGGTTCGTACAAATCGATACTGTGCAGCTGTGGCTGAAAGCTTGGGCCAGGTGGAAATCCTTTTCTACAATTTGGTGTCATTCGCGACTTTTTGCGACAACCGTCTGCTCGTCAAGCTGCATCTGACCCACTGCAATCCATGGCAGGCCAAGAGTTGACCGGGAACCATGGCTCGGCTGCGATTTCCGTCTCTTTTTAGGCCACAATTGCGAAAAACCGTGCTCGCATCTACGCAGTTGTGTACGCCTTGCCATTATGTATGTCATGATTTGTGCGAGTTTGAGCATGCATTTCAATCACAAAAGCAGTTCTTCCCCCTTGCCCTAAAATTGGTAGAGGTGTCTTTCTTGCGCAGCCACGAGTTGACAAGAGCGAAGGGGTTCGGTTGATAGGCGAGACCGGCGGCAAGACGATCAACCAACTGGGAAAGATGGATAACCGGATATGCAGGTCATTCACACCGACTGGGGTGATTCGAATGATTGGCTTGCACATTTTTCAGAGTCCATATTCAATCCGTCAACAAACGCTTTTCTACTCTTCTTCTTGGGTCGATTGTTGATTTTACAGGTTGCTTGAAACGGAAAGACAGAGGTTAGAGTACACATGTCAGGCGGGACATGGCATCTGACCCAGTCGGTCAGAAGACCTGGACTAACAATAAGGCATGCATCAAGCAAAGATGTTGGTTTGCAAGTGTAGATGTTATCCTGGCCTGTGGCCAACCAAGACCTCGCAGACGGGTGTGGATGTTCACTGAGTTTGGGTGACATTCGACAGGTGAGAGTAGAGCAGGTAGGCATGACGAACAGCCGAGTCGGTAAGCCGCATGGCGTGTGGCTTCGAGAGCAAAAAGTTTGGATTCATCGTGAGGCCTTGATTTACGGGCGTTGAACTTTTGCCGGTCCAAATTCAGATCTTGGAGGCCGGTGAGGGAGCAAATTGGTATCGAGATCAGGGTCTGACAGGGCCTCCTGTTGGTGGCGTAATAATGGTGCCTTTTAGGGCACCCGTTGGCTTGCGCGTCTCTGAACGGTAAGGTCCTTTTACCGAGCTGAATGAACCGGGGGGAGGGGAGACTGGAGATGGACGAGAGCAAGGCTTCGGTTCAAGGAGAGCCTCTCTTGTAGCTGAGTGGGCAAGGGATCGATGGTGATTGCGATAGTGATGGCATTGATTGACAGAGATGAAGACGCAATGCCGATGGAGATGGAGATGCAAGATGCAGGGTGTTGTGTGCATTGTCCAATGTGCAGGTTGAAATGGTACTGTACCTACTGAGAAAGCTATCTAAGTCCTTAACCGGAAGGCAGGTACGTGCGCGCGCCTTAGGTACCTCGATATACGCTGGGCCTGCGCCTAGAGGACTAGCAGTCCCTCCCATGATATTGACAGTCGGCTAACAGCGCGTTAGTTGGTCGTAGTAAGTGGTCGTAGTCTCCATCCCAGTCAGGCAGAGCCTAACAAAGGTAACATGAAATGCTAATATTGAGCCCAAACCCGTCATGATCCCCCATCCAGACTCCATCCTCCTCCCCGTCTCGTCGAATCACCATTCACAGCCCTCTCTTCCCGTCTTTTCCCTTCCTCTTCTTTACCTGACAGAACGACAGCGACCACAAAACCTCTTCGCCTTACTCTGCCTGACCCTGTCCTCGCCTTTCCTTTCCGTCCTCGTCTCCAAACCTTAGTTGACCCTTACCTCAGTTCTTTCCCTCCCCTCCCACCCCCAACCCTCCTCCTCTTCTTCTCTTTTTCCTTCTTCCACCTTACCTCCGTATCCCTCCATATTCTCGCCTCTCTCGTTGTCTGCGCGTCCTCTTATTCTTGCAGTACTACTTGCTTTCCTGCTTCCATTGGCGCCTGCTCTCGGAGTTTCTCAAGTTTGCCGTCTGATCTGTGGCTTTGGCTGTCATTGGGCCCCCATCTAACCACTGCGCATTTGATCCGGTATGTGCGAAAAACTCTTTCTCACCCACCCAACACCTCCAACGTCGAGCGCAAACACAAGAGGTGGGTGGCTAGGTTTATTGCGAACATGATCGAAAAGGATGGCCGTCCAAAGTGGTGGAGTAATCTGGGAAACGAAAGTCCCAAATGCGACGGAAGCAAGCACGAGTGCACCCCCCGTTTGGGAGCAACACACAAGATGGACCACGACTCTTCCAGAAGAGTCGCGGTCAGAGAGAGACGTACACAATCGAAGGAGTTATTGTGGCAAGCTGTGCACTCACCACTTGGCGCTAATGACATTGGACAAACTTCACATGCTTTGCGACCATGCGTTGAGTCTTCATGAATCACCTACGCTAACGTTCTGACTCGCCAGGCTTAAAACCTGCATTCGATTCTCCAAGACCCCTTTGCTATCGCTTTGCACCTTGCGGCCTTTAAAATTCCTTGTTCGGGATATTCTTGTGCGACAAAAGTTGGTCAACTATTTCGGAAGAATCCCGTAATCCTTCAGTATCCTCTTCGCAGCAAGTCCTGTGCAAGAGATTTCTGTCAGCCGATCTTGGTATGTTCATCCCTGCGCCAAAGAGGAGGTCGTAAGGAAGATACGATGCGGAAGACGCACAACTGAGAAGAATTTGGGTCATCACGATAATAGGAACAAAATTTGACCCATCTCACCAGAATTCTTTCTAAGCCTTCCAAGCTTGTTGATCTTCATTTTCGTACTTCATCATGTCTTTCGAATACGGTCAGTTTCCGAACGCTCAGCAAGAGGGTGCGCCAGGCCAGGTTCCTCCTCCCCAAGATGGAGCGGCTCCGGGCCAGCCAACCGATCCTTCTGGTCAGCCTCAGATGCCATTTCCGACCCCAGACGTGAATGCTGCACCTCAGACCGGACCTGGCGGAGAACAAAAGACGACTCTCTGGTGAGTTCAGATCGACACCTTCCTTCACATGTCGCCGGCTGACTCAGATGTGCAGGATGGGGGAACTGGAGCCGTGGATTGATGAGAACTTCATTCGCAACCTTTGGTTCCAAATGGGCGAGCAAGTCAGCGTCAAGATGATTCGCGACAAATTCTCAGGGTGAGTCACGGCATGAGCATCTAACTCCTTCACGTCTCTGAACTCATAGTAGCAGTAACGCTGGCTATTGCTTCGTCGACTTCTCTTCCCCACAAGCTGCCGCCAAAGCGCTTCAACTCAGTGGACAACCCATTCCAGGCTCGAGCCGTCCTTTCAAGCTGAACTGGGCTTCCGGTGGTGGTTTGGCCGATCGACGTGACGACCGTGGTCCGGAGTATTCCATTTTCGTCGGCGATCTCGGTCCAGAAGTCAACGAATACGTTCTGGTCTCACTCTTCCAGAGCCGCTTCCCATCCTGCAAGTCGGCCAAGATCATGACCGATCCCCTTTCTGGGATGTCTCGTGGCTACGGTTTCGTCCGCTTCTCGGATGAGAGCGACCAGCAGCGTGCCCTAAGTGAGATGCAAGGTGTCTACTGCGGCAATCGTCCTATGCGCATTTCCACTGCCACCCCCAAGAACAAAGGAGGACCCATGGGCGCTGCGGGAATGGGCATGCCGGGGACGGGCCCTTTGGGATATCCACCGATGGGGGGACCTCCAATGCCATTTTACGGCCAACAGCAAACTCCTCAACCGATGAACCAGTTTACCGACCCTAACAACACCACCGTTTTTGTTGGAGGACTTTCTGGATATGTCACCGAAGATGAACTGCGCTCTTTCTTCCAAGGATTCGGGGAGATCACCTATGTCAAAATTCCACCTGGCAAGGGTTGTGGCTTTGTTCAATTCGTTCAGCGTCATGCTGCCGAGATGGCTATCAATCAAATGCAGGGTTATCCTATTGGGAATTCTCGTGTGAGACTTTCATGGGGCCGCTCACAGAACAACTCGGGGCCTGCAGGAACTCCCTACCGACCTGCTCCCCCCCCACCGATTTACCCTTCCATGGGCATGCCTCCGCAGCACTCATACGGCTACACGCCGATGAAGGTTGGTCCAGTCCCCCCCCCCTTCCCAAAAAGTCATGTCGCGGTACTGACCTGAAGCGGGAGTAGTGAAGCTTTAACGTCGGCGCAGCAGGCATTCGTCCATGTCTTTCTGTTGAAACGGAAAATACGTTTTCTTTTGTTCATTGAAAGCGCGATCGATCTTTAGCGTCATCGTTGGTACGGGAGGGTTTTTGAGTCCAAAAAGTTTTCCATTTCCTTTCGCGAGACCCGACCATCACCGCTCGATGGTTTGTTGCTGTGTACAACACAAACATGGCTTTTTGAAATGGACGATACCAACGAGATAAGCATGTGCTTGGAAGCAAGTAACGGAAAGGACCAGGAGCATGGACGGATCCTTGAAAAAAGGGCGGATGATGAATCAAGTTGGCAAAGATGGTTTCGATTGATATTCTCCTTTTTCCACATGCATTGAGCTTGGGGACCTGACGATACCCCCATCTCAAAACGGAGTCAGATATTGAGCACACGAGCACGATTGGTAACTGAATGAAGCTGATATGAGCATAGTGCGTTTCGTCCCAAGAGACTGAAACCATTTGCAAAAACCGTCGTTGATATTGGCAAAGCCACTCTTGTTTTTTGATTATTTATTTTTTTTTCTTTCCTGTTCCTGCGCTTCTGTAATTGCACCTGTTCTGCCCAACCAGTCGTGTCGCTTATTCCCTTAGGTTTCAGAAGGAGTGAAAAGGCAGAATTTCATGGCCAGTCTGGCCCACCATCACGAAGCGACCCTTTTTCCCTTGCATCTTCCCTGCATTTCGGATTCGCCTTTCTCCACGCGCCAAGAATCATCTGAACCTCGGGATTTTGCCCAACTTCTCCAACTCTGTTCGGTCCATGTACATTGATTGAACGAGAGTTGTCCTCGGAGAGCCACCATCGCTATTAAGAGATGTAGCTCTTACTCATTCGAGGCCAATGGGCCTTCCTCTCCCTTTCTATAACGGCCCTCGTCTACTTCAAGATTCCTCAAGGTTCAGACTGACTCCTGAGGAACACTTCCCTCACTCTGCGAAAGGCATTTACCGACAGACAACACGATGGCATCGAGGTCGATCCGAATTGCAGGCAAGTCTCTCATACTAGATACAAGCCATGGTACTGACATCTCAGGCGCCTCTGGCTCTGCCTCCGACCGTCGACACGCCCTTGCTGCATTTGCAAAGAATTACCCTTCAGATCCAGTCGATAGCATCATCCTTGATCTAATGTCAGAAGCCAACATGACAATAGCGGCGGCGAGAAAAGTTGACATGGAATCCTTGGCTGTCTCCGATGGCGCTCCATTTGCAGGTTCCGGCCCAGCCTTTGAGGCGTCTTTCCTGGAGGCTCTCGAACCAGCTCTGGAAGACCTAGCCAAGCATGGCATAAAGGTTGCCGCAAATGCAGGGAACTCCGATACTGAAGCTCTCTACAAGATTGTTTGCGACATGATCAAGAAGAAGGGGTTAGATATGAAAGTGGCATGGATATCCGGTGACGAAGTTCTCCCGGCCATTAACTCTGCCTTGAACGATGGCTCGTCCAAGTTCAAGAACGTATACACTGGCGAGACGCTTTCTTCGTGGGAATTTGAGCCGATATATGCTCATGCATACTTGGGCGGCCTAGGAATCGCCGAAGCGTTTGCTCAAGGGGCACAAATTGTTATATGTGGGCGTGTCGCCGATGCATCACCAGTTATTGGATCGGCCTTCTGGTTCCATAAATGGCAAAGGTCGCAACTGAATGAATTGGCCAATTCATTCGTTGCAGGTCACCTGATCGAATGTTCTACATATGTTACCGGGGGCAATTTCTCGGGTTTCAAGTCCTTGGAGAATGCCCCTGCCGGTTGGGTCGATATCGGCTACCCGATTGCGGAAATCTCTCAAGACGGAGCCGTGGTGATCACCAAGCAGAAGTCATCGGGCGGAGCAGTCACAATACATACCTGCTCTTCTCAACTGCTTTACGAGATTCAAGGGCCATGGTACTACAACAGTGATGTGACCGCTGTTTTGGACCAGATTTGGTTTGAACAAATTGGCCCAGATCGAGTTGCCGTGCATGGTGTCCGAGGGCTTCCACCACCTCCCACTACCAAAGTGGGAATCACCGCCCGAGGAGGCTTTCAGGCTGAGGCCTCATATTATATGACTGGCCTCGATGTTCCCGAGAAAGCACGGATGACAGAAGTACAGCTGCGAAAGGGATTGAAACCATACTCTGATAAGTTCTCGCTCCTCTCATTCAGCGTTCTAGGGACTCCGGCCGTCGATTCGGATAATCAAAATGCAGCCACTGCAGTCTTCCGTATATTTGCTCAAGCACGAAAAGCAGACGATATCGCTCCTCAGAAGTTTCTTCGCCCCGTGATTGACAATATCATGCAGTCCTATCCAGGGGGCACTTTTCACTTGGATTTCCGACTTGGTATACCTAAGCCATACTTTGAGTATTACGTTACTCTCCTAGATCAGTCCCAGATTCAACATGTTCTCCATTTTAACGGCAAAGACACATTCATTCCGCCACCGACCATTACCAAAGTGTTCCCCGAGCATCAGCCCAGCCAGAGCCATGCAGCTTTGCCCATCGACCTGCAAAAATTTGGCCCCACTGAACGAGGACCCCTAGGATGGATTGTCAATGCTCGCTCCGGAGACAAGGGTTCCGACTGCAATTGCGGCTTCTGGGTACGCCATCAAGACGAATTTGTGTGGCTCAAGAATATTCTTTCAATCGACACCATCAAAAAGTTGTTGGGGAAGGAACATGATACGTCACGGACACCAAAGATCGAGATTGAACGGTTCGAGTTGCCCAATCTCCGAGCAGTACACTTCTTGTTTCGAAACCTGCTTGATCGGGGAGTTTCGAGCACAAGTAGCGTCGATTACTTGGGCAAGAATTGTGCCGAGTTTCTTCGTTCCAGGCATGTGGATGTACCTGTGCGGTTCCTTGCCAGGGGAAAATTGTAGCCAGAAGCTGAGAGATACAGTCCGCGCGAAAATGATACTTGATGAACTCCAGTACATCTCTGCTCTTTGCTTCGCGAATCTTTTCCCGGTATGTGGAGTACATCCATCTTAACCTGAACTTGGCTAGGATTTCATCTTTCACCACAACCGTGTCCTACAGAGCAATTATTTCCTATTAGACGCAAACTGGCGGATGTAAAGAAGAGACGGCTTGCTAAGCATCCCTGTCACGTCAACATCTTTTCCTCCCAAGACTCTTCGTTTCTTCTGGTATCAGAAAACATTAGATGAATTAGCCCCGTGGGGCACCTCAGGCATGGTATTGATAAGATTCAACATGACCTGTGTTCGAAAATAGAGGAACTGACCCATCCGCGCCGTGCAATTCGAAAAGCCTGACCTCAATTGAGTAGAGTAATATGTTCATGTTCAAGGCGAAAGAATAAGTGCAGAACACCCACAATGTGGTATCATGTCGGACAAGAAAATATGGAATGGTCATCATGCCGGATAGGGAGGGATTGCTTCGCAAAGAGTTTCCCCCAAATCCTCAAGACAAAAAGAGACGAAGAGCATAAAAGCGCCCACTCTCTTTGTTCGTACAGCAAGAACGGTCGCAGAGAGTCGAATTGCATCGAACCAGCTAATGGCTGCTTGATTGTCCAGCAAAAAGAATTCCAAACAAGGCTGCATCGCTTCATTCGAGCAAAGTCCAACAATTCGCTCCATCAGTACCAGCTGCCATAACTGCACACAAAATCAAAACGAAACTGCAAAAGAAAGGCAAATCTCGAGCACGAGTTGAGTACTAGGTTTTAGATACTCGTAAAGAAAATCCGTTGTGAGGCAATAACTCTATTCTCCATCTAAAACTGCGAATGACAAAGTGTGCCACTTCCGAAACAGTGTGAAAACGCCTTGGATGCAGTGGTTTGGATTCCGAAATGCTACAAGAGGTTTCTCTACTGGCGGTTCTATCCGATGTTCTATACATTAATTACAACACACCTGGCAGGTATTCAAGGTAAGCTAGTACGCTACAGCTCTTCATTGTCACCCCGTCGCTCATTGGCTTCAACCCACTCCCATTCCCCCTCAATGTCTTCCAGAACAATCACCTCGCACGATTCATATCGCCACTTGTCAATTGGAGTGCAACTTAGGATGTATTGAATGCTCTGTTTTCTACCAGCTGTTGCACTCCCGAGGACCTCTTTAGAGACGATGCGAAAGCCTCGTCGTTGTGCAACCCGACAATCAACCACACGGACAGATTTTGGCTTCACCGGCCAAGCCACGGGGCATACATGCGAGTCACCAGGAACTCCAGAGGAGCCTCGGGAACAGCGTGGATGTCCAGCTTTCCAGGGCTATCATAGCAACTCATCAGCCTATGGATGGAGGAGGATGCACCCACCGCCACGACACTCAACATCTCAATCCATTGGCAAGTATAGAACCGGGAAGAATCTCCACCGTCATAGACCACAAATCAACCTTTTTCCCAACCCCAGCTGCCGGCCTCAACGGCTTATGGAGGATACAGTCAAGGCAATAGCATCAACGGGAGGATTGGGGCCGATTCGAATGAACAGCAATATCATCCAGGAGCCTGGAACACTTACAACAATGCGCACTACCAGGCTTATACACCGCCAGACATGGCACACTCCGGATACCACTATTTCAATCCTCCTCCGACCTATCAGCCATCGCCAGCATATGCATCTGACTCAACATATTGGGAACAAAAACCGGGGCGGAGACAAAGGCGACCCTTAAAGCCGGGAGAATATGAGGTGGCCTAGGCTTCTGGGTGTCATCTGCTATGAGTCGGATGGTTACTTCACGATCAAGGTCTCGAGTTAGCCGTCAGAAATAGATCAGTCTTGTTGGGAAAGCCCAAGATTCCTCTCGAGAAGTGAGACGCGTAAATAGAGGACGTGTTTAGAACTAGCCCAAAAAGGAAAGAGCCGCGACCGTCACGCCTGCCACTGTGAATTCGATATCCAGATTGAAAAGCAGATCAGCTCCGTCACATCTAACTCGACATGCAAAATCTTCAGTCAGTGCCGCGCAGTCTTCAACTCTTCTGGCTCTCTTCTGCATGACCCTTCGATCCGATCTTTGACACCAGTCTCCACGCGCATTCCACGGCCAATTCGAGCGACAAGGCAGAAGCAACCTCCCCATTCAAATCCCCCTCTACCACCCTCTTCCTTCTAGGACCCTTGGTTCCTATACAGTTCAACCTCCCTTTGGTTTTCCTTTACGCATCGCGCGTTGAGCCTCTTTTACCTACCTCTCTAATAGCCCGAGCTTTATCACACGGCTCGGTCGCACTCGCGGAGGATTCCGGGTATTTGCAGGATGCGTATTGGAACGTAACCCTAAGCAGTTTCTCGGTTCGAAGTTTCGCGGTCAAGTTGTCGATTTCTGACTAGCTCCCCTACATGCCTCCTGTCTACTATTTGCTCCGGCAAAGAATTTCAGGATGGAGTGGGTGGGGTCAAAAGAAGTCAGACGTTCAGAGCCTCTCCTAGGGCAGTGAAAGACGGTCTCGCCATGCGTCGGACTGGGTAAGAATCCGCGAAGGATCACGCGTCGGCATTCCTAGGCTGAACATTATACGTGATCATATATGGGATGTTTCGAATGATATGAGCGTGGAACAGATCAAGAGAGAGCGGAGACGATTCTTTGTGTCGAAGAAAGTGCGGCTATCCTCTGCCCAGAGCTCAAAGATATTTGGCCTCCACACAGGGTTGTGAGAAGTCTCTGTTAAAGCCGATGAGATCCGCTGGCCGGAAACGAGCTCGATGTTGCTTGCAGCCAGGTCTCGGAGGTGGATGAAGACTTCCTGGGCGATTCCTCCACTTGGCACTTTGCATGCTTCAGCCGGCGATGCCGCAGCACAAATCTTGCCACAGCAGAATCAATCGCAGGTTCGACCGCCACTCCTCTCCAACTCGGGTCTGTACAAACACCGTCGAAACGCGGCAGCTTATTCACGAAACGCGCATCCAAGCACCCGCTATCAGATGTGTACTTCTGGTTGCAGAAGATCCCGATCAGCCGCGTCAATCATCCGCATCATGTCCAGCATGATGAAATGGAGAGCGCCGAATCAGTGGGCCCTTGATCTTCGGATCTCTGGATTCATGATGAACCCCACTTTGGTGGGAGGAGGGCGATTTTTAAAGATGTTGTTTGTGCGCCCTGGCCTGAGATATGGGCGAATGCTCTTCGACTTTGGATAGTGGGAAACCGCTATGACATAACGGAAGGGAAATCAAAATCTTGTCTCAGAGGTTACTGTATCACACACAAGAGGGGCATTCATCCTGTTGAACAGGGCCTGGAGCTCGGATTTGAATGTGGAATCTGCCAACCGCGTAAGAAGAAGCAGGGAAACATGTGGGGGGGGGGGGCAGTAATATGGATCACGAGGGAATGATGGCTGAAAAGATCTCGAAAAGCTCGACTTGCTGCACTGTGTGATTTTGCCAGCGCTCTCTGGTGCCTGTCATCTCCGGTCCAGGATGTATGAAGAAAGCTGCCTCTCTTGCGACTCACCCACCTCCACATAGGTCCAGAGTTTGTGTTGTCGCAACAGGCTCCGAAGTCTAGTCAATCCCTTTCGAACGAGTTCAGGAGAGTCACCCGATCTCAAGCAAAAATTCCCACACGCCAGCAGATCACAAGCTGGGAATGGTCATGACGGTTGAAATGAATGGGGTCACCAAGTTGCGAAGACAGGACCTCTCTCGAGTGAGGATCAAAGCTTTGGCTTATCTGTTCTTCCTCCTTGCCATTTGTTGAGATCGTCTTTGACTTGACCTTGATTGTGAGAAGGGCTTTGTCAGAAAATTTTGCTCTTGGTGACTATAATGAATGATTTTCACTTGGGTCTGGCGATGAAGACTTTTGGTTCGCTTGAAGTGACGGACCAAAAATGGGGCTTTGTGAGTTGCTTGAAGATTCGCAGATTTCATGTCCATACAACTTTAGTTCCTGAAGGACGCACCTTTCCGAAGCCGTTCCTGGATGCTTGCATGGTCCTTGGACGGCGATGACTCTTTTGATAAGTCTCCGCATACTGTCATGCTTTCTGAGAAGTGCTTATGGATTCTAGGTCGGCGTATGTTGGTTTTCCATGGGGATGAAGAGGGCACCGACGACATGGGGGACGTGGAGATGGTTAATGTCGAAGAGAGTTCCGGCAATGAACATGGTTTCGGCCGCTACTCTGGTGCCACCAGTTCCAGGGCTGGTGCCGTGACCAGAGGCCACTGGAATCGCAAGCCCATCGTGAGCTCCAAAGGCCAAGGGGAAAGGTATGAAGGCCCCAAAACGTCGGCCCAAGCCACCTGCAGAAGAAGTCAAGAAGGGGGCCTGGAGGAGCACCCCAAGATGCGGACGGTGCAGTGCACCCACAAGAGATACCGAATGGCATTGGCATTGGATGGAGGATAAACGGAGGTGCGAATGGGTTGGTCTCGGTCTCGTGTGGATCCTGGAATTTGTTTTTGCAACACTTGACATTTGTGTGTGAGCATGGCAAGATATCGGATACTATACATGCTCTACCTGAACTTGGAAGCGGAGTGGATTTCTCTGATGATATTAGTATCGCGATGATAACGTTTGGAAATGGTATCTTGGATTCTTTTTGCATCGAACCCGGGCTCTTGATACATCGTGTGCCAATGCTGCTCTAAATCACAGATCAGCTAACGTTCCTTCCCAATGATGTGACAAGCCTTTATGGTATCCCTTTCGCCAACGTGCGTGATTTTTGTACACCCATTAATTGCTGGGGAATTTTACTCGCTTCAACAGGTCCAAATTCCCACTTCACCGTCTCTCCGCCCTTCTGTCAAGTATCCATCTTTCAACCTGACACGCTCAACAACACTGGTCTTTGCTCCAGCCATTCGATCTTCGACGCTGGTGGCGGCCCCTGCTCCACAATCCCAGTGTCGACCATCAACTTTGTCATATATCTTGACAACATCTTCACCAGCGGCACAGACAATATGACGGGAGTCAAACATCATACTTGTGATCGGCGAGTCGTAAGCATAAGCATCGAAAATGGTACCAGTACGCAGATCCCAAATCTGTTTCGTGGTAAGCAATTATCAGGCGACAAAAAATGGGGGACCAGGAAAGCTTACCCGGACGCTCCTGTCTGCACTGCCCGTGACGAGATGAGTATCATCAAATTGCAAGCATGTCACTGGGCCCGTATGTCCAATTAAGCTTCTGTGAACTTGTCCGCTTCTCAGATCCCATAAGCGGACCATCCCATCAGCTGTGCCACACGCCAGTGCTGCATCAAAACATTGTAAAGCTCCGACAAAATCGGCATTCAAGTCGGCAGATCGGCCAGTTGGTCTCCATTGCGTATCTGTGCTGCCCATTGTCGAACTAGCTTGGGCAGCTGCCCAAAGAACATCCAAGGTTTGCACACATCGGCCCTTCACCAAGTCCCACTGTCGGAGGGTCTTGTCGGCAGAGCCAGAGACCAGGGTGTCACCACGGAGATGGAGTGCCGTAATTTCGTCGACATGAGCCTCCAGGGCGAAAAGCGGACATTCTTCCATCGCGTCAGGGGGTGGAGGAGGAGGAGCATCCTCATTTTCATTCCCAAATCCCAGTCCGTCATCTTCATCATCGGCTTTGTCACTATCACCGTTCTCGGTGATCTTGTTCTCATATGGTTCATAGTTAGCACGGCTAAGGTCCCAGAGCCGGATTGTGGCATCGAGGCTGCCTGTAGCCACGATATTGTCTTCAATTTGAAGACACCGAACAGAGGCGGTGTGGCCCTCCAAAAAGCCCATACATCGACCGAGATGCAAGTCCCACACACGCACTGTATCGTCAAGTGCTGCGCTTATCATGGTACCAAAAGGCTGGTCAAAATCCAACGCGGTTATCGAGTCCGTGTGTGCAGGGAGGGTTTTGATGTGAGATCCCGGTTCCAGGTGTTCATGCAAGACCGGTATGGATTTTCTTTTAGCATATTTCGGCCGTCGTTTGGACTTTGGAGAAGCCGATGAGGGAAGTTTGTCGTAGATTGATTGTGACATAAATGAGGCATCCATGGCTTCTGATTCGGGGGTGGCTACTCGTGGAGGATTGAGTGTACTGGTAGACTGATCTATTGCGCCTTGGTCGTCAAGTTCGTCCTGCATCTCTTCAATTCTATTGTCGAGTTCGAGGAGCTCATGTTCCACCTCGGCTTCATCATTCTCTAGATTAGCCAGTCGATCGAGCACAATCCTCCGCACACTTTGCAAGTTGGCCATTTTGTGGTCGATCTCGTGGATCTCCGTAGTGCACATGTTCTTCCTTATAGCCATCATTTCCAGTTTATGATTGACGGTATTTCGTTTCTTTTTAAGGTCTTGTATCGTCGGAGGACCATCTTCCTCCACATCACCGGCACCCAATAGACGATGCTGTTTGGAGGGCCGCCGACGATGTCCTTTACGGTGTTCGCTTTCTCCTTCGGGAAGAGATGCTTGGAAGCCTTGGAATAAGGAGTAGGTATTATCGTCTTCGGGGATATTTTGTAGTTGTTCGTCAGAAATGTGTGTGAGGGCTCGATGTGCGATTTCGCTGGTGGACAGTTTGGCCCTAACCATTTCTGAAGGAGCTTGCTGTGAGAAGGAAAAGACACCCCTCTGCAGGGCAGGGCGTCGCATCTGTCGAGAGATGCTATTCATCGCGTTTGGATAGTGAGTGGAGGTATTGTCGCCCATGAGATGACTTGCTGTTGCCGTCACCTTTCGACCAAAGGCTTCTAACTGACGCGTCTATCACCATCGTCAGTGTCATCGCTCGTGGTGATGTTGAACTACCTCACATCAAGCACTGCGCCGAGGACAGACTCATCTCCATCCCCATCCCCCGACATTCGTCGCGTTCGTGAGGCATTGCGGCTAGAAGAGCGCGAGCCGGCCATACAGACCTGCTCTTCTGCGCTGGCAGAGGGAATATCTGGTGCCTTTTTGAGTTGATTCGTTCAGTGATGCGTCCGGGGAATTCAACAAAACATGGTCTTTAATAGGCAGGTCACACTCATGAGGCTCTTGGAAGCTCGGGGCAAGTTTTGTGGAGGCAGAAGAATCCCGGCAATTTTAGCTTCTGGAGGCGCAGGCCGATGAACGGGACTTGTTCTGACGTACATGCTAGTTGGAAGCCAACCTTTGATACATCATTTCAACCCCTGTTGTTTACCCTGCCGTATTATTTTTGGTTGCTGACCGGGTCATCATCGTTCTGTTTCCTCTCTTATCCTCGAGGCCAAACATTGATCTGCACGCGACTAACGGATGATCGTTTCAGACATGGATACAGCAATAGACTTATCCGACGCCTCGAAAGCCTTGGACCTGGCTAACATTCGTTTTCAATTGATGTTCGTGTCCTAGATCTACCTCCCTAAGTCACATTCAGCGACTGACTGAGGAATAGTCGGCTGGAAGACACGATTATATTTCATCTCATTGAACGGGTACAATTTCCCCTCAATGCCACCATTTATGATCCCGGAGCTCTTCCAATCCCTTCGAGTAATCTTGCTCTTCCGGCAAACATTTCTCTTGCCGACTACCTTCTCTCCGAAACCGAACGTCTGCATTCCCTGGTCCGCCGATATGATGCTCCGGACGAATACCCTTTCTTCCCTCAAGTCTTACAGCGGCCGATGCTCCAGCCAATAAAATACCCCCAGATTCTCCACGACAACGACGTCAATGTGAACGACATAATCAAGGAGAGATACGTCAAAGAGGTCTTACCGGAGGCTTGCCGAAAGTTTGGGCGAGAGGATCGAGGAGAGACCAAAGAGAACTATGGAAGTGCGGCAACCTGTGATGTCGCGTGTTTGCAGGCGTTGAGCAGACGTATCCATTTTGGAAAGTTTGTGGCTGAAAGCAAGTTTCAAGCAGAGACCGAGAGATTCGTCAAGCTCATCAAGGCTGAGGATCGTGAGGGAATCGATGCCTCCATCACCAATGCGAAAGTTGAGCAGCAGGTTCTTGACAGACTGCGACTGAAAGCCAAAACATATGGCAAAGACCCTTCTGTTACAACCAATGGGGTTGGCGGAGAAGAGAAGATCAATGTCGAGGCTGTGGTGAAAATGTATGCTCAGGTGGTCATTCCCTTGACCAAGGTCGTCGAGGTAGAATATCTTATGCAAAGGCTCAAGGGGACTAAATGGGAGTGAGGCAAGGGATTGTGTGCCGACAGCGCGCGGCTGATATCTCTTGTCACTCAAGCCTGGGGTTTCAAGTACTCGGCAACATCCTGAACGGTAACCTTGAATTGGTCACCTGAAATCAGAATGACATGGCCTTGAGGCTTGATTCCGAGCTCTTGGAATGCCCGTTTCGAATCCGAGTGTCCCTCATCCTGTTGGATGGAGTAGTCAAAACCGCCATGACAGACGGCATGTCTTTGCAGAACCTCGTCCTCGGGATGGAAATACATTGTCTCAGACGAACCTGCAGCAGCTTTCTTTTTCTTTTTGGGCCGATCATCTTCAGCGTCAAGCGTCGACGCAACCTCGGTGTAGGTCTTTGAAAGGATGAGGTAATGGGAAAAGTCATACGGCTCTTGGTCTTCGATCGCCCATTCCATCTCTTCAAGCAGCATGGTGTACATGGGAGGGACCACCTCTGAAGGGACATTAATCAAACGCTCTGTCAGGATCAGGCCGATCGCGGGTATGGTTGGCTGAGATAAAAGTTTGGCCAAGGGAGCGAGGTCGGGTTTGGATTTGGACTTTGAGTGAAGGTACTGAATGATTTTGTTTACACCGGGCTTGTCCTATGAAGCGATTAGCACGCATTGGAAGGGGGCCGTCTCGACCACGTTTACCTTGTGCTCCTGGAGGTTCACGATAGATAAAAATGCATACGCATCTGTTTCATTTCCATCCACCTTGACAGTGGACCCGAGGGTTGGCTGAGACAGGATTAAGTCGGTGAGTGCGGACAACTCAAATAGCTGAGCATCCGCATCGAACAGTTGTTGTAGGAGTGTCTTTATCCCGTGGAAGTCGAACTCGGGTTGAGGATCGAACCATTCGAAGTCGACATCGAGCATATCAAAGTCCTAGGTCGAAAGTTAGTCACAATACGGCGGTGACTTCAAAATAGCGGACTAGCCTCGTCCTCGTCGCTCTCATTGTGAAGGCTCCTATCATTTTTGACGACCCTATCGCCGACTTCTTGCTTTCTCTTGCTCATCTTGCAGTCGTAGTCAATGTAAAAAGTACATGTGAGAGAATGATTGAACATGAGAGACCTAGAAACTTTTCTGTGGGGAGAATTTCCCCACTTCATTCCACAGAATTTCTGTGCACCAGGTGCCCCTCCACGTCAACTGATATTTTCCCATACTCTCTCTCTCTCTGTGGGATCATTCCGCGTATTCACGCTGTCGCAATGGCTGTCAATGGCGAAGTCAACGGCACGACGGTCAATGTACCCGCAAAAACCTTCGATACGATCCTCGTCCTCGATTTTGGGTAGGCCGCGCTCCCTACCTCCATTTCAAATGCCCATGACTCATGAACGGTTCAAGATCGCAATACTCGCATCTCATTACCCGTCGGTTGCGTGAATTGAATGTTTACTCTGAAATGCTTCCATGCACCCAGGAGATAGCCGGCTTGCATTTTCAACCAAAAGGTATCATTCTCTCAGGAAGCCCATACTCGGTGTATGAAGATGGCGCGCCGCATGTTGACCCTGCGGCATTTGAATTGGGCGTTCCAATCCTAGGTATATGCTATGGCATGCAAGAGATGGCCTGGCACTTTGGCAAGAATGTCTCGGCGGGCGATAAGAAAGAATATGGTCATGCCTATCTGAGGATCGAGAGACACACTGGCAAAGAACAACATATTGACCGCCTTTTTGAGGGCGTTGAGAATGATATCGAAGTATGGATGAGCCACGGAGATAAATTGTCCAAACTGCCAGACGGGTTCTATCCGATCGCCAGCACAGCCAACGCGCCCTTCGCCGGGATCGCCAGCATGTCTAAGCCATACTTTGGGATTCAGTTTCATCCCGAGGTCACGCACACTCCCCGAGGCACCCAAGTTCTCAGCAATTTTGCGGTCAAAATCTGCAAAGCAAGACAAGATTGGACGATGGAGAAATTCGTGGACAAAGAAATTGAGCGCATTCGAGCCATGGTTGGTCCCAAAGGCCAGGTGATCGGCGCGGTATCGGGTGGAGTTGATTCCACGGTGGCGGCAAAGCTGATGCAAGAGGCTATTGGCGATCGATTTCATGCTGTCCTTGTTGACAATGGCGTCCTTCGATTGAACGAGGCCGAAACGGTCAAAGAAACGCTGACCAAACATCTTGGTATCAATCTCACAGTCATTGACGCCACAGATTTATTTCTAGGAAGACTCAAGGGCATCTCGGATCCGGAGAAAAAGCGCAGGATTATCGGAAATACCTTCATTGAGGTTTTCCAAGATAAGGCGAAAGCAATCGCTGAGGAGGCAGCCAACTCTCCCAGAGCGGGAGAAATCGAGTGGCTGCTTCAGGGTACTTTGTATCCTGATGTTATCGAAAGCATCTCATTCAAGGGGCCATCGGCCACCATCAAGACCCACCACAACGTTGGTGGCCTCTTGGAGAACATGCATCTCAAGCTTATTGAGCCATTGAGGGAGCTTTTCAAGGACGAAGTGAGGGCATTGGGAACCAACCTCGGTATTCCCGAGCACCTTGTTTGGAGACATCCCTTCCCCGGCCCCGGTCTTGCTATCCGTATTCTGGGCGAAGTTAATGAGGACCAACTCAAGATCGCTCGACATGCAGACAAAATCTTCATTGATGAGATCATCGCTAGTGGTTTGTACAGGAAAATCTCTCAAGCCTTCGCAGCGCTTCTTCCGGTCAAAGCTGTTGGCGTCATGGGTGATAAGAGGGTGCATGCTCAAGTGATCGCTCTGCGTGCGGTGGAAACAACGGATTTCATGACCGCAGATTGGTTTCCCTTCGATGGTGACTTCCTCAAGAGGGTAAGCAGAAGAATTGTCAACGAGGTTGATGGAGTTTGTCGTGTTGTCTACGATGTCACTAGCAAGCCTCCAGGGACTATTGAGATGGAATAGAGATCATTCTCGGGAATTTAGGCGGTTTTGAGAAAGGGAGGTTTGAAGTGATTCGGTCTCGGAAAATGCGGCGTTTAGACCTGGTGAGTCAAGACTGGGTTTTACAGGGAATGCGGATACCACGGGGGGCGGTACATAAAATATCCCTGCAGAGGATCGTTGTTCGATATAGTTGCCTTCGCTTCCCTGCGCATGGGTGCGAGCACTCCAGATATATTGCTTTTTGGCATTAATAACGGAACTTTCCCTCTAGCCCTTTGTAAGAAAGGATTCCCTAATCGCGATATACTGCGTCGTGATTAGACGATCTTGGTGTGGTCGCAGGACTTGACTTCCTGTTTCCGTCGGTGGGACATCTGATGCCGGCTCTCCAGGTGAGAGGCTGGTTTGGAAGTGCCCTCCTTATCTTGTAAATGAGACATAATACTCGACCGTACTCATGTTCGGATGAGTGTTCGGCCTGAGGCGCAATCTTTCGCAGTCTCAACCGACCGCACCAGCGATCGATATTGCTTCAATCATACTCTTCCCAATCATCATTTATTCTCGCTGACAAGAACAACTGACATAAGATGTGAGATGTTGCGAGTCATTGACGAAAGGCCTCTTCGGGAATTTTCAACCCATTTGGTTTTGCCGCCGCGCTCGCCTTATCAGCCGGGATGCGATCTTCCCACGGGTAGAAGGAGCCATTGATGCCGCCCCACAAACGCTAGACAGACTCAGGAAACACAGTGCTAGACATCAACCATGGGCTGCACCTCGTCGAGATTCATGCTGACTATCTGACAATGTCCCTTAGCCTCAAGGTTTGGATAAAGGGGTTTCTTGCGTGACGGAGACAGCAGTCACGGTTCGGACCCCGATTTTGCAGTCTGCTCAAGATATACAGCTTACCATCAAAGTCACCTAGGTTCCCGAAAGGATATGTCGGTCTCCAAGCATCGCAAGGCTCGATATTTATTCTCTCTGGTTATTCAGAATCGGTCGACGACACCAGGCTGGACTCTTGCGTGCTCCTTTTAACTGGCCGGTGCACAGAATACCTCGACCAATAAAAGCTTTGCGCGTTGAATACTTTCATAAACACTCACGCTAGCCACCGATAACCAATTCCAGTAACAGAGTTACGCGACATATTCGTCTGTTCCACAAGAAAGAGCTGTACTACTCTGACATGATCCTCCTCCTTGTGAACTATGCGATCGATGGGATAGCTTTGTACGGAGCCCGTTTCCACATTGGGAGAAAGATGATTACTATGCACTGGATGAGAACGAGCGAACGAGCCAACATGCCGAGACCTGAGACAGATCAATCCTCGTGTCATGCATTTCGTTCTGGATTACGGTCTACCAGGTCAAGACCTTGTATCCCCCGAGAGCTGGCGAGGATGCTAATGCCTTAGCTCCAGTGGATCGATCATGCAATTCTTCCGCCAAAGCGCTAAATTCGGTGTCAAAAAGTATATTAATTCTTCACCGTCTCTGTTCAGCTTGATTTTAACTTCATTCATATTTGTCTCCGAATCTCTAAAGTCGACGCAACACTGACAAGAACAACATGGCACCCCACGCTGACGATCATGTCCAGGTGGAATATCAGTCTGAATCCTGGGTCACACTGAAGACAGCTACGAAGGAAGCCGGATCCCTTGTCCCACACAATATCTCATCCCAATCTCAGGAACACGGACAGAGCCTTGCTGATCGATATGAGCCTGGTCGAACCCCTGTCGAAAGCCACGAGAATTATGAATTCGACGATTTGACCCAGCAATTCCCGGACGTGTATTGGGACGAATTGAAAGACATTCCATATCGGGACAAGGGCCTACTGGGCGACCCTCGATTTCGAAACCTTCTTGACGCAGCAGATGACGTGTTCGATTACGTCCCTAAGGTAGGGACCGAGCTCGTTGGTGTAAAGCTGACCCGACTCAACGACGCTCAAAAATGCGACTTGGCGAGGCTCATCGCAACACGTGGCGTGGTATTCTTCCGCAACCAAGATGATTTCGATATCGACGCGCAAAGAGAGCTGGGAAAGTTTTTTGGCTCGCTGCATAGGCACGCCACGACTGCGATGCCTAAGAGGGAAGGCCTCGAAGATGTCCACGTCGTCTGGACAACCGATCAGTCAGTGGACCAAAGAGCCTTGTTCACGCCCTCATTCCTCTGGCACTCAGATGTAAGAAGATGGAACACGGACCAGCGGACATGCTGACATCATACGCAGGTCACTTACGAGGTGCAACCTCCGTCATACACCTCCCTGAAAGTTCTCACCGGTCCTCCGCGTGGTGGTGGAGGCGACACTCTATGGTGCTCTCAATATGCGATCTACGATGTCTTGTCAGCTCCAATGCAGAAATATCTTGAAAGTCTCACTGCCTTACACTCAGCAGACATGCAAGCTGAAGGATCACGAGCTGCGGGACGCGCTGTTCGGCGTGATCCAATTACAACAGAGCATCCCCTCGTTCGAGTTAATCCTGTTACCGGATGGAAATCGCTTTTCTTCAACCCAGGCTTTGTGACTCAAATTGTCGGAGTGCCCAAAGCTGAAAGCGACGCCATCATTCGTTATCTCACCGAAATCATAGTGACTACTCAAGAGGCACACTGCCGTTTTCAATGGGGGAAGAATGATGTGGCCATTTGGGACAATAGGTCAATGAACCATACGGCATCTTACGGATTCATTCCTCACAGACGACATGGAACGCGTGTTGCCGTGGTTGCTGAGAAACCATACTTTGGCCCAAATGGAAAGTCTCAAGAGGAGGAATTTAACAAGAAATGGGGCTTGCCACAAACCAACAAGGACGGGTCAAGGAGGTCAAACTACAACGATTGAATGTCAGAGGAATGAGATTGAGAAAAGCTCGCTTGAGAATCTTTAACTGGTCTGCGCTCTTTGGTCTGAAGATTCTAGCTATTACGCAGGCCTCTTTGAAACTATTTTTGGCGGGGGAGGGAAGAAGGAGGGGGTGGTTTGGTTGTGACCACAAGCTAAATTCAGTACTAGGAGTCTACTGAATGAGACGAACCTCTCTCCTATCCCTCGTTTGAGGCCTTATTGTTTCAATTTACCGCCGTTGCATGACTGATCGTAGGCAAGCTTGGCAGTAGATAATTTCGCAAAGAAATGAATATTTCAAAAGAGGTTCTTCCAGTATGCTCAAAACTCCATTACAAAGATTGAAAAAGAAAGTATTGTCAATACAGTGTTTGCTTTGCTCAAGATCTGCTCTCACCGTCCATATCTCGGTCAATGGTTAGTCAAACGCAGATGTCATGACAGTAATCCTTGACTCCATCAATGCAGTCAGAGGAGTCTCCGCCAGAACTCAATATCCCATCCTCGCCCAATTGTGAAATCGGTTTAAGTCCTGACGATCCAGTTGATCTGGACAATCTTCTCCGCGTAGAGAAAGAGATGCAAGAGAAGGATGAAATACTACCCGACGAAGTTCAAGCCGCGAATCCTGATAAATCAGACAAGTTCTGGAAGATCGTAATCAGCTCCTTCAGAAGGCGGAAATAAAAATAGGAACAACATCTCTAGCAGATGTCCAACGTCAGCAAGCAAAGAAGAGGATTGAACATCTGAAATCGGATATCCTCCTACCTTCATCTCTGGATATGGGGACAGAATGAACGTGAAGCACCGATGAAGATGAGATCTTTCTTCCAACTTCTTCGCCCAAAACCAATGATAACTATCTTGACAACAGTTTCAGCTCTTTTTTTTTTTTGGCTTCCAAAGCCCTCAGCACATTTTTGGATCTTCGAAGAAGTATATTCAAAGCCCGCGCTGCTGGTTCAGCAGACCTGTCTCGATGAACTTTCGAATGACCCAATTCAATCCATGCAATCGGAGAAACATAGCAACATCCATTCCATGTAGTCTCAGGTCCTAGAATCAGAAGCAAATCTAGACGAGATAGGGAATTATCATTCATCCAAATACCATCAACTCCAGTCGAAATAGCTCGCAAGGAGATGAAAGTGACCTTCTTGCGGCCAGAGAACTGGACGGCTACACAGCAGTGGTGTGGGCAACCGCAATGTTCAGACAACATCGTATGCGGTCTAATTTTCGCGGGGAAGCTTACCATGGTGTTCCGGGATATGGAATCTATCCAAAGTCGCGACAAGGTTCCACCTTGAAGCCGGGGGCTGGTCTCATCTTCACAAATACTCAGGCATTGAACCAGAAAAACCTACCGGGACAGAGCAGCTCTGGCAATGAAGGAACAATCCAAAATCAAATTATCGGGCTTGTGCAAGATTATGATCGCTTTTTTGTCATGGTAATAGTTCCAGGCTCCGGAGGACAGCTGTTGCAGGCCATTTTAGACATCATCGATACTTTCAAGGACTCTGCTCCAGCTTGAGTGTTCACAACTGCGTAAGAGTAAGTCCGATCTGAGTGTTACCGACCTCCTCATCGCAGACAACGGAGGAAACAATGAACAGGTGGATATGGAATCTTGTATGGCAACATGGCTCGCCAGTCCATCCTAACCAAAAGACTCTTCACAAATCATAGCTCTGTTTCTCTAATTCATGACAAAATGCTTGGGGAGCTTTTCCTTAAGGAGAATTGGAACGAATCCTATGGCAGCTCAAGTGGTTCTTGGGATGTTGAGAAGGCTAGATCAATCTGAGCACCAGGCGGTTCAATGCTGGGGCCTGAGGAAGTTTATACAGACGGCAGGAGATACCAGAATCAAGACGTTTGCAGAGACGTTAGGATTGAGGATCGTGGAAAGAATGAACATGGGTGCTTGATGCAGAGGAGGTGAGGACGCAAGCATTCTGGTTCGCAATCCAGCATTGATAGATACGGACGATGCAATTGAATATCTCCCGTTGAATTCGAGAGCCGGGGTCCAGGAGCTGGGTACGCGAGTCTTGACATGACGTGGAGGAAACGCAACAAGAACAGTTCTACGACATATGGACGGATCGAAGATGATGATGATGGAAACAAGACTCTAGTGTATCTCTTTACCATCTTGGTAGCAATTTTTGGCGCAAGGCTGGTGATGACGTATGAGTTGAAGCGACCGCCGCAGACAGCGTTTGAGGATATTAGGAGAGCATTTTGAATGTTAGAACTCCCTCAGCCCTTCTCATTGACTGAACATCACCCTTCCCGCTTCATATTGGGCACTGCTGTGGATTTAATCAGATCCTTCTGACCCCCTCCACCCTGGCTTCTCCGTTCCGGGGTGTAACTAGATCTCGGAACTGCTTCTCTCTTTTCCGTTACCTCTTTCCCAACACCCACCGTCGTGCTCGCGAGAGGCTCTTCGGTTTCCGACACGAATACATACCTAAACTTCGTCTACGAGCCCAATCCCAGATCTACCAGGCGATCGTTCGCAGGCAACAAAGAAAACGAGCAAGAAGAGACACGGGCTGGGGCCTGATTCCATTCATACGACGGAGGCAGAGTCGCATCCTCCTCCGCTTGTTGTATGGAAAGCACCATGCTGGTGCACACCACCCGAGAAAAACAAAGTCAACCGAGCAGATGACAAGTTATGGCCAACCTGGCGCAAGGGTGCCGGGTTCTCGCCGGGAGAGGTTACGTGGGTATTTGCGGGCGGCAAACGAGTTGAGGCAAACATATCAAGAGCAAATACATCAAAGGCTACAAGCTAGTGAAGTCGATGGGAGCATACCGGGGGATTTTCCTCAGGTTGATATTATTCGAAGTGGAGATGAGGAAATGCTCCTGTTTCCAAGTTACGCCCGGAAGCACACGAAGCGGAAAACCGACCCCGACGGCGCCGCCAGATATCAGCCTGGAACACACGAAGCTATAGAAGCACCGCATAGCAGTGGAGATGCTGACTATTGGAAAAGAGAATGGGAGAAATACGAAGATGCCAATGCCATTGTTGATGTCGATGTGCGAGGATGGATTTACTCGCCACAACGTGGTCCGTTGAATAGGAGGAATCGTCTTCTGATTGCCGTGGCTCGCAGACTTAGCGGCATCTATGCTCCAGTTCCCAGTCCCGCTGGCTCTCGTCCACCCAGCCAGGCTCCTACCGGTCGGGACCGGCTTGACGAATACCCATCAAGACATGAGGATGAAATTGCCACAAGAGAAGCCGAAAATATAGCTCGTCGTGGGCAAATGGAAGCCGATGCAGCTGTGAGAGGGAGTTACAGCCAGGCCAATTCAAGAAGATACAATGGCAACACTCCCACATACAGTCAGTCTGGCTCGCCCACACGAACAGACATCATGGTAGACGATGAGGATGACGGCCCTGATCGGGGATTTTTGGCCAAACGGCAATCCTGGAATGAACCGGCACACATGAGCCGAGAAGAATTGCATGCAGCAAATGAGTTGCTATTGACCCGACTGAAACCCTTTATGACGACACCCATGGCTCATACCCCAATCACGATATTCTTCTTCAATGACCAGAAATCAACTTCAAAATCAGTGACTACTGACGAGTCAGGTCATTTCAATCTGCGCGCCGCCCTGGATTTCATTCCCGACCAGGTCCGAGTTCTAGCATCAGACAAGTTGTCTGCCACTGAAGATGTCGTCATCACGGATAGTCGCGGTGTTAGCTTGATCAGTGATATCGACGACACTATCAAACATTCCGCCATTGCGAGTGGCGCTCGGGAAATCTTCAAGAACACATTTATTCGAGACCTCGGTGATCTCACCATTAAGGGGGTCAAAGAATGGTACACCAAAGTAGCCAGCATGGGAGTCGAGATGCATTACGTGTCTAACTCTCCCTGGCAGCTGTATCCGCTCCTTCGCAGTTTCTTCTCCCTGGCTGGTTTACCAAATGGATCCTTCCATCTCAAGCAGTATTCCGGAATGTTACAAGGAATCTTCGAACCTGCTGCCGAAAGAAAACGTGGTACACTCGATCGAATTATGAATGACTTCCCCGAGCGAAAATTCATCTTGGTTGGTGACAGCGGAGAGGCGGATCTGGAAGTTTATTCTGATGTTGTCATGGAATACCCCGGTCGAGTACTGGGTGTGTTCATCAGAGACGTGACCACGCCTGTCCAGAAAGCGTTCTTTGACCAAACCATATCGAATATGATCTCCTCCAAAGACGGTACCCGTCTTAGCCGTTCATCACACAATCTAGACCTCCCAGAGAACAGACCGGCCTTACCCACAAGACCAAAATCAGATCCAGAAGCAAAGACGGTTGAAGAGAAAGATCTGATTGACTTTAGTGACGACTTAGACGCCCGCTCTAACCATGAGAAGCCCTCACATTCTGATGATATGCGGCAATTGGACCAAAGTGGAAAGCCCCCTGCACCCAATGTACCCAACAAACCATCTAGTCTTCGCAACTTTTCGACTCAGTCAATACCTCCTACCAATCACGAAAGATTATCTATATCAGACACTGAAAGTCAAGAAGCTGTCAAAAAGAAGCCACCACCACCCCCCAAACCTCGTCGAAGCGGCGCTGCAGCTGCATCTGAAAAGAATGGCGAATCTTCTCTTCAACCACTTTCCCAACCTCCTTCCTCGTCACTGCGGCAGAATCAAAGTCAGCCCCAACCCGACTTGACAAGGCAGCCGAGCTCGGTATCTACACGATCCATCGTTCCAAATTCCATCTCCCGCACGAACACTTCATCCAGCACTGCCTTTAGCTACCCGTCCCGCAATGAAGAAGGCTACGTTGCCTCTGCCCGCCGACAAATTGCATCCGCATATAATTCTCTTCCAGCAATGCGATCGGCTTCTCCGTCCTGTCCGGCCGATCAAACAGACATTAGCGGCGATAATCGGCTCAACCCACATATTCCTCCTCGTAGGGGGATTGCGTCCTATCCCGCCGCAGCCGCACGCTGGGCAACAGGAGGAACGGGCGGCAATCCGGCTGCTGGTAGTGACGCAGGCTTACCTGGTGCTGCGTATGACAGGAAATTAGAAATCTGGAAGCGGAGGTGGGAGCGGGCTGAAGAGATCATGCACCAGAGAGGTGTGGTGTTGAGGAACTGGAGGATCGGAAGCGACGTGATGGACGAATGTGTCCAGCTTGTCAAGAGGGAATTGGAAAGAATTCAGGGCAAAAAGTGATTTATTTGGGTTGTGAAGGGCTTGGGATCCCGAATGGTCAGAAGAAAAGGAGTAGGTGACTCCTGCTTTCATCCCGGCAGGGAACAGGATGAAAGTCGGTTGATTTTGGATCGGTGACTCTGCTTCTACCACTTGTAGGTTTCATCATGCAATGGCCTGCGGAACACGACACACAAAAGTAACCCGTCCAGCACTGCTTCCTATAACAGCAATGTCGTTATGAGTTGCCCATGAATGAGGGCGATACTCAGGAGGAAGCCATAAGATCCTCTTTGAAGCCCATGTGACCCATTCCCTCTCAGCTCCTAGCATGCCACTGGAGTTTAAGTCAGGCTTGGGCTCCTCTGCGCTAGTACCATGTAATGATCCTTGTAGTGGAATGGGTACTGATTCACCATTTATTATGATCTTCGTACTGTCGGCGCTGAAGTCGATCTTATTATCGAATTCATTGATATCATGACGTAGAAGCTCCATCGCGGTAGCAATGTCCCACACCCGCGCCGTCCTGTCGTATGAGCTCGATGCTACTCGCGATCCGTCGGGCGAGAATACCACGCCGGTGACCCAATCGGAATGGCCTTCGAGCGTGTGTTGACACTCGCCCGTCTGCACATCCCACACCCGCACCGTCCTGTCG